TCTTATCCCTAAACTCTTAACCATCTTTAAATGTTTATTTTTTTAATTTTATTGGAAAAACTTGCTTATAACACTATATAAATTTCTGGTCTACATCTTTATAAGTCATATCTCTATATAACATACCTTAAGTTCACAGCTAAAAGTCCAAATTTATCCTTTAACATAAAATTGACCCCCTTCACCCAATTATCCACCCCCCCTCCCTTCTTGTGACCAGTATTATAGTCTTCTAATCTCTATACATAAGTTTACTTTTGCTTTGTTTAGTTTTTTTGCTTATGTTTCTTTATGTGAAATATCTGAATCACACATCACATGGTGTTTCTGACTTATTTCACTGGCCCTTAAAAAAAATAACAAACATGTAAAGGATACTTTGGTAAACAAGTGATTAACCAAAACTTCCAAGTAATGAAAAATTGGTTCTGCTTAATACACATTTCACAAGTTCCATCTTACTCTGCTTCGAGTTATAAAAATAAGCATGTGTGGGATCAGTCTCCCTACAAAATATCAGATAGGCTTTTCTCAATATGCCCAGAGGGGGCCTCTTCCAATAAGTTCTACCTTATTGTGGGGAACTAGAGGTCAATTCAGGTCCTGTGGGCCTTGAGAGGTTTACCAGCATCACTTTAAAAAGATGCAGATTGTTTTGGGTTGAGAGCAGGGAGGGCCCTGAAGGCTAGGAGAAGCATGTGTCTTTCCTTAAGTCTCACCCTTCTCCAATAGAAGTTTGTCTTGTCATAAGTTTCAGTCCTGTTCTTAATTGAAGAAGCAATCACAACTTCCCTTTTTATGATTTAGAGGAGTATAATTTAAGGGGTCGCATCCATTCATTTGTTTATTAGTGAACATTGTCCTAAGAATGCCATCTTTACTCTCAGTAAGGATGACGTAAACCCTAGCTTGTCTGTCATGTGAAGTCTCCCCCTCTCTCTGCTTGATGCTTCAGGTCTCTAAATGCAGGATAAATATACCTGTCTGTTCCATTTTTCTTTAAAATTTACTGCCAAAGTCAACTCTCTATACATAAATTATTAAATTCATTGTTTTTCCTTTGCTAGTCCATTTGATTCGGTTTTGTTTACCTGACCAGCCTCAGATGAACCTGGAATGAGAAAACACACAATGAATTCTTGAGTCAGCAACCTTAATAAAGCAGGCAAGCTGCAGGGAGAGAAACCAGGCCCTCTAATACAGCCAGAAGGAGCCAGTATCTGAGATGTCACACAAGACTTCTGGCTTGAGTCACAGGCACATGCAGTCAATGATTCTCAGAGTCTCAAATATGCTAGATAGTCAAAGCAAGCTAGATTGACATAAACTGTATATTAAAGCAGAATCTATTGGCAGGCGTATGTGAGCAAGATGCTACGTAGGAAACAAATGACATTGCAAAATGACATCCAAAATTGTTGCAGAGTAAGGAAATTAGACAAGACATTGACAGTCTGCTTTTGCTAATTCCAGAGAAGAAGGCTCTGATTTTAAGGCAATTCCCTTGCCCTTTCTTGAGGAAAAGGCCTGTGTTACTAAACTCCTACACATCCAGATTACCAAGAATTTATATGTAAGATATGCACTGTGCCATCTGAATTCAGGAAACATCCGGGCTTGTTGATGAATTTCATTATTTTTACATATGTTTTCTTCTAGATAAATGTGTTCTTCATTTCATATAATGTGATTAAGCCATACAAACAAAAAAAAATCAGAAAATAAAGTACTTCCTCCTTGCTAAGTTTATTCATCAGAGTAAATGCAGTTCTATCTTATTTTTTTTTTTAGATTTGGAGGATTACTTTTCCTGACAGAACCCCCCAGAACTGAGAACCCTGAACTGCAAACTTGTCCTTTGTCCTAGTTGTTTACCAGCCTTATCAGGGCACACATGGGTTGGCAATGTGATTCTAAGATAAAAATTCCAAAGTTATAATTAGATGTTTTCCGAGAAATATCACCCGTGCCATAAAATCTGTTTGCTGGTTTTTACTTCTTAATTGAAGTGAATGGTCTCATGATTTCTCCCCATTTAATCATATTCTTTTGCACAAATAAGAAATATTAATTTGGCACTCAAGAAAAATACATACTTTTTTTGGATAAACAATACTGAAAATATAGATCATACATCAAAACATCTGTGATATTTCAATAAACACATTTTTAAACAGAAAACACAATTCTTAAGGTTTATTCTAGCAATAATAATGATGATGGAAATAATCTTGTGATCCCAAATTTAACTATAAATGATAAGTGATAGAAAGATATGTACCAAGATGGAGATTACAAGCTTTTCTATGTATCTTACAGATCTATTTAATTCAATTCTGAACAAAGAGGATGAAAAAAATTAGTGACAAACATGCTTTTGCAATGTTACAGAAGGATACTGTCTAGCCCAGTCAGAGATACTGTGAAAACATTTCTCAAGTTTTCTTTTAAACTCCATCTTTGCTAAAGAGACTGAAAATAGGTTTTGCATTAAAAAATCTTCTACTGACACCTGCTGGTAATTTATAGTCAATGATTCTCAAGATGTTTCGATGACAAACTGGAATCTTTTCAATCAGGAACAATGTTTGGATTCTTGTCTCTTCCTACATATAGATAAAATAAATTTTATAATAGCTGATAGATACAGACATATGTGTATAAATATATGTGTATATTTCTAGAAGTGGAGAAATAGAGCCAGATGAGCACATTTTCCTGACTGCTGACTGCCTCACTCACTGACTCACACCACTCCAAAGGAAGTCAGAATATCACATTTCCATTCTTCCCACACCCACAAAAGCCATTCAATTTATCCTAGGTCCGCAATAAATATTTGAAACTGACTGATCTTGGCAAACCTGTATGCAGAATATTCACAGCTTTAGACCAGAGATAGAAGTTTCACTGTCTTAGCCAAAGAACCACAGGCCAAACCCTATTTTTGAAGGTTTCTTCAGAGGGAACTTAAGCACGAAGGATGCCAGCACAACACTGATGGAGGATCCCAAATGAGAGACTCAAGGCTGGCACTAGGATACCACAATTAGCAAATTTCACTATCTGCAGATACAAATTTGATTTTAAAATTCAGAAAGGGCCCAAGTTTCTGAAGTAGCTTCATTTTATTTTTTCTAGAGCCTCAAAGAATTTTTAATTCTTTGCTGAAAGGTTTTAAGGGAGATGATTATTCTCAATTTAGTTAGTTCATGTTACAAGTGATACGTGATAGGATTTTCATGCCACACTGCCTCATCTATTCCCAAAAATACTGACAAACATGGATTTGATTAACCATTTTCTCCAAAATTAATGTTAATTATGATGTGAATCAGAAGGCAATGTCTCAGTACATAAATCCTGGTTCTTCCTTTCACATCCCCAGACATGAGCAAATTTGTCTGCTAGGGCACTGAAGAGATGTCTGTAATTCTATGGTGCTATAATTAAGACTTGTGCAAATGCTGCTGCCAAAAAATCACCAGAGTGGGTGGTGAATACAGCCAAGTAAACTCTAATTATGGAAGGCGGGTTTTCTAAGATCTTATATACAAGAAGCAAAGGCAAAGGCAAGATCAGACAACTAAGGTAGGTTACCAACGTGATATAAATAGCCTTGTCAAATTCAACACAAGCCCCCTTTTGGTGATAGCTGTTACCTCCCACAGTTCATAGGCACTTTAAAAGCATTATAGGGGATCCTATGCTTGGAATCCAGTACTTAAGATTTCCCCTGAAAATAGAATTATGAAATGTACACGTCATTTTCACTCTAGGACCAAAAACAAAAAAAAAAAGGCAACAGAATTCTAATGTCCCAGCTAATTTTCTATTTTAGCATCTCCATTAGCAATATGTTTGAAAGTTGTTTTAGAGTTCAATAAAATGCACATTCACATTCTGTAAGACAGCATACAAATTGCAAGTGTATAGCACAGCAAGTTTACTTAAACTGGAACATGAGCATGTATGTGCATAGAACCAGTGCCCAATCAAGAAAAAGGATTTTCAATACTCCAGAAGTGCCTTCACCCACTCTGAAAAGGGGAAATTTACTTTATATAATAACGTTATAAAGTTATTTCAATAATAACATTATATAGCATATTCATACCATCCAGATCTGTAATTACTGCATTAAATTAGAAGTGATTATGTTTTCCACTGTTTGCCTATACAACCAATTATGCCCATCTTGAACTCCTCAGAGTCTCAGCTCAAATACCACCTTCTCTATGAAACCTTCCTTGACATTCACAGATAAGTAAGTTCTCATCTATATTCACAGAGTAGTTTATAAATAGTTTACACCTTACACTTTTCACACTGAATTACAGTAACATATACATGTGTTATTCCAGAATGTGAATACCTTATGGACAGAAAGGCATTAGATCTCATCTTTTGATTTGCCTTCTATGGTTTAAACTATGTTATTAACTGTATGTTTCAAATTGCCTGCTAATGAATGGCAATTTTTTCACACTGCTTCTTCTGCCATACATTTTTTTAAAACAATATTTTATTACACTGTATTCTATAACATTAAATGAAGCAAAATATATTTCCCAGATGCTTTAAAGTATTCTCATTGTAATGCCCTATGTAAAAAATATAAAGAATAACTCATTCAAGCAGATTAAATAAAATATGCTAACTTAAACCTTTTCAAACTTTAAATGCATATTTAAATTTTATTTAATATATTAAGCATATGTTAGTTGACAATACGCTTCATGATCAGAAGCTATTTTCTTAAAAGCGATAATATTAAGATACTTTTCTCAATAAACAAGTTCACAAAATACACTTTTTTTGGCCTCATGCTTTCATTTCTTCTTGCCACTTTTCTCCCCCATAATTCTCAACTATGAAGCTCAACAAGCTTACTTCAACTAAGTTGAGATTAAACTTTACTTATGCACTCAGTTCAAAAATCACAAAGGAAACAATATGAACATTTCATAAAAAGTTGGAAAATGCCAGAGCTCTCCTACCTGTGTACCTAAGCTGGCTGCCATCATGTGAGTCAGAAGCTTTGCTGCAAACATGGCATACCTGGCACAGAAAATATGGGAGAGAACAGCCAGGCAAAAACCTGTAGAAACAAAAAACCCAAGTGTAGTGTTACAATCCATAAACAGACAAACAGCAGCATAGTGACAATCATCAGGACAACAAGCACAGGAAGACCTGCAGGCTCCTCTGTGGCCTGGCACAGATTAGGTTGCAATTTTAATCTACTGTATTTTGCATGACATATAAAACCTTTACACTTGATTGACATATAAAACACTTTGCATGACATATAAAACCTTTACACTAAAGGGTAACTTTAATTTTCAAATACCCACATGTTCACTTCCCTACTAAAAGAAATAACAAATTAGGCAAACCAATAATTTCATTATGTATCTAGTGTTCTATGTATTAGACATGCTTTACTGTTTATGAAAAGAATCAATTTCCAATCTAATGTTTTAGGAACAGGTGGCTTGGTTAAATAGAGTTATCTGAGGAGGTGAATAGGATTTTTCAGGCATAAAACTGAATGGTATTACCAAAACTCAGGTTCAGTAATTATCCCCTTTTATCTAATAGGAACAGTTACATAATTACAACAGTGGCAATTATGAATTTTAAAAGCAACCTATGCTACTGGATGCCAAACCAGAAATAAAATGTGTTCTTTCCTCTTGAGATGACTTTTAGCCTAAATATCTACATTTCTAAATGTGTTGAGGAAAATTTATCTTATTTTCTTAAACTACCAAATCTTGTATCTCTCAATTGGCAAAAAATTTCTTTAATGGGATGTTTTAAATGCAGAGAATGTACACACTTTCAGAATATTGTTTGCTTTTTAAAATTTAAATGTGCTGCACAAAGAACCATTTGCTTCTTCATTTAAGCTTTTTACTCTACTCTTGTCTTCAGTAGGGTTAGTTCATCTAAGAATTATTAAAGCATAACAACTGGCAAGGGTATGCTGCTCTGCGCTGAACTTTGCAGGCAATATAGTATTTAAGAATATCAATGCCTCCTTAACAAGGAGACACAGCATTTATTAACCTTTTGTTTTCTCATCTTCTCTAAAGCTATGGAACAAACTTAAAGTACACCCCATCTGGGGGTAAGTGGACTGGGTATCTGCAAAATTTCCACATGGGGTTTATGACTGATTTTCTGAGCAAAAGTGCTTTTCATAACTCCTTTTGGGAAAAACTTTCAGTGTGCTTAGATTTTAATAAGGTAGACAAAATTCCAAACAAAGTCAGATTTTGTATTATGGAGGCTTTCGGCTTAGAAATTTAGTCAAGAAATCCAGACTAATCCACTCATAGGAAGAATGCCCTGGGGTGTTCTGGGACAGGTGTGTAAGTTTTCTCCGGCTGCCTCCAAAAAAATCCACCCACGCAGGTTCAATGGATCCAGAAACTGCAGAGCTGTGCCTAATTTTGCACCCTTACATAGTCAATAAACTACTGAAGCTGAGCCTCTTAACTCACTACTGTGCACCTTGAATTTCCTATGATAATCAAAGTTAGGTTAAACGCAATATTCAAGTCGAGTGTGTGTGTGTGTGTGTGTGTGTGTGTGAGAGAGAGAGAGAGAAAGAGAGAGAGAGAATACATGTCTGTGGATCTGTGTGTATATATCATATACTGACTTAAAAGCAGGGCCTTGCAAGGTTCTTTTCATTATGGGCCACAAGATCACAAATGCCTGCTTTACTGTAAGTTTACTGCAGCAGATAAAAATGTGAGGTAAGGGGATTAGTGCTGGACAAAGGAAAATAACACGAGTCCACTGTTTTTTCTAATTCGAAAGAAAAGCTTATTCATAGCCTTTTCCCTCAAGTAGGTAATTCTCCATTATACTATCATTTCATATCATAAATTTAGTATAGTTCAACTTGATCAGCTCAAGGATATTTAAGTATATTAAGCTTCAATTAAAATGCAAGCATGACACCTGGTGGCAGCATTCAAAGCATTTGCCAGGGAAATGGGTTAGATTCTATTAGTCTGTAACTATAATATATGATGTTTATCTAGATTCATTTCTTATTTAGGTGAGAAGAATGGTGCTGAGAAAGCTCAAGCAGGCTGTGCCCTCAAATGGCCTTGGGGAAGATACTGAATACTGTGGATTTAAGGAAACAAACACTTCAGTTACCAAGTTTCTAAAACAATGTATGCTAAGTATTTATCTTTCATTTTCTTACCAGAAATTGAAAAATTGGGTCTCCCTGGTGGCACAAGGGGTTAAGTCGCACCACCATGAAGCAATCCACAGCCACTGAAGCACTGAGTTGGAACCCCAAACAGGGAGGTATCCATATGGCGCAGCAGACCTCTCCTGACTCACCCGCTGCTCCCCTCAGCAGTGTATTTCAGTTAGTCTGCCTGTTCTGTTCCCAACTCTGTCTCTGGTGAATCCTCTTACCCTGCCCCCCCCCGCCCCCCGCACCTCTAGCCTGTACCCTTTTTATGCATAAATAAATCTTTAAAAAAAAAGAAATTGAAAAGCTGTATTTAACATACATAATTTAAACTTACAAGTCAGATTTTTAACTGAAACAATTTTTTTATTTAAATGATCTTATAAAAATATGCAAACTACTGGGTATGAAATGTTTCAAATGTAGATTTTTTTTAGAAGTCTAACAGTTTTAAGTATTAACAAAAGGCATTAACAGATTTTTTTAAAAAAATGATTCCTCAGCACCTATGTAGGGGGAAAAAAGGCAGTTCATTGAGAAATTTTCCTTTACTTTTTTTCTATCACTGTCAGTTGGAAAAGAGCAATTAATTAGTTTGCTGACACATATGACTTTCTGTATGATTTGAAAGTAAAAAGGCAGAAAATTGTCCTTAATAAAATGGTAACAATGGTTGTCTTTGATTTAGGTTTAAAAAAAAAAAACCCTGAAGGACAGTTTGTTCTTTGCTATTATCAAACTAGACCAAAGGTCATCTTATCTACCTATGTAATATTTGAATGTTCATGTATAAGCATGTACTGATTGTATTTGAATATGCATATCCAGTAAGCCCTCTATTGTTTTGCATTTTTTAAGAATGACACATACTTTTATAAATTACAGTACTTTACCCTCCACAAGCCAAATATTAATACTTCTTCCCATAAAATTTCTTTAAAATATTTAAATTTTGTATCTCATAATCAGTGTCTGTCTTTTCTACAGATAAATCCAAGCAAAACCAAATTATCACTATTTTACTATTAAGTCAGTTATTAGCTTTTTAGCTTAGTTTTTCTCTACCTCCTTACTAGATGTAACTGTCATTTCTCTACTTTTCCCTGCTCACTACAATTGATTACCATATACTTGTAACTCCTTCCTCAGCACAATATATTTTTGTTACTACTAATAGGCTGAGGACAGGAAAACAAAATTGTACAGTCCAGGTTTTCTAGGTTGAACAAAAGTCAATACACAGCACCTCCAAGTACACAAGTGCTGTGCATTAGGGAAAAGAATTTACTCCCAAGGATGGAGGTTTCTAGGAGACCATGCTCTAGGCAGTCAGAGTTACTGGACACAAAGCCACTAGCTATATGTGGCTATATAATTTTATAATTAATTACATTTAAACAGAATCAAACATTTCTTTCCTCAGTTGTACCAGCTGTATGTTAAGGGCTGAATAATTAGAAGTGTCTGGTGGCCATCATATGAGAATGTGCAGTACATTTCCATCGCTGCAGAAAATGGCTGAGGCAGAGAGGGATGCTGTGTTAAACCCACCTGTGTGAACACAGGAAAGAGTATGTTTTGCTTCAGGAGAATTATTAAAAAAATGACTAAAATGAAAGGGACTTAAAAATATGAACCTGACTTACAAAGCCACAAGCACATCTCTCTCTGTGGCCTGTTCAGATCAACAGTATATTCATTTAACAAACAGTTATTTTAAAACTAATATATCAGGGGCTATGACAGGTAATGGAGACACAATGTTCAAAAAGCTGCTCCCTCCTCTCCTGTTGCCTGAATCTATGTTTTTTATCTGTATCTTCTCCCAGATAGAGACTGCTTTATGAAAGTCATATAACACTATTCTGGTCAAAGAGATATGCCGGAAAACACTCGGGGTAATTTTCAGGAAAAGTTTTCTTTGCTCTCCAAACAAGATCCAAATAAGTGCCTTTCTCTTGGCAAGCCTAGACATTGTTGTGCTCTGCTAAGAGCTACTGAAGCCAGTGCAAGACCATGTAGGGGCAAGGCCATGAAAATAAAATCTTTGAGGAGAGCAAAACAGAAAAGTGAGAAGTCTGGGCCCCTGATGACACCACTGAGGTGCTGAATTTATCAACCTCAGCACTAAGCCTGCTTACTTAAGGTATCTGTACTGCTTTCTATTATTTGCAGTCAAGCACATCCTAAATAATACACCTACATGTACATACAGAGAAATCCACCATCTTCATGCCATGTCACCATTAAAACTACGCCCTATGACTTCTTTATCTCATGAAGTTCTCCCTTCAAACTGCATTTTCAAAGATCTTTAAGCATTTTTGCTATTCTTCTAATAAATAATCCCCTATCTGATAAAATGATACTTTTTTGACACAACCACTCTCATGAACATAATGGCTATCTTAGGGCAATGATTACAGGGAAGACAAGCTTGTTATTTTTGGAAAAATTTGACGCAAAATTTTAGATGATATATCTTATTTTCAAAAATAATTTAAAGTGAACGGGGGGGCATCTGATAAGGTTATTTTATTCTTGAAAAACTATTAGAATCTCAGCTTGTTAAATATAAAAGGCATGACTAGAAAATTCCTGTAGTTTTATATTCCTTGAATAAAAGAATAAGCATGCTTCAAAGGACTTTGGAATGTGCTGACTTATCCTGTAAGTCTTATTATTTAGCAGTGTATAGAGAACTGTTTCCTAGTAATGCAAAATTGACATTGTTTGGCATTTATATACTCAGTGATTTGTAAGATAAATAAATCCATTGGCCATTTTAGAAGAAAGCTTTAGTTTGACTAAGGTGTTGAAGGATTTCTTAACCACAAGAAAACAAAACGAACAAGTGAAACAAATGTGAGGTCTGTGATCTATTGCTAATCTCAGCTCTAAACGTAGGAGACTCGCCAAAAATCCATATTACATGATCTAGGTCACACATTGGTATGAAAACTAAAATGGACTGAGGACATTCTACAGGGTCCTATTAAGAACACAACAGAGTTATAGTAAGCAGAGTAGGTTTCTTTGACATTTTCCTCCAAATAATAATTTGTACTCCAATAATGCCTAGATACCTTAATAATTATATTATGAAACTGTGGCATCATCTCCTAACCTTATTTTAAGCTGTATTTCTCCCAAGTAACCTTGAGGTGATTTCTCTAAGTTACATTAATGTTTTACTGGTCTTCTCTTTTTAACTTCAAGGGGTAACCTTAGCTTAATTTCTTGTAAACCTGTTTAAAAACCTGTTTGCAAACAGGTTTACAATGTTTAGTCATAGGTATATACACTCATCTTTCATCTTTCTAAGCTAAAGATCACTAAACGTTTTGTTCTCTATACCCATTTCACACGATGATCATTAAGCAGTTCTCCGCTAGTACAGTAACCATAGTCGTTGCTACTCCTTTGTCATCAATACTTATAAAGTGTTGGGATGATTTTAAAAAAATATTTAGATTTTATTTCAATGTTGTACCCTTTATGCCTTTATATTTATTTCATCATTCTCTGGAACTTCTGAAAGTGTATAAGTATTAAAGTAAAATAGGTTATCTTCAATAGATTTTGGAATTTTGTGAAATTGGAAAAATCTACTAAGCAAGAAATGTCATCCTTCATAAAAGATATTAGAAATAAGAAATTATTAACTTTTGTTATTGAATCTTAGATTCATAATGAAAGTTCAGTAAAGAAAATGTACATGAAAATGTATATTTTTTCTATAAAATGAAGTTGTGGTGGGTTTTAATGAGGATAAAGACCAATAATTAATTACTTGCTTTTATTTCTATAAAAACTTCTTAATAAACATTATTAGGGAACTGCAGACCAAATACAAAAAGCATGAATCAATAATACATTCACAGACAAAACATTAAAGCAAAATATTACGAATATCTGAGTTAGTGTATCTACCACCATAGATCAATATAATGTACAATCATATTATGGCTAGGAAAACTGAGGTTAGAAGAACTAAGTGGCCTGCTCCAGGTCTCACAACTACCCAATGGCAGAACCAGGATTTGAACCAAGCCCATCTGGCTTCAGAGTTACCTTCTGCAACCTCAGTATAGCATTTTGTTCACAAAAGCGGTTAAGAGGTTATCATAGATAGCTCAGGACAAGAGTAGGTGGGAGCAGAGCATAGATAGGTATTTTAAGGAATTCTCAGACCCCAATTATATGATCAATAGAGGATATTCAGAGTTACAATTTTTTAAGATAGAACTCAAACATATTTAGAACTCTTAGGGTGTCGAATACACACCAGGTAGCAGGATTTAATAAAAATGTAATTTTCTTTCACAAAAATAAAAAATGTTTTGGACATATAATTTCACACAATCCTGATATTCTATTACAAAAGTTGACCTATAAATCACAATGCAATGAAATACATTCTTTCTTACAACTTAGCTGCTACCCCACAATCTATTTTACTTCTTATGATATGGAACTATGTCTTGTTCTTTACTGGATATATCCTCAGTAAAAGTTGGCCCTCCATAAATATCCATAGGATGAATTAGTAAATAAGACAATGGGAAAGTTTATTTTCTCCTTAAGTTGTTGTTTTACAGTTACATCTGCATCTTGCATATATAAAAGGACGTGAGAAAACATATTTGTTCTCATCAAAATTAGACTATAAAATTAGACTTTAAAATTAGACTCAAAAAAACTGCAACTGACCTGAGATACATATGAATCCAGAAGAGAAAAAGGCTTCATTATATGAAGACAAGTTATCAGTCTGGGCATAGACAGCATACACAGACATGTATGAACAGGCACATTCCACGTAATCTGAAGTGTCCTCAACCACTTTGCAAAATGGACTGTCAGATAACCAACTAGGACAAAAACATAATCATCACTAATCTTCTTTCATCAATACTTAAGCTGTTGGGATGGCTTTAAAAAATAATAAGCTATTGAACTTAAGCATTGTTTACTCAAGATTTGAGCAGATCACATTCTCATGAAGAAACACTGCAGGGAACATTTTGTCCAGGACATGACATAACAGATCCCACAAAACACCTCAAGAAATAGCCTAAATACCAACCAAATCTGCAAAGGCACTTCCAGTCCTGTAGAGGCTGGTCCTCAATAGAGGAGCGCCAGTCCCTATATAAGCCGAAGCAACCATGTCAAGGTTTCCAACAGAAATCACTCTTCTAGTCAAAAATCCCAAAAGATCAATGTAGCCTTGATATTTTAGAGTTCCCTTTCTTCAATGTTTACAATTCCTTATATTTTCAAACATGAATTATTCTATATTTACACTATTAGTCTATATTTAGAATTATTTTATATTTATTCTTATATGTAGAATTATTATATATATAGAAATTAAATATTTTAGAGTTAGCAAAAATTATACTAGATTTTTCTATGATTCCCTCCTTGGTTTTTTGTGAATATTGGATCCAGTTATATATACAGAGCTGTATACCAGGGTTCTTCAATGGTTTCTTTAGCAACCACTGGTAAATGGTTAGCACAAAAACAGCAAAGGTAGCATCTTATGGCCAGCCTCCTACAGATCCCCCAGGAATCCTGGTTGAACTTTCTCCGTTTGAGTACTTCTTGATTCCTCTACTTTGCTAGGGACATAGAACTGAATTCCAACTGCTGATTCAAGTTGAAACATTCATTATTTCATACATTGAGGATTTCAGAGTATCTACCTATTGGATTAGGATCTGAAACCAAGTATTAGAAACTTCAATTGAAATTTTTTTTTTCCACAAAGAAGAAAGAATAATCAGAACCTTGGTGTTTGGAGTACAGTTTTCCAACTAAGCTATTGATCCTACTTAAATTTTAGTTTGTGCTGCTGAAAGTCAGCACTGAATACAATCACTGACTGACTTGGACCCTCTCAGTCAACACTACCTGACACTATAGTATTGGTCGAGCTCTGAGAGAACTACTCAGAGACTTCAGATCATAGGTCAAAGAGAATCAAAAAAGAATCACTGTTGTCTTCCCATTCCTGTGCATGGCTTTAATCCCAAAATGTACTCCAAACTATATGTGAACTAGAACTACAAATCCCTGCTAATCACTCTAAATACATAGCATCAGCTTTAGAACCATAAGCACAGATGAAAGATGTAAAATCAGTTCCTTTCCTGCCAGTAAATTAACCAATAATAGTAATGTTATCAGAATAAAGCAGAGTTCAGGCTAGGAATCCTGAAAGAATAATAATAAAGTAGTAACTAATGTGTTAAGCACACAGGTAAATAGTTGTGCTACATCTGTCACCTGAACAATGATAAGCCATTCCCTATGCTGCTTTGTCTTACTTATCGTAAAGGTTATTGTCCAATCTCAAGTCTCATCTGAGGCCATCAACTATGCTCATTACAGAAAACTGGACTCAATGGTGCTGGAATGAGAAAGGACTAAATCCTCCTTTGAAAGAATTATTAATAAGTACCTTGCAGCAGCTTGATTCCAAAGGAGACACAGAGATGTCTGGGGAACAATTCTAGGCTCAGCAGCATAAATCCTATAGAGAACCTCATTGTTGTCCATCAGGGGTTGTGAACTCTGACCCTTCACACTCAAAGATAACACCTGTAATGCCATAAAGAACCAAAAGTTTAATGAAGTATTTTCAAATGAATGTCACAATTGAATTTCCCATTCTGAACTTTGCTTTATTTTTCTAGACACTTTAGTTACTTGCTTAACATCACGAGTAATAGCTTACACAGCAATACAGGGCACCTCATTCATTTTCCTCCAAATGGTCTACCTCCATGTCAATTACTGAGCAATCTTTAGCTGAAAACACTGTGACTTCAATTGTCTGATCACCATAATGGTATAAACTCAATTTAATGTTACTGCAAGTTGTATTTTCTTACTTTACACATATATATATATATATATATATATGTGCAATAAAACAAAAAAAAATCAACTCTTTTTGAGACTACCCATTTGACAAATAGTTAATATGGATGGAAACTTTTTTATAATTAGCTTAACTGTGTATTTGCAACACTACAAATCTGATCAAGTGAATGCTTTTCTGAGCGTGACTGCAAAGCAAAAATAAGATTCCAACCACATAATTCTTTATTTTTTAAATAAATTTTTATATTTCCCATACAATTGCAACCCCCTTATTTTGACCCCAATCCCTCCCCTCCCCACCTCCCCCAACCCCCATAGAGTGTCTCTGGTTCATAGTTGTTTGACTTTGATTTTCACTTTCTTATATTCATTTTCCTGGTCCCTTATTTAAGTTTTCTAGATTCCTGCTATGAGTGAGACCATCTGGTATTTTTCTTTTTCTTTCTGGCTTATTTCGCTGAACATGATCCCTTCCAGCGCCATCCATGTTGCTGCAAATTGCATGTGTTTATCTTTTTTGAATGCTGAGTAATATTCCATGGTGTATATGTAGCACATCTTCTTGATCCAGTCATCTATTTTTGGGCATTTGGGTTGTTTCCAAAGCTTAGCTATTGTAAACAGTGCTGCTATAAACATAGTGGTGCAGGTGCTCTTTGGAATTGATGTTTCCTACATAATTCTTTAAATGATAGCTTACCTTATTTTTCAGAGCAAGAAGATTATTTCCAGTTATAAACCACTGCTGGCTGCTATATTCTGTAAACTGGACTAATTCACATGTACTTTTCTCAGCCATTACTTCTGCATCTGGAACATCCAATAACCTCTCAGGAATTTGAATGTAATCACCTTCCTTTCCTTCAAACTTGTGCCCATTGATTTGTTGAGGAAGCCAGTGAAGAGCCAGTATAGACAAATATGGGCAAGTGTCAAGGATGGTTTTGCTTCTATGACAAAAAAGCAAAAGCTCTGCTAAAATGGCATGTTTCCATAAGCACATCCACTAAAATGCTATTAAACTGATATTAAACTGAGACTCTTCTTTATGTATAGCCATGATACTCCCAGCCCAGAAGCAGTAGAAAGAAATGTGCTTCTAATTTCTTTATACAAAATTGTCATTTTTTTGCACAAAACTTTCTGCATTTCCTTGCCAGATCTTTTATGTAGCCTAAAACCTGTGTTTTTTGATAGTGACTTCAGGGATATTAGATACAATCCATGCCAATAAAATGTACTTTTCTATGTTGGGCATATCATTCATTATGTTTGGAACAGGTTGAGGAAAGGATGAACCACTAAGCTGAAATCCTCTAATATTAGAAACCTTGTATATCTACAATCATGCTTCCATCAAGAATTTGTCTCACTTTCTAGCCCATCAGAGCATCGTGAACCATGTGACTGGTATGAGAAACAGTCCTGAACAGTAATCTTTATTTAATTATTATGTTTTGAACACCTCAAAGCTTAAGATTCTGTGCTCAGTGAAACTTCTTCCAAACCTCAGTGTATGTTGAAATCACTAGGAAGCTTGTTTAAAAATACAGATTTCTAGATCACACCATGGATTTGCTAAATAAGAATCCTTGGCTAGAGCATGCTTGAGAATCTGTCTGTCTTCTATATTCTTAACCAGCTCACCCAACAATCTGATATATCTCACACATAAATCTACAATGTTTGCAAACAATGAGAACACCCAAAGATGAATTCAATCTCAAGCCTGCCTAAAAAAGTTTAAAGGATATTAGAAGTTTAAGATAAAAATTATGTATTGGCAGGGTAGAGAGTTCACATCTAAGACAATGTTGATACTCAGTTAATTTTTTAGAAATGTGGAAAAAACATGCAAGAAATTATGAGAATACAAATGTATGAACTGTTTGATCTCACTGAACAACACAGAAGACAGTTCAAGAGGGGAAGAGGATGTCTCACACACACACACACACACACACACACACACTCACACACACAAAAGCCTCAATGCAACTGACTTAAAATAAAGAAATGATTAATTTCTGAAATAGCTCATGATATTAGCAAGATTTACAAATGTTAAATTGCTAATCATTGTTCTCAAACAGACCTTTAAGAACCCTGGTGAGGACTGGAGAGACAAGTCCCTCTAAAAGCAGGCAAAGAGTTTCAGATGGTTTCCTGAAGCTCTTCATTAAGAATCCTCAATCTCCATGACTCACTTTACAGGACTAAAGGAAGAGTACGTAAGGTGTATATCAAATGTAAGGTGATGCTGGTCCTGTACCTTACCCTTGAATCATATCCTGGCAATGAGCTGTGATGAAAATCTGGAGCCACTGGCCTAGAAGTGGAAGTTTTCTTTCAAAGCATGTGGTTACAATCTCTTCTGACCATAAAGCATGGTGGTGTTAATGGTGGTGACCATTGGGAGCTAGAAGTCAAGTAACCCTGGAATTGAGCCTCCAGGCCTCACCATAGACTAATTTGTGATCACTGATGAGCCGTGTAAGGTACCTAGCTTTGGTAAGAATAAAAATAGTTCTACTCTACCTTTTAATTACTTAAAATGATCTTTTGTAAGGATAAATAATATAACATTTACTAAGGATTATGTTGAACTATATGAAATTTTCAAAATATTATACTCTATCAAAAAAGGGTAATTTCATATTCAGTCTAATACAATGTCAGGACTACAGCAGAGATACAGTTAATATCCCATCATCATCATCATTATGAGATTATTTTTTGATCTCTCTGGTAATCCCTTTATATCTTATGCCTGGATTGTAACCCTTAATATCACTTTGAACTTCACATATTGTATGATCTAAGAAGTAAATTCAGAGTTCATAAAGAAATTATTTAAATGATCATGCCAGATTTTCTAAAGAGTTCATGAAGAGATGATTTAAGTTTATTATACCCAATTTTCTAAATGTAGTCTTCAAGATACCTCTGAATTTCAATTTGACTTGAACACTGATGACAGTATTCATAATAAACTTTACAGATATTTATATAAACAGCTTTAACCAGACATGTCCTGTTAAGTAATAATCATTTTTTAAATAACATGTTAGTTACTCCTAGAATTGGGGAGAAATCTCAATTTCCATTCATGTTTTATTATCAGCAATTTTTATGTTAAATCAAATAGAAATAAAGCATTTTTATATTTTTGTGCCATAATGATCCAATTAGCCCTAATGAATGTAATTTAAAATGCCATGACTTCCAAAAAATATTAAATACAGTTATAAAATTATAGTTAATAATGAACATGAGAACTACATTTTCTTTTATTCTTTTTCCTCTTGCACATTCTCTTCCATTTAACACCAGCCATGAAACAACCAGACTAAAGTTCAATAACATTCTGAGATCTATCTCCAGATGAATGAAAATAAACCTTAACTCCAGAGGGAAGCACACTTACCAGCATATCACAATGTGGCTAAAAGCTGGAATCTTTTATTATCTATTCAATCCTTTATTATCTATTCATTATATAAATAAGAATAAGCAGTCAGACTTATTTTTAAAAGACACATCAAAACAAGAGGAATACATTACTGACAGCATAAATACATATTTTTTTGATGCAGTTACTATATTTTCTTTATTAGCTTCGTTTCCCCATTAGGTACAATGCATTGACTGTATAATCCTTAATGACATCATCATCTATCCATCAACTTGCACAGCATGCTACTTTGTAAACTGTGAAGGAAAACATATAAAATGGGATTAACATACATGGTTCTTCTGCTATCATATAAAAAAATACTTACTTTTCACCAGGAGAGCCACAAGTAACATCGGTCAGTAAAGAAAAAGCAAAATTCTCAGTCACTTCAGTAAACTGAGTGAATCCCCTAGTGTCCTTGCGCTTTGGGTTAATAAGAGCACAAAGAATCTCATAAAAAAGATTTCGGTTTTCAATACTGAATGCTTGATGTTTTCCTTCAACAGTTATCTGGGGAAAAATACCAAGTATGAAAATATATATTCAAAAATGAACTGCTTAAATAATATGTATGGTACAAGTACTTTATTAAGAGTTATTAACATTAACAAAATAAGTATGAACCTATGAAAAATTTAAGAGAAATTGTTATCAATACTTTAGCTCAAATGTACCCATTTGCACTTTAAAAAGCATAATCATTGATAAGATGGCATAATCACAATATTTTCTATGTAATAAAGCTGAGTAATTTTAACTATAATTAACATCATGAATTAAAATTACTATCATTTTTCATGTACCCAAAAATTGTTATCATATGACCAACTAAGGAAATAGAAGAATTATGTGAATAAGCAAGACTATTCTTGATTATCTCTTTTTCAATGAACAGAAACCCACACATATCACTAAATTTCTAATACATGAAGTATGGAAGTCATCTTCCAACAGAAATCAGTCAGGAGCTCCTGGCTCTCTTAATTTTATCAGGATGAGCCATCACCTTAGAGGACTGTGTTATTGTTGGAGGGGGAAGGAAAGAAGAAAAAAAACCTTTATGATTTATTTTGTTTCTTTTTCAGAATGACGGGACATATCTTTATGGTCTGACTCAGCAGACTTTTATTCCACAACACATTCAGAGCCCTATTAAATCTTTAAAATCCAACAAAGTCATCACTTTCTGTGATTTCAACACTGTGCCCCACCTGCCAACACTCATGAACACTCTTTGAAACTCACACATAGCTTTATTAACAAAAATGGGACAATGTAAAATGATTTATTCTACTAGTTGACTCACTGGGAAAGTGGTTCATGTCACCCCTATCTTTTATAGCTTTGTAATCTCTACAGTGCCAAGCTGATAGCTGAACTCAATATCTAAGTTTAGGGCATCCCCGGTGGCGCAGCGGTTGAGCGCTGGGTTGCAAAGCTGCCCACAGCCTCTGCAGCACTGGTTCGATCCCCGCCTGCTCCCTGGCCACTGGAGGAGGGTCCCACATGGCACGCAGACCTCTCCTGCTGCCCGCTCCTCCCCTCAGCAGTGTACTTAGGTTCTTCTGCCTGCTCTGCTCCCCACTCTGGCTCTGGTGAATTCTCTCACCCTCCCGCGCTTCTGACTGTACCCAACGCTTGTATAAATAAATAAATAAATCTTTAAAAAAAAAAAAAGAAAGAAAAATATCTAAGTTTAGAAGAGTAGCTATCTCAAAGACAGCAAAGAAGAGTGGGGAATAACCCACAGGATTATTAAAAATACACAGATAAGTAAAAATTAACAAAGTGAAAATTACAATAGACAAGAACAGTCCACTAGATACTGAAACAATAAAACTGTATACATTAAGTAGGAAATAAAACTCTAGAAATGCTCTCAGAACTCAAAGAAGGAAAAAAAGCAGGACAAATGCAAAAGATTTCATAGCAAATAAGAGATCAGACAGGAAAAGAAAATAATTTATTGACAACTAAAGAAATATGACTGCCTAAAAATGCAGTACTTGCTTTATAATACTGAAAATTAAGAATATCAGATGTATATGGGTGATTTCAAATATTATTTTAAGCTTTTTTAAAATCTTACTAGAAACCAATGGAAAAATAATTAACAATCAAAAATTCAGGTTGACTTTTTTTTGCAAATGAAATGCAAGAAGCCAGTGAAACAATATGAGCTCTTTTAAGAATCAAAAATTATAATTCAGTTATTTAAAGTCATCCAAACTTTATTCCTATTCAAGGGAAGGAGAAAATTACTTTTAGCATAGCACTGAAAAAATAAAATAGGGCCTCCCTGGTGGCACAAGGTGTTAAGTCAGCACTATTAAGCTATCCTCAGCCACTGCAGCAAGAGTTTGATCCCCAGTCAGGGAGCTACCCACATGGTGCAGCAGACCTCTCCTGTCTCACCGACTGATCCTTCAGCAGTATATTTCAGTATATCCTCCTGTTCTGCTCCCCACTCTGTCTCTGTTGAATCTTCTCACTGCCCCCACCTCTGGCCTATACCCCAGCTCTTGTATACATAAATAAATCTTTAAAAAATAATAAAATAAAAAGTACATTTATACAACTCGAGCTTTCTATGGGTACTATTCTCGGAGAGTTATATTATATCCTCTAATCTTACAACTATCCTGCCAGGGAGGTGCTGGTATTTTTTTTCTTTCCAGATAAAGAAATTGAAGCAATAAAAGCATTCCCAACTTGTCCTAGGGCACAGAGATGGTTAACGGACAAGCCCAGCAGACTCTCCTGACAGCCACCCTGCCCTGACTCACAACATTCCTCACTTGCTTGTCCTAAAATAACAACCCAGATTGACTCATTTGCAGACAGGTCACTCAAAGTCATTGCAAGCATGAAACACCCAGCCAGGGTAAAATATATAGGTAAGTCTAAATCACTGTTAATAGGGTTATAAATGTAGAATTGTTGGAATATATAAGATTTTAAATTACCCGATTTAAAAAAAAAAAAAATCTGGCTCGAAAAAGCCATTTCACACAAACAAAAAGAATAGGGATCCCCCATCCTCCAAATTATCAAAATGGACTTACAAAAACATAGAAAACCCAAATCAACCATGAGAGAAATTTAAAAACTGTCAGGAGAGAAAAAAAATTTTTGGTGGGGGGTATATGAAACTTTCACAGAACAAATTATTCCTGTGTTCTTTTCAGTGTATCAGAACACAAAATTAGAGGCAACATCTCCTAATTCATGTTTCATCAAGTCTCAATAACCTGTAAACTAAAATTCAAAGAAATAAAAAGTTGGGATATCATATATGGCAGTCTTATAAGACTGACAGTATTATTATGGCAATTGACAGTTTCAACAATAATTTCTATTACTATGCCTGGGAAGAATTTTATGTCATAGCAGAAATTTGCCCAAACCCAGAGCTGGATTTCATTTGGAAAATCTTTGGAGTGAGTTATTTAAAATTGTTGCTTTTTCAGCATATTTGTTTCTTTTTGAACATAAATAAGTAATCACTTCTAGCAAATGTAATAACAATATCTAAGATTTATTAAGCTCTTACTATAAAGAAATATATAGTACATGGCAGATTCTGTTTCAAGTAAGTTAGAATGATGTAGAAAATAAAGCTTACAAATATAAAACAATTTCATTTAAAATACAAGATCTTATCAAAATAAGTTCAATCCCATAATTGGAAGTTCTAGTCATTTTTGATGAATGCTGAGAATTCATAAGGTCAATGTGAATAGGTGCTAAAGCATAGGAAATCCTGTTTTATACAAGTGTGTACCAAATGGTACACATGCAAATGGTACGTATGCAAATAATTTTTTAATTTGTGAATATTTATACTAAAAATGTACTCATTTTTCTGAAATCCAACATTAACTAGGCATCCTGTACTCTGTTAAAACTTCAACCTTGCTATATGTGATTATCTACTTTCTAGCACCTGTTTCACTGTCTATTACTGTAAATGTCTAAAAACATGACATTTTTTGCATTTTATGGATGTACCAGAACCTTACTTAAGGCTGTTTTCCAACTTTTGTTATTATAAGCCATGCTAAAATAAACATTCTTTTTATATATGTATTTGCAAATTACGATTAGTGATCTTTTCCCCCCAGTTTTATTGAGATATAATTTACATATAATCATTAGTTGTATTTTCACTTTGTTTGTGGTACATGGAAAGAGACATTTGTTTAAGATTTTTATGGTTAAGTTTATCAATCATTTACTTCGCAGCTTCTGGGTTTTGCTTTATGCTTTAGAAAGACATTCCTATGTCAAACCTACATATTAAAGACAATTCATCCATGTTTCTGCTAATGCTTTCTCAGTTTGTTTTACCACTAAATCTCTAATTTAATTTGTCTGGGATTTATTTTGGACTAAGTTTTGCTCTCAAGATCCAGCTCTACTTTTCTTCCAGATAGTTCAATCAGTTGTCCACTATTCTTTACAGAGACATAATTTTGATCCATAGATCTGAAATATCATCTTTATCATAGATGAAATTTTAATATGTTCTCATTTATCTCTGCACCTTTTGTTCTGTTCCACAGATCTGAATTTCTATGCCTGAACCACCTGTTTCAATCACTCTGTCGTCTAAGTATATTTTCATATCTGGTAGGACAAAGTTCTTTTTCAGAACACTTTTGGCTATTCTTACATGTATATTCTTTCAGGTGAAATACAGCATCCAGAAAAGAAAAAAAAACAAAGTATCTTACTGACATTTTGGTAGAGATGATATTGCATTTACAAATCAGTTTATGTGAAGTTGTTGACTCTCTGACATTGAAGCTTCCCATTGCTGAGCAAAATATAGATCTCTATTCAAATTTATGTGATTCAGTAGAATTTTTCAGTTTTCTTTTCATATAATATATACTGAACTAGTGAGTCACTCAAATCACCAGTTTGTATTTTGACATTCATATATAGAGTATTTGAAATGACAATATACCATACCATTAAACAGTTTTAGTAAAAAAAATAACAGAATTTGAAAAGTAATCAGCTCAAAGAAGGCTGAGGTTGGAATACAATTGTTTTCTTTTCAGAATTCAAATGATGTTTTCTCCTTGATTTTTATAACATTTAAAGTATTTTATTCATTCAATAATTCCTAGGTTGCCTACTTCATATAAATTACCTTAATATATGAGAGAAATAACTGCTAATGGTTACTCTAAAAACATTTATTATCTTTCTCATAGAAAATTCTTTAATAATTCAGTTTCATTATTCATGATAGAGCCATTAAAAAAATCAAGATGTACTATTTGGCAACTCTAGTTAAGTAAGTGTTGACTCTTATCCAATAATATGTAGGACTCTTGTATAACTACTGAGAGGAAGCAGAAATTTTATTATATCTTTCTTAATTCATGTGAAATGAGGTTCTCTTTTCTTAAATGTGGTTACTATACATTCTTTCTCTTTTCTTGGCCAAAATCAACTTGTCATTGTCCTACGTGTCATCATTGGAAAATTTAAGTAACAATATTCCCAGCATGAATTTTTATTTCTAAAAATTTTCTTTGCATGAAATAGAAATCACTTCTCTTTGCTTTATAAGCTGCTTGGCAAAGTCTCTTCTTCTGACTTGTGTATATAATGTTCCTTTCTACCCTTCAGGCATTGTATTTTAAGTCACACAATAAAAAGTAAAATAGGCATGATAATCTAAAACCTCACTCTAAACATTTTCAGTATATAAAGGTCACTTTAATATAGTATTTATACTATATGGCTTTCAGAAAAGTCATGATGTATTTTTTTCATGTTTTTCAAGCAAAAATGCATCATGAATTTTCCAATGACCCAATATTTAAAAATGTAGTGTTTACAAATTCATGTGCATATACTCAAAATTTTTCATATATATGTAAGTATGTTGATAAGAAAATCCAAAATATATGCCTATGGGAGTCTTTTCCATAGTAATAATTCTTTTTACTTATACTTTGATGTTATTAAGCTCTTTTGTCTCCACCTCATGCCATCATTTGCAGAAAGGTACAAGAAACCTGATTGGTGTAAGCCCCCACCAATTTGAGTAGCTGAAATCAACCAGTCATTCTTAGGTCTCTTTTTTTTGATAAAGCTTCCAGTGCCTGGGAAGAACAGGGAACAGAAATAATACAATAGCTTCTGCTCCATGGCTTATAAACTGGAAGAACTCTGTAAATCATTTAGTTTAAGCGCTTTTCTAATAGACTTAAGAAACTAAGACACAATGTCCAAAGATATTTTTCCAGTTTCTGGAGAATCAGAAAGAGACTGTAGTTTCTGACCTCTGGCGCCTCTTTCCAGATATTGGGCTGTCTTCACTGCTGCAGTAGATTACTCACCATTCTCATATTTGAAGACTGAAGTTTCCAAACATATAAAAGTACATTCAAACCAAACTGTCACATCCAGGTCAAAGTACAATGTCAGGAATGATGAATTCCATTATTAGATTTATAAAGTTAACTCTAAGAAAATTTCATAACTGACATAACATTTTGTTTTTTCATTTTTCTAAAGTTATGAAATTATACTTAACCAACTGCTGAGATCTGCAACGGCTTCTTACCTTGTCTATTAGATGCATCACAACACTGAGCTGTTCATCTGTGTTCTCCATTGCCACTTTCATGCTGATGCTGTGGAGCACTCTGCTGAGAATATCACCATTCAGGGGCTGCTGTAGCTGATCTGCAAGCCCCCAAATGGCCTGCGAATCCACATCATTGACAAGAGTGATATTAGCAGTCCCATACATTGTATCAATTTTGGCACCACCTTTTGGGTCAAAAAGCACAATCTGGAAGCGTTTGGGAAATGGATTTAAAGACCCTTTCTCTGGCGTTAGAATGACATCCAACATGGTATTTCTCTGACCAGGTTCAAAGACCAGTGTTCCTTCAGTACTCACAAAATCCTTTCCAGAAATTGCTGGAGATATGAAAGTACGACCAATTGTTTCAGGACTCCTCAGCTCCTAGAAATTAAATACCACTTAAGTGAAAGTATAAGGTCATTTTAGAGAATTCTTTATTATCTTGTCTTAAATACTTATTGCTTAAGCAAAGTTTATTTCTCTTAAATAAATCAGTGGGCCATAAAAGATTACTACTGAAACATGTTCTGGTTTTTGTTTTTGTTTTTGTTTTTTCATTTTCTAATCTCCAAAGACAGAAAGATAAATATGCAACATAAAGTGATATGGTTATAAACAGCAGATGTCTTAGAATGGACCAAGAAAGAAAATCAGGAAAGAAATGTCACTGTTACCTCACAGGTTTTCTTCAATTGTGAACACTAAAAATTATGCTTTCAAATTTGCAGTCACAAAAAAAAATACAGAGGGAAAAAAGGAACATTTACATTTTTATTCTCACCTAGATATTTTGAAGAGATGGCGATTTGGGGAATCAAAAGAAGGCAGAGAGTGGGAGGAAGAAGCAGAAAAATTGATCTCTAGTTCACACTTAGCAGTGAAAATATCCTGAGGAAAAAAGTTCCTGGTTATATGTATCTCTGAATTTCTTCAAATTATGCTTATTAAAAGTTGTTCTGTAAAGTCAAGGATGAGAAATCAATCAAGGAAGAACCAAAATAATGTAGTTAATTCACTACTGAGCCAGTAAACATAAAACACCTGGTAATTAGCCATGAGGCACACTGGGAATGTAGGTGTGAACAACAGAATACTTGCCCTCATGGAATCTATTCTAGCAAAGAACAGAGATAGCACAAAGTCATCAAATTAACAACTTACTTTTTTACATGAAGATGAACTCTATGAAGAATAAAACTTGGTATGGGAGCTGCAAGGTGATAGCAAGGGTACAATTTTAGATAAAATAGTTTATGGAAGCTTTTGATAGGATATTTCAGCAGTGACCTCAGCAACATAAAGGAACAGACCATGTGAGGATCTGCAGGGATATATTCTAGGCAGAGGGAATTATAAAAGTGTTGGGATTCACCTTTGATGTTAGAGAAAGAACCAGAAGGCCTGGGTGGCTGAAAGTACATGACTGGACAGGAGAAAATCATGCAGGTCCATTATACAAAACATAGCAGGAAGACGCTGGAGGATTCAAGGAAGCTAGTGACACACTTTAGTGAGTATTTTCTTAAGTATTCTGGTTCTTGTGTATTTATAGACTATAGCAGGGGTAAGTTAGTAGGACCTTCTAGTAAATTTAATGTTAGGTGGAAAGGAAGAAGAGAATTAAAATAACTCCTAGCTCTTTGACTGACTGGTAGAAAACTGAGGAAAATACTGTTAAAGGAAAAATCAAGAATTCTTTGTTATACACATTAAACCTGAGCTATCTTTTAGACATTCAAATGAAGAGGTCAAGCAGGAGCAATCAAATATGTAAGTCTAGATCACAGGTGGTGAAGAAGTTGGTGATAAAAATTTAGAAGTTCTCATTTTATAGATGATATTTAAAGAAAACAGGCAAAAGGGAGGAATTGCCAGCTTAAGAACAGGAAAGAGCGAGCTATGCTCTAGAAGTCCAAAGGAAAAGAGCATACTTCAAAAAGAAAGTGATCAATGGTGTCAAAAAATGAAAAACAAATGAATGAAGACAAAGGCTTTTCCAGAGCATCTGCGGGGCTGTGGCAGAACAAAAAGCTCCACAGAAGAAAACCACACAGATTCATTTGGTTTGAGAATAGATAAATTAAAGTATTCATTAGGACACTATGGACAGTGAAAGTGAATGAATTGGAACTATGCACATCAACATGGCTATTTCTCAAAAAAAAAAAAAAAAAAAAAGGCTAATGAGCCAGAAAGAAAAAGAAAAATACCGGATGGTCTCAGGAATTTAGAAAACCTAAATGAGGGACCAGGAAAAAGACTAATTATAATAAAGTAAAAATCAAAATCAACAAGCAACTAAACCAGAGACATACTATGGGGTGGGGGGAATGGGAGGAGGGATTAGGGTCAAAATAAGGGGGGGTGGGAATTGTATGGGGAATAAAACCAAGATGAAAATGCATGCATTGCACAAAAATGAAAAATGATGTAAAAATATATAAAATTCAAAAAGTTGAAAAAAAAAGACTAATGAATAAAGGAAGCTTAACCTAAAGTAATATAATTGGAAAAAATCTCATTTATATTAGTTTTCAAAACAGGTAAAGCTAAACAGCACATGATGAGTAGTAAAAATATAAATAAAAGAGGGAAATTTAACATGAAATTCAACATAGAGGTTATCTGCAAGATGGGAAAAGTCAAGGAAAGAGCAGGATGGCATTAGGAAAAGGTTCATGGTGAGTAGTTCTAAAAACCTCAGTAAGTTGGTTAGCTTAAAATAAATGGTGGTGATTTTTATTACAGTAAGCTCCATAAATTCTGTCCACTGTTTCCTGGTAGGATTTATTTTTTACTTCAAAGATTGAAAGGAAACAGATAAAAATATTTTTGTGCTTATAAAACATGCATAACAAATAAACAAGAAGTACCATACAATTTAAAAGATACAATGAGGGCCTCCCTAGTGGCAGCAGGTTGAGCACCGTGCTGTGAAGCTGTCCACAGCCTCTGCAGTGCAGGTTCAATTCCCGGCTGGCCAGGGAGAAACCCACATGGCATGGCAGACCTCTCCTGTCCCACCCGCTGCTCCCCTCAGCAGTGTCTTTGGACCTTCTGCCTGTTCTGCTCCCTGCTCTGTCTCTGGTGAATTCTCTCACCCATGTCTCTGACCTGTACCCCAGTTCTTGTATAAAGAAAGATAAATCTTTAAAAAACCTATATAAAATAAAAATAAAAGATACAATGAAAGTCAATATAGAAACAGCCTTTGACTAGAATAGGGAACACGAGAATAAGAAGTAAAAGCATGTTCTTTCTTGAATGTGTGCTTTGGGCTAAAACATAATAACTCAAAGTACCTGAAACCAGTTTTCATGTTTGGTTTACTTCTAGATTGGTAACGGAGCAACAGTGATATTTTCTTTATTTCAAATCTTCATATTGCCTAAGTTTTTACCACAAATACTTAGCTATAAGGTAAATTATGCTAAGACTACAATGTTTACATACATGGGCATGCTGACCTACCAAAGGGTATGTATGTCATAGCTACAGTTTCCAACTACATTAAAATCTATTTAAAGTAAAATGAAAATAGGTATCATATAACAGTACAGCAACTTGACCCATAATTATTTAATCATACTTCCAGCTATTGGAAATAGAATTATATGCCTTTGTTTTCTGGTAGTATGTCTAGCATTTAGAGAGGAAGTGGTTTTCCATGCCTGGGAAGCTGGGGAGATCCCCACTGTTCTGAGGACCTGGGATCTCGGCCCCCAATCCTTTCTTTTCTCCCTTGAAGTCCCTCAAAAAATGGTCCAACTCTTTAAAAAATAGAGGAAATACAGGGACAATGATGCAACAGCAAAATAATATACCAGAAGAGGTAAAATATTTATTTCTAATTTTTTAAATTAACCTTTCAATTTTGAAACAATGGTAGATTCACCTGAAATTATAAGAAGTAATAGAGGTCTCCTGCACCCTTTACTCAATATCCCTTATTGGTAATATCTTGCACAATTCTAATATATTGCAACCAGTATCTGACACTGATACAGCCCAAATACAAAACATTTCATCACCACAGGGTCCTTCACGTTGGTATTTATGGTATGTATTGTGTAAGAAATCACTTATGAAAAATCTAAACAAAATAAAATGAATATGATAGATACTGACATTAAAATTCTTATTTTAGCAACTTCAATTTCCCTCTCATCTTAGGGTATGAACTAGTTTAAAGCATGCCTCAAATCTCTATCATCTATTCTAAACTTCCATCCCCGCTTCTTCTACTCTACAAAGTAATAAGGATATAATGATATGTAAATGTCATAGGACAAGAGCAATAACGAGACACTTAATTTTTCTCATTTCTCAATTTTAAATGCTTGAAACCAAAATTGCTAAATTTCCCTGCTATGACTCAAAAACACTTCTTTTTTGAGTTCATTTAACTGCAAGGTTATTTAGGATGAGGTTTATTTCTAGAGTCTCATATGATAGAGAATTTTGCCTTCTTTTTAGTTGAGCTACATATTCTCTCACAGCTCTAGTCCTGATTTCCCATCACTGACTTACATGATTGCTACAACTAACTGGCTGCACAGATGCTGCATTCTATTCACAGAATGTGCTACCTGTCTGGGCCACCCAATGCAGTGATAAAACTACATGCATACTAAACAGGACTTTGCAAAAAAAAAAAAAAAAAAAACACACTTTGAAACTCTGAGGTCTAAATAGGCCTTAAGAGTTTGGAATGTTTACAGGAGAAATGGCAGCACTGTCCAGAATGGTAGTTTCGAGCTTTTTGTTTCCTGAAGTTATTCAAGTCAGCAAAGAAAACAAAGTGCTAAGGAAGGTTAGTGCCAATCCACAATTGTGTTTCATGCAGAGTAGATACACACTTTTATTTTAATATAGTAGAATTTTGCTTCCCAAAGTCTAAAAGTTCATGTTGGGAAGGTGTATGATATTGTTTGGGGCAACTGCATGTTCTGGTCACTTACTGTCACTTACTGTTATATAGCATTGTTCTTCTGCATCCCTGGCTACCCACCTGCCCCCTCAGGTTCACCTGATGCCATCCTAATAAGATGGATATAAAAAAGTGGGGCCTCATAACTCAAGTATTTATTTATTTATTTTTAATTTTTTTTTAGAGGCATGTTTAATTATTTATTTGTTTGTTTGTTTGTTTGTTTGTTTATACACGCACTGGGTACAGTCAGAAGCGCGGGAGGGTGAGAGAATTCACCAGAGCCAGAGCGGGGAGCAGAGCAGGCAGAAGGACCGAAGTACACTGCTGAGGGGAGCAGCGGGTGACAGGAGAGGTCTGCACGCCATGTCGGACCCTCCTCCGGTGGCCGGGGAGCAGCCGGGGATCGAACCAGCGCTTCAGAGGCCGCGGGCAGCTTTGCAACCCAGCGCTCAACTGCTGCGCCACTGGGGAGGCCCATAACTCAAGTATTTAAAGAAACATCAGCAAAATAAGCCAGAAGGAGAAAGACAAATACCAGATGGTGTTACTTATATGTGGAATACAGAGAAACCAAACAAAGGGTCAAAGACAAATTTTAAAACCAACCCATGAAACCTGATTATAGAGATGAGGTATCCAGAAGGGGAGGGAAAAAAGAAGGGGCAAGGGTAAAAACAAGGTGGGGGAGGGCACGATGGACTTTGGTGGAGGACTAGGTGTGCTTCAGTGGCAGGTATGCTATGGTGACTACACCTGAGAGGAGAATTCACATGTCTCTAAAACACTAGCAAGGATGTAAACCAATGGTACTTCAACAAGAGAAATTATGAAGAAAAATAAAAACAAAGAAACAGCAGGTCAGTTAGTTCTGGTGAAGAAAATGTTCAACCAGTTCAGATTTTAACCATAAAAAGAAAATTAATTTTTACTTTTTATACAGAAAGAAGCATCCCAAAGAACATTCTAAAGAAATATTAACTCTAAAGATTTTAGGAACGGATTTATGGGCAATACTTTGTATTGTCATATGATCAATTCTAAGTGAAAAGTTAAGCTGTTTCAAAGGTAAAGCTTATTGTAATAAACATGTGAATTATGATGGTATCATCAGAATATAGAATAATTAAGGCTATAGGTAAAGAAGAAAACCTTAGTATGTGTTCATTTCTATTCCATTGCTTACCTGGGTACTGAAGTTAACAGATATCATTAGTCCTGTCCCAGAATCCCTGGCTACTTGCAAACTGATTAAAGTGGCCTTCTTGTGAGTCACTGGTAGCCGAGAACCAACAGAAAAATACATCAGGCTTTGAGGTTCATCACTCCGTAAGAATTTAATCTGTGCAAATCTGGCACTATCATTTATTGCTGCTCCAGCAGTTACTTGATACAGTTCTACAAAAAAATGTGTTTCAACTTGAGGTATCTGAAAATGAAAAAAAAATTTTTTAAGTGATAACTTTTATATTTTTAGATATTTCTGATACTAAGAAATGCTATTATTCAGACACAAAAATATAGAAATAAAGGTACATCTCTAGATATATTCTTAAACTTCCAAATAAAATGTTTTTGGACTTTAAGAAATATCTTTCTTTTCTCCAGGTGAGCTTCTTAGAAAATCAGTATCAACAACCTGTGTACTCCAATAAGCAAAAAATATACATTCATACAAAAAATGCTATTTAGTATTTAAACGAAATGGACTATTTTAACATTTTTCAACATAAATGAATCTGAAGCTAATGCACTTTCAGTCAATACTGAAATATGGAGAAAATTGTTCTCTTCCCACTTCTGAGAAGCTTAATTTGACAAATACAATAAACTAAAAGCATTAGGAAAGTAGGGTAACTATGTTCAAGAACTATTATTCGCTAGTGGCCAAGTGAGCTGGAATTCACAATAGTTTCTTTTAACTAAGAATTTTTGTATATTTCATTCTAACACAAAACTCGTCTTTATTTTTTTCTAATTGTCATGATTAGAGCACTGTTTAAAACCACTTAGAGTTCAAAGCGTATGTTACAAGTAAGAAACCATCTAAAAATGAGTAATACCTATGGATGTCAACATATAATTAGACTAGAGACAAAAGGAAACTCTCAGTCTCACAATTCACCTGAAATGTACTGGGAAACCAAAACTCACAGATCATGTCTGAAGTGCTCTATACTTAGACTCAAGAACTGACAAGAACTTGTTTCATATGTCATTGCTAGAAAGTTTCCTTCCTGGAGAGTTCAGCAGCATTCAGGGTGATCTTTTTCCCAACTACTATAAAATGATTTTTCCTGGGCCCAGAGCTGATTAGGAGCACACAATCAAAGTAATAATGAAATATTTACTTAAGCTTGCCTTAGCATTTGCAGTAAATATTTAAACAGTCTGTTTAGTTTAAATAGTTTGTAGGTTAAGAATGTGCTTCCTAAATTAATATCTGTATATTTTTGCTGATATAGAGCCTTACGATATGGCAGCGAGGAATGGGAAATAGGATTCAAAAGATCAGTTCCAATCTTGTCAAGTAATTTACTAGGGTAGATACTTTCATTCTTCATAATTTGAAAATTTAAATGTTAAATAACTGTAGAGTTCTAACCAGAGATATGATAGAAGAGAAAAACTAAGTCGAATGTAAGAAGATTGTATTGAGTTTAGAAGAAAATACTATATGGACGATTATTTTTTGTTTGTAATTATCTGTAACTCCTCTACCACTAGTGTTGCTGTAAACAGTGCTGATGTAACTACTACATCTTAATTGCTTTGGGCTCCATTTACATTCAATCTGAATAATAGTAATACCAGTCATCTCTCATGAATGGCCAACTCCTTATCAAGAATTGTGCAGGAGAAGGAGGGGGCGGGAAAAAAAAATTGTGCAAATAACCTCTAGTTCATTATCTCATTTAATCTAACAGCCCTACCAGTAATACTAGAAAGTTCAAGAAGGCTAAGAAAGTTGTCCAGAGTCACTCAGCTAATTAGTGGAAGAGTTACAATTTGAAACCACCTTTTCTTATCAAAACCCAATGTCGGGGGCCTCCCCGGTGGCGCAGCGGTTGACGCTGGGTTGCGAGCTGCCCGCAGCCTCTGCAGCGCCAGTTCGATCCCCAGCTGCTCCCCGGCCACCTGAGGAGGGTCCCACGTGGTGCGCAGACCTCTCCTGCCGCCCGCTGCTCCCCTTAGCAGTGTACTTCGGTCCTTCTGCCTGCTCTGCTCCCCACTCTGGCTCTGGTGAATTCTCTCACCCTCCCGCGTTTCTGATTGTACCCAGTGCTTGTATAAATAAATAAATAAATCTTAAAAAAAAAATAGAAAAGAAAAAAAAAATTAAAAAAAATAAAAAAAAAAAAAAACTAAAAAAAACCCAATGTCATGGGCCTCCCCCGTGGTGCAGTGGTTGAGCACTGGGTTGTGAAGCTGCCTGCAGCCTCTGCAGTGCTGGTTCCATCCCTGGCCTCCGGAGGAGGGTCCCACGTGGTACACAGACCTCTCCTGCCACCCGCTGCTCCCCGCAGCAGTGTACTTCGTCAGTCTGCCTGCTCTGCACTCCCCTCTGGCTCTGGTGAATTCTCTCACCCTCCCAAGCTTCTGACTATACCCAGTGCTTGTATAAAAAATTTTAAAAAAACGACAAAAAACCCAATGTCATAACCACTGTACTATCTCCCAAGGTAAGTTCTGTATCCTTGAAGCCCTTCCTTTCATAAAAATGAAGAAATGGTTGTTAGATCAAAAGCTAAGGAATAGTTATGCTGCACTGATGAGACCTTGAAATAATCTCCGAAGTCCACTACAGAAAAAGAATGCGAACTAGATGAGGAGTAAGTTTCTTTCCTGTCATGGAATGTAAGATGTGAAAATGCATCTTAGAAACTCATAGTACTTTTTAAAAATATTTTTCATTCTTCTAAGAATATAATCTTTGTCTTTCTTCCCTCTAATTTCCATTACTACAACTGGAATATGTATTATTCTTTCCTACACCTTGTCTTACAACAAAAACCAGGACACATGGTCTCAACATAAACAAAATAGCTATAACCTGGGGCATGTAAACCTTAAGTGACCTGAGACAAGTATTCTTTTTTTAAATAAGTATAATTATTACAATTCTATGAAAATATGTATTGCTGTAAATGCAGCTATAATCCTAACAGCAACCTTGCAGAAAGTGAAAACATAAAAAAAAAAGGACAGAGTTATTTAGAATAAGCTTAAGTATAGTTACATATAGCTTTGAAATAATTTGTGCATGTTTTTTCTGCTGTATAAAACATTAGGCATGTACAAAGAAACCAGGATACTTTTGAACAAATTGTATTTTGGCTAGTTTTTGTATTAAGTATTTGAGTTTAATAAATTAAGTAGTTGGCCAAGACCTATTAATCCTGAGTGTTTACTTCAGCATTGAAGTATCACAGAAGGACAGAATTGGACTTTTAGTGGTGAATCTAATGTAACACATATAAATGTTGATTTACAACGATGCACAAGAGACTTATATAATGTTATCATGCAATGCTACTTCAATAAAATTAAAAAACAAAACAGACATTTTAAAAATGGCCACACATGATTACTGAATTACTAAAGCTCTGTTAAGTCATCAGTGACTGCTACCATTAAGTAAAAAAAGGCGAGGTATGTGGAAGAAGGAAAGGTACACCTGTCTGCTGGTGTCATGAGCCATATGAACAATAGAAATTTATCCAAAAATTTACCAAGCGTGGCTTCTCACTCCGCAGTAGATCAAAACTGAACTCTCTAACTATTATGAACAGAAATGATAGAAGTTCATTCTATGGATCAAATCTATGGATGTGATAAAAACAAAACACTACACATTCAGAGTAATCAGTGAGATTAATCTGGATGAAACTGACTTGAAGGAATCACTCACAATGAGATACTGGGTCAGAAGGAATCTTAGAAATGACAGGAAACAAAGTGGAATACTGATGACTTTTTTTAAAATGTGAGATATAACTGATACATATCATCATATTGGTTTTAAGTATATAACCGGTGAATTTATATACAAAAAGATCATAATGCAATAATTTCTAAGTCTGAAGTGCATTGTCCAGCAATAAGATTGACATTATGGCTAGTTGTGACACAAAGAATGCTCACATAAATAATGTGTAGGTTTCAATAAAATAATTTTAAGATTACTTCTTCTAAATTGATGATACCATGACTCATCATTTCTTACCTTTCCTGGTTTGATCTCAATGGGAATTAAACATTTTATTTGACCTGTTGTACAGGTTGTGGTGCCTGACACAGAGAGGAGCTCATCCATCAGGTTCACAACATCTTTCTGGAGCACAGTGGCTGTTTTGTTAAATGTGACACGCCAAAAAACTTTGACATCTTCAAAGGCCCTGGGAACAAAGCACAGCTCATGCAAATGCAGTGAGAGATTGCAGTATCCCTACAACTATACTGCTTAATGTGCTGTCACAGTGCCTAAGAATAGCTCTTTATCCAAAGTGTAGCTCTACCACTGATAATGCAGAAAATGATCAATTCCCCTCATTACAGATGAGAAATTACAGCTGGAGTTTACATAACATTCTTCAACCACATTCTATATAAAAATAAGTTTAATTGTACTTCTGTGTTATCAGGAATGTAAAAAATAATATTTTTTTTCCATCTAATATGTCTTCTTGGGCCAGAAATATGCAAATAAAGTTATAGAAAACCCTGGTTTCAAGTAAATGCTCCTCATATTTCTTTTCACAAGATTTCTTCTAAAGGAAAAACATTTCTAAAACTCATTATTATTAAAAATTAATGCCAAGAGATGACATATTTTCAGAGAATATTTAGGTGCAAAGTGGAAAAGATAATATTCATCCACGTATAGGTGTGCACACCAAGGGTTACATGTGGTGCATACTCAAAAGATGTGTAACAAGCAATATTAAGTTGCAAGCACATCTGGTACTCCAAATCTCCCTACCAGTAAGAAGCTGTGTATGTGGAGTGATCAGAGAATGTGTATCAATGAATACTATGAACTGATGACCCACAATCTGCCATCTCTATGGTACTGTATGAAGTCCAAAATGTCCAAGGTAGCTCTAAGTAGCTTTGACCATAAACCAAGAATGTTAAGTCACTGATTAAGTACTAAAGCATCTGTACATCAACACATCAAATCCCACACAGCCTTCTTCTATCAACATTACATTTAACTGAATTCAAATCATGTACTATAGGCTCCAGGATATTATACCTTCTGTATCTACACATAAACATACCTGTTTGACTGCCTTGTGACAATAAGATGCAGTCTGTTCATACCAGCTCCTTCACCCAGCCTTAGTCCACTCTGGGAATCCTCACTGAATCCTATGATGCCATTGTGAAGGTCACTCCCTGACAAGAAAAATGGAGGGTTCTATTTCAGACTTTAAAAAATCCCCAATGCTTCAGTCATCATTTCAGCTCAGATAGAATAAAAATGAGAAATTCACAAATGAGAAATCTACAAATGAGAGGGGGGAGGTATATTTTTAAAAAGCTTTCCTGAAAAATGAAACCAAAATGGTAACACCAAGATGGCTAATACTTAGAGAACAGAAGGCCAGAATAAAGCGAGCATGAAACTCTACTCCTCACACTGACCGACACTCATCTCTCTCTGATGAGACTGCATTTGACAGTCCTGACACTGTTATCTGTTAACTTTTTAAACTCAGTTTATCCCCCACAGAATGTCAGTTCTACTAGGGCATCCAGACAACGGGAACTCAAGGCTATTGACTATGCTAATATACTGATGGCGCTGTCAGGAATCAGTCACTGGCCAAGTATATGTAATCAGTGTATCACATGTAGGGAATGAAAGCATGTGAGAACTTTATCATGCTCAGTTAAGTGGTGATTTGGAATACCAAATTGGTATGTTTTGGTATGCCATACCAACTGAGGAACACTTTTTCTTGGAGCAATGCTGCTATCCTGAGGAACACTTCTGTCGAACAGGTACCTCATACTCAGCAGCTATACATGCATAGCTGCTGTCCTGAGTCCCCAAAGAAACCTCTGCCACCATCCTAACCAAGACCACAAGATCTCATAATCCAGTAATTAGTGGGGTAATGTTTAAGACAGTCATGCATCTCCAGTAACCACTGATTGGTCTGTGCCTCTGTCAAACTAATAACTAAATATTTTGACTGTCAGATATGATCACATTCAAGTAACTATAATAAACTATTTATGTCATGGACTAAGGGAGGAGACTGTTAAGTGCAGAAATAATGTTAACAGAAATATATAGATGGCAGTAAACTAATGTGAATCAAAGTAAATAACTTTTAGCATATAACTGTAATTTGTAACACTCACTAAACTGGAGGAATAGGAATAAATGACATTGAATGGAATTGGTGTAAATTTAAAGATTAACAAACGGGATGATGCTAGGTAGGAAAAGAAAGTATGCAATTGCAAAATTATGAATGAATTTTAACTGAATGGCTAAAACAAAAATTCTAGGAGGCATTCAAATGCTAAAAGTGGATCATGATGACATTCTAATATTTTTCTTAAAGAGAAACATAAAATATGACTTAGTATTTCAAGCAAGGTCTCCCAATTGATCTGGACCAAAACATCCAGGCATCCTGACTTTTAGTTATCTTCTCACTATGTTTTTTTATCAATGTGTCATCTGCAACTATAAAACAGTTTATAAAATTAATTAATAAACACTTGGATAAAATGCAAAGTGGGTAAAAATGATGAGATGGTCTTGTTAATACCATAATTCTTATAAGATATTGACAAATTCAGCTAATCCACCTAAATATATACCTGTAATAACGATCATGGTAAAAGCTGCAAATCCACTGTCATCCCTTCCCTTCACAATCTGTGCTCCCTCTTGAGGGTCTGTAAGAAACACGTAGAAGAATTCCTGGCCCTCGGGTTCATCGTCATCTAAAATTTGAACCAATACTTTACGTTCTCTCTCTCCATCTACAAATGTAAGGATGAAAGTTTGTTCTTCAAAGTCTTCATCTTCAACGGCCCATGTTAGGTTGGAAATTCCATAGGTATCAGGAGAGGGGAATGCATCTGGCTCCTTCTGAGCAGATCTTCCACCAAAAGTTTTAACTGATATACTGACATTGCCAGTACACCTACCAGTTCTTTGAACAAAAACTTGTGCAGCATTAAATGTGCCATTCTGTATCTCCTCTTCAATGTAAACAATGGGTGGCCAAAGACTAAATATTCCATGAATGGAAATGTTGGCAGTGACAGAGGCCTCATCAGGCTTCTCAGACATAGCAGATGTACTAGGAAGGGTGCCAAGTTCCACAGGGATAGCAGTTACACCACTTGTCTCAGCAACAATGGTGACTATTTCTGTTGCCTGTAAAGTGGTAGTTAAATTGGTTGTGTCAGACTGTGTGGAGGAGAGCACATTTCCTAGAGGAGTGAGAGTTGTGTCATCTGCTATAGCCACAGTTGTCTTGGGGAGAAATACATCCATTCCCACCAGGTCATCATCATCTAATATTGTGATCACTGCGACACTGAAATCTAGATTCAGGCGTGGTCTCCAATCAGCATCAAAATGCTGCAATCCTTTAATTTCTACTGAAGTTAGATTGATGTAAAAAGTTTCTTCTAGCTCAGGAAGATGATCATTAATAATGATTATTTCAAAATCAACCTCAGCTTGGAATTTTTGAAAAAGCAGTTCGTTATTCTGAATAGGCTGAAAGTCTTCCCGTGGCTTTGCGCTTCCTGCAGTTATCTGATAGGAAACTTGAATAAGATCACCTTGGAACCCAAACAGTCTCTGTACATGTAATCTGATCACCTGTACATCCTCTGACACTATGATATTTCTTGAACTAGGGGAAAATTGAAAGATTCCCATTGGTTCAATTTCTGCAACAATAAAACCAGATCTGGAAATAAAAAAAAAAAAAAAAAGATGAAAGAACTGATGAGAAAATAGAAATACACTGTAGATACTCATCTTTCACATCTTTTAATGATGCTTTGCATGACAGCATCTAAAAATGACATGCCCTTTCAAATTTCACAAAACCATAACAACTTATTGATAATTGTACCAGAACACAAAAACATAAGAACAGGGCCTCCCTGGTGGTGCAAGGGGTTAAGCACCGCACTGTGAAGCAGTCTGCAGCCTCTGCAGCATGAGTTCAATCCACAGCCAGCCAGGAAGCACCCCACATGGCAAAGCAGACCTCTTGTCTCGCCCACTGCTCCCCTCAACAGTGTATTTCAGTCAGTCTGCCTATTCTGCTCCCCACTCTGTCTCTGGTGGATCTTCTCACCCTCCCACATCTCTGGCCTATACCCAGCTCTTGTATGCATAAATATAAGAACAGAAGCTGCAGTAATGGGTTTGAAAGTGAGGCGCACATAGGTTTTTGGACTGTTTCTCCACTCACCCCACAGTAGCTCTCAAAAACTATGAAACCTAAGCAGTTTATGTACATTTAAGGAACTCCCTTGTGATCACACACAGGAAACCAAAAATCCTAAAGATATTCTGGATGTCAGCCAGATTTCTTCTCTACCAAGTAGAAATAGTTGCCCCTACTGGGAGCAAAGTGCTCACTACTTCCAGCAGGCCAGTAATGGGGCTACTCTCTCACACAAATGTTGCTGTAATTTTTATATCAATTGGGAAAAAGCTTATCCTTAGCTTTTTCCTCTAATAGTTATATTAGAGGTTACATTGGTGACTTAATCTAGACCACTAACCCATTTTTGTGAGTGTGTTTTAATGTAAGGTTGCATGCCTTTAGGGTGGACACAACGAGCTGCGTCACTCTTTACTGTCAAGTACACATCACTCAACGCAGAGTCTGGTGGTAAAGAGCTCATACAGTGGCCAGAGAGACTGGGTTCAAGTCAGAGTCCCAGCACTTACTAGTTGTTTTGACGCTGGGTTTGTAATATATGCAACTCACTTTCTTCATCTATAAAATGGGACTGTTAACAGTTTCTATGTCATACAGTGCCATGAAGAGTAACACACATCAGGATATACAATTGACCCTTGAGCAACCCTCACCCCTGCACAGCCAAAAATCTGCATACAGCTTGACACTCCAAAAATTTAACTACTGATACCCTGCTTTTGGCTAGAAAACTTAGTAATAACCAACAGAAGATTAACACATATTTCATGTTATATGCGTGATATACTATATTCTTACAATAAAGAAAACACACCTATAAGTGGACCCATGATGTTCAAATCCATGCTGTTTCAGTATCGAGTGTATAGATAAAGAGATAGAGTTATAGATACAGATATCTTAAATCAACGTCTGGCCGAAGGTAAACACTATAAAACTGTTAGCTATTATTATTGTTAAGGGCATTTAAGTTTACTAGCCTGAAATATGTTCTGTGGCCAAACATTTTTTAAAAGCATATGTATAAACCCAAAATCATTATATTCCACAACCAATATCTCCCAAACATTAACATGTGTACAAACATACAGAACACACACTGCCTATACCCAAAACATTTCTCCATTTTACAAATAATTAAACTGAAGAACAGAAAGATTAAGTCTCCCTAAGTCTCATAGTCAGTGAGTGCCACAGCCAGGGCTAAATCCATGAGTAAGGCTCTTTGCTGTTGTAATCAAGCCCATCCAGGTATGAGAAAAACAAATTGCTTTTGATTGGGGCATTTATTGCAAGCTTACATATTTAAATTAAACTGAAAAGACTCACTGGGTTTGTACCAGTCACCTTTTGTAACACCTCAGTTTCTTTATTATTATTTTTATTTTCCTACATTGTTGTTCATTTTTGTACAATATATGATTTCTCCCCTCAGGTGTAGTCCCTATAAATCTCCCACCACCACATCATCTGTGAACAATCACCATAGTCCCTTGTGCTCTTCCCCCACACCCTCCTGCTGTATGCCTCAGGTCTATGATTTGCCTGCAAGTTCTTTTTTTTTGACCCTTTGTTCAGTTTTCGTATTATTTCTCCTATAAGCGAAACCATCTGATATTTTTCTTTTTGCTTCTGACTTATTTCTTAGTCTAACTCTTTATCCCTTAGGAAAATCAGGTCATTTTCAGCCGTTCCTGGAAGACAGCATCTTAAAAATTGGTGACTACGCCACCAGGGTTCTTACTGGTGAAGCTACCCCAGGCACTTTTGAGTTAGAGGCCATGATGAGCCCTTTTCTAGGCAAGCAGTGAAGGGTGAGCTTGGGAAAGCCAATCTTCCTCCTGACATCTCTGGCTAGCAGCCAGATGTCACTCTGCACTGAAACTGTTGGTTGAGAACAGGGTTGGTCTTACCGCAGCTGAGCCCCACCAGGGGCGCTGCTCTGTACCCCAGAGAGATGTATAGGGAAGGCCTCGGGTCGAGCAGGGCTGGGCAGTGTCCACAGCCAGATTCCTTTACTTTGTTCTCCATGGGAAAAGGAAAGGCTCCCTGGAAGGCAACATGAAAAGGAAAGCAGAATAGCATTTCTCGGTTCTTAAATGTGATTCAACTCTTAAAAATGTAGTGAAATATTTCCTTTTCCAAAATTCTAAGACAATCAACAAAATGTAAAAATTAAAAAAAAAAAAAAAAGCAGAGAGAGGGAGCTTACTAGGTAGCTCCCTACAGCACACAAATCTGCCTTTAATTCCTGTCTATTCTTCTCATTAATCCCTTTTGTTCCTGGGCCAACTAGTCAACTAGAAAATTGAGTAGTGGGAAGAGAATGGTATTTGGAAAACTTTTGTATCCAGTGTGAGACTTTGGTTTGTATTTTGACCTTAGCATACTTTTAAACATACATTTTGAGTTGTTTGGCATGAAATATCATAATCTCAAGATTTTGCTTTACTTCGGGAAAAATTTGGGGAGGTGATGGACATTTTAGGTGCCCTGACTGTGGTGATGGTAACCATAGGTGTCCACATACCAAACTTACCAAAATAGATACATTAACCCTTTGCACTCTGAACCATTTTACGATATTATGATTTAATTTCTTGTGCCATTTCAAGATAAAACTTCAGGGAAACATGCACGTCTCAAAAAGTTGCGTTGAAATAACCTCAATTCCCCGTAATCACTAATAAATTGCAATGTCCCCTGAGAGGGGACATCTGAGTGATATGCTAGAATTCCGATGTCCCCTGAGAGGGGACAGCGGAGTGCAAAGGGTTAAAGTATGCAAATTTTTGCACATCAATTAACCCCCAGTAAAGCTACAATAAATTACTTCAGAAAAAAAAGTCACAAATATGGTAAAATTAAAAAACTGTTCAATGTACTCAGTTAGTTGATGCACATTCATTGTACTGGTCTCATGTATGAAAATTTTTATTATGAAAGCTCAAGAAAATGAACAAACCTGCTTGAAGATCCCAAATAATCTAGGGACTCCTGTTATTTTAGATGAATCAAGTTGTTATAAACTCACTAAAGCTTTTGAAGACTTATTTTATATGTAAGCAAAAACTCACAAATGTAATCATAAAAAAAACTTTCTATACATCTTTTTATACCTAGTGAATGATTACTAACACAAAAAAGGTGGGGAAAAAATCTACATAGAGCTGTGGCTACCACCCAAATAACAGAAGGGTTTCTGTGGAAGAAAGGTCTAGAAAATAAAAAAAGATTAAATGCCTTTAATTTCAGGAACAAGCCAAGAGGGAAACAGAGGTGCCAGGGTTGATGCACAGCAGCAAGGCACCCACTCAGTGGTTATTAAAGGAAACCTCAATACCCTCATGCTAAGATACTACTCAATCAAGGATCTAAATTCAGACTTCATTTCTGGGTTCCCTGTTGGGACAGAAGCTGGCGTGTTAAAGCCATCATTCTCTCTATCCCTGACTCCCACCTTCATCATTTAAAGATGTCAGTTTTCATTCTTTCATCTCCTGTGATGCCAAATGAAATCATTCCATCCTCACTGAGAAACCAAGGATCTCAGCAGAAGGTGAATTCAACAGATTACTGAGGATAAGTGGCATTTGCAGGTGACCAGAAGTGCACTCTGAATAGCAGAGGAAAACCGCAGAGATTCCGAGTCTGTTCTAGAGCTCTTAATAAACTGCCTCTACAGGAATTTGAGATGAGCTTCCTATGACAAGGCAGAGGTCAAACCAGCTAACATCTACATCTCATTATGGTGTAATTAAAAAAGAAAGTAGAATAGCCAGCCAGGTGTCAGAAATATTCACATGAACATGTAAATAAAAAGGTGTGCTTTTCTTTTAGCTAATTTAGAACTCCTTTAACACACTCTTAATGTACAAATAGAGTATTCTGATCCATGACCACTATTTCCAGGTGAGGTATGAAGTTTTATTGATTTACTTATTTATTCATTCATTCATTTTTAAATTTATCATTTACACATCTCTAGAACTCTGGGGTTGTGTTTTTACTGTCCCATTTGTGAACATGCTTCACTCATTCTCCACCCAACCACCCACACCAATACCCTATCCCCGCCTCCTCTTACCACTTCTTCCCTTCACCTCCTCCCCCATTCCCTCTGGGAACAATTTTTTCACTAAGTCTAAGATTGTTTTTGCTGACTGAATAAGGTTCCCCTCATTCTTGCTAAGCAGTCCATGAAACCCTGACCACTTAAATAAGATAACTTTGTCCAGAGTAAGAGCGATCTAAGAAAATTAGTGGCTGCTCAGTCACCTCGATGTTCTGCAGGCCCATCTTAGAAAAGCTACAACTCACCCAGTTTTGGGGTCATGTTGCCAACGGCAATGAATTCAGGGATTTCAAACCCAGAGATGTATCCAGCAGCCCAGGTAATGGTTAGGGAGCCATATGTGCCTCTCCTAGAAACCACGACTCGGCTTGTTCCAGCAGTGATATTCATGAGCGGAAAAGCAGTAGACGCAAATCCAACCTGAGGAAAAACATGCTTAGGATGCTTTTCTTCTCTCTAAAGGTTCTTATCTGGACAGTGGGTTCAAAATCCACTTTCTCTTTGCTTGCATAATAAAATTCATGCGTTAAAATATATTCAATTAGGGCCTCCCCGGTGGCGCAGCGGTTGAGCGCTGGGTTGCGAAGCTGCCCGCGGCCTCTGCGGCGCCGGTTCGATTCCCGGCTGCTCCCCGGCCACCAGAGGAGGGTCCCACATGGCGCGCAGACCTCTCCTGCCGCCCGCTGCTCCCCTCAGCAGTGTACTTCGGTCCTTCTGCCTGCTCTGCTCCCCGCTCTGGCTCTGGTGAATTCTCTCACCCTCCCGCGCTTCTGACTGTACCCAGTGCATGTATAAACAAAACAAATAAACAAATAAATAAATTAATAAATAAACATGCCTCTATTAAAAAAATAAATAAATAAAATATATTCAATTAAAGAGCAATGTTTTTGTTTAAAAATGAGCAATTAGGGTCTCCTGGTGGCACAAGAAGTTAAGACACAACCTATGACGCTATCCACAGCCACTGCAGCAAGAGTTCTATCCGTGGCCAGGGAGCAACCCACATAGTGCAGCAGACCTCTCCTGTCTCGCCCGCTGCTCCCCTCAGCAGTGTATTTCAGTCAATCTGCCTGTTCTGTTCCCCACTCTGTCTCTGGTGAGTCCTCTCACACCCCACACCTGTGGCCTGTGCCCCAATTCTTGAATGCATAAATAAATAAATCTTTTTTAAAAAAATTAAAAAAAATGAGCAATGATGTAAAATACATAAATTTAAAAAATGAAAAATCTAAGCAGGATCTAACTAGCAAAAAAAATACTGTGAGCTATAAATTTGTGATTTGTGTATTTCTTTGTATATTTATATGAATAAAAGTTTCAAAAAAAAAGAACAATGTTTAAGAAACAGAATTTGAGATGTGAAAATGTGTTTTATTTTATAATTCAGACTAGCGTTTCTAACTATTTTTATTCTTTTAATCAAATGTCCTTTTGGAAACTTTTAATATCCAAAAGACAAATGTAGTTATGGTTAAATGAAAGCAAAAGATTGAAAATGGTATTTTAATATGAGTTATTCGTGGGTCTTTATAGAATCAGAATTGTTTAGAACCTGATTTATTTCAGTTCAGTTTAAAACTGAAATTTTACTTATTTATATGTTAGAAAGATATTTCTTCATAAAATGCACAGCATGAATTTATCTTTCTATTAAGGTTCTTCTTGGATCTGATTCAATTTAATCCTTTTATTTTTGGAGAATCAAAAAGCTTAAGCTTAACCACTTTTTCTTCCACATTAAGTAGGATCTTATTTTAAGGGTAACCTTCCCAAGGTATCCTGGGATTTATAAACTATTATAGAAAAGAAAATTAGGGTCTGTAAAAATGAACCAGATTCCTGGCTTCACATAGACAACTAGGACTAGGACAACTCAGTTACCTCATTAGGTCCCATCATTTATAAAACTGGGGTACCATATGGTCAAGGTAATGTCTTAAGACTCATTCTCCTCATTTCAGACTGAAATGGAGAATAGCAAAATGGTGTTCCCAGGGTTCCTGGAGCCACAAAGGGGAACAAATCACTTCATTTTGACAACAGCCCAGAGTCCCTGCTACAGCAAGGCTTCTGTTCAACAGTATAGAATGAAGTAATACTCTGAAGTTTCGTTGTCTCATTTTTGCTCACATATTCTTGTAAAATAAAATTCCTTTAAATACAGACCATACTTTTGGAGTAGTAAAATATTTCCCATCTCTTGTCCATGCACACTGTCATGACAATGAGTCACCCCAAAAGGCAAGACTGGGGTGTGAGTGTGTGAAGGAGAGGGGGAGGAGGAGACTGGGAGAGGCAGTTGTTGGCTAAGACACTTTGAAATAGCCTCTAGCCATGTAGCAAGCATGATCTCAGATTTGTCAAAGCTCTTGGCAATGGCTAAGTGGAGAGGTAAAGGAAAAAAAAACTATTCCTCTCAGGAACAGTGGTAGATCAACTTTAGAGGACAAAGCAAATGCACTCCCTGTGAAGAAGCTGCCCAGGCGAGAGTCATTTCATGAAGAGCATCTCCTTTATAGCCAGGACCCATTACACAAGCTGTTGCCAGATCTGCCCATCCAGATTCTGCATCAGTTTCTTGGGCCAGGCTGCCTTAGTCAAGCTGAAAGAACTCCCAACTAAAGGATCAGGAGGCAATGATAACTCAATAGTTTAAAAACTACACAAAGGAAATAGACAAAAGTTTATCAGAACAAATCCTAGAAATCTGACAGTAGAAGTGAAGCTAACAGAAGGGGAGGGGGCCTAGTGGACTGTTTGGGAGGACTCTGATTGTGGTGTGGTAACCTATCTGATGAGGTATGAATCTATACTCGCATGCAGTCATATGCAGTGGTGTAAACCAATGCCACCTCAGTAAGGAATAATACAATTAAAAAAACACACAAGTTTTCATAGGCAGAGGGAACAGTTCTTATTCCTATATTGATGGAATCAATCTAAATAGAAAATAAAGACCTCAAGTTGTTTTTGTTCTCATGTTAATTTATGAAGTGACTAGGAATGATCTCCCCAAGAATGAACTCAGGTAGAAGACTCTCATACATAGGTGTAACTATGTCATAGAATCTCTCCACTAACATTTCTCAGCACAGACTTGCCACAATAAATAGAGCTCCCAAAATTAAGACAATATTCACAGTGTTAACAAATAAAGTCTGAAATATTAACTGATGCTTCATTCTGATTTAGTCATTTAGCATAAAATACTTTGATGTTAAATATTCAATATTAAGAAAAAGTCTAGAAATTTTGACTTTGGGTGACTGTTATTTTAAAAATTTATAACTTTCATTAAATTTTAGAAGATACAAGCTTCCCCTAAAAGGAAACCTACTTATCTAGTGTCAAAAACTGACAAACTGTTTTCATATATTATCAACTTTGATATTCATAGATGACTTAGATTTAAGGAAATAGTGAGTCCTAAGAAATTCTCACGAATCTTAGTCTTGTCTGTAAGAGCTGCCCTCTAGTGGTTTCCACTGGTACCACACCTGGGTTATTACCTGAGAGTTGGCAGCTTTCTCCGGGATTGGCAAAACCGCAGATTTTGCTCCCTGCAGAATCCTTGGCATGCCATAGAACCGTCCACCAACCAGCATCACAGCCACCAGTTGCAAGGTGAAATTAGAGCCCAGTGACAGGAAGACCTATAAACAAACAGCATCAAGATTTTTTAGTAGTGAAAAATAATTTTCAGAGAAAAAGATTGACATTGACATGGTCATTAGCACATTCAGATTCCTTTTGTATCAATTTTATCAACAGATGAAATTGTTGATGAGACAAACCAACAAGCTGCAGAGTATGCAAAACTCAAATTTGCCAATTCATTTTGTGTGTCCAAATGGTCTCAAGAATGAGAATTAAAGGTCATATTAGTGATGTGATCATGTGTCACAGGAATGGAAAGAGGTCCCTGGGAAGAATGTCTCCTAGAACTGGCAACTCCATTCCTCTTTATTAATAATGAATAACTCTAATGATATTTTCTCTAAATAAATGATAAGTATACTTATTTGAATATTTTGGAAAAAGAAAAATTACTAAGAGCATGTATCAGATTTTTTACTGATCAAGTTTTCAAATCCCACTAAATAGGGGAAATAATGAATTTAAAAATGGGTGGTACTCTAAAAGTTTTGCACTTTGAAAACATTTTCCCATGGAAACATCATTATTGAACATAGAAAAGCCCCACTTATCCCATAACATAGAATATAACTAAAAAAATCTGTACATCTTTATTGAATGTAAAAACAACCATTTCTGTGGATTCAATTCTGCTTTGAAATATAATGTACTTCATATATATCACACACAACCTCTTATGCAAAATCTGACCAGAGGCTTCAAATGTGCAACATGAGGGTAACAGATGTTTCATTCATCCAATCAATCATTTTTTTTCAAAATGACATTCACATGGACATGAATCACAGTTCAAGCATGAAGGAAACAAATCACAGTGCTTTTTTTTTTCCCTTAAAGAACTTTTAATTGTATGAACAGTTCAGTTCTTGACTTAGTTTAGTGCTTTTAAGAATACATGCAGACTTTATATATTTGGGTTTGAAAAAAGTTTCTGCTATTAATCAAAAAACAATCATTTCCACTTCTTTCTAGTTCACCCTGTGGAGTTAGCCAAAAACCAAAGTATACATTTCCTGGCAGATAGATGAGAAAACAACAGGCAAAACATCCTGAATTCTAGAGTTGACTGTTGCTGGTGAAATCCTTCAGCTTAGTCCATTTTCTCAGCCAAAGCCTGAAGAAAAAACTCATAACACCTAATTTTTTAGTGGAAAAATTAGCAAGCAGCGACCTTCAGGCTATCAATAAGGAGGGGGGTTGGTCATGTTTGCTGTGTCTTGGGATCATGGGTGCTTGTGTCTAATGTCAGGTAAAGAGGAGAGATGGCTCCTAAGGTCTGAAAAGAGGCTTGCCCTGAGCAGTCTGAAGGCACAGGGTTCTGGACGGTGGTAGCAGAAGACAGGCTGGTCACTCTCAGTTCAGGAGCTCAGCTGAGGAGCAGAAGTGTAAAGAACCCCAAAAATTACCTCTATGGGTTCAAGGAATGGGTGAGGGACTATCTTTCCAACACGTACCCCCAAAACCACAATAACCTGATTCAGGGTCAATGGGATGTGGAGTTTGGATAGTAAATGCCGGAGAAGGGGAAGTCAAAGAGCTGCTCTTTTCTCACAGCCTCAGGCCAGCACAAGCGGCAATTGGGCAAACAGCTCCTCAATGCCTCTGGTGACAGTCATGGCTGCAGACAAAAAACTGAATGACAAAAATCTTGCCTCACTGCTCTGGTCCTTTCTTGGCTAACAATGGCTGACCGCCATCCCTCCATAAAGGCACGCACTCAAAGCTTGGCCTTTTAGGAAATCTACATGGTTGTTCCTCAAAAACTTCAAAGTGCTATTCTTCGCCATTCCTGGTGACAGTCATGGCTGCAGTGAAGGGGTCAAGCTTGCAGGTGTTGGCATCTCCCTTTTTATACTCGCCCCAGATGCTCCCCTTACAATTTGCAATCTTCCAGAGGGACAGGACAGAGCTCCAATCCTTGGGAAGGCAAAGCCAGGTACAGTTGTCTAGCAAGGGATGGGGGCACACCAGGGAGTCCCCATCAGCCAAGATGAACCTGGGTCCTCCTCACGCACAGCTGCATGCATATGGCCTATGAAGGTGGAGTTAGAAATTGATGAAGCAGGGCCATGGCACATAGCCACTTCCCAAAGCACTACAACTACAGGGATGTAGAACAACTAGGGAACCCATGTCTCATCCAAGTCTCACTAAGAAACCTACATTTCCCAGGCCTCCCTGGTGGCACAAGGGGTTAAGCAAAGCACTGTGAAGCCATCTGCAGCCTCTGCAGCACGACTTCGATACCCAGCCAGTCAGGGAGCAACCCACATGGCACAGCAGACCTCTCCTGTCTTGCCTGCTGCTCCCTTCAGCAGTGTACTTTGGTCAATCTGCCTGTTCTGTTCCCCACTGTCTCTGGTGAATCCTGTCATCCCCCTCCCCCCACCTCTGGCCAGTAGGGCAGTTCTTATATGCATAAATAAATAAATCTTGGGGAAAAAACTCCTACATTCCCCCCCTAAATTAAGCCATAAAAATAAAGATCCAGGTGCACAAAAGATCAGAAGTTGCCTAATAAGCATAAATAAGTATAATATACTGAACGACAGTCTATTTTCTATTGAACATAAGCGTGAATATGAAACTAAGATAATCAAATAAGAAACTGCTTTATTTTTCACCTGTTACTGCTATTGTGGTGTTTCTTTCCACAACTTTGACAATGCAATGGGAAGACCCTGAATTCTGTCACTTTCAGGTAGCTAAAGGCCTACCCTGCATCCATCAAAACTTCTATTTCACATCCAGTTAAAGCGTTCCCTCTTATCCCAGTTTCTGCTTATTCCACAGCTCAGCATCTATACTATGAAAGGGGCCACCGCACTCCCACGGAGCTTTGCATCAGTCTTCGGGCTCTTTTAGGGAAGTCCAGGGAGGGGAGCTGTTTCAAGACTGAATGACAAAAATCTTGCCTCACTGCTCTGGTCCTTTCTTGGCTAACAATGGCTGACCGCCATCCCTCCATAAAGGCACGCACTCGAAGCTTGGCCTTTTAGGAAATCTACATGGTTGTTCCTCAAAAACTTCAAAGTGCTATTCTTCACCATTCCTGCACACAGAAGATGCAATCTTCTGATGACCTTTTTGATTCTCTCCTAGTTTCACAATCCATCATCACAATCCATGGCTCCAATCTGGTCACCCTCTGTGATACAGCTTTTCCTAAACCTGAGCTAACTAAGCCTCAGTGCCATAATGCAGGCAGTGAGTGAATGAAATAAATTAACTTTCCTATTTTGCATACAGAATGATACCATTTATGTACCGCCCATGGGAGTATTAAGAAAAACAGTCACTGAAATCACTTTTCGTGGTTTAGACTAAATGTTGCTGGGATACCTACCTGACCCTCAAGAAAACCACACAATCTTATCACTCTCATCCTAAATGTTGCCAGAATAGTCTGCTGCATTAAAATCACATAACATCAGTCAATGCCCTAGATACTAGATTTTCCAGGAGAAAAGCAGGTGTCAGTCTCTATATTCAGAGAGACCCTCCAAATTTCAGGGAGCATATAATCAGTCTCTCATTGCACTGCCCTTTTTAGAAACCTAAAAAATTCCTCCCTTTAACACATACTTGGGTGGGGGGGGATGCGGGAAAGGGGTGTTTAAGTGTGTATATATAGCATTTGGACAATTCTCAAAAGTTCTTAAGTGCTAAATAAGTGCCTGTTGTTATTCATGCAAAAATATCTCCAAGTAGGAATATACTAATTCACTTAGATTTTGAAAATGTATAATCAGGTAATTTGTATTTCTACAGTATCTTTCATGGACATATTTAAATACATATACAGATACACACACACACAAACACACATACACACATAAGATTTTAACCATATCATGAGATAAGCAAGGGCTCCCTGGAAGGAGTTTGACTGGAATGATCAGGAAGGTAAAGAAATGCTACAAACCTCATTTTTGACTGACACAATGTCCACTTTATATCTGGCACCATCTTTGATCACCAGCTGCCTCTCTGCACTTTCAGTAACAATTGGCTGCTCTTCTTGATCAGAAGATATTTGAAATCCAATAGCCACATCTCCAAATGTTCCAGCAAGGCGGGTTACATTAATTTGGATGGATCTACTAAGGTTCTGTCCAATAAGTATTGATTGATGATCTGAATACAGAGCAAACACTCCATGCGGGTCATCATTTGCAAAAACAGAGAATTGAATGATGGATTTTTCCGGATCTAGTTCTGCCCCTCCCTCTACAGAAACAAGCTGGATTACATATTCTTCCTCTATCTCGGGTATATCATCTGGTAGCAAATGAACATCAAAGTTGGCCTCACTCTCTCCATCAGCAATGGTGAAAAATCCTTTTGTAGAAAGAAAATCTCCAGTAATATCAAACTCACTAGTTAATTCCCAGTAAACCTAAAACAAAACAAAATCCAACAAACATATACAATTCAGTACACGGAATCAAAATCCTCCACAAATTAGGTTTCCTCTACATATAATTTTTTTTAAACTGTGCATCATTATATTCAAAGCCAAACAGTTAACTAAAGTAACACTTTCAGGTTGTCATATGCAATTTGAATGACAAGATTACAGAATCTCATTTCACTTGCTTCTGAAATAATAGCATCATTTAAAGAGTAGCAAGTAACCTTTAAAATGCCAGTTCCACATACACATTCCACAGTGAAACAGGCACCATTTGGAGGTAAATAACGAGTAGATAACCTGATGATTTACATTGGAATTTGTACTTGTTTTAAATAAGGATCTAAAAGATTTTTAAATCTATAAGATTTTAACAATTAAGTTTTTTTCCATAGAATAATACACTATAAAAATTATTTTCCAAGAATTTTGACCTTCAAACCATAAAGTTTCACCCAAGGAACCACCATTTAACAGCCTGTACAGGAAAAGTAAATGCAGCAAAATGTCTCAAAATATGTTTTGCTAGCAAACAAGTAACATTGATGTTAGACAAATACCCCAATGATTTACAAAAGCACTCCCCAAACTTCTATATCAATATGCACAGAAAAGCAACTTCTTAAAAATAGGTGCTAAATATAAAAAAAAATTATATTAAACATAAAACCCTAAAGAATATATTAAGCAATTTACAAAATCATTGACACTGTGGAGGAGGACTATGGGTACTCTGTGGGTGATAACATACATGTGGAGAGGTGTGATTCTACATTCCTAAATCATAGAGTGTAATAAACCCATGTTATCTTAATAAAAATAACCCAATTTTAAAAATTGAGATGAAGGAAAAACTTCATGTTATAACAAAGAAGAAAATAAAAAATAGTCCTGTCACACTCATGATTATGAAGATCTTTGTCATCCAATAACTGAATTTAGAAAGAAAGTTAGAGATTCACATCAGCTAAAGAGTCTGAAAGTACTTAAATGAATCTTTTTAACTTCTTGAAAACTCGTGTACTTCAGTTTATCAAAAACCTTTCATTAACCAGAACACAGAGTTGCTTTCTTCTTCTCAACCATATATGTTAGGTAACTAATTCCTTTACTTAAAAATCAAGTGAAAAATAATACCATAATCTCTCCAAAAATGCCCCCGACTCTTTCGACAAAGAAAGGAATGATCAGGGGCCCTTCTAGAGATGATGGCTCTGAATAGGTCTTCCCAGATGAAGACTCAGCAGCAAACTGAACCACTCCATTTGGATCACCAAACTTTTCTATCTAAAAATAGAATCAGAGAGCAGAGTAATAATACAACGATTCTGGATTAAATTATAAATTCTAACATTAATACACAAATAAGGAAATGATAGAAACATCAAAGTCATACTTGAATACAATCTACCTAGCTACCTGAATTTAAGATCTTTATTACTCTGATTGCTATAAAACAAGTAGGTTATTATTCCCCAAGGATAATGGCAGTAAGTATCCAGAAAACTACAATTTATAGAATCCTGAATGAATAATACTTCAATGTCTGAATTCAGCTTCATTTGCCTTGTGCTTTGCTTCACTTAACCAGTTAGAGCTAGCTAACATTTTTCTACTGATTATAATAAGATATGGAAAGAAACAAGAGGTACTGTGATGGCTAATTTTGTGTCAATGTGTCAACCTGTATAGGCTACAGTGCCCAGTTAGTCAAACACTAGTCTTGATATTGCTGTGAAGGTATTTTGTAAATGTGACTAATATTTAAAATCAGTAGATTTTAAGTAAAGGAGATTATCCTGGGTAATGTGAATGAAATGTATCCAATCAGCTGAAGGTCTTTGAAACAAAAACATAGTTATCCTGGAAAAGAAGGAATTCTGCCTCAAGACTAAAACTTAGAAATCTAAGTTGAATTTCCAACTGTTGACATGCTCACAAGGACCTCAACTTCAACTCAAACCTGACTTTCCTGCCTGCCAATCTGATGTACACATTGTGGACTTCTCAGCCACCATGACCACGTAAGATGTGAGCCAAAACTCCTCTTAATCTCAGTCTCTCTCTCCCTCTCCACTCCACGTCATTATCCCCCACCCAGAAAGCAATATTTTCTACTCCTAGTGGACTAGATGGTTTACATTAAAAACAGTGAATATCAATCTGATCCACCATATTATTATAGTAACTGAACAAGTACTTTTCTTCTTTCAAACAACCTGACTTGTGACTAGTAATTTTTATGTACTTTGATAGCAAATATATGCACAGTTTAACATGATCTAACAAATACTTCTTCTCTAAAGTGCCAAATATTCCCAAAACACCTGATTTTCTCAGAATATAAAGTATTTATCAGTACATCAAAACCTTTTTTTAAACAAATTGTTGATAATAAGGCTTTGTAATAAACTAATATAACTCTTAGGAAATTTGACCTGTTAAAATTATTATGACTTCACTTGATTTTATAACTTTCAATTCAACATGAGCTTGTAGGGTTTCAGCAAGTATAAATGGATTTTCTGATAAATTTTGGGGATAATAAAGTCACACTTACTGTTAAGGTAATATCTTTAGCTCTGGAGTCTAATTTAGCTTCTCCTTTCACAAGTTTAAGTTTAATAATGAAAGTCTCTTCAACTTCAATTTCTTCATGAGGATAGATGGTCAGAATTATGGTTCTCAATCCACCTTCTCCCTCTCCAAAATAGAAGGACCCACTCACGGGGTCTGCAATGTCTCTGTTCTGGGGTGATAAGTCTTCCTGAGAATTAGGTCCTACTATCACCCAGTTCACCTACAGGGGATTATATTTATATATATATTAATAGAGATGATCATTTTTAAGCAGATTTTATAGGATGCAAGTACTAGAGAAATACACACACACACAAATTACTCTAGGAAATCTCCAGTAAAATTCTGTTTTTTAAACTCATGTTTTTAAAAATATATGTTTACAAGTATACACCTGTAGAGTATCAATTTTCAAGGATATCAATATCTAACATGAAAAAAATCTAATTTGTCATTTGTCATCACCAGAGCATAAGAAAAATATATTTTTTGAGAAATACCAGGTTTTAAAACCTATGAGTGCAACAATGTGAAAAGCTCAGTCTTAAGTGCCTAATATAAAACAGAAATTTCCATAGGTTGTCATAAAAAACAAGATTTTATAATAAATGCATCTTTTAAAATTTCTGTAATTTACAATTCCATATACTTCATATCCAGGGAGAAAGTTGGGTACTTGTCTGCTGCTTACTTGATCTTTCACCAGCAGTGTACACCGGTGACCACTTCGTCTCTCTTGAAACACTGCATCCTGTCGTTCTTGGTTTACAAGAACTTACACAATCCATGCACCTTTCTACTTTTCCTTGTTCTCTACTTCTCTATCTTTCTCTCCCTCAATTTCCTAAATTCTGGGAGCTTGGACTCGAGTCCGAGTCCTGCACACCTCCACCTGCATTTTTAGAGCCCCTTGTTTTGAACGTCTTCATCTGTGCCAGCAACCTCCAAGTCTGTCTGCAGCCCTGACCTCCCAATCACCCATTCAGCCTACCTGACCCTTCCACTGGGATGGCCAGTGGCTACCTTGCATGAGCATGGCCAAAACAGAACTCTTGGTTCCCCCCGCCCCCGCCAAGTTTCTGGATCTCAGTAAACAGCACTACAATTCAATCAGTTGCTCAAGTTAAAGCTCGAGCAGTTATTTTGGTTCTTCTTCTCCACCAGTCTCACTACAGAATTCATTTTTCCTTCAAACATGCTCAAAGTCTATTTATTTTTTTTCATCTCCATCCTCAGTCACTCTGAGCTTTGTCCTGACAACAGAGGGTGACAGCCAGCTCCTTAGTGCCCTTCCTGATGCTCTTTAGGGCTCATGACAATCCATTTTCCTCTTGGCTATCATAAGGAAGCTACTTGAAATAACAATCGGGTGACATTGTTATCACTCCCCTGCTTAAAACTCTCTACTGGCATCCTATTTGCACTTAGAATAATCTTTCCCCTGGCTTAGGCGGTTCTCTGTGATGAGACACCTATGGGCTCCTCTGATGCTGTTTGTGCCAGTATCCCCTCCCATCCAGTCCCCACCTATGGACCTCTCTGTGCTTCAAACATGCCAGACTAGCCAAACTGCACTGGCTCTTCCCTCTATCCAAAAGTTCACCCCACTAACAGTTGTGTAACCAGACTACCTCTTTCTCATCACCCAGCTTTCAGTTCAACATCACACCCTTACATGCCAGAGTAACCGATACAAATGTCTCCCGATTTTACACTTTCGCAGAATACCTAGTGTTACCGTATCCTATTTTTTGAGACTCCCTATGAAAGCAGAGACAAGGTCTATCAGTGTGGCTTAGTGCCCAAAACAGGGTCTAACATATGAAAAGCACTTAAAAATTACTTTTGGAATTAACGTAATTTACCAAATCCTCTATTCAATATTCCTAATTTGCCCTCAAGGGTTCTCTGAAGACAGTTACATGCCTCATACACTTTTATGCACTTTAGAGAACTTGGAAGTGACTTGATACCTACTAGGGTAATTAGTTAATACTACTAATTGTGAATAAATTCATTTGGAGAAGAAAATCCAACACCATACTAAATGTATCAAAAATTATGTTTAAAACCATGAGACTGGATAACTCTACCTGAACCTCTCCAACGAGTTCTCCAGTCCGCTCCAACACCAAGAATAAAATCATTGTGGAATTGGGATTAGCAAGAGAAATTTTGCTCTGATTGAGAAATCTTACACCACCATAGGGAGAGTCACTCTTGGCAATTGTGATTCTGCTCACTAGGTGGCGCCCAAGGACTGCTCCACCAGTAGCTCCTACCAGCAGAATTTCAATGGGCTCTGCAAATTCACTGCAAAGCAAGAAGAAGCAATTCTGTGAGTCTAAACATATTAACGTGCTTCTAAAATCCAAATAACTAGTCATTTTCCAAATTGGTCATACATATTCAAGGCACAGTATTACACAGCAAGTGGTTAAGAAGAGGGTGCTGAGCTAAAAGCATAAATGATCAACTTCAATATTATATAACTATGATAGGCTTTCCCCCTCTTTTTAATTGCTTAATGCATTAAGGAAGTGCAATGCAGGATATTTCCACATTCTGATGAGACTTTTCAAATCTAAAGGAAGAAAATTATTCCCTCCTGTTTGAAAAAAAGTGACAACGATTAATAGTGTATCTTGCCATCCATTTTTCTATCATCTTTCCAGCACCAAATATTCCAAAAGTTTCCCACTTATTTCTTAACACAGACTTTTATTGTGCTCAATTTTTTTTTTCTGCACAGGTACTTTGGGTTTTTTGTTTTGTTTGAAAATTGAAGGTTTTTGGCAACCTTGTATTGACAAGTCGTTTGTGTTTCTAACAGCATGTGCTCACTTCCTGTTTCTGTGCCACATTTAATGAAGGTACGTGCACTGTTTATTTAGACTGGGTGTTGCTGCACACCTATTAGATGATTGTACAGTCATGCACTGGTCATTTTGGTCAATGACAGACCTCAGTTACAACAATGGTACCAATAGGCAATACCAAACAGCCTAGGTGTGAAATAGGCTATACCATTTAGATTTGTGTAATTATACTTTGACATCTGCACGATGAGATCACCTAAAGACTCAAATTTCAGATCCTAGCTCCATTGTTCCATGACTTCATAGCGTACACTTAACCTTTATATGCACAGGGAAACCCCAAAAATTGTGTGGCTAACTTTATTGTGACATTCTCATTATTGCAGTGTCATGAATAAAACCAGCAGTCTCTCCGAGGTATGCCTGTAATCTAAAAACATTATCATTGCAAAATGTAGCTAAGGACTGGAACACAATTTTCACGTTTTACATGTGCCCATATTTCTGGTTACAATAAATTACCTTTCATAGTCATCAATGATGGAGATATTTATAAAACTTAAGTTCTGCCCATGCTGAAAGGTGACTGCACTACCATGCAGTATGAAATCAATGCCGCCAGGAGCTGCCGACGAGCTCTGAGAAATGAAATCAGCTGTCACACGGCCGTAAGTTCCAACCAGCCTAACCACTGGAATCATTATCATCCCAGCATCTTCCTCCACTGTAACAGGAATTTGGAAATTAACTGGTACACAAGACAAAGCAACTAACTTGTAAGAGTCAGTCAAATTAAACCAGGCAAATATTGCACAACGCAAACACTCCATTTTTCCAGAGTTCATTTATCACTTTTAAAAAATGACTAGTGGGCCTCCCCAGTGGCACAGAGGGTTGAGTGCAGCGCTGTGAAGCTGTCTGCAGCCTCTGCAGTGTGGGTTCCGGCAGGCCGGGGAGAAATCCACATGGCGCGGCAGACCTTCCTGCCTTGCCCACTGCTACCCTCAGCAGTGTCTTCGGTCCGTCTGCCGGTTCTGTTCCCCACTCTGTCTCTGGTGAATCCTCTCACCCTCCCGCACATCTGGCTGTACCCCAGTTCTTGTATAAATAAATAAATCTAAAAAATTAAAAATTAAAAAAGTGGAATAAAAAAATAAAAATGACTAGTGAAAATTTCATGACACTTTTTTAGGAGGATCATAGTTTATCATAAGTTGAAAGTTACAGTAAGCAGTATAAGTTAAAATTTAAAAGGTCTATTTAATCATTAGCACTGAAATTATTTTTCTGTGTTCTACAAATAAATGACCCCTGATTTCCAAGACAATGCTAAATGCACATGAAAATTACTTAAAACATGTGTGGTCAAAGGAAACCATTCTTCTACACAATTAGCTGTGACATAAGTAACAAATAAGAATGTTTGTTATTTATAGCTTATGTTTTTAAAGCCTAAACAGATACAATTCTGTATTTTTATTTTTTATGAAATCAACTTGTGAATCTAAATATGTACCCTCTATTTTTGATTTTAAATTTCAAATTCTCTACAAAATTTATTCTAAATCTGTCAGTTTTTAAAATATCATTTAATAGAGTGCAGATTAGCTATAGGTAAATAATACCAAACTTACAAGAAACCATGCCCAAAATCCCCACAAAAGATAGTTACTCAAACAGTTAAAAAAAATTCCATGTCCCCCTTTTTTTTTTGGTGTAAAATTGTTGCATGACTTTTAGTGCCTGTGGACTGAACTCCACCAAATAGTGATGTCTTCTATGACTTTACTCATAAAGTCAATATAAATTCCTATGGATGTTTTTGATGAATTTTAAATATGGCTATATAACAAAAGAATTTTCATAGAGGCAATAAAGCTGATGAATTAATTACAAGAAGGTAACATCATTATTTTTAAAGATAAATTCAAAGTGCCTTGCAATAAAGTCAAAAAAGTAGCCACTTCTTTCTACCTAGGAGGAATGTAGTCAAATATTCTACATTCTACTTCTGCAGAAGGGGAGAAATGGTAATACTCAGCAGCTGCTATTAAAACTTTTTCAGAAAACATGATTAGGAGTCCTGATACAAACTGCACAAACCAATAAAACAGGCATTACAAAGATGATTCATTAGATTCATTAGAAAGTAAATATTCATTGATTCTAGTCATAAAGAATTTAAGTATTACAGAAATTGGAATGATATTCATTAAAGTACCTAAAATAAACATTTCAATAATCCTAAAATTCAATATAATTTGCTATATTGCTTCATTCCTAACTATTCAGTTTTGCTATATACATCCAAGGTTCAAGACTGCACCAAAGTACTCAAAATATAATTTTTAAATAAACATATGTACGTACACACACATAAAGGTGTGAATGACATGTGTGTGTTTGTGTGTGTGACTGTGCTGGTAAATCTGTAAGGTTAGTGAACCTACCTTCAAAGGCAGTATACCTTGGGTCAAATTCGATAATGCCCTCTGCATTATCATTTTTCATTATTATGATTCTGACAATGGAGATATTTCCTATTTCAGGAGGTTGATCGATCTGAAGTCCATTTTCTTGGATGGTAAAATCATACCCTCTTGCAAAGTCATAAAGAATAAAATAAAATGAGTACGTAATTGCTTAGCATTAATTTAATGGTTCTCTTAGCTCCCATAGTCTTCTTAAGCATTTTAATCCTTTAAAAGACCCTCAACACTAAAACCCTTTTTTTCTGAAATGATGTTTGAAACAGATTTCTATGGCACTCCCAATTATTACTGCCTACATGAAATCAAAACCAAAATAATATTATAAAGCTTGGGCAATGGGACAATAACCAAAGTGCTAGGATGGGGACAGAGATGCTGTAAAATAAACTTCTAGAGCCAGGAACACACTCTGAACTTGTTCTACAGTACTGGGCCAGAGAAGGAATGTGCATGAACTCCACTACAAAGATAAGAAACCAGCTGGGCTTGCCACTTGCAATACTGAGAGGGCGACTTTCTGTAAATAATGAGTGTCACGTCAATAAAGAGATTTCAAGCTAAACCATCAAGATTCAAGAAAATATTTCAGTTTCTGTGGAAACCAATTATAACCAATGCCTTTATGCTTTAATAATAGAGGTAGTTTACTTGTCTACTGACATGCTTCTGCTAGGGAAGTTATTTTTTTGATCCTATTCCCACCAAAGAAAAGTTTTTTATCACTTTAATTCCTGAAGCTAGACAATGGCTCTAAACCTGTTAGTCCTTCTTTCAAATACTAAATCTATTTACCTGACATTTTTGCCTTACCTAGTTTAGGAAGACTGACAGTTGGTTATTAAGATTATAAATAAGGCGGTATTAGAAAACTGGGGATTAGAATATTACATGATAAGAGTAACTCTTATCAGTAGTCAAGGTGGGTTTTAAATTGACAGATTACCATAACTGAATATCAGAACAGTAAATTTTTAAGCAACAAGGCAAAATGGGTATAAGTGACATCCCTTTTCAGATCAAAGAAAGCCTAGAAATGTATCCGAAAGGAAAAACTTCTTTCCCCCACAATTAAACTTAAGTAACACCTTAAGTAACTCCTTAAGTAATAATTCTGCTACTTTTAAAGGGTAGAAGAGAATACAAAAATCTCCAAGTCCTAGTTCATCAATAACAGATATGATCTCACATTTAGTGAATTACTTTTACCAAATTTCACCTATCTCATTAAAAGAGTTGTCAGTTCAAATCCTAACACATTTAATGTATATACTAATGCATTCCCCTCTTAAGGGTACACAGTCATTTTGGGAAAATTTAAGATTAAAAGTGTACACAAATGCACAATATCTTTTTTCCAAGTGTAACATACACACTTTACCCCAATTCATTCAGTGAAATGTTTTGGTTTCAATAAAGTTTTTATAGTACGGTTTTTATATAAGAAACACAAAATATTTTCATACATGAGAAAAACTCCTTTAAGTCTTATATGAATGCAAACATCATTCCAGTTGAAGGTTCTGTGCAAGCTCTCAGTGCAACGGTGCACCCAGGAGGGTAATTCAGCAAGCTAAGGTGTTTTCCACCCTGGCTAATCAAGTGGGCTTCACTACATCATGAGAGGGACTCTTAATCCCCAATGAAAACATGGAGCACATTAACCAGCAACTCTTTGTCTCAAATTTGTTCTTCATGTTAGAACTGCTACCAGGCAGGTTTCCAATTCATTGACTCAGTCACAGACAAGACGATACACAGAGATCAAGGAAAGAACTCACTCACTCTAGTCCTTCCCCAAAGATTGAGAAAAAGAAAGGGGCAAGCAAACTCAGTCACACCAGCTGAGCTCAGGCCTGGAAAAGTTACTCTATTTCATCACCAAATTACTACAAAACCCACATCATGTTCATTTGTCTGACCTCCCAGAGAGAAGCCAAACAACAGAATAACATACTTTCAGGGGGAAAAATTATGTTTTACAACACTGCATCATTAAGAGGTAGCCTTTACCATCATTTCCTACTAGGCCTTGCTCTAATGTCACATAAATCTGAGCTAGAGCAGGGAAAAGCATGGTTTACATTTCACTTGTAATCCCTACACAATGTAGCCTTTACTCTCACTTCACCTTTTGCTTTCATTCCCCCAAGTTTCTCTTTGCTCTTACCTTCCCAGGAGTTCCACCTTTGTAATCACCAGAGAAAATTCCTCGGGACCTTCAGGAAGACCATCATCAAGGATTTCAACATAGAGGTTTTTCACCGTCTCCCTTGCTTTAAAGAGGAGCTCACCGGGTGCAGGGATAAAATCCAAGCCGGCCTCGGCTGTGCCGCTCACAGTCTCATAACACAGCCTCACCGAGCCCAAACATCCTCCTGAACGGAAGACTGTGATGTTGACCTATGCGAGAAGCAGTATTTTACTGATTTGCATATTTAATCTACGGAAAAGTCTTAATTTGTACCTGTCTCTTAAAAAGATCTGTTTCTAAGGATGTTAAAATTACATATAAATTTATGAAAGTAGATAAATTATACGTGAAATTGATGTTGGTATCAAATTAACCAGTTCGTGAAAACTTTGGAATATGAAAAAGAATATGTTTTATTCTTTTCACTCACAACATAAAAAATGAAAATGGTATTAAAGATCAAAAGCATTTCATACTCTACCCTTTGTGCTTTCTCGGATACTAGAAGTTGCTCTTGTGAAAAGGCAAACCGTCCATAGGGAAAGTCGCTGGCCACTACTGTGATATTCGCAGTGCTGCTGGATTCACTCAGTATTCCGCCCTCACTGACTCCAGTGAGCTGAAACTCATAGAAACTCTTTTCCTCAGGAATGTCATCATTCAAAGTCTAGACAATGACAAAAAGAGACACTGACAACAGAAACTGACATTTAAGCAAAATTACCAATCATAAAGCAACAACACACATATTAGACACCATACACACTGAGCCAAAAGACAAGACAGAAACCAGTTAACACTGCTACCTGTATTACTACAATCGCTGCAGACTGTCCATCTTGCATTGTTAATTTCCCTGTTGTTTCCACAAATTTCCCGACAGAAGGTGGAACTATCCTCCAGTACACAGTGATCTCCCCCCAGATGGCTGGGCCACGGACAAGGCTACAACAGTGTAGAGTGAGTAAGTTTCTACTGAAGGACTTTTCCTAAATATTTGCTGTTTTTCAACAATAAGCAATTTTCATTTATTTCAAGAACACATATTTAAATAACTATCAATGGTAAATAGAAAGTCTTATAATTCTAAGACACTAATTACCAAAATACTAAGCTCATGTAAATCTGTTTGAGGAGGGTACTGGCTAAACTGAATACTGAAAATAGGTTATTTTTTTTTAAATAAATTTTATTTTTATATTCCCCATACAATTGCAACCCCCTTATTTTGACCCCAATCCTTCCCCTCCCCGCCCCTCCCCGCCCACCCATAGAGTGTCTCTGGTTCATAGTTTTTTGTTGATTTTGATTTTCACTTTCTTATAGTTATTCATTTTCCTGGTCCCTTATTTAAGTTTTCTACATTCCTGCTATGAGTGAGACCATCTGGTATTTTTCTTTTTCTTTCTGGCTTATTTCAATGAGCATGATCCCTTCCAGCGCCATCCATGTTGCTGCAAATTGCATGTGTTTATCTTTTTTGAATGCTGAGTAATATTCCATGGTATATATGTACCACATCTTCTTGATCCAGTCATCTATTTTTGGGCATTTGGGTTGTTTCCAAAGCTTAGCTATTGTGAACAGTGCTGCTATACACATAGGGGTGCAGGTGTTCTTTGGAATTGATGTTTCTGTGTCCTTTGGGTAAATACCTAGGAGTGGAATTGCTGGATCATATGGAAGCTCTATGTTTAGTAGGTCAAGAAATCTCCACACAGCTCTCCATAGTGGTTGGACCAGTTTGCACTCCCACCAACAGTGCAGGAGAGTTCCTTTTTCTCCACATTGGAAATAGAAGGTTTAATGGGATTTCTTTGTTGTTGTTTTTTTTTTAAGATTTATTCATTTATTTTTTATTTATTTATGCATACAAGAACTGGGGTGTAGGTCAGAGGAGGTGGGGTAAAAGGATTTACCAGACACAGAATGGGGAGCAGAACAGGCTGATCTACTGAGATACACTGCTGAGGGAAGCAGCGAGTGAGACAGGAGAGGTCTGCTATGCCATGTGGGGTTACCTCCCTGGCCAGGATTGAACTCATGTTGCAGTGGCTGGCGAGAGCTTGATAGCACTGAGACTTTAAACCCCTACGCCACCAAGGAGGCTCTAAAGGGATTTCTTTTTAAGTATATAGAGTTCAGTATTTACAGACCTATGTTGATACAAAAGTAAAAAACATGAATAGCTTAACAAAGTCCTCTAAAGATATACACTTCATACATGCAAAGCTAGTGTAGAAACTACCAAAAAGATCAAGTTATTAGGTCAAATTTAGCTACTTCATTGAGAGCTGCTATACCATTTTTCATGAGAAAAATTTGTGATACACAAATTTGCCTCTGATCATACAAATTTAATTATATACAGGCTCTGACCCTAAAACAGTTAGGATCATAATATATGGGATCCAGATGATTTTCTAAAGGCTGATTTTTGCAGCTGAGACACACAAGCTTACGGAGATTAAGGAACTCTTGTTTTATGTGGTTAGTGACAGAACTGGGCCGGAAGCACAGATCTCCTGCTGTCAATTCACCTCTGTGTTCCTTCGCATAAGTTGTGCAAATCATCTGAGAAACAGTCAGAAGCTTCAAGGTAATTCAAGAAATTGAAGAATATGTCTTCAATTTCTACCAAAAGTTTGCTCTACTCTCCACAGAATGTTACCAATATATGAAACATTATGTTTGAAGACTATGTTTGTGTTGAGAACACTGGATCTGCGATACAGAAATGCTTTAATAAATTACTTTAATAAAACTCAATCTCTACCTAGGCAAAGAAAAATTGTGAAGCTCTTACCTGATGACAGCAGTACCATTATATTCTGCTGAGGGTTCTGCAGTGAGGATGTGCCTAGATGATGGAGCTATCCCAACTTCTCCCAAGGCTCCCTTATCTCCCCGGATGATTATTGATGCACTGCCTAGGTTGAAGATGACATTTGCCACTTACATAGCAAACACATATGTGCACTTAGTATATATCTGGCAATGTCCTAAGCACTTTACTCAGGAGTGAATCCTCACGACAATCATCTAAGTTTCGTACTAACATTATCCTCATTTTATCAATTAATGTGTTTAAGCACATTGAGGTACTGAAAACATTGTGGCAAATAACCTACCCAACATTACATGGTTTGGAACAGACATACACTGTGATTTCTTTTATATTGATAAACTATTTACCCTGATCTACTAATATGTTACTGTTTTGTGTCTAGTCAGTCTATACAATATCAACCCTGACACTGTGTGTGATATAGACAATTAAGCTAACTTAAGACTTCTGAAAGAAAATGGTGCGAAAACATGATTCCCTCACAGGCTTGTTGGAAAGAAATCTAGTAAATAACACAAATCCTTTCTCTCCAAATCTAAAAAGCAAATCTTCTCATTATGATGATTCACTACAATTTTGAGAATTTCCTTGGCCACCGCATTCTTTTGACCCTTGCATAGAATGAACTTCATGGCAAAAATAAGCCTTAACAGTAAAATAAATGTCCATCTCAAAGTTCCTGGACTATTTTATGTTTATTATTGTCTGCACCTCAATGAAACCATTTTTAAACTAGAAATCCTTTCTCTCCAAATCTAAGAAATATTCATATAGACCACTGGCAAATAAGAATTATTATGCATGTTTTTGAAATGTAAAAATATCTAAGTAATTCTGTTCAGATGAAAACAGGTATAGATAAGCTGAAATATAATAACATTGTTTTAAAATAACATTTATTTAAAAAGTAATATGTGAGCATTATACATATATTTTAGAAAATACAGGTAATCAAAACCATGATTAAAATGTCAAACAGATTTTGACAAAATGACAAAAATGGGATCACACTGAACATAGTATGAAGCTTTCTTAATTAACATAACAGTTACCCATGTAATTAAGTGTTCTTAATTTGTAATGTAATTAAGATTCTTTGGGCCATGTCCTTTTAAATAGCTGCATAGCATTCTGCCAAACATAACCAGTCCCTCCTCTGCCCCCCCCCCATGGTGTTTCATTCAGGAAGTGTCCATATTTTATTTTATAAACATTGTTACAATAAACATCTCTAGTTAAAAAAAAATTCACAGCTAAATGATATGGAATTTTTGACATATGACCTTACTGACATTATTATAATTTTAGTGTAAAAATTCTTTGGATGTAATACACATGGAAATTACATCTTTATGCTTTAGTAAACATTTTAGGAGTTATAAAACCTAACATCACCTATCTGTGTAAATACGGATCACTACATTAGATTTTCCAAGGATTTAATTATGGGGAAATTTTTAATTTCCAAAAATGTGATTTCTCTTACCTTTCACTGGAGAGATTTCTACTTCATCAACTGAAATCAAATGAATGGTGAAATGCCTCTCCTTCTCCAACATGGTGTCTTGAAGTGTATGCAATACAATTGTCTTCTGGGACTCAGTCTACATCAAATGGGAGGAATAATGAATTTTTCCAGATTGGACACAGCCAAATTTTGAATGTTTCTCATTAGCTGGATAATATTTATGTCCATAAATATTTAAATATGGCCCCTTTTGGCTAGTAGTATGTGTTGCTTCTAGTACATAAACATTAGCTCTGATCATAAAATTCATTTAGGTTCTAAATAGAAAAATTAGGGGAAAAATTAAGACAAACTCCACATTTACAGAAAATTTTTAAACACTGAAAGCCAGCCTCTTAAAAAGAGTTAAATGGTCATAGCGTGATGTGAACAGACCAAAATCATAGGTTTAATACTTATAAAAGTTATCTTTCTACTACCCATTTTATGTTTTTGCCATCTATCAGATTTGGACTCTGTTTAGAAACCAAAAGGAAACAAAAGCAGGATTAACTGACCCTGATCTACAGGAGGAAGGACAGCCGTTTCACAATGGATGTATCCACCTGGCTTGGCTGACCAGTTTTGCCCTCAGCCACCAGAGGACATATTTTGATGATGAGATGGAGACCACATATGAACCAAAGAATTTGACTTCAAACATCTGAGGGTGTGTGTGCATGCACACACATTACATTTGTGATTTTCCCCATGGTGCATATGGATTTCAAAAAAATTCCAGAGATAGTGAAAACTATCATATGAAATCCTAAATAATGTTATGGAAAAGGAAATCAAAGACAGACTAATAAAAAACAAGAGTCCTGATGCTGACTATACCTCATCAAAATTAATTGTTCCATTCAAAGGCCTGAGATCATCTTTAGCCTTCTCATCTACAGTCCACTGAAGTCGGACAGCTCCTTTTCCTCCTGGGGAACGGACAACTGTCAATGTCACATATGAATCAGGGTCATCTGACAACAGGGATTCTTCAACCAATACCTGAAAGAAATAAAATCCAGTGGGGTGAAAAAAAGAGCAAAAAAAACCAAACAGTACTTTGATTTTATTTATGACTGTAATGTCTTTAAATTTAGAACTCTATTCAAGTTGAGTTACAATGACATGTCAGAAAAAAAATGTTTTGCCACATCAAGTTTCCCTTTAGCTATACACACACAGTTACTTAGCCTATCTTAGTCTCTCTTGCAATTACGTAGAGAAAGGGACTGAATTCTGATGAACAGAACATAAGCAGAAGTGAAGGATGCTACTAACAGTCTGGCTATCAACCCCACACAATCCTCATATGTGCCCCTTTCTTTTCCACTTACTAGGTGACTAGAGGAAACTCCCAGCACAAGAAGGGGACAGAGTTGCAAAATAGTAAGTGGCTGAATCTCAATTGAGACACCAACCAGTCGATGTGGAGGAGTCTGTAAGATCCTAACTAGGGGACTTACATGAATAAGAAACAAACATGATGTCAAGATAGTAAGATTTTAGGATTCTTTGTATGCAGTAAACCTAAACTGCCTCTAAATTATCTGTAGTTTTTCAACTTTAGTAAGTCCAAATTAAAAGAGGTTTTATTAACATAACAGAAAGAGAGAAGGAAATTCAGTGCAGGTAAAATTAATTTACCTGCAACTATTTACATAGGAAACCTTTAAAAGAGCTGGTTCAACTGAATTACTCAACTATATTGACTCTGAAGAACATGCATATTGAGTTATAATATCTGTTATGTAAATACAATAAATAATACAAAGCTTTCTAATTTCAAGATACTTAAGATAATCTTGTTTGGGTTTTTGTTTTTTTTCAGTGAAATTTGCATTAGTGATGAGAGGAATTTTGAGCCAGTAATATTTATTGAGCTTCTATTATGTAAACTTCACAGAAAATCTCAGCAATCTGATGGCCACAATAGATTTGGAAGAGAAAAACCTCTACTCTAATTCAGATTTCTTTGACTCCATACCCAGTGCTGTTCAGACTACTCAGAGACCAGAAATATTAAATTTTAAAAAATCCATTACCAAAAAAACTGTATATACAAGTTCTTTTTGTTACTACAGATTTAATAACAGTTTGGGTTTCAAAAGTAGATTTCCATGAGCCACTGCTATTCTCAGAGCTGTAGTATACTTAGCACATTGTCCTTATGAGTAGCTAATTAACTGACAGATTTGACTAAATTTTTTCTCAATATTTTTCGATCCTAGCTAATGTTTGACCAAATAGTGCTGACTGAATGTTCTCTGTGTGCAAAATATAGCATTAGATCTATGTTAAGAGGCAAAATACATACTATCTAGAGCCACCAGCAATAAAAAAGATAGGATATAAGAGAAGCAGACACAAAGGGCTGAGTAACAAACTATTACTGATACTACCAACAGTAACAATAACAAGTCACACTTCTTAATTATGAAGCCCAGTTTTAAGCTTTAAATGTGTCAACTCATTTACTCCTTATAACAGTTCTGAAGAATAACACAGTAGTGATTGGGTATCTTAACTCTCTTTATAAGACAAATTGGAAATTGGAGGTTATTACAATAATTTATGAGTACCCACAATGAGGGCACAGTAAAGTTTGTGCACTAAAGAATATGACAGCAGTTAAGATAAACTACACACAAAAATTATTTATGAATAGAAATTTCTATTCATCTTGCCTAACAGCAAGAGAAACATAAACACACTGCCCAGTGACTAAGTCCAAAAGAGTGACAAAGTTAAAAGCAAAAACATTATTTTAAGGCTCCCCAAATAGAAGTTTGATTACTAACCACTGACACTTTCATCCAATCTCAGGATCTGATTGACATTTTCTAGAAATTAAATTACATATTTATATGCATTCAAAATTCAGATGGAAATACAAGATGTTAATAATATCCATCTTTGGATAGTATAATAATATTATGGATAATTTTACTCTTTATACATATTTGTACTTCCCAGACTTTTCTATGTTGCCTGGGAAACATCCCCATGTGCTCGCTTGTGAATAAGCCACGAATATTATTTCTGCTTATTCCTTTCCCAAGGAAGAAAAAGAGTCTCATTAGCTACAAAAGAAGTATGTTTTGTACCTCTTATGGGTTCCCTATTCTTACGAAGTTGAAATTTCAATGAGCACATCATTAGACCATTATTAGGGTATATTAAAATTTTGGAGCTTCTGAGAAGCCCAGAGACAGGCAAGTTTTAGGTCTAGCCTCACATCCACACAACAGTAATGACAATGGGTATGAGAGAAATTTGCTCATTGAAAGTGATCTATGGGAAATTACTGATGGCCTATGACTAAATGAAGAGAATGGTGAAACATGAAGACAGATTAAGTTATTGTGTGCATCAGAATTATCTAAGTAGTTTTATGATTATTTCATCTTGAAATTCCCTTTCAAAGTAAAGTCAGTAATTGTGACATACTCATCATGTAGTAATAATTACAATATGGATTATAGCACTTTATATTTATATTTAAGACATAAAAATAATTTTATACTTAGTCACCAAACAGGGTGAGTTTTTTTCTCTATCAGTGCTTGAGCCAACAATAATTGGGCTCCTTCTTGCAGGGCTTAGAAGTAGACAACCAATGAGAAGACGGAAGAAAAAAGAAAAAATACAGAAAAACACATGATCCCTGGTGACTGTGCTTTGTTTAATAGAAGTCAAAAAAGAGTGCCAGAAGGATAAGTAATATAAATTCTTCTCCAGCTAAGCCCATCGCAGGATGTAACATCCAGATCTATGACAGCTTCTTCCCTTGTGACCAATATGGTAGTCCCCGATAACAAAGCAGGTGGACAGGACATACGGATGGAAAGCTTATCTTGATCTGTTACACCCAATAAATAGGAATCTGTTCCCCTTTGTAAACACCTAATGCCAGAATTATCTTTATAATCAAACTGTGCACTGTGAGAAACTGGCCCCTAATTCAATAGTCAACAACAACAACCAAACACCCTTGAGAATTTAAGTGAAGGATAATAGTTTTTTTTAAAAAAAAAAAAAAAAGATGAGGGCCTCCCCAGTGGTGCAGCGGTTGAGCGCTGGGTTGCAAAGCTGCCTGCAGCCTCTGCAGGGCCGGTTCAATCCCCGGCTGCAACCCGGCCACCGGAGGAGGGTCCCACATGGCGCACAGACCTCTCCTGCTGCCTGCTGCTCCCCTCAGCAGTGTACGTCAGTCCTTCTGCCTGCTCTGCTCCCCGCTCTGGTGAATTCTCTCACCCTCCCGCGCTTCTAACTGTACCCAGTGCTTGTATAAATAAACAAATCTTTAAAAAAAAGAATTTAAAAAATAAAAAAATAAAAAATAAAAAAAAGATGTGTTTCTATTAAAAATCACGGGATGTAGTAGCCTAGTAAAGGCATATTTAACTTACAGTCTTTTCTTCAAATCCAAATACTCCAAATGGAGAGTCATTTTGTGGAATAACAACAGTTAAAATAACATCATCGCCAAGTCTGCCACCTCCAACCACCCTGACTAAGGAAATATTGAATGTCTCCATGAGTTCAAATTCAGCATCGTCAATTATGATGATTTCTATTACTGCAGTAACCTGAGAAAGAAAAGGAAGAAAAAAAAAGAGAAAAAGAGAATAAGGAGGGGAAAAAGACAATGCAATGAGTAACTTCTGTCATATGTATTTTAAATTTTTAGCTGAAACATAGAAACAGCACAAAGAAAAAATGCAAGATATTTTTGCCTGTTATGTTCATAATACTATTTTGATGCCATAGCTATGTAGTTTTTAAATCAGAAATTTAGTCTATTATTTTTAAAGTAAATTATGTATGTAATAAAAGATAGTATTATTTATAGATGCAAAAATAATGATGGCCTATTCTCTTAATGCATTTTAAAATTGTTTTCAAAGCTAATCTCATTGCAATACACTTTTATATACATGGTATTAATATTACATGATATAAAATGGTACCCTAACAATCATCATAGTGTTAATTAAAATAAATCCCTTTGATTTCAAATATTGTTCTCGTAATGCAGGCAGATTATGGTAGAAAGAAATCCAATTTTTTGTTCATAGATGGTTATGAACAGGGTATCATTCCTTTGCCTGGATCTATGTGATTTCACTAATACTTGTAAATATATCCTAGCTGTGTCTCATATTAAAGCTTTTTCTGTAGCTCAGAGGAAAATCCCAGTACGTTGGCACAGTTACTTACCAGAAAATTTTTTTCTACCTAAAACCTTTAATTTAACAACAGAAAAGTGACAAATCTGAGCATCACACTTAAAGAGAGGCAAAACCCTGAACAAAATCAAAAACTAAAATGGAAGCTCATTAAATTGTCTGCACTTCAAATTTACAGTGTAGAATACAGAACACACTTTCCCTATAGGACATTAACTTTAGAAATAATGAGGATCCTAAAGACACTGCTAAATTATGGGACTTCAATCACAAGCACAGAGAGAAGAGAGAGAGGAAAGCATAAAGAAATAACATACAGATAGGTTATTTCAATTAAAAATCATTATTTGTGTCTGCTTTTAATGTAAAAATCTGTATTACCACTCCCTTTTAACAGGAAATGCTTTAAAGTTCTGATTTTGCTTAAAACTCATCATTTCAAATATAATAGGCCTTTATGTGTAGGAAAATCTAGATCATATATACTTATCTTGAAGCTTCATTAATGCCACCCTAAGGACAACTGATAAGTTGGCACATATTATGCAGATTCGTCTAGGCAAAAATCAACTTCGTGTGGATAGATACTGCTATTTGAAGTTATTGACATTTTCATGGTTGTTCACATGACCTTTTTAGTTGAGTATTTTCAGAAACATCTTATTTTTATTACAAAATGTTCATTTTGCAAAATTTATGACTCCTGAAGAACATTTTATAAAATTAAAATTGATTTGCCCAAATCTAGAATATTGTTCTCTTGTGTTTTTTCCAGTTTTTTACTTTTCTTTCATTTTAGTCTTTTTTTAATGATGATAGAAGTTTTGGATGTTAAGTAATAAATATGCACACTTTTCAGTGTAGATATAAAATAGATATTTGCATTTACAAGCATTAAGAAATAAGCAGAATAAAAAAACCTAAAATTCAGAGGAATTTTAGGTTTATTTTAGGTTTATTTTAGTCATAATATGACTAATTAGGCAATTTTTTATATATCTTTAGGTTTTCTAATTATTATCTACTTTTATAATTTCCATTTAAAACAGAATCAGATGGGGAAGTTCAGAAAAGGATGAAATTCTTGTCTCTGTTCTTACCATGTCCATTTATAAATTACAACATCAACTAATAAAATTTCATTTTGGCTTGACATTGAGACATTTACAGTGTAATATATTCAGCTATCACTATTGCACATTTCTTGGCAGACGCCTACAAAACACTTCAAGAGCCCCAAAATGTTAGTACATTCATGAGTAGCATACTTGTCTCTCTGCAAATTCAAGAATTCCATGAGATGGCTTAAAGTCTTCGAGGCCAGCACTGCCCAGTGTTGCTTCCCAATAAACGCTTACTGCCCCAAAGCTTCCAGACAGTCGGATGACAGGAATCTGAAGAAGGGTCAATGGTGGAGGCACCTCATATGCAGTAATACCACCACCAGCATCCTTTAAGGAAAGAAAACAGATTGAAATGCAAGACAATAATATCATCTTATATATCATCTCTCTAAATTTATTATTCCTCTGACATTTCTTCTAGTTGATTCATCAAAGCAGAAATTAATAGTCATCTATATGTATGCATAATAGGTCTTCCAAATTTTTACACTTAAATTTAGTGAAAATATACATAATCCTTTGCTCTACCTCAAAGAGAACTAAGAATTAGTCTAAAAGATAAATTTCAGGACAGACAATTGTAAATATCTGCAAGCAAAGACAATTTTGCAGAAAATTTGACACTTGCAAAATCAGCAAGTATAAGTTTCTGTATTACTATTAATATATCAAAGTACATCTTACTCTAGTAACATGAAACTTAAAAACTCCTCTGGGGTCATCATTTTCTTCAATTGTTATTTCAACCACTTCCTTTCCAGGCCTCCGCACACTTGGTTGTCCTTCAGAGAAGTCAGAGTTCACTAGGTAAACCTCGGTGATGTTGACAATAAATCCTTCATCCAACTCGGGTGCATTATCCTGAGGGTAGGGGGAGAGCATGGGAGGATATTTTAATATATTCAATATAATTTGCAATGGAAACTCGATTTTTTCAGTAAGAAGTAAATGTCCATGGGAATAGGTAGCTCTATTGTATATACAAAAAAAGTCACTTTATATTCATATACATTTTATATTTTACTACATTATCCCAACTTCTTTATCTTAGGGGATGTTTAAGCTTATTGATCATGTTTCACTGGAAACCTCATGCTCATTAGCACATAAAATATTTTCTTAAAAATCTGTCCCACCATTTTGACCATACTTACTCCACTGAATATGTATTACATGTATTATCTCCCCCACAGAATTTAGGAGAAACTGGTTAAGTGGTTAAAAATACATACTAAAAGAGAAAGCTCAAGACTTACAAGCCTGGACTTGTAAACCAAACCCTATATTTTAATTATTTTTTTTAATTGCTACTTTATTTTTGAATGGGTAACAAAAAATTCCAAAAGATAAAAAGAATTCACAGTGAAAAGGTAAGGAAACCTCCATCCATTCTAACCTATCCCTCATGTCTTTCCCAAAAAATTCTCAAGAAGCCCCTACTATTAACATTACTATTAAAATACTAATAATATAAAAAATATTAATATTAGTAGTACATTTATTCAATAATGTATGATTTATAACGGCATTATTAGATATTATTATATATCATTAGCAACACTATTTACCAGTGTCAGTTTCTTATGAATCAACAGATATATACACAATGTTCTCTTTTTACACATAAAGAGAAAACACTAAAACCATTATCTAAATATTTGAATTCAGAGCCTAGAGCAGTGCTTGGCATCTATTAAGGAGACAATAAAATTTTGCTGAGGCCCCAGACAAGCCAGTGGAACCTTTGTCAGTTTCCTCACTGTCACTTCAGTGGTCATGACAAGAAAGTTCCTGTACAAGGAACTTTATGTGCCTTTGGCAAGTCTTGAACATGGACAAGCACCTGGTTTCCTCCTGAACCCAAATGTAGCCACTGACTACTGTGCTGTATCTCACAGCATGGGCATCACATCACCCCATCACCCCAAAGTGTGAAACTCAAGGAAATGAGTCACCTTTTGATGGTCACAGGCCTCAATCATGGACCATGTAGGTCTGATCATCCTCATTATAGATAAGGACAAAGGTTAGAAAACAATGTGCTTTTACTGAGAAGGTTCAGACGAGCTTGGATCAAATTTAAGGTCTTGATTCAAGTAATATCATGAAATGAAAATATTGCCATATCAAGTCATAATAAATATAACTAGATTGATTTGGGTATTTTATTCTTTCAATAATTAGTTTACAAATAACCACCCAACAACATCAAAAGAGTGAATTCATTAGACACATAATAATCAATCCAAATGTAGCGTTTCAAAGTTCACTGAAATGTTCCAGTTCTAAATAAATACAATAGTTATTTTTACCAAATAAAAAATATTCACTATTAAATATGAGTGGAGAAATTGTAGTAATCATATTTTTACATTTAAAAGCCTTCTTTAAAAGACTGATTTTAAAAGTACATCACATTTTTATCTTTCAGAGCATTTTTTTTTTTAATTTTATATCATAATTGTAGCCTAGACTCACCGGCAAAATGACAACTTTGGCATATGTTTCTTTTATGTTTTCTTTCATTACTATTACTGTTTCTTGCAGCACATAATCTTCATTCTCAGTTGCTTGGTTATTGATATGCAATAAGAGATTGGGTTTAGCTAACAAGTGAACAGCAATGTCTCCAGTTAATCCTTTGTCTCGAACAATTTGCAACTGCAGGGTGGTGATGTTCTCTGTGAGAGGGACATGACTCAGGTAAACATATGGCTGTTCTAGCACTTAAGTGCTATTCCAAGCACTTAGGAAATGTTCTTCACAATCTTTTTTGAACAGTTAAAAGGTAAAATGACGACAACATATACTCCCAAGTATGCTTTGTTCTTTTGTACACCAAATTGTGCTGAGAATCACTGTTTACTCCTAGATTACATACTAGTTCTAAACCCTCACTCTAGTTTTCCAATGCACTCTTCTATGTTGCAAGTATCATGCATTTTAACAGCTAAGGAAAATATATGCATAGGTTGAACAGAGGTTCCAAGTACAAATGCTGAGTCACTGAAAATGAAAAATTAAGCATACAAAGCCATCATACTATTCATTAGAAGAGCAATTTTGTTATTATAAAGTAGTGCCTAACACAAGACTCAAAGTATTTCACAGCATCTACTTTTCATTTCTTAGATATTTAAGTTTTATTCTGCCACATAAATTTTAAAAAGTGCTTCTCAATATTTCACCCTAGTCTTTAAGTTTGTAATGATCAAATCCCATGTCTTTAATTTTCCAAAATTAAAGAATAATTCCTGACAAAATGACTAAGAACATAAAAAATGTTTGTTGAATGGGTAAGTGCACAGTTCATTTAAGGTCTATTGCTTTGGTTTTCAAATATACAGATAAGAAAACCCAGGTACAGGGCCTCCCCTGGTGGCGCAGTGGTTGAGCGCTGGGCTGCAAGGCAGCCCGCAGCCTCTGCAGCGCCGGTTCGTTCCCCGGCCAATGGCAAGGGTCCCACAAAAAAAATAATAATAAAAAAAAAGAAAACCCTCGGGCCTCCCCGGTGGCGCAGCAGTTGAGCGCTGGGTTGCAAAGCTGCCCGCGGCCTCTGCAGCGCCGGTTCGATCCCCGGCTGCTCCCCGGCCACTGGAGGAGGGTCCCACATGGCGCGCAGACCTCTCCTGCCGCCCGCTGCTCCCCTCAGCAGTGTACTTCGGTCCTTCTGCCTGCTCTGCCTCCCGCTCTGGCTCTGGTGAATTCTCTCGCCCTCCCGTGCTTCTGACTGTACCCAGTGCATGTATAAACAAAACAAACAAATAAATAAATAAATAAAAACATGCCTCTATAAAAAAAATAAAATAAAAAAAAAAAAAGAAAACCCAGGTACATAACTACATGTCATTCCCCCTGTATCAACTATATACATAAAAGGACCTTGAATTATGTTCCTAATGTGTTCCTAATTATAATTTTAGAACTTTTATATAGTAGATTCTAAATATATATCATATATAATCTTTTATTCAAATAAATAAAATGATCTTTATCTACAAAAAGCTATCCTACAGCTTACATGAACAGTTATTTAAGAAAAGAGAGGGGCTAGAGTTTGATCACTTACATTTCACAGAAAAAATATTCTAATTACTGTTTTGTGTTAAACAATACTTTGAATGGCATATGCATTTTCCTGTGTTGCTCATTGTTCCCTCTAACTACTGAAAATCTACAGAGAGAAGATCTGAGTAAGGAAAAGAACAGGTCAAGAACAATGGAAAAGAGATGTAAAATTAAAAACCAGTTACTTCCACTTCAATAATTTACTAAAATTATTAATATTTCTATTATGATAATGTTCAAAAAGTGTAAGTATTTCCTATAGCATAAACGTTGTATAATTATAATATCATGAAATTCAATAAAAACCAATAGAATATGACCTGTCAAACTTAAAAATTTAAAAGGAGAAATTTACATTCCTAGTAAATATTAGAATTAAATTATCCAATATAGCGTACTACCTGAAGAATGCTTAACAACATTTACCTTCAGGCTCTGCTACACTAATGAAGAGAGACACAGCATGCCAGCCCACCAAGCCATAAGGTGAATCATTGGGCAGAGTGGTTATCACAGACTTGTTTCTCTTCTGATCAATAGTAGCACCTTTTGATGGATTCACGACCCCTTCTGTGGTAACACGGTTGAGTGTTATGATCACTATCTCTGATAACTCTGGTTTATCATCAGCAAGAACAGTCAGAGTGATTGTGGACAGTGCCTGGCCTTCAGAAAATGAAATCTAAAATTTTAAAGAAAGAATTTATTTATTTTTAAATTGCCACTATGCTGTAATATGAAAAGGCTACATTTTCTTTTAATACTGACCAAGATACTTAAGCAACATAATATGATTCTACAAATCAATCAAATAAATTTCATATATTAAAAGTGGAAGATTGTTAAAAAAAAGAAAAAAAGTAAATTATTACTAAAACTGCAGCAAATAATACAAGCAGCCAAAGTGTCAAATCCTAAATTCTCTATTCTATTAAAAAATTGAGTACAAAATCTCTTCAGAAATCTAAGTTCCAGATCCCATGTGTAAAAGTCTGTAAGATTAAAGAAGGTGATATACTAGTTTAACACTTTTTCCCTACACATATTTACTAAGATTGCTATTTCCTTTGATTAATCTCTTAACAGATCTATTATTTAGCAATGAATAAATGAAGAGGAAAACAGAAAAAGAAAGGAAGAAATACAAATCAGAGTCCATCTACCCTCCTTTTGAGTCTCCATTATCTGAAAAGTCAAATCCAAATTTGCTACACCACATCTGAAATTCTTTGAGAGGCTCTTGTTTGCTTCTTATATGTCATTCCCCCTGGTTCCCCAACTAACACCCTATTCTCCAGCAATATGCCTACAAATGATTCAAAAATATTCAAACTAGCATCACAGGCCTATTTTGTTCACACTCACTTCCACACATAGAAAGGCACTTGAGGATAAACTCTAAAGAGCCTTATTAATAAAACCAAGTCAGAAAACTACTGCCCTTTGGCCAAATCCATTTTTTATAAATGAAGTTTCACTTGAACACAGTCAAGTTTATTCATTTATATATTATCTATCACTGCTATTGTGCTATGAAGGCAAAGTCAAGCAGTTGAGAAAGCGATTATGTAGCCCACAAAGTCTAAAATATTTACTACTTGGCCCTCACCAAAAGTGTGACTCTTTAATAAAATAATTCTTCCAAAATATAATCTAAGTCTAAATACAATTAAGATACCATTGTGCATTTTAAAAATAATTTAATCATTTTTATATCAGAAATCTTAATTTGGGAAAGGTATTATAATTTTCTATATAAGTATATACTGAACCTGAGAGGTATAACTTATAGTTTTGGTTGCTTGCATATTCAATACAATAAAAATTGCAAAATATTCTTAAAATAATAAATCATCTTTCAAATGATTCAGAAACCTATAAATGATGGCGCCTAATAGGGACTCGGTTTTTTTTTTTTTTTTTTTTTTGGGAGACAATTCCATGAGAGGTCTTTTAAAATAATTCCTCAGAGATACATTTTATTTAATCTGTGAAATTCAAGACAATGAAATGATCCATTTTAACCATAAGGAACTAAAGGATCATTTAACTCCTTTAACTCTATCAAGCAAGTGACTTACTTCTTTGACTTACTCTGATTCCATCACTGTCCTCTAACAGTACATAATATCAGTCTCTCCCCAGATCCCTTTGCTGGCTCATCCATTCCCTAGCTACTGGGAATAACAATTTGAGTTTCTCACTGGATATCCCCCTCAACTTCAGTAAGCCATTTTACACAAGGTTCTGTGTGACTTAAAGAATGGCCAGAAGTCAAGGATACATAAAACAATCTCTCAGTCCTACTGTCACAACTGCAAACAGCTCCTAAGGATTCCAGTTCAGCTCTAGAATTACTTCAAAGGCTCAGCCTTAGGAGCAATTGCCTGCAAGATAACTTCACCCTCTGCACATTCTTGCATACCTCACATTCTTACAGGCATATCTCCTTTAACAGATTTTGCCCATGTCTCTGAATCTCAGAATCTATTTACCAGAAACTTATTCAACAACTCTGGTCCACTTTTTCATACATCTGGTTATTTCACACAGACTTTCTCCCTATTTACATTTTACCTAAATCTTGAAGCCATGTTTCCATCCCCAATTTGATTGGCTTTATCTTCTGAGAATAGAATACATCAACAATTTGGCCAATGGACATAGTGAACCTTGAAAGGGATGACATTTTTTACAGGTAATTTTGGTTTTATAGAAAAAAGGACAATAACCAGAACAATAAAACTAACCTTAAATTGTATCCCTCTCTACGGTGGTTAATGTGAATCCAGTGTTGACATGGTCAAACTCAAACACTTCATCCACAAGGCAGGGTTTGGTCCCATGCCTCAACAGTAACCATAATTTAAAAGTGACTCCTATAATTTTGTAAATTACATACCACTCCTGAGGTAGGAAATATATCACTAATACTTCCATCAGCTTCCCACGCTACAGTTAAACGACCATATGTTCCTTTTAAGCGTTCAACATTCAAGGTTACTAGGCTGTCTTGTTCCATTTCTTCCACTTGCTTATATAATGAATTCTGAAAAATAAACAGAAGTCACAGGGGTTATCTCAAAATTACCTTAGTGACTTTTATTTAATGCTAACATTCATTTACAAATTTCAAAGTACTAAGCAATACAAAAATTGAAAAGCAATAGTTAAAAACCAGTAATATAGTATAGCCATTTTACTTTAGAACAGCATGTCTGAACAAGTAAAAGAGCAATTTAAAGTAAATAAAAATGTGAACTTTATAGGATTATTTTTATTGTTTCTACATTCTTTAATGAATGTGTATTATTTTTATACTTGGAAAGTATATACATTTTAAAAGTAATTACATAACATGCAAACATTTGTAAAAAAAAAAAAAAACATACTGAATTGGGAGAAGTTTCTTTCCCTGTCTAATCTCTAGAAATCTCTCTAGCTCTTTGCTTTCTTTTTATAAAATAAAGTTTGGTCTTCATGATCTTCAAGGTCCATTCAAGTATAAAGATATCCTAAGAATCGGGGTGATATTTTTGATCATTTACAAACGTTCTCTTTCTTAAATTCACATTCTATGAAATGTTGCTACAGGTTGTCAGGCTTCCACTGATGGTGTTTCATCCTTTGCTCAGTGGTTTTCATGACTATTTTACTGCCAAACATAGCTGCTTCCTTTGTGTTAGAATTCTTTACTCCCTTCTCACTATACTTCCTAGCCTCTTTGTTCCAAACTCCTTTCTACCTCTGTGTGACTATAACATTGTCCAACTAACACTTAAAACCTCTCTTGCCAACATTTAGTGAACTTTCCCTCAAAATTAATACGAAAAGTATTCCTTCTAAGAATAGGCCCTGGTTTCTCCATAGGTAACGAAGCAAGAATATGGAGTATAAAGATTTTTTTAATCTTCTCAGTAAGATTGTTCTTGTCTTTTTATTATGGTTACCTAAAAAGAGACTCCCCCATTAATTTCTTAAATTTGTGAAAGCGTCTATTTAGGACACTAATTTGAGTAGAGAGCCCATCTTATAGCAATAGGATTTGAATACACTATTTGTGTACACAGCATTTGAATACACTATTACAAATGTTACATAGTAATAAAATCTTGCTGAAGGCAATGAAACATTCTTGCAGAAAATACCTTGTTTTTAAACTATGCATACAATTTGTTTACATAAGACAATACCTTTTCAAAGAAAAGCCTCTAACTACCTACCCTCCTTTAACAAGTTAGCAAAATAAGGATTTAAAAAAAGCAATTATCTACTAGAGCTCATCTTGCCACAAGGTGGACCAAATATAATAGCCTGTTTTAAGGAATGGATTGAAGTAATCTGGGATGTTATCTATTGGCAAGAATTAAACCCACCTTTGTAGAAATGTTCTCAGTGTTTAAACCAGTTTCAGTTATATTTTCCTTACTTACAGAGTATTTCAGAGAAATATACCATAGCGTTAACTCCAGTTAAGAAACCAGGACACATTTTGTAAATAATACTGAGTGAATGGATTTTCTTTTGCTATCTGTTAAAAGAATACAAAATGTGGACATAGAGAAAGAGCTAGGAAGATCTGCATAGCTCTTCAGGAGAGAGAATCTCCATGTTACAATGCACAATACAGTTATAAACATCTCTCTCCTCCCCTCTCCACACAACAAAGACATAGTAAGACAAAGGCATATTTATATTTATTAAAGGCAATCAGACAAAGGCTTGGACAAGACACAATGTGTAATATATTTAGAATCATTTAGAATCTAACTCATTATTCTCTGGAAGTAGGGTTAAAAGTGGGCAAAGTCAACTCACAACATTTCAAATTTAATCCTATGAAAGGATCAAACCCCACCTCCCCCCCCGCCCCCCCCACACACAAAAATGGTTTAGGAAAAATTGACTTAGAAGGTCCAATGTACAAGACTCTAAACTGAAGACATTAGTAGAATTCCCTTTAGAATACAGAATAGGGTGTGAAAGGAGAGAGGGTGCAAAAGGGAAAGGAGAGAGGTTTAAGATACTCAAAGTATGATCAATCAGTACTGATAACAGACAGAAAAATACAATGAATAAGTCATTCTGCATGTAAGTGCAGAATCCCTAGTTTCATTACCTGAGCAAATCCAACAATTCCATATGCATCATCATTAGACAGAATAGTTATGTTTACATAACCATTAATACCAATCTCTGCTCCTCCTTTGGGATTTTTCAGCTGAACTCTGAAGGATTCTTCTTCCTCTGGAATTGTATCATCAAGGAGATTTATTGCTATTACAGCTTCTCTGTCACCAGGTTCAAATATCAGTTCACCTGAACTAGCATAAGATATATAAATAAAGTCAGCTATAACAAATTAAAAGACATATACATAGACTACTCATAAACTCTCATACCATTAATATTAAAATTTGCAAAAATCACATTTCATAAATAAAATTTTAACCAAAAAATGTTCATGTAATATTGAAGGAAATATGAATAAACAAACTTCTAGCTTATAAATACCTCTTCTATTTTTCAGTTCATAACTAAAGACTTAGAAATTAAACACCATAGAAAATGATGGCAAGCATGAAGACATTCATGATAAAATATTAAACCTACCTAGGAATGAAGTCAGAGTGGCTTGAGATGTAGGCCAGCTCATATAGGTATGAATGGGTGTCTCCCACTAGAGCAATTAAATTCTTGCTTGAATTAAGGGATTTTACTGCAACAAAAACTGCATCATGAGCAGAAGGTGCTTCCAGAATAAAAGAGAATTGATTCAGCTTTGAATTCCAGCAGTAAAGAGCAGAAACAGCTTGGCCAATGAGAAGTAAGTGGACTGCAAGAAGGAAAGAAAAGGAAGCTGGAGTAAAACCAAATTGCATCTCATATGCTCCTTCCCTGGGCACCAGAGCAAAACCTTTCTTTTTTTCTTTTTTCTTTTTTTTATTTTTATATTCCCCATACAATTGCAACCCCCTTATTTTGATCCCAATCCCTCCTCCCCCCGCCCCCACCATAGTGTGCCTCGGGCTCATAGTTGTTTGTTGATTTTGATTTTTTCTTTCTTATAGTCATTCTTTTTCCTGGTCCCTTATTTAGGTTTTCTAGATTCCTGCTATGAGTGAGACCATCAGGTATTTTTCTTTTTCTTATTCTTTCTGGCTTATTTTGCTGAGCATGATCCCTTCCAGCTCCATCCATGTCGCAGAGCAAAACCTTTCTATAACCAAAATTGCTTTTAGATTTCTGAAGTAACTAAATATGACTCAAGTTCTAAAATATCTGAAATTGTATTTTTTAAATGCTATATAGATTGATCAAATCAGACACACAACATACCCACTTCTACTTAATAAGAAAAGAAGTCACCAGTGTAAAATCCAAATGCATATTAAACACTTTGTTCTCATCTCAATGTTTGTCAATTAGACAGCACAGGATAGTTTTATAAATGAAAATGTTTCACTTTTGTATTTTCCTTTCCAGTCACCATCCATTTGATTCATAATGACATAGTAATAGGCTAAATCCAAAATAAAATCTTATTAAAAGACTTAATACTATTTTATAGTATTACAGTTTTATAGGTTGCTACATTACATTCAACTTTATCATTTTTATGCTATTTAATCATCTATAGGGTTGATCTTCAAATACATAAGCTGTCCACATTGGGTACTTACTGCTGTTTTATAATTAATATTTTAATATAGAGACAAAGTTCTTTAATAATTTTTACTTAATAAATTGCAAAAGGCCATTAACCAAAGAGTTTGAATACATTTATGATTATTGGAGTATAGTTTGAAATGTTATTAAGGAATCATGCTCTTAATAGTTCAAAGCAATGGCATATATTTGTATCTATAGAAATTAGAGGGAAAGGAGGCTTATTACATTGTATTTGCCGCAAGGTAAGCTTCAGACTTAAAACTGAGGAAAAAAGTGAGAAACCATAGAGGAACAAGCACAAACTCCAGTACCTAAGGAAAATCATTGGAATATAAAGATAATGATAGGTAATACATATTTTAAAAAATGGAACCATGTCTGGGTTAAAACCCCAATAGGAACACAGTTAAGGATCTGGCCTCCAACATATCCAAGTACTTCTGGAATGTCTAGAAGCTTCCACTACTGAAAAGAAATTGAAATTCACTTTGGTGAGCCAAAGAACACCCACCAATCACCACATGGCAAATGCTCCACTAATCAGAACTGTACTAACTGAAAACCTGATTCACATAAAACCAACTGGAGTGTGAATTAGCCAATCTGTGTATACAAACTCTCCCCACCACAAGCAGTTCCTATATTCTGTTCAAGTCCTTGGGTCTGTCTTTAGAGCTGCAGTCCTAAAGTCCTTAATAAATGCTTTCCTTTGCTGTAACTCAACCGGGCTAGGTTTCTTGATCAACATAACCAAATAAGATTAATTCAGTAGTAAAACAGCACGTGAAACTAGAAACCCTGAGTTTCTTCCAAAATTTTAGTCCATAGGTTACAATGGAAAATCCCATTCCTTACTCTTACATTCCAAGAACTACAGATCATGTTTACTTATAGTAATTAAAGTACTATCACAGCTTATGAATTGTTACAACAAAAGGTAAAATTCAAGAAAGGTGCTATTGTGAAAACACCTGAATTTTTAAAAAAATCAAATGCTTTTCATAAAACTGAAAAACTGGGAACATTTAGTACAGAGGAAACTCTTGAGATGGATCTTAACATCTCTCAAGTTTAACTGATGCTATAGTCTTGAACAAAATTGTATTCTACCTATCATTATGTACTTTAATCCTTGGAGATAATACCCTGTTTACATTCTGGAAATCTGATTATATGAAAAGGCGGCATATGAATAGATATTTAGAGCAGGAAATGTAAGGACTCAAATCCGTATATATGTATACAGAAAGTAGTTTTTATTTGTTTTTTTGATTTTTGTTTTTTTTTTGTTTTTTGTTTTTGTTTTGTTTTGTTTCAGAAAATAGGTCATGAAATTGGGTCAAGGAATTCATCAGGAAAAAGATCCTTAAATCTCTATTCTGGGGAATAAGATATTAACTAGTACTGATTATAAAATTCTCTTCCATCTAACAAAACTTATTAAAAGAATCCAAAAGGAAGACAACTAGATGAGCTTAGTTTAGGAGTGAATGCAGATAAAGTTTCAGGACTAAGCATTAGAGAAAGTATTTCTAATATTTACATATCTGGAATATAAAAAGGAAAAACTAAGAGAAGTCAGAGAGTACTGCCTGGAAAGCAGGAGACAGCTGCGTTCCAGAATCGGAGATACAGTGAAGATTCTGAGAAAAGTTTGAGATACAGCGTATCTGATCCACAGGGTATTATAGAAAGATTTGGAGGAGTTAGTACAGGTAAGATCTGACATCTGTTCTGGAATTTAGGGCTCATATGGTCTACAGTATGTACAAACCTATGGAGATAGAGGATTTTTTTTAATGCGATGGACTTCTTATAACTAAACATAGATGAAGAGAGTGCTCAGCTTAGTCCAAAAGATTTCCCAAGGATATGATTCCCAAAAGTAGTATTTTTGGTGAAGCTGAGAGTATGGGGAATGAGGGAGGGAGTAATATCTTTCTAACAGCATACAGGGCTTTGAAAATTCAATCAGTTAAGTAAGGAGCTGGAACAGGACTTAGGGCATAATAAACATCCAGCAAATGTCAGCTACAGATTTCTGTATTTTTTGACTCCTTATCCATATATTCCCTGCCATCTGACCTTTAGAAAGTCGAATTCAGCATAACTTGTTTGGCAGAACCTACTTATCCCACTATGTAGTCTCTCTCAAGGCAATTTCCTCTGTCTGTTGTACAAATGCCCTCTGTTTGTATGAACCTCCAATGCATATCTGCAGCTAGGTATCTCATCTAACCTCCAAATAGTAGTACTTAATATCTGCACATGAATTACACAAAGATATCTCCAATTATAACTGCAAACACTCATTATCTCTGTCCTCTAAGTCTTGATCTTCCCTGGTGATCACCATCCCAGTTATGGGACTACCAGCCATCTGTTCTAAGCAGTCTCATCCTTAACATTCTCTCTCTCTCATCTACCTGGATCATTGAATCTATTATCAATTCTTTTGAACTTTGTTTGGGAGACAGCTTCTGAATTAATTGACTTCACTACTCCTTTGATTTTCTACTTCCATCATCTACAGCTTTTCAAACTCTACCGTCTTAACATCTTTAGTCTGAAATGTGACGTGTACCTCCAATTTGTCCTCACACATCTTCTCTTACCAGTATCCTCTCCACGGCAGTTAAAATTCTCCTTTAAACACATACACACACACACACACACACACACACACACACACACCCTCCCCTCTTCAGTCCCTGTTCCTCTCCCCGCTCTCTCTCTTTATCCACATCATCACCTTTTCATAAAAGGCAACCCTGCTCTGAGCACAACTCTGCACATTAACTGCTACTACTCATCCTATTGTTTGCAACTAAATGACTCTTCCTGAAGGAAATTTTCTGGGTATCCATTAGTCCCAGTCAAGTCTTCTCCATTCTGTGTGATGAGAGTACTTTATTACATTCTTTTATAAGAGCTATCTCTTGTGGCTAGAAAAGTGCTTATGTGATTGTATATATTGTCTCTTCCCTACTACATGTCAAGCTTCTTCAGGAGAGATTATATATCAGATTTTGCTTATCCTTGTTTCCTCAAGGTTTACCACCAGTTTAGCATATAATTGGCTCTAAAAAATATCTGTTAAATAATAATGGAGACAAGAGGAAGATAAATTCATATGTCCTGTAGTCTTTGTCAAATCATTCTTCCTCTCCCATTAAAAGAATTCAGTCACCACCCAATAATCTCTGTCAAGTCATTACCAGAATATGTAATCCTCATAGTCAGGTCTCCAATCTAATACTTTTAATAAAATATTTGACATATTCAAAATAAGAAAGTCCTTGAATATTATTTAATGCATAATTTCAGCTTTCAGGGGATCTATAATAAGCATCCTAAATAATTACCTATAATTTTTTCATACTTCTACAACCTCAAGTCACAGAAACAAAAGAAATAAAGAGACCTCACAATAGGTCCCTTAACAAGCTGCTGGCAGAATTTTTCACAAATTATTTTAGAAAGTGTGCCTATTCTATTTTTTAAAAATCTTTAAAGGAAATTCTATAACTTCAATTAATGGCCCATTCAGGCAGCACTCATCATCCTTAAAAACATTCATTAGGCAACTATTTTGAATCATAATGAATTACTGAGAGTCAGTCCACTAGAAACTTGCAGTAGGAGAAGCAAAAATGATAAAGGAACAAAATTAAAGCACAAGTAGACAAAAACTAAACAAACACATGATGAAAATCCACATACTTTTTTCAGCAAGCCAATTGTTGAGTGAATAAGAAAGTTACTCAAGTTGCATTTCCTACATAGTATAATATTAAAGATCTATGGGCTGCCAGAGTAAGAACAAAGAAAAAGTAAATGACAAGATGAGCAGAACAATAACAGACAGAGAGCCCTAACAACAGAGGGATCTGGTGTGGAAGTCAAAAGGATTTAAGTGTCCAGACGGGAGATGACTGGGGTCTGGGAGAACATATATGGACACAGGGCTGAGGAGGAAGGAGGGGTACACATGGAAATAACATACAATGAGATAAACGATCTGATTCCTATTCAGCAAAGTGACAAAAGGGAACAGTACCTAGAGGCTTCAATGGCAGAGGAAGCAGCAGTCTGGCACCAGAGAAAAAGCATAATAGAGCCTATATTTGTGTTATCTCCTGCATTTTCTTAAAATCATTTACTTTGCATATTTTAACTTCCATGAGTTCAACTAGACCCAAATATTGTCTCCCAAATCCAATTTCTTATCTTCTGCTAATGTCAGCTCCACACACTCCTAGCCTGGGCCATTGCAAGCTACTGCACCCAAGGATACTACATGCCAGAGTTGCTGGGGGTGGTGGGTGTTGTAAAACGTGCCTTTGATCATCACTTGCCTTTGAAATGCCTTCAAGTATTTCTCTGTCTCAATAATGCTCAGAGTTCAGGGATCTCCAGGAGTCCTTGAGATCCTTTAAGAGTGCCTGGGAGGTCAAAACTATTTTTATAATGGTACTAGATATTGTTTATCTACTTCACTCTCTTTCCTGAGTGCACTGTAGGATTTTCCAAGGCTGTATGACTAATATTAGCGCAATAGGCTGACTAGAGATGCAGACATAAGAGTTCACATTCTGTTTATTAAACCAGACATTGAAGAGATTCAAAACAAACAAACAAACAAACAAAAAAAGCAATACCACTCTTTTTCAAAGGTTTTGTTTGGGAAAAGTTTCTTTTCCAAATAACAGATATGTCATTTAGGTTCACAACATTTATTACTTCCACAATATTTATTACTTTAGTGAATAAATCTCTTTAAAATTTCTGTTTTAATTTCCAATAAACATCAACAGATTTTATCCAATCAAACAAAAGTTCTTCAAGGTCATCAGATCTTTAAAGGGTAATAAGTGCCTATGACCAAACTGTAAACCACTGGACCATCTGTAACACAGTTCAAATTCTGGCTTGACATTATAGGCCCTCTTGTTTAGATTCTACTATGTGTTTCTAACCTTACCACCACCACCACATCCTGAGTCAAATTCTCTGACCCTACCACTCTAGTCTGTGCATTGCACCCTCAATGTCATAGGGACTTCTGTCTTTCTCTTGAACTCATACCTTTCCCCTTGCTCACAATATTTCCTACCTATCCTACCAGGTGCCGTTCAAGCCCCATCCTGGACTCTTACCCAATTCTACAATCACACTACAAATGGTATTAGTCCTTTACCTTAAATCACTAACTTAGTATTTTTCTTCTTTCTCCAATCTCCTTTAAAGATGAGGAATTCTTCACAATTTTAAATAATGACTCATATAATATCTAATTAGTAACTGCTGCTTCTCAATTCATACAGAATTGCTGTGTCTCAACTTATTAGTGGGACCTTGGTTCATCAAGACTCAAGTGCTGAGTCCCATCAGCTTGATTTCCAAGTCCCTCTGGGCACCTGGACAGGAGACACGCTGGCTCATTGAGCATGGCCCTGTCCTCTTCACAACTGCTTTGGGACATAGTCCCATAGTCTCATCATGCCAAAAGCCCTTAGCTTCTTAATTTATTATCACTGGCACAACCAAGATGTTTCTTAACAAACTTAAAATAATCCTATAGCTTCCCAACAGCATTGCCCCTTGGGTTCTCACTAAGACTTTTTTCTAAAACCACTGTGAATAAAAATAATGTTGTATTTCTGATTTGTGGATTAAAGTGAAGAGGACCAAGCAAAGATTTCAGACTGCACTAGAAGCTTATGAGAGAGAATGAGGTGACATTTCTCAGGATTATTTTCTGCCTTTTTAACAGTTTTTAAATGCAGATTCTGTTATACCCTTATGAATGCTTCCGTATTTAATAAATATGTATATGATGTCATTCTCCAAACAAAAGAAATTACTTTTCTTTCTTGATCCTTCACTAGTATTTCACCCCATATATTAGCCATTGTGATTATTCTAAAGCACGATGCCCAGTTAAAAAGTGTTAGTTCTTCTGAAATTCTAGGATTTCTGGACATGTTATAAAAATCATGATTGTATATCCTTATTAAAATACCCAGTATCTGACAATGTGCCATTACATCTTACTCAATGATGTTGCAATCATTCTATCTTTCCATGATGTCTTTAGGATAGCTGAGCAGTCAAAAATCCCTTACCTATTCCTGAGGCTGGTGTGAAGGAATGAATCCTGTTAACATTAGTGTAGTCCAAGGATTGAAAATATCTGAAAGAAGACTGTCCTCTCTCCCAGATGAAAATATCAGTTGAATTTTGGTCACCTATAATAATAGAATAAAAGTCAAATCTGAAGGCAAAACTTAAGGGAAAAATGACCAAAATGACAGTAAAACTATAATAAAATATTAAATTACCAAAAAAAAATAGTAGTACATCCTCAGAATTCATTTTGTTAAACAAATAGCACTTACAAGGGAACACTTAAAAAGCTTTTTGCATTTACCACATGAAGTATGTACACTTACTTCATGGTTAGTCACCAACTGTGATCTGATATTAAAGAACAAACAATGGTAAATATTCTGTTTTTTTGGGAATGCTGAAATTTTATCTACTAAAATTTCACTAAGCAGAACAGAGCATATTTATATTTAGAGAACAATTTGAAAGAGCCTTATCAAAAATTACTAAAAATATTCTTTATTACTACTGTAAATTATCCATAGCACCCCCAAGGACAATCATATAAAAAGTTACCTTTTTGTGTTGTGGGCATAAGGTCTTCATAGATATTTCCACTTTACCTACCCCCAACTTTACTTAATATAGCTTTGAAGTAGTAGTTCAGAACACTTAAAGATTATGACCATAAATTATATTTTATTTTGATATCCACTTGAGGTAAGTTGACACATAGCCATGAAGAAATATTCTATGTACATTATCTTAAAAAGTATTATAACATTCATAAATAGAATATACTATATGAATGGTATATAATTTTAGTAATAACTATTTACACATTAAAAATACTACCTCTTCTCACCTAGAAAGATAGCTCTGGCAAAAATTAAGTAAATATCATCTCCTGAAGTCAAGGCCTCAACTTGGGTTGTCCCACTGGTCGGAACTTGTTGAAAACTTATAAACTCACTGCCAGACCATCTGAGTACCAGGGAATTTGGCCTGGCATCAGTCTGGGAAATGGCTAGAAATACAGCACCTCCTCTGGTGAACAAGGCCATGCTTAGCACACCTCGGACAGGGAGTGTCTGATGCAGCACAAAGCTGCTTCCATCCCATCTGAAGACCTGCAGGGAATGTTCAGATACAAAACCTTCATGATGTGGAATTTAGTATTTGTAAGAATTTACTCAATTATCATGTTTACTTTTCTTGACCCTTTTCTTAAGAGAATATTTTCATAAATAAACAACAAAACTGATGGTCTCACTGTCTTCTCCATAGTGTGTGTGTGTGTGTGTGTGTGTGTGTGTGTGTAAGAGAGAGAGAGAGAGAGAGAGAGAGAACACATTTAGAGTAAAATGAAAATAAATCCGTTCAAATATATCTTGGAAGGGGACAGTAACAGAAAGAAAAAGAGAAAACCAAAAGCAGGAAGGAATTCATTCAAATACAAAAAATACAGAACTGGAAAAGAAATTTTCTATTGTAATATTACTCACTAATCAAGCAAAGAATATAAAGAGAAACGCCTCAACCTTTTAGTCCTGAAGGTGGCAATGCATGCAAGGTTTCAGCATGAGAGTTCATATATTTAAAATTAAAAGAAAATCCCAAATTTAACTAGTTTCTTACACAATCTGGTCAATTTTAAAAGAATTACATTTATTCAGTCAACAACTGGCCAACTTAATATTATACTAGAATGTCTGGATAGATAGGCTCCTCCATATTAATGTTATTAACTAGTAGGAAAGTGCAAATAATAAATACATCAGTAACTAAATGCATGATTTTTAAATTGAGACAAGCACTGAGGATTGAGAGCACTGTGAGGATAGTGTGATAGAGAATTACAGGTCTAAGAGAGAAATCAAGTTAGAAAGAACATGATAAAAGTGTCTGCCATGATATAATTTTTCTGTCTATGGCAGAAAAATCTGAAGACTGGTCTGACTGGAAGGCAGCTGACAGCACTGGTGAAACAAAGAAAGTAAGATTGAAGAGATAATATCATGAAGTATCTTTCACTAGGGTGACCATATAATCTATCACGGGATCCTTTTACATAACAACAATTGTACCAGGACAATAATATCTAGACAACAGTACTGTGCTGGGCAATTAAGGACACATGGGTACTCTATGTCCTTAACATGGGTATACATCCATATTAAGTAATTTAGAATTTATTGATGTGGAATTGGGAATCATTGGATAGTTTTTAAATAAGGAGCAACATGAATCAATATATTTAAAAGATTAGCTACCCAAAGGAGAAGGGATTAGAGGTCAGAGAGGTCTACTCCAATAGTACAGATAAGAAAAGATGGGGACCTGTAAGGAGGGAATAGTAAAGATGGAAAGAAATATCTGTACTCCGTATTACTGGCAGATAGAGTAAAAAACACCTAATAATTATTAGATGTGAGTGAATAAAAAGGAGTAGCAGAAAGACCTGATGTTCTATTTAAGAAACTGCATTGATGGTGTTATTTCATGAGATTAAAGCAGTAACTGAAAAAAATTTCATAGAGAAAATTGGGACTTCTGTTTGGGACATGTTAAATCTTAGACACTTAAAATAGATTTCAGTGGAGATACAAATAGGCAGTTAGAGATATAAATCTGGATTACAAAGGAAAGACTATGGATAAATTTGGAAGACAACCTATAGCTGACATTTAAAGCCAAAAAGTACCCAGAGTGAGTGAAGAGAAAAGAAATCTGAACTAAAATTAAAACTAAGAAGTCCAAGTTATCAGTTTGGGAAAAGGAAGAAGAACTAACAATTGAGACTGAGAAGGATAACAGAGATAGAAGAAAAACCTGTGAGCCATCTTCACTTCTTAGAAGTCAATCAAATTTCTCTTAGAAATCAAGAGGTGATTTAAATTTGATGATGAGATGACTCAATGCTGATGGGAAATTACAAAAGATGACAGAAAACCAGCCAGTGGTTCTGATGACTCAGTTGTCATCAGTACCCATGAGGAAATAAAAACAAAGCAAGAAGAAATTCTTTTAAGATATCTTACTATAGCAAGGAGAAAAATGAAACAGTAGAGGAGGATGAGATCTAGAGAGCAATTTCTTTTAAGCTTGGCTAGCCTGCATTTATGCTAATTGTAATAATAATATAAAAATATGTTAGTGATACAGGACACAGACTATCTCAACCTTATGAAGGCAAGAGAGTCACTATGTGAGGAACCAGCTTTCACAGAAGAAATGCTTCCTCCTTTGTAACAGGAGGGAGGAATAAGACAAGGTTTCTGAATTTGGTCCTAGCAAAGTAAGTAATATCCTACCCGGTAGCTTTCATTGCAACCAAGTTATTAGCTGGAAGTGAGAAGATGAGATGCAGGCATGGAAGCCTGAAGAATGACAAAAATTGTTAAATAAACATTACTGGGATTATAAGATACAGTTTACTGCAGAAATGAGAATCTCTGGACTGATGTTGACTGGTAATAAATTTTCAGTGAGACCATCCATTCAGTATGATTTTTCTCCATGTTTTCAAACACAATTATATTCTGATAAAACGTTCACGCTAAAGATTACATGTGCACTGGCTTTTGAAGACAATACAATATTTATAATTCTACTGCTTAAAATCAACTGTGACTAATCAAATTCTACATCACACTGTACCACCATCAAATTAGTTTTCTTTTATACTAAGCCAACAGACCATGCCTTTGATGAGTTTCTATTTATAGTATTAGAAAGAAAAAAAAGCATTTTAAAAGAATCAAACCTGAGTTAATTCAGAATCTTCTCTTTGACTGGCAACGATTAAGTAACCTTGACCATCTGAAGTAAAATATCTTACTTGAGAACTTTCTGAAATAATGATCGTTTGCACCTGTAAGGAAGACAGAGCAATGGGGACAATTTGTTTTTGTTTTTGTTTTTTTTTTAATAGAGGCATGTTTTATTTATTTGTTTGTTTGTTTGTTTGTTTGTTTGTTTATACACACACTGGGTACAGTCAGAAGCGCGGGAGGGTGAGAGAATTCACCAGAGCCAGAGTGGGGAGCAGAGCAGGCAGAAGGACCGAAGTACACTGCTGAGGGGAGCAGCGGGCGGCAGGAAAGGTCTGCACGCCATGTGGGACCCTCCTCCGGTGGCCGGGGAGCAGCCAGGGATCGAACCGGCGCCGCAGAGGCCGCGGGCAGCTTCGCAACCCAGCGCTCAACCGCTGGGCCACAGGGGAGGCCCGACAATTTGTTTTTTTAAGATTTATTTATTTATACAAGAGCTAGGCTACAGGCCAAAGACACGGAAGGGTGAGAGGATTCACCAAAGAGAGAGCGGGGAACAGAGCTGGCAGACTGACTGAAATACACCGCTGAGGGGAGCAGTGGGTGAGACAGGCGAGGTCTGCCACCCCATGTGGGTTGCTCCCTGGCCGGCCGGGAATCGAACCGGTGCTGCAGAGGCTGCAGACAGCTTCACAGCACTGCTCTCAACCCCCTGCACTACTGGGGAGGCCCAGGGGAAATTTTTAAAAGAAAATTTAACTAAGAAAGGTTCTGATTACAAAAATAACAGTAATATCACAATAACAAAACAAACTAGCATTTGAAGGTCAAAACTTGAAAACTCATTCTGATCCTTTGATATGCACATGTAGGTGTAATTTAAAGATAGACAAAAATATTCCTGGATCAAGACATCTTACTAAAATGTGTATCAACTTGAAAAAAAAGTCCGTCCATTTGTACATTAACATAGAACACACATTATCTGCCACTTAGATCTTACAAATCTGTTTTTTTTTTTTAAGTAATCTATTAATAAGTGAAGTTTCTTTACCAGCAGTAATTTGAGTCCAGAGGTGAATGTATACACACTGTTAACAGAAGGTTTTTGTTTATTTCTTTCTTCATGAGTAATCACAAGGTAGGGAGAAGGACCAATATTAAAGGCCTCACAAGTTTTAGGATTTTTTATATTTAAATCCTGGGGAAAAAAGAAGAAGAAAAATAAATTAATGAGTATTTATACATGTACATATTACTTTGTGCACTGTAGCATAAATGTTTACCTCAAGTGGAACAAAAATCCCTTGCCATCGATAAATAGTAGAAGATAATTTTCTTAACATAACACCATATGTTGAATCTTCCAAAGTAAAGAAACACCAACCGGAAGCTGATGTATCCAAAAAACTTTGAAATATGGAAAATACAACATCTGTTCCCTCTGAAAGACAAACATGATTAATCAGGTTGTAATTCCTTCTACATTTATTGTTTAAACAGTGAGACCACTGACTTTGTTAGTAGAAATAAAGATCTATCCATGATGTGTGTGTATGAGAAATAAATAAGAATTTGTTAGTACTCAGCACTATTTCCAGTTTTCAAAAAATTTTTGTAAATACTAAATGCATATTTTAAAGGGAAATATGCCAAGTATGATTTTTATCAACTTTCAAAAAGATGATATAAAAATATCTAAGAAATTTTTAAATAATGACCATCTTTTACAGAAACATGTTAAATATCAGTTTTCAAATCTTGCACTATTAATTTGAAACTATGACCATCCAATTTCCTATTTTCCATGTCACTTCTTTTAAGGATGCCAAAATAGGTCCTCCCTCATGGCTCAGAGGTTAAAGCCAGTGCTTTCAAGTTATGGGCAGCCACTGCAGAATGAGTTTGATCCTAGGCCAGGGAGTTAGCCCACATGGAGAGGCAGACCTCTCCTATCTTGCCCACTGCTCCCCTCAGTAGTAGGTCTGCCTGTTCTGCTCTCCACTGTCTCTGGTGAATCTTATCATCCCCCGCACCTGTGGCCTACACCCCAGTTCTTATATGCATAAATAAAAATAAATCTTTAAAAAAAAAAGAATGCCAAAACAGACTCACATGTCTTAAAACTCTGTATTCTCTCTATATATTTATTACATCATCCTTCATTTTTTGATCATACAATTGTATGGCTCCAGACTTCTGCCTTAAGTTTCTTACTTCCTCCCGCTTGTTCCTCTAACCCAGCTCTGTGTAATCAACTTCATTCATTTGTTCTTAGTTCAAACTTTGCTATCCAGGGAAGCATTCCCTCAGGTCCTCACAACACTTAGAATTTCCATTTTAAAACATTTGCTATACTTTAAACTATACATTGATTTTTTGTCCTCATTTCTGTTGTCCCTTAAATTCTAAGCCCCATGAATTCAGTATCATGCCTGACAGGTGAAAGCCACTCAGTATTGGTGAATACAATAAAGGAATCAGAGGTCTGTTCTCCATTTTCAACAGCTTCATAGAATATAATTCATGGGGGGAAATGTACATCTTAAACATGCAATCTTTCTTGGTTATAGAATTTTGTTCTCATAAGAAACTAAACATACTCATGCCAAATGCTGTTTCAGATATTGTCTCCCACTCCACACTCACAGCTAAATCAATGCCATTAATACGGGATACGTTCAAATACACAGTTCTGTTGGCTTCTTCAATATCTACAGAGGTGGCTCTAAAAGATATAAATGGATTTTGAAAAGCAGAGAAAAATAATTTTTATATATTAAAATATATATTACATTACTAGTATACATTTAATACTCTTAAGTGTACACAGGCCAAGATGAGATTGCAAATTTTATACAACAGAAAATCTAGACTATAAAGTTGAAAAATAAAACAGTGGAAGAGCGCACAATGGACTGTGGTAGAGGACTCTGGGGCTTCGATGGTGGAAAAGCTAGGGGGATCACACCTGAAAGGAGAAATCCTATATTGTGGAAAACAGACAAGCAATGTAAAAATTAAACAAAGCTCAAAAACATTCATTTATGAAATTTTTTGAAAAAGCACAAAACATAGCACATTGATACTATTATCCTAAGAAAACACTGGCTGTCAGTGACTTCAGTAACTTCACACTACATATTTTAAAAAATAAATAAACTTTCATCTAAGTTTCTTCTCACATAAACCAAAACATTTCAGAGAGAAAAAAAGTGAGTCAGGATATTCTTAGCATACTAATGAAACTAGATCTACTAGAATATTTCTAAGATACAAAACAAAGATTAGCTTCCACAAGGAGTTTTAAACTATAATCATATTTATACCTGTTTCAAGAGTCATTCATTTCATTTACACACCTACATAAAATTCACATATCTCACTTTTTATTAAAATATTGTAGGCCTTAACCTGAAATTATAAAGTGAAAAAATAAGAATTCTAACTACACCAATTTTTAGGACATAATTAGATTATGAAAGGGCATATGGCCTCCTCTCTGGACCTATCTGCTAGAGTTCATTTCAAAGATCCCCTTTAAAATATAGTACAAAGATCAATTTCCTTGTGATTTTCTTTATGCCAAAAACATTTCGTGCTTAGCATCAGAAGTGATAATATCCTTAGGAATAAATAATACCTGTTTGCAACTGCAGAGATACTGAAAAGCCCCAGAGGGGCCTGGTTTTGCAAAATGGTTATCAGAGTCTGAACATGTGCCCCTAGTCTAGCACCTCCAGTTGGATTAAACAAAGTGCAAACAAAAAGCTCATCCTTCTCTGGTTCTGTGTCCAATATGGCAGATATGTGCAGTGCCTAAAAAGAAAATGAAAAGGTCCAGTTAACTAGAATACAGTATTTCTGCAAAACATACAGAGAAATTTATAAAAAAATTTGACAACAGAATAATGTTTTAGAAAACATGACTTCTGATTTACTTTAATACCGATCCCCATAATTTAACTGTTTCAAGTTACTAAAGATTTTCAACACTATGATGTATAGTACTCAAGTATCTAAAATATATGGCATTTAAAAATAACACTGAGTTAAAAATTGTATTTGTCTTCCTTTTTTGAAGTCTTCATCCTACCTTAGCTAGGCAGCTGCAGTATTAGTCTTATTCTGGTCTGTATTAGTGTTATTAGTCTTACTCAGTGAAAAAAGCCAGTTATAGCCATTAAGACACAAATTAGAAACAATTCATTTGATTTTCAACAGAAAAATGGATAAACAAATAGCCTTTATTCAATGAGATGCTACTCAGTAATAAAAAAAAAAGAACCAACTACTGATGTGTACAACCATGCAGATCTGAAAAATTATATTGCAAAAAGAAGTCAGACACAAAATTGCACATACTGAATGACTCTATTTATGAAGCTCAAGAACCAGCAAGATGAGTCTTCAAAAAAAACCAGAATGTAGTTTCCTCCAGCAAATAAAAGAGATAAAGAGAAAATTTAGGGGTGATGGCAATAGTTCACTATCTTAATCCATGGAGATGTTAATGTGTGTACATACCTTCGAAGCAATTGGGCTATACATTTAAGGTCTGTGTGTTTTACTATTAGATACCAAAATAAAAACATATGGGTAAATGTAGTTATGTCGGTAAAAGAAAAATTTATTTAATCTAATTTGCTGTTAATTTACCTAATGAATAGAAAGGTCTTTAAACTAAAAAAGCCTTTTAGAAAATAAACCACAATGGAAAAAATGTAAGTATATAAGAAAATTAAACTAAAACTTAAAGCCCTTTTCAAAAAGAAAAAATGTGAAGGTCAAGCAATAAAAAAATCCTAAAATACTTCAAATTTGAATTCTAACTTATAGTAGCAAGAACAGAAAATTATTAAGATACAGAAATGGAGGTTCAAATCATAAATTTCTCCGAGTATAGATTACATTTATAAATAATTCCAAATCCAACATTTTTTCCTCCTATAAGCTATTCCTATCCACATAGGATACCCTGCTTCCCAAGCAGTCTGATGGATGTAAGCAGTTATATTTGCTTAACAAAAATGTGGCTAAAAGTAATGAATGTTTGCCTGGGGTTAAATATCAAAATGAATGGTTCAGTGGTTTTGCAGTTGAGAATTTAAACAATAAAATATTAAATATGTCATTTTAATATATTTAAAACTTCAACTAGCAATTCAAAATGTTTTCTCTATCATTTTCCCATCCCACTACCCTATTAACAGCACATTTTCCACTTGTACTTTATACAAACTAAATTACACAATAATACTTTCACAAAGTAATCTCACATCTTTTATCATTAAGTTAGGTATATTATTTTTCTTTCCAGAATCCAGGATGTTCCAAGAGATAATTTTGTAAATATTAAAGATAATCATTCAATGTCAGTAAAGGGTCCTACTGTACCTTGAGTCGAACACCTTCTTCTAAAACAATATAGCCTTTGGAAGGAGTCAGATCTTTAGACTCCATTGAAGAATTCACTTCTGTCACAATGAACTGAACTGTCACAGTTCCAAACAGTCCTTGGGCAGGTTCCCGAACAATATACAATACTGCAACACTCTCCTGCACATAGAGAGCTGTTGGTTCTCTTAGAAAAAAGTGTTCACTGTTGTTGAATGACAGAACTCCAGGGCCATCATCATTAGCAAGGATAGTAATTAAAGCTGTCAAAATAAAAGTATTAAAGCAATAAATGAAAATAAAATGGGTGGTGTGTGCATGTATATAAAACTACTGGGAAGGGTATATATGTATGTTTCACTCTGTACTAGGTTAACTCTTCTCTAAGTTATGTTAGAAACAAAGGGGAACAAAAAAAACAAAAAAAACACCTTTTTTTAAAGCATTCGGTAAAATTCCATGTTATAAAAATACTTAGTAAACCTTGAAATAAAAGGCAGCTTCCTCAACTGAAAAAGCATTCTCTCGTAGAAGTCAAAAGCAAATATAAAACTTAATGGCGAAACACTAGAAGCAGTGCCACTAAAGACAGAAAACAAGACAATAATGTCCATCATGACTGTTACTGTTCTACACTGTTCTGGAGCTACAAGCCAGGTAACAAGTATAAGAACTATGAAAAGGAAGAGTGTCAGAACTGTTGCTCTTTCTGGATGACATGATTGTCTTCTTAAAAAGCAAAAGAAAAAAAGCATTAGCTGAATAATTGAGTGCAAACTATATGCAGTGTAACCTTCAAAGAGCAATGGCTAATTTTTACTGCCACCAACTGGTAATATCAATAACTGAAAAAAATAGTTTAAAAATTGTTTAACCTGTATTGACTAGTTTAATTTGCACTATGAAGTTGAGTCTATTGTTCTCATTTTACAGAACCAACAATTGGAGAACAAACAGGTAATTTGATGAAGTTCACATAGTGCAAAATGGCAAGACTGGGGCACAGAGCAGGGAAATCTGCTTCAGGGCATGGTTATTAAAATGTTGTATCTCTACACATTAGCATAACTTTTTAAAACATAAGAATAAAGGGACCTCATTAATAATAGCAAAAATATTTGGAGGAATTAAAGTAAAAAATATGAAAGTCTATATGAAACCAACTAAAATGCTCATGTCTGATATGGCAAAAGCTATCAGTGCCTCATCCCTACCCCTCAGGTCCACTCCTGGTCACCTTCAGCAGTTCCATTTGTCTTTGGTTTCTCTCTACATGAGGACAGCTTCAGCTCAACATGAGTCACGCCAGAACTACTGGGGACTTAGAGCCCAAAACTGATCCTCAAACAATGAGGGGCAGCAGTTGGTAAATGAATGTCAGTTACCTTCCTTCTCACTAGAACAGTCCAGAGCTTTGTTCAGAAGCATGCCAGCAGACAGAGCCCCAGCTGCCCGTGATGGTACTGTTCATTAACAGAGCTGTTAATCAGCTTTCCTCTCTTTCTCACTACTTCATTTCTCACCATGTCTACTTCCATCTAAGTCTTTTTGCATCCTTAAAAGCAAACCCTGAGACATACTAAGGTAATGATATGAAAGATGTAAATTAATGGAAAGGCATATCATATTTCTAAATGGAAAAATACTATAATGATGTTCAGTCCATCTAAATGAATCTAAAATTTGTATTTTGCCTCTATCAAGATAGTTTTCTTTGGAACTCAATTCATTGATTGCCAAGTCCAAATGGAGGGACCACTTGAAAGAGTAAGTGAGGGGCCTCCCCGGTGGCGCAGCAGTTGAGTGCTGGGTTGCGAAGCTGCCCGCAGCCTTTGCAGCGCCGGTTCGTTCCCCGGCTGCTCCCCTGTCACCGGAGGAGGGTCCCGCATGGCGCGCAGACCTCTCCTGCCGCCCGCTGCTCCCCTCAGCAGTGTACTTCGGTCCTTCTGCCTGCTCTGCTCCCCGCTCTGGCTCTGGTGAATTCTCTCACCCTCCCGCACTTCTGACTGTACCCAGTGCATGTATAAACAAACAAACAAACAAACAAATAAATAAATAAATAAAAATGCCTCTATAAAAAAAAAAAAAAAAAAAAAGAAAGAGTAAGTGAGATGATGTAGAGAAAGAAAATAAAAAGTATTAAAAGTTAACTTTTTAAAATTGAATTTAGAACTAAAGCATGGGACGGGGATGCAGGTAAGAGGACGAAGGAAAGAAGGAAGCACGAAGGATGACGGTGGTGGACTATGGGCGATTTGGTGGCCAGTACCCTGTGGTGGTGGTGGTGGTGGTGGTGATACCTGATAGGGAGAATCCTAAAGTTACCACAATTAGAAGAATTTAAATTATTATTTAAAAAAAGTATTTGGCGGCCTCCCCAGTGGCGCAGTGGTTGAGCACTGGGTTGCAAAGCTGCCCGCGGCCTCTGCAGCACCGGTTCAATCCCCAGCTGCTCCCCGGCCACCGCAGGAGGGTTCCACATGGCGCGCAAACCTCTCCTGCCGCCCGCTGCTCCCCTCAGCAGTGTACTTCGGTCCTTCTGCCTGCTCTGCTCCCCGCTCTGGCTCTGGTGAATTCTCTCACCCTCCCATGCTTCTGACTGTATCCAGTGCTTGTATAAATAAATAAAAATAAATCTTAAAAAAAAAATTTTTTTAAATATTTGGCCTAAAAAGTAACAAAATGTAGTTTGAAGCAATGATAAATGATTCTGTAATTAGCACAACAATAGGTAAAGAGATAAAACAGAATCCAGAGGAAAAGCAGATAGCGAAAGAGGAAAAAAGTTACATTGAAAAATTAATGGCTAAAAAAACAACCAGAAAATCAATGGCTAATGGAGGCCCCATTTCCTATGTGATATTAGGGTACTGATTATATATCTAAGGTCACAAAGTTGTCCTGAATTTTACAGCAGTGAAAAAATTCATGACCCAATAATTAAATACAAATAAAAACTGAAAATATCAGAAAAAGACAATGAAATATTTTGTATGGGAACGAGCTATAGAAATAGAACTTAAAATCACACCAGGAGTTATGGTAACAGGGCATCCTACATTTCAAAACACAAACAATGTAAACCAACATTACCTCAATAAAAAGGACATTTATTAGGAATAAAGATAAGAACATATCAGAAAATATTTGGTTTTAAAATGTTCTGGTACAATAAAAGCCACTATAATAAAAGATAAAAGACACTAATAAAAGAGAAAAGATAAATTACAAGAAATTATGACACATTTAGGAAGCAAAAGATTATCTCCAAAATATGATTTCTAGAAACAAGTAAAAAATCACAAAGCAAAGAAAAGCACATGTGATATAAAGTACCTAATCACAGAGAAAACGCAAGTATCCAACTTCAAACTCACTGATAGAAAAATATGCTCTATATAACCACATATTTTTCATTCATTAGAGCTGTTGTTTTTTAAAGTGATAACAGCCAAAGAAATTTCTGGTGAGGATTTGGAGAAACAGACATACTATATGAAGTTTTGGAAACAGTATAAAAGTCCATTAATGAGGCATGGTTTAAGAAATTATCCTCTGTAAGAGAAACCCCACCGACTGGGAGAACATTTTTGCACACAACACTAATAATAAAGGACTGATCACAAAAATCTACAAAGAGCTGATGAGACTCAACAACAACAAAGAAAATAATCCAGTCAAAAAATAGGCAGAAGAGCTAGAAAGAAACTTCTCTGAAGAGGAAATGCAAATGGCCAACAAGCATATGAAAAAATGTTCAACATCACTTGTCATCAGGGAAATGCAAATCAAAACTACCATGAGATACCATCTTACACTAGTGAGAATGGCACATATTAAAAAAACTAGCAACAACAAATGTTGGCGAGGTTGTGGAGAAAAAGGAACTCTCCTGCACTGTTGGTGGGAGTGCAAACTGGTCCAACCACTGTGGAGAGCTGTGTGGAGATCTCTGGACCTACTAAACATAGAGCTCCCATATGACCCAGCAATTCCACTCCTAGGTATTTACCCAAAGGACACAGAAACATCAATTCCAAAGAGCACCTGTACCCCTATGTTTATAGCAGCACTATTTACAATAGCTAAGCTTTGGAAACAACCCAAATGCCCAAAAATAGATGACTGGATCAAGAAGATGTGGTACATATACACCATGGAATATTACTCAGCATTCAAAAAAGATAAACACATGCAATTTGCAGCAACATGGATGGAGCTGGAAGGGATCATGCTCAGCGAAAAAAGCCAGAAAGAAAAAGAAAAATACCGGATGGTCTCACTCATAGCAGGAATCTAGAAAACTTAAATAAGGGACAAGGAAAAAAAATAACTATAAGAAAGTAAAAATCAAAATCAACAAACTATGAACCAGAGACACTCTATGGGAGGTGGGGGTCGGGGAAAGGAGGGATTGGGGTCAAAATAAGGGGGTTGCAATTGTATGGGGAATATGAAAATAAAATTAAAATTAAAAAAAGAAATTATCCTCTGTAAAAGCATTTATTCTTCTGAGGCGTTTTTTATATTTTAAAGTTGAAAATTACAGTGTAAAGTAAACTTGACTGAGTCCAGCAACACATTTCTTCCATTCACTCATGGTGGTGTGCATGGACTCTGTAATTTGAATCAAAATTATATCAGGACTTAACAGTAAACACACCCTGTTCCTATTATGAAGGATGAGGAAGAATGCTGAGGACCATCTTGTGACATGAAACACTGCCTTAGGATGAAGCCAGTACTCCAAAAGGCAAGGAGAAGAGACAAAACAACAGGATCTTTGGTCAGTGTGACTGGGTTCTATTATTAATTCACATAAGATTCTGAATCAACACATGATATACATTCCTAGAGCCCTTCACATACAACCCTCTATACTCTACAGCAAAATGATTTCATCTCAGACACACAATAGAATTTAAAACAACAGCCACAGTCTAAAGAGAAAATGTTCTGAGTGTGAAATATCAATATAGCAATAAAAGCAAAATTAAGCTCAGGTTACTGGAAGTTCATTCACATTTTCACTACACATCAGACATTTTTAATTGGATTAATTGTTTGATTAACACTGGTTTACATCAATGTATATGATTTAGGGAAATAGGTTTACACCTCTTCAGATGTATGTTATCACACCATGCCTACCACCAAAGTCCACTAGAATTCCTCCACCTTTTGCTATCCACCCCCATTCTACTCCTTTTATAGCCTTAGTTCCGCAACCTGATTAGCATTTGTAGATATGTTAGATATCATAATAACTGGTTTCATTTTAGTCCACATGTAGGTGCAATTATCCATTGCTTATATATGTTAGAAGGAGAAAGACAAATTAGCTTTTTCAACATAAAGGCCAATAACTTAGAAATACAAAGGTTAATGAAAAGAATACCAAGGAACATTCAGCCAGTTGCTAAAATGGTAGGTTAAAGAGTCAGTCAACACTTAGTGTTCTAAATCCATTTCATCTATCTATTACCACAAGGAACTGAATTAAGTGACTTTTAAGAGTGCACCCAGTCCGAAAACCTACAGTTTTGCATGTCCATGAAGCATCCTCACTTTTTTTTTTGTTTTCACTTTTTCTCAGCTGTCAGCATGATGCATAGCAACCAGATAACTAGGATGACTGTCAGTAACAATGTCTTACTGTTCCAAACAAAGAATGTAACTCTATGATCTGCCCAAGGTATCTATACACTTTATATGGAAACATTACAGCAGTTAAATGAAACTAAAACACCACCTTCCCTTCCTTCTATTGCTAAGCAGGAAACTGGAGTATTCAAATCCCAAAGTGAAGACCTTTACAAATTAAATAAACCCTAAAATAACTATAGTTATTATTTCATATTATTTTTGGTACCTACCTAATTGTGTTTTTTATACACAGGTACACATGCAGAGAGGCTAGAAGCACTGTTATACTATTATAAGACTTCAAAATGCTTAACTTAAAATACTTTTTATTCTATGCATAGAAAACCATCAAGACTCTCTAATCCCCTTTTATCTGCCTACATATGCAGCATGAGGAAGAGGGAGTTATTTATAAGAAATTATCAGTTACCTATTGTATTTTCACCCAGCTGTAGTCCAGGAGAAGGATTTGTTAAAATCAGTTGAAATTTTTCATCTCCTTCTGGAATATTATCGTCAAGAATCATGATGTCAACACTTTTGTACCTTTCTCTATCAGCAAAATGAAGAATCTGACCAAAATAGTAAAAGTAGAGAGCATTACATTTATATATACTCTGGATTTTTAAAGGCTATACGAAAAGAAATACAATATAGCTTTTAAGGTTAAGCTAAACTTCCATAGGGATTTTTCCCCTTTTTTGGTATGATTTCTTTGTGTGTAATATGACAATATTAAGTTGAAAAAAGGTTATACAGGAAGGAAAAGTTTGGTTAAGGAATAAAAGGCAAGAAAAGACAAAACAAAAGGTGTTTTAAAATGCTAAAGGTAATTCAATAAATTAAAACAAAGAAATTAAAGAGTTAAAATTTTCAAGAATTAGAAACTTTAGGATGGTCTTACGATACAAATTCTTTGACATGATAAATTGTATTCTCCAGTATTATATTAAAAAGATGATTAATGCATTGAATATCATATTCCTATAAAATAATGAATGGAAGAATACAGAATGTTCCTTAGAAAACCAAAAATTTATTTTTTTACTAAAATAAAGGGAGTTATTCTACCACTTGAATTTCTTCTGCTCTAATTTAATGCATTATTTTAAGATTTATTTACATAGGACCTAAAGCACTGTAACTTTGAAGGAATAATGATCTTTAATTTGTAAAAGTGATCTTTGATGGATCTTGAGGCCCACCATTGGGGTGAAGATGTAATCCAGCCCCAGTTGCGCTTCCAAATTCTGAGCATACACAAACAGGGAAACATGACCAAGAGCCTCTTTGCTCCTGTGGGCTACCAATGTCAAACTTCCTTGGGTTTCATTTACTTTGGATCTGTAATAAAACAGAAGACATTCATTTTTTTTTCCCTTACAAACTTCTAGTTGGTGGTAAAGAATCTGAAACTCAGAAAAGGGCTTGCATGTGACATCAGGCTTACCTGCCGTGCTGCCATTCGATTATGCCTCGCGCACCATCATTGGCATCAATGATAATTTGTGCAGTCAAGCCCTCAGAATCTGAAAGGGCACAGAAAAATATTCTAAGTAAATGCTTGAAAAGAGAACTATTTGATATACATAGAGATGATCACTTTAAGACTGTATAATTCTTAATACAGGGGTATTGACAATATTACTCAAAAGTTGCTGAAGAAAATAGACAAATGCTTGTAACATCTGAACAAGAAAACCTCTTGCTACAAGAACAAGACTGACACAAATTTAATCAACTGAGATCAATATGAAATAAGCTTCTGGAGATTGTGGCTTTGTTTACATTATTTTAATCTATTTCAAGAGGAAAAGAAATGGGAGGTACAGTCAGAAAGAGAAAGAATAAAGAAAGAGAAAGGAGTAGAAGAGAGAAAGGCAGGAAGTATCAAAAAAATACACATGCAAAGAAGAGAAAGATAGGGAAACAATAGAAGATGTAACAGGTGGGAAAGAATGGGGAAAGGTTTGGTGGCATACAGACACGATTCAATAAATGTTTCTTATCTCTTTTTATTTTGTATTCTGTCCACCAAGTCAATATGTTGCCATTATCCACAATTCAGTCTCAAAATATTAACTAAACCTATTGCTTTTTGTTTTTAACATTTTGTCCTTTACCTTTTAAATTTCAGCTGCCTGTGAGGGAAAGCAGTGGGAGGGTACAATTCTGAGTGAAGAGCACATTTCAAGGAAACAATAAAAATCAGGACCTGTATCCATCAGACCAGAGAATACAGAGCAAGAAGTCTCATTCCACCATTTTCATCTTGTAGGACTTTGGGGATGTTACTTAGCTTCCATCTGAGCTCCCTCATTGTGAAATGGGAAGGTGTAAGGAATGACAGTACTAGCATACAAAGCAATTTGAAATAGGAACAAAAGTTAAACTATTCTAATGACCTCTAGTATGAATATGAAAGAAATGTGAAACACTTTCTCAGTTTTCTTTCTGTGAACATAGTTAACTCATGACAATTACTTGCTATAAAAAGTCTAAGTCATTGGAATTATTTATTTTCCAAAAGAACTGAAACTTTTCAAACAATATATTAAAAATAGATTATTCTCTTTAGACAGTTTCAACATAATTATATTGAGTCTCAAAATGAGGAACTCCTATTCCTCAGGTCACAAGTTTGGCATGGCCATAGTTCTCAACTTTTAGCACAAATTAATTTTCTCTCTGCCCAAGGCACCTTCTAACCAAGGGGTAGGGCCAGGCTATGCCAGCAATGATCACCATCACCCGCTATAAAGTTGGGATATCCACAAGTTTCAAAATTTCTCAGTAATAAATGTTCAAACTGCAAAAAGTTATGTTTTAAAAATAAATCTTTTAAGTTAATCTACATTGATTTGTACTGAGGCTCCAATTTTACCTTTAATTCTTTAGTGAATTAAGAGAAAAATACTTTCTGAAGAATTAAGTCTATTTTGGTCTACAAATTCAATTATAAAAAGATATACAATTTAAAAAGCATCACACAGTAATTTCTAAACTTCTTTAAAATATCCTATCAACACTGCAATATAGGGCCTCCCGGTGGCGCAAGGGGTTAAGATGCAACCTCTGAAGCTATCGCCAGTCACTGCAGCACTAGTTCGATCCCTGGCCAGCCAAGGAGCTACCCACATGACATAGCAGACCTCTCCTGGCTCGCCCACTGCTCCCCTCAGCAGTGTATTTCCATTTATCTGCCTGTTCTGTTCCCCACTCTGTCTCTCATGAATCCTCTCACCCACCAGGCCTCTGGCCTGTACCCCAGTTCTTGTATACATAAATAAATAAATCTTAAAAAACTGCAATTTATGATAATCTCTAGATTAAAACAGATCTTAAAAAGCCCATATTTTCACACACAGCTGAAATCAACAAACATCACAATCACTTCTGATTATAACAATGAAGTACCTTTACTTCATTTGAAGTAAAAAGAAAAAAAAATGAAAAGCCATCATACCTAGTCTAGGAGGAAATGAAGTTAGAGGAGCCATGATAAGTTCAACAGAAGTTAAATTCACGAAGAAATATTCTTCTAGTTCTGGTATGTCATCCTGCAGAAATTACATTCATTAAGATCCCTATAATTATGATCTTAAAGTATTTACCTCTCACAAGTTTTTTTTAAATTATCTTATTAATAGAGATGCTTAAATAAGTATAAAGAAAATATAAAATATGAAAAAGCAGAAAAGATTTAAATTTAAAAAACTTAAACAGCATTAAAGTTACACCTGGTAAGGGGATGAGTTAAAAGTTGAATTATAAGACATCACTAATATTACATCACTTTTTACCTAGACCAATAAGTAAACCAATTCTATAACTATACACACCTAACATTTTAATATAGCATGAGCAAAGGATTTAATATTACTTTAACAGTGTTTAGAATGAAAAATAAAATTACATCATGAAAATAAAACAGGATTCACTGTCAAGGAAACCTAATACCAAATTCGATAGTTTGAGGTGACTTATTTAAAGACTTCAATTCTACCATCTTTAATAGAGAAAGTTACGACTTTGGGGGATTGTAGTAATGATTAGAAATAGCATGTGTGGAGTACTTGGTCTTCGAAGAGTGTTTAAGTAGTGATAGCTATTTATGATGGTTAATTTTAATGCTTTATTATTATTCACCAGTCCACATAAAAGACAGGTGCTCAAAACATGGGGACTAGCCAAGCCAGGTCAGGAGTGACCTGCCAGTCATCAATATTTACTTAGAAATACAATTGTAAATTTAATATCAGTACAAACACAGCAACACACACTTCAGTCTTCATTTTATTTAATGGAGTTATATTTCCATGTGAAAAAAAAAATCAGTCTCTAAATTATCTTATGTAATATACAGATCAATGTGAGTTACAGAGCCAGTGGTATAATAGGAACTATTCCCCAGTTACCCTAAATGTTCTCTAGCCCATGCAACTGCTCTCCCCTTACCCAAGCCTGGCTTATTTCTCTCTATCCAAGTCTACTGACAGTTAAAGTCATGATACTCAGGGAAAGGGATACAATGAGCTCGGGAAGAAAAAGTAAAACTGAAAAAAACCCACATTTGTAAAAGAAGACTTTTTAAAGAAAAGAGGGGCAGCTATCTAATTTCTTTTTTTTAAATAATAAATTTTATTTTTATATTCCCCATACAGTTGCAGCCTCCCCATTCTGACCTCAATCCCTCCCCTCCCGCCCCCGCCCCCCTAAAAGTGTCTCTGGTTCATAGTTTTTTGTTGATTTTGATTTTCACTTTCTTATAGTTATTCATTTTCCTGGTCCCTTATTTAAGTTTTCTAGATTCCTGCTATGAGTGAGACCATCCAGTATTTTTCTTTTTCTTTTTGGCTTATTTCTACTTTAAAAAACTAATACCTGAGAAGTAGCCCCTTTACTTTTATTCAGTGATATTAATGGGTTTGTATATATGAAAGATGACTTACCTTAAAGTTTTATCAAATCTTGAATTGTATGTCACATACTGACATAATATCACCTTTATCTTATGGCTTCAGAGCTCTCATAGTATTTTACATTAGCTCACAGTGCATTGTAGCCAGCAAAATAACAGTTACTGACTTCTGATGAAGGATGGTTTACAATATACACAATTTTACAAAGATAAAATGCCTCTGAGAAAATAAAGTCTTTTAAAATAAAACTCCCAAAACATGGCCTCCCCGGTGGCGCAGCAGTTGAGCGCTGGGTTGCGAAGCTGCCCACAGCCTCTGCAGCGCTGGTTCGATCCCCCTGCCGCCTGCTGCTCCCCTCTGCAGTGTACTTCGGTCCTTCTGCCTGCCCTGCTCCCCGCTCTGGCTCTGGTGAATTCTCTCACCCTCCCACGCTTCTGACTGTACCCAGTGCTTGTAAAAATAAATAATAAATAAATAAATAAATAAATAAATAAATAAATAAATCTTTAAAAAAAACAACTCCCAAAACATAGTTACTGAATATTATTTTTCTAAGGCAGGATCCATTTTCTCTTTCTTATCCATACCTTCCCCCGCCAAGTACACTATTTCCATAAATCTCTTGGAAATGTATTTTGGTAGATGAAACATTAAGTCCCAAAATATGAGATTTCATAATATGAAAAGTCATTTAAAATGCAATTTTAGTCACCAATGATTACTTTAACTTTGACCATAAACACATATTATGCCATAGCCTCTAGTGAATTTCTCGCTTTCTCGAATTGAACCAGTGCAAACAACAAAGACACTGACCTACATGGGCTTGCTGGTCCATTAAATTCTTTGGAGTAATCAAAATATTCCTTTGAAATCTCTTAGGCCAAAGGCATTCTTAAGGGTACTGCCCTAAAGAAATTCTCTTTAGCACAAAACATTTTTATAATAAAATACACAACAGTAGACCAGCCCATCTAGATGAGATCCCCATGTGGCTTAAAAAAAAAAAAAAATCACAAAAGGAAATGAGGTAATATAAAGGGACTAGAATATTCACTTTCTACCATCAATGTGGTTATTCAAGTTTAATACATTAAAGCAAAATGACATGAGTTTTACCTCAAGTATAGTAATATTGATGGAAGCTGCCGTGTCCCCTTCTTCCAAAATCAGAGAGCCAACTACTGGGACAAAGTCAACATATGGCTCAGCTAAGCTTCCTTCTGTTTGGTTCTTTAAACTCCACATTCCAGGAACTGTGGTATATGTGACATTGACAGCTCCTAATTGAATCAGTTAGGAAAAGAGTTTATGATTAAACTTTTAAAGTATCTCATGAACATTTTGCCTTTCCTAAAAAAGCACCAATAGTAGCTTGTACAAGTGAACCCATGTGCTTGCCTCTCATATATCCTTGGCCTTGATCATGTGACGTTTCACTCTGGACAAGGCATACTGCTCTGCCTTAGACTGAGTTTTGCTGTATGACTAGCTTAGGATAATAGTACAAGGGAATGATGATGATGATGATGATGTACTAGTTCTGAGTCTACACTTCAGGGGTCTGATATGATTTTTGCTTGTTTTAATGTGCCTATATTTGTCTCGGGGGAAGGATGAGAGGCCTTGTGTGTATAGTGTCACTCTTGACCAAGTCCAGCATTGGATAGAAGAAACACAGCCAGCATATTATTTTAAGCTGCTGAGACATTTTGGCTGCTTATTACACAGCATTTTGTGACAATGACAATTCTTTTCATCTTTTCAACATAAAGAAGTTACAAGTCTGGTCACTAATTACTAAACAGTAAGTTTCACATTCTGTCCTTGACTTATTATAGCTATGGCCTTCATACAGACAAGTCAAATATTTAAAAAGCACCTGCTGGAAAATTCCATTCATTCTAGAGTAACACAGACCTAGAGATCCAAATTCTCTGTTGATGAAAAGCTGGAATGTTAGGTTAGCCTCTTGGAGTAAAACAAGTCTTGATGAAAGGGCAAAATTTAAAACTCCATGTGGTTCATCACTTGCTTCTACCGTCAAGACAGATGCATATCCTTGAGCATCAAGCAGAGCTTGTCCTGCTGGTGGAATTCCTAAAAATGGCAGGGACCAAAAGAAAAGGAACAGTGCTTTGTCATGAACTTCTAAATACTTATAACACATGCTGAAACATTAAAATAATCATAAATTGTCCCATTTTTTCACTTCTGTCATAGTAATCTTCAAGTTGACAAAACACCTATATTTAAGGTTTTTTTTTTTCCCATAGATAGCAATCAAGAATTTTTTCACTTGACTTGTAACTGTCACTTGCTATTCTGGTCATCTGAATTAAAGAAATTGAATAGAAACTGAGGAAAGTAACCAGATAATTCTCTCAAAAATTATTACATTTGAATTATGCATATAACTGTTTCAGAATCCAAATTGGTCTACTAGTATAAAAATTTCAGAAAAAGTTCTACTTTTGGAAATTATTTTATTCCATAAGAAAATAGTTGTAAAAATATTAGATGTTTTCTCTGAGTTCAGAAAGACTCTGAGCTCATTTTTTTAATCTAAGATTTTCATGGGGCAATTTTTAAAGTACTATTTTTTTTAATTTGCATGCATCTAATAGTTAGATACAGAGAGCAACTTTAAATTTTCTGAAAATAATACACTAGAAATATTTAAAATTGAATTCTGAATTACCATGTGTTCGGACATCATACAGAATGACTTGGTATATTTCTTTCTCCTCAGGAATGTTGTCATCCAACAAATGCACAAATATTGTTTGATTCAATGACCCCTACATGTCAAACAAAAAGAAATTCATGAACACAAACTATCTCCTGCTTTTATCGGCTTTATCAATTGGTCACAAATACATATTCATTTAAAACAAAAGTTGTATATAGCTTAAAATTTTAAAACCAGTGACTCATGGGAAAGGAGGTTAAAGTAAATAGGAGTTAATTCTGGAAGATTTTTTAATGAATGTAGGTCTTATCCAATAAGCAATGCGAACTACTGAAAATTTTAGACAAAGCAGTGAGTTGGGAGCATTTCCATGGTAGTGGTGAACAGGAAAAACGAGCAGGGAAAAGATGACCAGTGTTGCAGGGAAGCTAGTTATAAGAAGCCGGAAGTAGAATTCAATGTAGACAGTTCTAAGGGCTAGGAAAAAGGCTACAGCAGTAGAAATGCAGAAAAAAAGAATTAACATCACCAAAAAAGAACTCATACTAAGTGAGTGAGAAGGAGAGAGAAGAGGATAGTTACTATAACATGCTGCTTTTATAGTTATTTGTCACCAAATCATCTTTCAAAGTATCAAAAAGAGCCTCTAAATGGAAGCTAACAAATATAGTAGATGTACACAGGCCATGAAAAGACATTTGTTTTTAGAGATTCATTTGCTGTTGTTGTGCATGGAAAGTTCTAACATAGTAAAGAGCAAGGGAAGAGGGACACGCACAATCCATCAGCTTCAGAATGACACAGTTGTCACCAACAGTGGGCGGCCAGTAGAGGGGCAAGACAATTTCACTCAAATACAAATTCAACATTTTCTGTTTACTTAAAGATCTAATGAAGCACATATGGAAAAACAAACCCCTTCCTGGAGTCTTAGAAATTCTTCATTTAAACAATGTTCTTCCTTCAGCTTTCTATGCAAGTGTCTTTCCCATCACTCTCCCTTAATCCTTGTTACATAGTCTACCCTCACATACATCATTTCCTTTGATATTTGCGGTAAAGTTTTTCTTTGTGGTATTACCTCAGGAAAGAAGAGTTGTCCAGTAAAGTTATCAAAATTGAGTTTGAGATCTTGCCCAACAATTTTCCAATTAACAGTAATATTTCCTCGACCAGGAGGTGTTCTTATCACATGGAATTGCAAAATGTCCCCTGCAAATGAAAAACAGATTGAGTAAATGTTCAATGGAAAATGTACTTAACATACAAACTCAACAAAACCCAAATCCCAAACATGCAATCATTGCATAGTACCTTTTCCAAGAACAAACATTACAGAACTATTATGTTTTGAATTTTCTAGAAACTTTATACATGCTTATTTATTAACACAGGGATCTCACTTCTAAATAATTCCATTTAGCAGAACTTCAGGAAGTTCAGTATGTAAAAGTTATAAAAGCACATGCTAAAATGAGAAATACAAACTTTGATACACTCCAAAACATGCACCAGAACTTAAATGTTCTGTAAATTCAAGAAAATAATGAAGTACTCGTGGTCAAAATCAGTAATAAAGTAATAACACAAGTTCTTCCTTCACTTCTCAAAAGGACACAAATTCCTTACACTGATATACAATGTGATTTTACACAATGCACATAAAAAATGCTTGCCAATACCTGAAAATCACATTTCTTTAGATTGTAACTTACTTATGCCATCAATGATTTTGTTTTACAAAAAGAAATACAAAGGAAAGGCGTCAAATCTGTATCAACCTCTGTTACTTAAACAAAGTTACAGTGATCTTCATGTAATACTTAGCAAAACTGAGGGACAGCCCAATAGCCACTTCTTTTAAATTGCTCAAGTGGAAAGTTAGCTCCCAAGGAGTATTGCTAATAGCCGTGTTCGTGGCTGCTGAAAATTTGCTCCATAATGAATGTGACGATGAATATAATTAAGGTTATGTATACTAGTGACCTATATCACTAAAAAAAATTATGACAAGTGAAATGATTCTGAAAAGGCTTTAAAAAAACACATCCTTATCTATAGCACAGATACAGGTTTGAAATCCATGTATATGCATTAGAAATGTCACTATACTAAGTTATCCAAAAAAGTAAATACTCTGACACTTCCTGAAAAAGTGGAATAGTAAAATAAACAGCCTTTTCAAATGTTAAGATACCATAATTTTATCTCTGAAGATAATACAACTAAACAAGCATGACTAAAAAAAGGTTTCTTAAGTTATCATTGACTAATTTTCAAATTACATTCATTTCAATAACTGAAAAAAAAAACAATTTTCATACTAAATTTAAACACATGAAACTTTAATAGAATGAATTATTCTGGGACAGTGGTGAATATAAGAAGGCAAAATCACCAGAAAGTCTTTTAAATATGATTTCTTTAAACACTTCAACATTCAATGTATATATTTTTGTAACTGTGTCAATACCAAACAATTCCAGTCACCATTACACATTAGTAGACTATGTCCTGCTTTTCTTTTTTTTCAAAAAGACATAGGGGCTGCTAGTTAGGAATCAGATCAGGTTAGAATATTAGTGAAAGACTGTGTGCAATCAGCCAAAATGGCTAGCATAGAATTTAAGATTAGTTCATATGGATAGCTCATATGAGTGAAGTATTGATGCTACTACAAAACCTTGGAGTGTCTCTATTGTACACCATGTAGAATAGCTTATAGAACTGGTTTGTGTTGAACAACAAGAGTTATTACTGAAAAACAGTGCCTCAGAGGTGTTAAGCTATATCAACCACAGTGTTTTCTGGTGTCACAATAAAAAGGTTTATAGAGTCATGGTTTTCAAATTTTTTTAAATCATAACCTAATAATACTTCAAAAAGTATGGCAGTTTGATTAAGGGCTAAAAATGCAAAGGGAATACAAGTAGCAAGAAGACAAAAAATAAATCAATGAAAAAATAAAAAATCCATGTTCAAGGTAAACTTGTAAGTACAATAAAAAAAAATATGGTGGCAAGATTATACACAGATTTGGGAATAGCCACATCATTAAAAGGTCAGATAGCTCAGGAAAGAAAAATTAAAAACCCTCCTACAAATTCACTGCATGTTAAATATTCAAAGTCTAAAACCACATAACAATATCTTTGAAATATTTAACAAGTTCCTGTGGAAGTAACTTGCAATAACATATTGCAAAACACACAATTTGCAACAACATACACACAAATACACATTAATAAAAGGTAGAGTATTCCTTAAATGCATATTCTTATAAGCTTATTGCAAATCATGCTCAATGCATGGTGTGAAAATTTTCCTAATAATGAAAGAAAGGCATTAACTTTGCCTATTTAAGGCAGACTCCCATGAACCAAGTCCATTTAAAATGCCACAGTTACATCTCACATCAATAAAGAGTCCAAGAACAGTCATAAGAACAGGAAAACTTAGTACTTAGCCTTCTAAATACAAGGGGAAGGACAGACAAAAAAATACTGGACACAGGTTATGATTTTCACAATATACATTTCAGAAAGCACTACACTGCCTTCGAGTTTTTGCCCAAGATGAATGCGTAAGAACTTGCAGCACAAGTTCGATCCCTAGCCTGGGAGTTACCCACATGGCACAGCAGACCTCTCCTGCCTCGCCTGCTGCTCCCCTCAGCAGTGCATTTCAATAGATTTGCCTGTTCTGCTCCCCACCCTGTCTCTGGTGAATCCTCTCAAACCCCCACACCTCTGGCCTGTACCCCAGTTCCTGTATGCATAAATAAATAAATCTTTTAAAAAAGACCTGCAGTGTTCACCAGAAGCTGGTGATACATTTCATTGCAAAGCAGTTCTATCACACAGGGTCTAGAACTGGCAGATAAGGAATAAGAAAGTAAGATGCTTTAAATCACCCTAAAGAGTTTTGTCAACTTATTCCCAACACAAGCCAAGTTTCTTTTTACAATGGTTAAGTGCCAACTATAAGGTACATAAAAATAAGAAAAAACTAAAGTACAAAAAACATTTTAATAGAGACATGTATATAAGTATACATGTATACATATACTATCCAAATTGATTGCCCTCTATGATAAATGGAAAATGTTTTTAAAAATAACTATAGGACTATACATAATGTAGGACACAAACCTTGAATATGAAGAATTAAGGGAAAAATTGGAGTGCTTCTCAGATAGCAATTCTATATGATTTTTAAAAGAATCACATTTCTTTTTCAAATCTTTGCCTGAAAATGATGCAGTCTTTGAGAAAGGGAAAAAAAATTAAATCCATTGAACATGGTATGATGATTATGATGCTACTGTTAGGTGACTGCAAAATATCTAACATGGATTTATAAAGGGCACATTTATGCACTTTGCAACCACAGTGAAAATCTATTTTCCCATATTTTAAAATTCTGCCCATTACATTTGAAAGAAAGTAATATTTATCACTGGGGCTCTGCCCAATTGCTCTAGGACAAAATCAGGGAAATACAATTCTACAAAATTAAATATATTGCTAAATACTAAGACAATTCCTCCCTGTGGATCAAAGAAAACATTCTAGAAATGTTAGTTCAGCATATCTACTCTTTACATCTATTCACATAAATAAACCTCCAACACTAGACCAAAAGCAATCCTAACACTGCTAAAAACCCACATGACATGACTTCCTTATGGTTTGTTTAGTGGTTATCTTTGTAGAATCACCACAAAGTTATCATGGTGATAGTTATCATTAATTCATTAATTCCCTTTAGTAAGCTTACTCTCAACACACTATGCAATTTTCATGGTAATATAAAGAATACACATAAAATACTGAATTCTCAAGGTTAAATATATTTTTGAAAAAAAGAAAATTAACAGACATTAAGAAAAGGCCTAAGCATAAAAAGTAAAATGACCCCTAAATTTATTAAAGGTAAAAATTTAAGGGGCACTTGGGCAATAAAGTAATTCATTGTTTTCTTTCCTGTACCAAACACATTGTTACAGATTACTCTGCTAATGCAAATTTTTTTTTTACCAATAATACATTTAGATCATTTGTTTTAATTACTATCAACAGTTTTTTCTCTGTTATCCTGCAGATACTTAGTTGTTGAAAATTATAAAGATGACAATCTGGTTTCCAAGTTAAGTTTGCCCAGCACAGGTACCAAAGCCTGCAGCTTCTCCAAAATGATGTGGTACCCAGTTGATAAGCTTAGGTCTCTTCAAAACCCTCTAACCCATCAGTACCATCACTGTCTGACTCACAGGATACACTTCCATGACACTGATTACTTTACAGTTAAAATCCCTTAAGTTTGATCCAGGACACCTGAATTCTTTTGTATTCTTAAAAATATTCCATCGTATTACTGAAAGTCACATACCTATTCTATTGCTAAGTTCCCCTTTAAATCTATTCCTACTTGATTCATGATCTTATTCATACCCTCCATACCACCACTGTTTTATTCTTGTCTTCTATGTTATTTTCTTTCCTGTATTTCATCAACAAAAACACAAATCCAAAATATTCCTATTTAATCTGTTCTTACCAATTGTTCTTTTTCCTTGCTCTCATAGCCAACAGGCAGATTATCTCTTAAGGCAGTGTTTTCAAGGTTAATGAAGTGAAGAACTGGTCTTTGTTTGTTTTGTTTGCCCTAATCTATCCTAGAAGGACATTTTCATAAAATGCTTAATTAGAGAAGTTAGGTAGCAAATTTTTAAAACCACACAGGTGAAATATGTCTATAGAGATCACTTGGATATCAGAGCAAAATGGAATTATAAAATTTCTAGAAAAAGTTATTTCAATTTCTGAGTTTATCTATACAAGCCAGTAGCATCAATATGAGGACCATACTTTGTGGGGCACTGCCTATAGGCTTCTATATCCTGTCCTTCTGTCAACCTTAGACATTTGCTTCGAATCCCAAGTTCTTCTTTTAAAATTCTCTACAGTTACTACTATTTCCCTTTGTTCATATGGGAATCTAATCTCAATGGCTCTCCCTGTCAGTGTAAGACATATGGATTACTTTCTTAGGGTAAGTAATGAAGTCACACTTTAACCCCAGTCACTTCCCACCTCTGTGGCAGAGACTCCGCTCAGGTTTTCCCTTCCCATCACCTTGTCCTGGAGTTCACATGGCTCTCTCCTGAACAACTTCCTCTATCCACAAAGGTCTGATTGATTTTTCCTAACTTCAACTACTATGTTTTAAAAAAATCCAGCTTCCACTTGAATCTGAGATAATCAGATTCTCTCACTAATTTCCTTCTCTTACATAAACATTGTTACTCAAATTTATTATTCTGACTCAAGTCACTTGAAATATTTACCAAAGGTGACTAAATTGTCAAGTTTTGAGGTACATATAAATTCAAGCAAAACAAAGTCTTATCTCACAGGGCCCCTTAATGGCATGAGCTGTGGATTCATACAGCTTTGGCTTTAAGCTCCACTGTAAATAACTGTTCATGTCTCTAAAATTTAGTTTCCTTATGTGAAAATCTAGTACACTATTACAACCATTTCACAAGACAGTTGTTAAAATTAAAATGGATGTGAAATGTCTGGCACACAAAAATCACGCAATAAATGTCATTGCTGCAGTCATTAACTTTCTTGAAGTGATTTTTCACTTGTAGTATATTAAATATAATTTATATTTACTTGTAATATATTAAAAATAATTTGAGAGTGGATGGTTTGTCTTTAGACTGAACTTACAGCAACATGTTAATCACTTGGACTTACTATTTTCATGCCTACGTGAGATTTTTAAACCATGAATATCATGAAAGGGTATTGGAAAATGTCTCAGATATTGAATCAATGAGTGAAGAAACTTGCAAGTTGGAAATAAGTAAAAATGTGATGGACACTAAAATGCATTCAGTTTCCAGCACAGCCAGTGACTAGTTGTAGGACTTTGTCAAATCACTAAATCTGTGTTTCCTGCTGTCAAATAGAAAACAAATTGTGTGTTCTAAGTCCTTTACATTTCCTAACTCACCAAAGTATAATTATTTTCTTCTAATTCTAGATACAAGTTTCAGTGAAATATACTAGGAATACCAGTTTTATATCCTCTAAGCATAGTCAAAGACAAAAAACACTGCTATGTTTGAAGCAAATAAAAAAAAATCAACTCATACAAAATATTATGTATATATTTTGGAATATTCAGAATCCAAGAATTATTGCTTTTTAAGAAGAAATGTATATTTTTTTAATTTGGCACCTTATTCACAAAATACGTGAATATAATATAAAATCTAAGCTAAACTATTGATACTACAAACTACCATTTGTGTTAAAGAAGTCAGTGTCTCACTGTTTAATATCAACAGCTCCCAATGGGCATATACACATTTATTATGAAATATGCTAAGCACTTTACATAAAGGTCACTTAATCAAGACAAAGAAACTGACGAATTAAGTAGTATTTCCTATCAATTAACAGATGAGACATTGAGCATCCCGAGTTTGATTAATCTCTTAAAAATGTTAAGAGTAGGGAGTGGCAAGCTAGAACACAATACCAATCTGCAAGGCTCTTAAAAGCTAAATACATCACAGTATAGCCCTCTCCCAAGTAAGTTCCATGCACATGAGCATACACAGCTCTACAAAATAACAGAAGAAAAAAAAAATAGAGACTTTAAATGATATCTGTGGAAAAGAGAATGAATGCGCTCAACAAAAAAAGGAACCCACCTTCAAGACCTATGACAGATCTGGAAGCTGTCTGAAAGCTAACAATTCCTGCCACATTGTCATTGGCCAAAATGTTCACTTTAACAGTGTCGGAACTGGGCAAAATTCTACTTCCACCTTCAGTGTCCACCAAAGTAACTATGATACTTTCATCATCCTCTGGCTCAGAATCATCCAAAATGGTTAAAATGGCTATCTTCTTGGTTTCACCTATTAGAAAGGGGGTGGGTATCAGAAAAACCAATGGAACAAAACCATCAATAAGAATTCAGAGACACCCAAATTAACTTCTATTTGAAAAAAATCAAAAATATGAAAGTTAATTATCATAGTTCAATATCATGAGTAGTATTAGTGCCACTAAAAGCAAACGTTATATGCTAACACATCTTTTCATATATAAAACACTGAATTTCATTAATGTGGTTAGATTGTAGAAAAGGACATTCTGAATTATGGAAAAGAGGTGGAATTATTTGAAAGATTCATTTTATTCCCAGACCGTACTAGAATAATAATCTAGCTAGGGAAAGAGCTTCCAAAGCCTCTTCTGTTTAGAAACAACTCCCCCAAGGAGGATGGAATTTCATTTTCATTCTGGTATTCATCTCCTTGAAAGGTCATCAAGCCAATACAACCCTAACAAACCAGGAACACCTAGGGATGTGGTCACAACCGGAATCAGAAAAAGAATAGCATAATTTGAGCATAACAATCAGCCTAAATGAAGTGAGTTTAGGTAATTAGATGAGAGGACAGCATCAAATATGAGTTTCCAAGATGTGGGGCAATAAATGAAGAAGGCCGAAGCAAAATTCAAAGGGATGAGTGACAATAACAAGGGCTTAACAATTTTGCAGTTTGTTCTAGGACCCTACTAGTGGGCAGGCACCACCGAATACCCATAAACACAATACTGCATCTGATGTTCAACTTGTGGTGACCCTCATACAATTCCTTGTGACATTCTGAAAGATGAAAAGGTGAAAAAAGGCAATAAAAAGAAAAGGGATAAAAAAATGTTGCTCTTTTGACCCTGGTGCAGTTTTATCAATTCACAGTAACAAGACTGCCTCAAGAGAGTACACTATCTAAGAGTCTACACTGGCTATAAATATAGTCCATTTTGTTACAATTCAAGATAATAATTTGTATAATGCTATTACTTCCAATGCAAACTTTCTTTGTAGTTACCAAAGCCAATAGAAAGTCTAACTTAAAATTTTCATCTCCATTCCCTCCTCATTTAATTTTCATTAGGTCCTCCAAAATAGGCAGAAAGGTTAGTAGATGGAACCCATCAAGTTCCATTATTCTCAAAATGATTGCCAGGAAATAACCGTCATAGAAATACTTCCTTACTATTTTCTAAAAAATTGTTCTAGAACATACTTATTAGATTATTCAGAAAAGTATGTTATAGATGCGTCAACATCTGCAAAACTTTCAAAAAAGTGTATATATTAAAGTTAAAAAATGCAATGAATTTGTCTAAGATCAAAAATGTAAGTAACATTTACCTCATTTTTTGTCTATCCTAAAGTTTTTATGAGTATCCATTACTTGTCCCTCAGAAAAACACTTTATTGAAAAATTGAATGGGCTTTATATAGTTTAAATAAAAATTCAAACAATGATCTCAGTAAACTTTTTTTCACCAAAAGAAAATTATCTTAAGCAAATGCATTTTTCAAATTTTTAAATATAAGAGGATTCAACTAACTCTGGAAAAAAAACAACAGTAAAACTGACCCTAATTCTAATCTAATCTGTTGGTCAAGTTATCTTACAATATATTGCTCATGAAAATGTGTAAACATAATCCCAAATAAGTCTCAGAACAACATTATAAACAGATCTATCATAGGCTTAATTTAATATGAAGTCGCTAGACCTTTGGTGATAAGCATGTGGTGTATACAGATGATGTGTAAGTCTGTACACATGAAACCTATATAATTTTATAAACCAATGTTGCTTTAGTGAAAACAAAAATAAAATGAATTAAAAGGCACCAAAATTCATACGAATTATACTCAGAAATTATTTTCATTGAAGATTTACCCTGATTTGTCTAGTGCATATTAAAAAGCCTCCCAGTTAATAATTATCTCTCTAGCTAACAATGTTTACTACACATAGGTTGTCTGTAGATACCTGACTCATTCCTACAATTTCCCTCACAAAATTAGAACTTGCCTTGAGTGGCCTCTATGTTTCCTTAAAGGCACTGTTATCACATCTAAAGAGAAAAAGTTACAACTTTCACGAAAATCTCTTGAAAAGATATATAAGTAGGATCACGCCAGCCTATATGTCACATAAACCATGAATAAGCTAAATAACTTCTATTTTTTTCAAAACCATACTTTTTCATAACAGGAATATACCAAATAAGAATTCTTAGGAACACTGTCATAAAATATGATTATGACAACTTTACCAGGGGGAACGGAAATCCATTTAGAACTAACACTTACCTTCAGCAAAAGTGAGAATGTCTCCAGCACCTGTAAAATCTAAACCTTCAGTAGCAGTGCCACCAACAACACGCCATTCAACTGTCACTTGACCTAGGCTCCCCCCTGTCCTGTGGATCATCAGCTCCACTGTGGTTTGGGGCTGCTCCTGAACTTCAACATATAAACCATCTTCTGAGGTATTGGGACTGATACTGTAGATCACAAACACTCCAAAGGCATCACCATTTAATGCTATGACAACTGTAGAAGTATTTGGCTCTCCTATGGTTGGCTGGTTATTAAAACTGGCTGTGATGTTCATAAGGTGAACCTCAAGGAGAGTAATTAGGAAACTCTCGTCCATCTCTGGGACATCATCAGGAAGAATAGAGACTGTGAGATTTGCAAATTCATCACCTTCCAGCATTATGGCCCATTGTCTTGTCACAGGCTCATAGTCACTGCCAGCCACAGCCTGACTGCTGAAAAGAGAAGCTACCTTGGTCATGTTTTTCCTGTAGGTCCAGAAGTCTGAGTTGTTAAGAGTTGGGCTGATCCACGAAGTCATCCAAAAACACTGGGGACCCTCAGAAGCATTGAGAAACGAAAATGCTGAACATGCATGTTCTCTGAGGCACAAAGTGGCACAGGTATACTGGGGTTCCTCCACTGCAGAGACATTCACCCAAGTTCTCCAAAGCATGTCAGGTGCTCCTTGAATTGGTGGCTCATAGTAAAACAGTAAATCTTGACCTTCCTCAACTGCAAGAGTCACTACATCAACATCGGAAGTGCTGTAGAATAGCAACAGTTGACCAAAGTGCCCTCCGCTAAAACGTGGAGTGACAATTAAAAAACAGGATAAGCATTCAAAGCAATGTGGACAACATACAAGGAAGAGAAATGCTGATGGCAGTTTTCACTTTTTAAATGTATAAAGGACTAGCATGAACAAAATCGTATTTCTCAGTATATTTGCCTTTCAATATTGCCTTCATGTGTAAGGAAATCTGCTAGTTTTCAAATACTTATCTTTAACCAAACTATGAAAATATTTTGCAAAGTATGAAAATCATAGCCATTTCAGAATTAAACAGAATTAGAAAATTAATTTTCATGACTAGATTTCACTGAAACAAAGGAACAATGATAACAGCATGAGTACATTTCTGACGAAATGTAATTAGTTGCCACAATGTCCCAAGGCCCTCATTTTCTATTTCTGAAGGAGCTCAAGGAACTAACTGTATGCTGCCTTATAGAAATGCAGAAAAAAAAAAAATCAGCCCCTTCATACAATCTCTAATTATGCCTTAATTTAGCATCTAGGTATACTTAAGTTCTCATTCAAACAAGTCACAGATTAGAGCAAGGAATTTCTGGAATTCAAAGGCTCAGTGATGTATAATCCATTTCACTGACAATAGGTATGATAAATATAATGGGTTATTTATATTAATAGGCACACTTTGAGTAAATTATAATCTATAAAATAATTCATGTTACAGAATACCCACAAACCTAAAATATTTAATAGTGCAAGAGATGCTTTCCCACACCCCCAATTCCCACCACCCCTACATTTGCAAGCAGCCATCTCATATACCTTCGCCTGACAGTTATGTTAGCACAGGAACTTCTCTCCAGAGGTTCTTGAACACGATAAAGTGACTGAACAAAGGCTACTGTACCATAGGGATTATCATTGGCAGGAATAATAATATTTGCCACTCGATCTAACCCAATAGTACCTCCACCAGAGGCATCAGTTAGCTGCACTTCGATAACCTAGAAATACAGTGAAAATTTCCTTAAATCCCAGGTCTGAAATTAGAAAAAGAATGATGCAGGGCTGGAGAAATCATATATACACACACAAGTACAAGATCAAAATAGAATGTGTGTTCTCAAACATCCCCATTACATTTACAAACTCAACAAGTAACAAAATAGTCCAACATCAACTTCTAATAAAAGAGCATGATTATACTTAAATACAGGCTGTTTAAGTTCCTTAATATTAAGTTATACAATATTGTGAATCAATTTTTAATATCTCTAAGTCATTTCAGTCATATCCTTTTCTGTCCTCTACCTTTTTATTTCAGGCAAATATGTGTTTTTATGAATAGTTGTTACGTCTCACAGGATCATAAATGGAAATTTTGACAAATTTAAAACAAAGAACACATCAGAAGGCCACTTAAATTTAAAGGAAAGAAATGTTTTGTGTGTACTACTATCCATTATTTTAGAAGTGAATAGTGACACAATTAGCATTATTCAAATGAAACTATGGAACTTCTCTTCCATGAAAATTTGATACTGTTAAAGTCTAATTACTACCAAAAGTAATTTTATTAGAGCTAGGCTTTAATACTTGAATTTCATAAAATAAAATTATCTTTCAGCCAATATGTGTTAGTGATGAATCAGCTTCGCTACTGAGACTATCTTATTTGCCACCTTGCTTCTTTATCGTGAAAGATAAATAACAGGCAGCTATATCTAGCATTGTATTTGTCATATAGTAAATTCTCAAAAATGCTGAAGAATAAATATGAACTAATGAGTTGAAAATCTACATTTAATTGAAACTCACTGGCCCACACTCAAGACAAAGGGAATCTGGACACAAGCAAATTAATAGTTAATATGGAGCAATCTAGTATACTTATGACATGAATTTGAACACATATTTAGTCATTTAACCAAATTATTAAATTATACAATGTAATAATACAAAAGCAATCTTACACTAGTAAACTGACATGTGTACAAGAGTTAGTTTTAAAATATTCTTGTTTTTGCTGACATTCTCTGTCAATTTCACAATAACAGCACAGCCATCTTTTCTAGTTCACTATAAGACAAGCATGATTTACAGTGTCATTCTATACTAGCCATTCCTCTCACCTCTTCAATCTCCGGAACGTCGTCAGCCAGGACCTCTAACAACAAGGTTTGAATGGTTTCCCCAGGGGCAAAGGTCACATTACCTGAGACAACTCGCAGGTCGCCAGTAGCAAGCTGTCCATTAATGGTGGCAACCCACTGAACAGTAACATTGCCGAGTGTCCCAGAATTTCGAATTATTGGCAGGTTTACCTTCACTGAGTTAAACTCAGGTTCCTCTACAATAAGTTTAGTAATCTGAAAACCTAAAGAACAGAGCAGAGTTAATCTCAAAATTAAAGTAAAAGTCAGTCAACAAAGCTAACCAAGTCTCAGCCTAGAGTTGATTCTTTCCCCCCTAAACAATCTAGGTAATCACCAGAAAAATCAGAGTAAGCTGCAGTGACACAGGTTAGTCAGGTCTGCCAAAATTGCCAAACTTGTTCTCATTTTGATAGAAGCAGAAATCAGACATTCAGATCCTCATAGCAATCAGGGATATACCAGTCATGAACAATATGGGTCTAGTAAATTCTGTGACTAACTACAGGGTCCAAGCCTTAATGCAAAGAAGCAGTTTCGTTTTTGTTTGTTTGTGGTTCGCAATTTTGCTAGCATAATTGATACTATGTAGGAAAGGGGGCTTGATGTTGCCAGATTTTTTTCCACTAATCAAAAAGCTCAGAAATCCAGATTTTTGTGTAAATTTCTAAATTTTCTGAAGAACTATCTGAAGAAATGTCTGATTTAAAAAACACATGTAGGAGCCAGAACTAACCTAAAAGTCTAAAATGTTGTGACATCCATATTTATGCTAAGAGATTGATTTCTTGATTTCTAAAACTACTGATCACTGCTAGAGATTTTACAAGGCATCCTATATATGTCAAAAGTAGCAGGTTATAAAAGGAAACATGATTAAATCAACCCCAAGTGTCTAGAAATAAATATATAATCTATACAGAAGTAAAAGACACAAACTAGACTGTTACCAAATAATCCATAGGGGTCATCAGAGGCTTCAATAATAATGATTGCCTCTGTTAACACCCCTAGTTTGGCGCCTCCTGTTGTTTCATTCAGTAGTTGCACGAGAAAAGTTTCTTCCAGCTCAGGGTAGATGTCATTAATGATATATATTGGCACAGCCTTACTGGTTTCCCCTTCTAGCAAGACCACATCCGATGAAGCTATACTATAATCTTCGCCTACAAAGGCAAAAAGAAAAATGTTCATATTTATTCTACAATATGAAAATATCTTACGTACTAGGAAAATATAATTACATATCAAATTTCATGGATATACTTATGATTTTTTCATACATTGACTTCATTTATTCTAAACAAGATTTCTTCCCTTTTACCAGAAAAATTTAATGTCATAAAGTAATGAAAAAACCTCCTAAGAGTGTTCAATTCCTCTACTTTTTAGAAACACGGTTTGTACTATTAGCCATAAACAGATATAATATGGTTATAGATCAGACATAGACAAAGATGTATAGTGACTCATCCATTGCCACAGATGGTACCTTATCCACACACACACACACACACACACAAATATTCACAATACTTTCAGAACAAAGAACAAAACCAAAATTCTTATCTAACTCTTGTGCCAGCAAGCGCAGGGCAAGTTTACTATTGATTAGGACAGATAAAGAGCCCTGGAGCTCTTAGTGGATTTTACAGGTTTTAATGCTCTTGCAGGTCACCAGGTACACAGGCACACCAGGCAGGAAGGCTGGCATTTACAAGGAGGCAGGCAAGCAACGGAGCATCCGAGACTCCCATGAATTTTTACGTTTTTTTTGTATTCTCTCTGGTGTTCTTTTGTGGTTTTGCTTCTGTAGTCATGCCACTCATCCTCTCAGTTATCTTTATAGCCCTGGCCTCTATTTAGGCTCAAGTGTACACGCACAAACACACATGCTCCAGGTGTCCACAATCAGCACATGATCCCTGCACGGATGCTACCCGGTGCCTTCTCCAGCAGCACAATCAAGGCCGCAGGTGATAGCCACAGAGGCTAACGGTGTAAAAAACATAATTAATTCACTTACCATACAATCCACCCCCCTCAGGTTTTTTTACAATACTATCTACCCTCATTCTTCCACAAGTTTCCCTTGGCAAATGTGGAATACCACAGCCACAAGCACAAAAGTAAACAGAATGCAACTGAATAGAACAGAATACAACTAAGCCTAGCCACTAGGTTAGGGCACCGACCTAGGGGCAAAAAGAGAAGGTTACTGGAACAAACAAACATCCATCAGGGCTGCTACCACTCATGCAATCAAGTGGGAAGCCATTCTATTCACTCATGGCATCTGTTGTCACAGACCAGGAGCCACTAGGCTTCCTGGCTCTCTGGCTGTGGCCTCAGCTACCAGCCATATGCTATATCCATCCCAGGGTGTACTCTAAGACTGGCAACACACACACTTGTAGTGGCAGGAAGGCCAGTAAGGTTTTCTGATCCAGCAGACCAGATAAAGGAGTCCTGGAGCCCTCAGTGGCTTTTAAGGCTTTTATTGGGATTTACCAGGTACACGGCAGGCAGGAGTGCTGGGGAATGACCAGCCTCCCAGCCCTCAGCAAGTCTTCACTCCTTCTGGGCTCTCCGGCCTTCTCTCGCATTCTCTCTGCTTCTCTGCTCTCCTCGTGGTTCTGCTTCTGGTTCTCTCTTTTGCGCTTATTCTCTTCTCTGGTGTCCCTATGACACCGCCCTTATTAGCCCAGTCTCTCAGCACAGGTGAATCCTATCTACATATGCTCACACCCTACTCCAGGTGCCCGCCATCAGGCACGCATTCAGGACTGTAAGAATCCATCATCAATCCTAATGGCGGGAGGGCAGAAAAGCCTGATACTCTTTCACTTACCCTACAATACTCTATACTCTTTGGGGTAATCACTCAATCCCCAGGGGTATTCACACTGCTGTCATTCCAACATTTGGCTTTCAGTCACCAATGTGACAAGCAGACCCTTCAACTAAGGCCAACCCTTTGCACATGGGTCAAGGACCCATGGATAGCAAGCTCCACATGTGGACTCTCTCCAACAACCCCTCCAGCTGTGGTCACCACTACAAGTCAAGTTTCCCACCCATCCTTCAAGGACGGGTTCCTCAGCACCTCACCCTTATTCCAAAGTGAAAAGGGCATTACCCATTGTTGATTTTAAGAAGCTTGCTTGCCTTCTTTAGCATCCTTTCGGCTGCTTAACAACCCCTCAACACTTCCTTGTATCACCATTGGGTGAGCTACAAATAATGGTCCTCTTTCCCAAGGAGTCTGCTGCCTCAGGGGTAGTGGGCTGGTCCTCACAGGCGGTTTCCTCCACATGAAGTCTTGTTCTGCAGCTCCAGACCTTGTCTATCTCCAGTGCTCCTGCAGTGTCCTAAGCTCTCCTCACAGCTCCTGGATTTTGGCCACCTCCTGTACTGCCACGATGCCTCCAGCATTGACCCTGACTCCATCTGCAGAGCTGTGAGTGAACACTCCTGCCCCAGCCCTGCCTGAGAAGGCCCCATGTCCATCCAATGCCTTCCCCACTTTGTGCAAAGTCCTCTTCTCCTGCTGGGGAATAGGGAGACGCCCAAAGAGAGGAAGCCGGCCACCAAGTACATGTTCATGTCCTGCCCCCTCTCAATCCATCCCAAGTTCTTTAGAAGGCTCCATACCAGTCTGCAATGAATCCTGCCAACTAACTCCAATTCTAGTAGCAAGCCTGCAGGCCGGCAGGCAGGCAGTCAGGCAACCAAGCCTCCAGTCCCCCAGGTCCCCAAATGGTTATGCTTTCTTTAGGTTCTCTGGCGGTCTCTCATGGTCTTGCCTCTTCTGTAATCATGCTGCTCACCCTCTCGTAGCCATCTTTATACGCTGGCTACTAGGATCAGGTGTGCACACTTACGCATGCGTGCACAGCCATGATCCAGGTGTCCACAATTGGCACATGTGCTCTGCATGTACCCTCCCTAGTGCCTTCTGCATCAACACAACCAAGGCCGCAGGTGATAGCTACAGAGGCTAATGGAGTAAAAAAGCCTGATTAATTCATTTACCTTACACTCACTTAGGAGATAAAATATACCATTACACAGCTAGAGGCATGTCAGCATCATCAATGATACAGCTGAAAACTTTGAACCTTCCCCAAAGCTGTAGTAAAAGTTACTGCTCAGGGTGGCAGGAGCTTTGTTTGTGGTCACACTGTGGGTGGAAAAACAAGAGTCTTCCTACGGAGCCTGAGGACTAAGTTCCTGGAAGAACAATCAAGCCCATCGATGTCAATGCATAAGGGTCCCTGTAGGAGTCAGGTATTCCTCTACTCTACTCATCCCCAAAGTGTGCGCACGTGTCCAGACACAAATATACTGTGCAGGAACTACATGAGCCTGATTTGTTGTCTGCTCAAGTATTATATCCAGATAATTTATTTTGAAAATATCAAGCATGACTCCCTATCCTTTTGCACCCACGATCCTCCGAATGCACACTAGGAAGACTATAGTTGAATAATCAACTTCTATACAAATCTCCCTCCAGCTGTTGTAACTGCACAAAGAAGGCAGTCTCCTAATGTTTGCATTTGGAAATGAAGTCATTTTGCTTATATGGAAAATTGTTAATGCTAGTGACTATATCTCCCAAGTTCTTTATAAATAAACAAGCAAGATGAATGGATAAGACACAAGACTGTTGGCCAGCACTGCACTCCCATGGCTGTGCATTTATTCCTGCATTCCTCAATGTCACACACTGAATCCCTTTCAAATCCCATATACAGAACCTAACAATGCTTTCCTTAGTTTGCTTTTCATTGGTTTATACATATTTTGTTCATCATAGCTTTTAAATCCACATACATGTTTGCCAACAGTTTTCACAAATTCTATAAACTTAGTATCATAAAAACAAAGAAAAATAAAAGTTCTAGATTTGTGCCTTAATAAAGATGGCAGAGTATTATTGATTTCTAGTTTATTTTTCTACCTACATCTTTGAGTGATTTTGTTAACCACAGATAAGCTGTCCCTCCAAAATACTTCACTGTTCCTAAGAGAATTTTTCTCACCAGCTATTGCAGTTATTGGCACAGCCTTAAACTTCACAGAAACATCTGCAAATGCTCCTCCTGTTCTCGTCACATTGATAATGGGCCCAACATGATTTTCTGCCACTCGAACAACTGAAGCTGAGAGTTGAAGAGTTCCAAATGCATCATCATTGGCAATGATAATTAGATGAGCAATGGTTTCTACCTTAGGCCCAAGGCGTGGAGAATCTGGAACTGAAAAATAAAAGAGTTCACACATCAAAACTCTAAAAACTGGCCAAAAGTCATCTAGAAGCCTCAGCAAGTTGCCATCAACCAAATGGGATCATTATTTGGTGTTTTGTCTCTACGATTTATACTTAAAAAATCATCGATTACTATGTACCAGAATTACTCTAGACATTGGGGATACAAAAATTAATTAATCAGAAAGTGCCCACATTCTTGTGGCTTTATTTTCTAGTGAGATTTTATTATTATAGAATCCTAGCAAAGACATAGTTACCCTACAGGAATATTTTAATCAGAATTGGAAATTTGTCAAAAGGCAAGAAATGATTAGCTATACATAATCATCACTTTGCATAGTAACAGATAATGATGAAATCCAGTTATGCTCTTCTAATTAGTTCACCATGTCAATTAAAAAAAAGCATTTCAGTTACAAAATTGAGTAGGAAAGTAATTTAATTCCTAGTCTTCAAAGATCAGCTCCAAATCATCACCCTCTAATTAAATTACTGCCTCTACTTCACTCTCCTCACTCACAAACTTTTTCCCCCAAGTTCGATCTTATTTAATAGTCATCATTTACCTTATCTGGAAAGCAGTCAGCCTCAAGGCTACCTCAAAGCTACCATAATACAGTGTTTTCCATGCCTTTTAGGCTCTCATCTTACAATCCACTGATTTCAGAGAGATGAAAGTTTATTTTGAAGGCTTTAGGACCTTCTACAAACTCCCTGACTTATTTTCTAGTTTCAATTCCAACCAGAACCATTGCAAAACAATATAAAAATTGACCTTTTAACACAAATGAAGCACAAAACAAACTCTCACTAGAGGCAATCAATTTTTAGTTCCTATTTAAGAGACTCTCTAACAATTGTAGTATTTGGAAGTATGTAATTATGAATAAAATTTAACATCTTCAGACAATTTGATCCAAATGCAAATATATATACATTTTAATTTTAATGATACAGGCTCAGACCATACCAAATTACATCAAATTTAAAACCACAAAGTATGAATTAATGTAATATAATTAAATTCAAAGTACGCTAGAAAAGAATGGCAGTAATATAGAAAACTGGAGCCACAGATAACATTTTTTCAGTGGATTATTTTAAAAGCATCATTCTAAGCCCTTTTCTTATGTCAAAATACAACATGTTCACACCATCTCTTATGTCCAATCAGAGACAGGAATCAGAGACAGAGAAACTGAAGGAGTCACCAAAGGGTTTATAGTTTTACCTGATAGACACAATCAACAGACATCTTGAAATGAGTTGCCTAATCTCTTCCTCCCTATAATGAACTCTCCTCATTGAACCAGGTATCAAACTTTCATCTATCCAGAACTTTTCATCTTGCTCTCTGCCCTAACCAGTGTACTGACCACCATTTTCTCACTGACTCCTGAAAGTTGATGCTTACACTCAGAGTAGATAAACAGAGATCCTATCAGAGTCATATACTGACTTTATTAAAATTTAAGTCAATATTACACAAATTTGCAATGAATTATTCTTTATTCCAAATCATAGCTTATGCCTAGTCTTAGCTTATGACTTATGACCCACCTGTTCTGTTCCCCATTTTGTCTGGTGACTCCTCTCAACACCCCCACACACACCTCTGGCCTGTACCCTAGTTCTTGTATGCATAAATAAATAAATCTTTTTTTAAAAAAAGAACATTTTCTAACATGATATAAGCAATAAATAAGCCATAATACAATAACTCCTTTTAGCTCCACAATCTCAAGTCCTGCTCTCTCCCAGTGGACACCCTATTCTCTATAAAGCATGTAAGTCAACACCCAAGGGGAATAACTTCTCCTTTCCACTAGAAGGTGGTGCACCAGATTCTTTGCCTGGCATGTGTCACTCCTCACTTCTCATTTTTATCACCACCAGTGTCTTCTCAACTCTCAAAATGATCCATAGATTTAAGGGATTCCTTAATGGCTACATGGTCCCATCCCTAATTCCCACAAGCAGTTCCCAGATTCAGAAACATCTAGCTAGTAGAAAGACCCTCTGTTGTTCAGGGTATACACAGAGTGGACTGAGGTAAGAGGCTCAGTATCCTGCTACCAAGACAGACCCTGAAATCTTCTGATTGATTACAAAATGTTTTGAACACTATAATACATAGCACAATAGTACCGGAGGTCAGTTACACAAGGATTATTTGAAAACTTCTAAATTTTAGTCTGGAAATGTAATGGACTTTTAAAACATTTTTCATGTTTTCTAGTGTCCCACTCCCATTTGCCTTATAGATTAATTTTTTAAGATAAAATTTTATAAGTGCTTTGTTCAATGTTTCCAAAGTTAGTGCTTACTCTCGTTATAGTTTCCTGCTATACCCAATCCTTAATTTATTGTTTTAAGATTTTTTTCTCTAATAATAATAACATACTAACAGTTACTTACTTGAGCGATTCTGTACTTTCTCTACTAATGTAGAGTTGAGTAGTTCAATAAACACTGATTCTGACTTTTCTGGTTCATCATCATCCAAAATTGAGATAGCTATTGTTGCCTCATTCTGATTATCATTGAAAAGAGCAAATCCAGAAGCTGGTATATAATCTCTTCCTTGAGTTGCTCTGGCTATATTAGGTGGAAAATAAGGTGGTTTTTCCATATCATCCAGTGTTCTATATGTGACAATGACTTTTCCCATGAGGCCTTTTAACCTTATTATTGACAAAGTGATGTTCTGGGTTGCTTCCTCAACTTGAACAGGTCTATTTTTCTCGGAAAAGATGAAGACCCCATAAGGATCATCATTAGCCAAAACAATTAATGTGGCATTCGTATGAACTCCTAAAGAACCACTAGAGACACTGAGGATGGACACAGAGAACACCTTATCCAGTTCTGGATCTTCGTCAGGCAATATTTCCACTGTGATGTTGGCAGACTTCTGCCCAATCTCAAACGTGACATTGCCAGAGGTGAAGGCAAGGTCTCCATCAGGATCAGAGTCTATGCTCCAAAGCAAAGTCACTGAAGACAGAGTCCCATGACTTCTCATAATCTATAAGATATTTAACATTAAAATGGATTTGAAAAGGGTTAAATCAATTGACTTAGATATTTAAAAACAGAATGATTGCAAGATATTATTTTATTCTATTTCATGTAAGTTGTCCTCACAGATAAGATTCTTGAAAGTCAGGATCACATACTATACATCTTTGATATTGTTTATATTCCTACTAAAAAAAAAAATTGCTGTATGCTGTGTGAAACTACAAATTGGTTAGATACTTGTAGCTTCCAAATAAACTTTAGCTGTAACTTTTCTGCAATCTATATATTGGCAATAAAGCAAATATAACCAACAATTTATTATATTTAAACAAACATTAAAATACTTACATTTATAGGAAAGATGAATGAACGTCATTATAAGGAACATGTGAGTGATATTTTTCTGAAAATTTAGCCCTAAAACTCAGTTTTCAAAATTAATTATATTTCCTTTTATCTTCAATATAATAGACTATTAAAAACTCAACAAAAACATAATTGATCCAAGGTTTAATAAAATACGTTTCAGAAGTACTTCTGTATAAAATACGTAAAGAAGAAAAGCTCTAAAAAGCACCCTGAAGACCCAAATAACTTTTATTTACACTTAAAATACAAATACTAACTCAAAAAAATATTTGAAAAAATAATTTTATAAAACTTGATCCTTCCCTTAATTAATCCTTCCCTTAATTCTGAGTAGTTATCCTCTCCAAATTTGTTCAAATTATTTCACAACAGTTCATTAAAGATCTTCTATAAGAGTGCAGAAGAGATATATTTTGAATGATCTTTCTTTGTTATTTGTATATCTGAGAAAGTTGAAAAGCTTCTAGCATTTCCGAGTTATTTAAATTACAGAATTCTACTTAAATCCCACTGGAATAAAGCAACACCCAAAAAGAAACACACACAATATAGAGTTATTATTTCCATTTACAAGTGTTTCAGATTTTTTTTGTTTCCTTTTGGGAGAGAGATATGATAGAATCCTATGCATCCACACATTGACATCAGGCATGGACATGTAACCATCTTTAACTAAGGAGGTATAAGCAGAAAAGCTGTGTATCACTTCCAGAAAGAAGTGACGCCCCTTCTTTCCATCCCATGGTGAGGATAGAAATTTGAAATGTAGCCTCTGTAGTCTTTGATCCCTAAGTGAGAGATGACTGCCAACTTTAGTTGGGCATGTACCATGAGAGACAAACAAATCCTTGGTATATTCTGAGATCTGGGAATTGTTTGTTGCAACAATCTATATGAATTAACTCCAAACTCTATGCAAACCAATCATGTGGGACAACTCTGTTATATTCCTTAGAGAGTCAGGAATCATTAGAATCAAAAGATGAATCTATAGGCAAAGCTAAACTTAAAAGCAAATACTGATCACAATTCAACTGTCAATTTTTATTATCTGTGCCACTAAGTTCATTCTTCCCTACCTACCTTAAAAAAATCAGCAAGAAGCAAACCTTCAAATACAATAAAACAGTTTTAAAAGAACAGAAATGTCTAAGACTGTAGGGGAAAATGTACTCACATTTAGTGTAACAGTGTTGTACCTGTCTCCTAGTTCCGATCCACTGACAAAGAGTGACTCAGGACTAAATTCAAATATACCATGAGCATGATCCGAGGCTGCAACTGTTACTAGAATTTGGGAAGCAACTCCTAGACTGGCTGCATGAATAAGTTCCAACAAACAGCAAGAAAGTGTTAATCAGTAATTTACAAACCAAAGGAAAAACCAAAGAACAAGCTTTTGAAAAGAGCTATACCATTCATTGATTAAGTTCTAATTTGTTTTAGAAAGAAAAGCAGACACAAATGGTTGCCACACATATTCATGCTTTTATGACCTCTCTCTATTTTGGCACCAATGTGATATACAAGTGCTGCTTAAGCACTTGGAGAAGAATAAGGAAAACTTGTTTTTCTTATTCTTCTCTGTGAAAGAGAACATTCTTTCACACAGTATATATGGGGAAAGTCTCCCACGACCTTTGCTAACCTCAGACGAACATGAGCCAAAATGACTCTTACCTTTATAAAAGAGTCATTGCCCCAATTTTCATCAATCTGACTGAACATATTCACAATTTAAAAATATGCATTAATTATAACTTATTTTTTTCATCAAGTTATGATACTGCAGTTACCTCTCCTGGTCCCAAATAGTCCAATGTTATACCTAAAAAGATGCCAAGATCTTTAAAAGTACTGTTTTTCCTGACAGGTATATTCAACCTTTATGTTATAGTAATGTACAGAGACAAGAAAAGGAACAGACCCAAGAGTAGCGAGTAATAAATATAGAGGCTACATGAAGCGTTAATGGAAGTTAGCGATGAAGGGGATGGGAACATGAGTTCTGACATTAAAATATAAAATCAGACATTGTGAAAAAGGAATAGTTGAGGATTAAAAAGAATTCTTCTCCCTGAAGAAACAAGTATTCTATGTATTCATTCCTAATATAAAACTTTTGAGGTAAAAAGATGAATTATATTTATTTATGAGTCTACTTCAAAAGGCAACCTCTCTTCAATGTTCCCTCACATTCAGTGGCAACTTACTCTCCCCATTTATTTTCTTGTTAATTTCTTTTTGCCATATACATTGATAAAATGCTCTCTGTAAAGACTCATGTTTCCTTCTTGTAAAGAAAATAAGCATGACATATTTAACATGAAAATTGTAGATATTCAAAATTATATAAATATTTTTTGATAATTATTTTTGAAAATGATACTCAGGCAAAAATTCTTATTGCAATTTGAATCAAGAAAATGCATTAGTTTCGTATGGAGAGGATGTCTGGGATTTGAGGCAGGCAAGGACTTGACTCTGTCTTGATCACTTTCTAGCTGTGTGGTTATAATATGAAGTAATACTCGTGAAGTTCCTGTGACAGATAATGATATAAAATATGTAAAAGAGCTGTACATAGTAGGTGTCAATAAATGGTATTTCTGTCTCTAGTAAGAAAGTTTAAAACAATATATTTAATAGTAAAGCGCTTGAGAACAGCTGCTTACCATGTTTGTGAATAGTTGGAAGGAAGAATTCCATGTCCCCATCACCACTACCACTGCCTTCAACCCTAAAGAGTTCAGGTACTTCACAAGGAGACACACAAGGACACAACCCACACAACATATATTGACACAATGAGAAAATTGAAAATTGAAAGCTCTTGAAACATACCTAGCAAAGAAGAAAATGCATATTTACCCAGTGACATACATTCTTCCACAGACATCAGATTAAGTAACAAAAGAATAACATTAGTCAAGCTATCAATTTATAAAACATTAATTGATAGCTTCAGGAAATATTCTATGTAACGTATAAATTGGTAATTCCTATTTTTATCAATTTAACTAGTTTTATTTTTCAATTTTCATTAACATACAATATAAATTGTTTTTAACACTTTAAAGATTTATTAGATATTTGTTGTATATAAAATCATACACCTTTCTAAATGCCTGTAACAGTCACCGTATCTTTCACAATAACCAATACAAAATCAGGAAATGCATGTAATATTTCCCTCCAGTCACATATTCAAACTCCTACTATATGTACCATTGTCAAACTTAATCACCATTTTGCCAATGACACTGGAAAGATTCTTAAACAAGAAATCTAAAAGTAGGGCCTCCCCAGTGGCACAAGGGGTTAAGACACAACCTATGAAACTATCCACAGCCACTGCAGCATGAGTTCGATCCCTGGCCAGGGAGCTACCCACATGGCACAGCAGACCTCTCCTGTCTTGGCTGCTGCTCCCCTCAGCAGTGTATTTCAGTCAATCTGCCTGTTCTGTTCCCTGCTCTGTCTCTGGTGAACCCTCTCACCCTCCCATACATCTGGCCTATTCCCCAGTTCTTGTATACATAAATAAATAAATCTTTGAAGGAAAAAAAAAAAAGAAATCTAAAAGTACCCTGCTTTAGCCCTGGCTGTGAGGCACCTACAGCAAAGTTACTGAAGTTCTTGGTACCTCAGTTTTTTCACCTATAAATAGTTCTGCCTTCTACAGAACTGCTGTAAAGATCAAATCATGTAAAAATATAAAGCACATTAGCAATATGTCAAGACCATAACACAGTGAAAGCATGGGCCTCCCTGGTGGCACAGGGGTTAAAGACAGAGCTATCAAGCTATTCACAGTTTCCCCTCAGCAGTATATTTCAGTATATCCACCTGTTCTGCTCCCCACTCTCTCTGGTGAATCCTCTCACCCCCTGCACCTCTGGCTTATACCCCAGTCCTTGTATGCATAAATAAATTTTGTAAAAAATTAATAAGTAAAAAATAAAGTGAAAATGGTTATAACTTCCCCTGTAAAACATCTTTACCACAACCATTATTTCACCAAATGTTTGCAAATAAAGACAGGAGGGGCAGCAATAGTAGCAGTGGAAAAGAAGGGGCATAACAGAAGCGGGACTATGTCCAGACATAGGTGTTCCTACCACTATACTTGACTGACATGCTGGATTAAGATCTGCCCTGCTCTTCTGTTTTTCCCCTCAACAGAACTGAGATTTACCAGCCATGAACATGTATGGCACTTAAAACCTGAAACCAACTTGAAGACTTAATTAAATAGGTATCAAGAAATATCTATTGATAGTGCATGACTCTGACCCTGTATGATTCAAAAGTTATGAGAAAGAGAAGTGAACTTAAATATCAGTGTTCTCAGGCTAGCAGAAAACATCTTTTCAGAAACCATCTTATGTTAAGATGTGGTTTATGGACAAAAAGTATGGAATTTGGGTGGCACCTTTGAATTTCAAAAAGAATTTGGCTTTACAAGCAATTTCACATCTTAGGTGGTTAGTTCCCAACTATGACTCAAAGAATAAAGCCCAGTGTCTAAATGACTTCACTTTCAATCTCCACCCACTAGAAGAAAACCAGATTTCCTACCACTCCATTTACTAATAAATGGCAATATTAGTTTTTAAATGAATGCTCATGCCCAATTAATCTATAACAATGCAGATTCTAGAGGTCAGGGTAGAAGTGTCTACACACAATCAAAAGTATCACTATGATCATTTCAGAGGAGTATCTGAGATTTCTTATTAATCAATATTAGGCAATAATCACTAAGTTTCTGTATTTCATAAGCATTTTATAATGGTCTTTGTATTCATGAAAGTCCCATCATGAAAAGAATCTGGATATTTGAGGACTTGTTTGAGTATGGAGTACAAGCCAAGCAGGTATTTTTGCATGCCATCTGCCAAACAGATAATCCAGCACAATTTACTGATTTATGCATTCAACCAAGTTGTGGCAGTGTTTAATCATTGACCTCCCAAATACTGTCTTGACCTCCTTTGTTTTCACCTGTGCCTTAAGGACACAAGGAAGGGAAATTTTACACATTTATCCCCAAATCCTACAATTTACTAAAAGATAACTTTTTTTTTTTTGTGGGACCCTTGCCGGCAGTCGGGGAACGAACCGGCGCTGCTGAGGCTGAGGGCAGCCTCGCAGCCCAGCGTTCAACCGCTGCGCCACCAGGGGAGGCCCTACTAAAAGATAATTTTAATAGTAAAATTTAGCACTTCTGTTCCCTTATGGATATTTTCTATAATATTATGACTTTCTTCACCAAAACAATAAAGATGATAAATAGATAATACCAGATTTTGTAATGGAAAAGACTGCTATGATATTATACCAACAATAAATTTCTTACATTTACAAAGATAATATGGTGCATATTACATGCATAATACAACCAGTAGCACCTGATGACCAAATACATTAATATTTCTGCTAAGAAACATATATCAGAGGTTAATTTAAAAGGGATAAATCAAAATTATAAGTCGCCTATTTCAATGCGACTGAGTTTTGCCATGAAATGGGTTTGTCTCCAAATGTCTTTGATAATCAGAGCTTTCTGAATGCCTGAATTGAAGATGCAGTATTATTGTTCTGTTTTGGTGATAAACACCTCATAGAAGATTATCTAAAGGGCAAATTTTTTACCCATGCTATACCTGAAGAGATCTCTAAAGGAGCTACTAAGCAACTGTGCCCTTGTAATAAACAGCAGTGTTATTAACTCAGAATTAACCAAATTCATAGCAAGACTCCATGCAAAAAAAAAAAAAACAACTATGAATTGAATATTAATTTCTAAAACCAATACTCTAAATTTTAAAGAAATGGGAATTTTCTTTTTACCAAAAAAGAGATTATCAATCAAAAACTTACACTCCATGTATCTTGTAAGCAGCTATTACCTTAGCTTCTCTTTCCAAAACTTATAGTTTAGATCTGCCCTTATAGTTTGGATCTGCCTTATCTACACTTCTTTTTCCAAAAATTATAGTTTGGATCACTCATTTTTTTTCAAAAAGTAATTAATTCAAAAGCACATATTTTCTTAGTAGGTTCAACTATCATTATGATGAGAAAACAAATATTTGATATTTTGAAATTGCTAGGCTTACCTCCTCCCTCTGAGTTGAACAACTCAACTTTAAAAGTCTTTTCTAATTCAGGGATAGAATTATCAGTGATGTTAACAGAAATGTATTTATATCTTTCTCCTGGTTGAAACTCTAAGCTGCCAGCAACACTCTGAAAAACAATTAAAAGATCTATCCATTAGATTATAGTTATTCTGCATATGAATTTGCCAAATGGTTGTTTGCTATGTCCCAAATTTTTGTAAATACTGCAATATAAGAACATAAGTAAAATATAAATTGAAAACATTAAGTGGATTTGAACAGTGTTCATTAGAATATCTAAATAAATATTCTCTAAACAAGGTAGATGGGCTTTTATACCTCTTATTTGACTATTCATCAACATAGCAGTCAAGGCAAATATGAGATTTTATTCAATGAGATGCAAGGAATTCTGTCCACTAAGCATATTGAGAACTATTCAAATTAAATCAGAGTAGTTTAAGTACTCAATCCATAATTTTCATTCTGAAATTTTCTCTAAGCAACAATAAATATCAGTCCATTTGGCAATAATCTTTCCTTGATTATATTTGCAAATACAATGTATAATACAGATCTCCCATCAGAAAAGTTCACATATTACAACAAAGTTATTCAAAATCAAAGCCTTAAGTCTCTCACCTTCCTCATTAATTATCTCATCTATATATAAACATTATCATAAAAAATTATGAGAATACATTTTAAAGTTGTTTACATTTTTTAAATTTTTATAGTGTTACTTTCTGTGGACAATTCATACAAATTCTGTGATACTACAGATGATCTTAAGGCTGAAATAAGGAACCCAAGTGACTGGTCCATTCAATCACTCATCTATTCATTATTTATCAAATATATAGTTGTGGCATGACACCACTATAGATGGTGGGATTCAAAAATAGTGAAGTTCTCCAAATGTGCTCTTCCTTACATTAAGACCATTTTACCATTGGGGCCTCCCCGGTGGCGCAGCGGTGGAGCGCTGGGTTGCGAAGCTGCCCGCAGCCTTGGCGGCGGCGCCGGTTCGATCCCCGGCTGCTCCCCGGCCACCGGAGGAGGGTCCCACATGGCGCGCAGACCTCTCCTGCCGCCCGCTGCTCCCCTCAGCAGTGTACTTTGGTCCTTCTGCCTGCTCTGCTCCCCGCTCTGGCTCTGGTGAATTCTCTCACCCTCCCGCGCTTCTGACTGTACCCAGTGCATGTATAAACAAACAAACAAACAAAAATAATAAATAAATAAATAAAAAGAATAATTTAAAAAAAAAAGACCATTTTACCATTTACTCAAGATATTTTGCCAGTGTCAAGAACAAATATTCTCCCTGGTGAACATTCCAAAAGAATTGTTAAGCATGTAATAAAATAATTTATAAAATAACAATTGCTATAAAACATACAGAATTAGTGCAAGAAGGAGGCAATTAACTTTGCCTAGAGTTTAGTAGTCAGTGGAATAATTCAACAAATCTTAACAATAGAAATAACATTGGACAGTGTTAAGAAACCCTTTACTTAAGCTCAACTGTACAAAGTTACTGCTCCCTCTTCTGCAAAAATGTTCTATGATGTCACACTCCCCCAGTTTTTCCTACCTTTCTAGTTCATTCTTTTCAGTATTCTTTGCCAATTTTTACACTGCTTTACAAACTCTAAACACTGTTTTTATCAGACTCTCACTCTAGAAAAGGTTATCATATTCTAGGCTTTAATATTACTAATATGTTCCCAAATCTCAAATTCCCAAGTCCCAACCTCTGACATCCAGACTCAAATTTTAATATGTATCTGAAATTTTCTTATAACTTCCTTCAAAATGTTAAATTCATGCTCTTCCCTTAAAAACTATGTCTCAGGCCTCCCTGGTGGTGCAGGGGTTAAAGTATCAGCACTATCAAGCTAACACCAGCCATTGAGACATGAGTTCAATTCCCTGCCATGGAGCAAACCTACATGGTAGGGAAGGCCTTGCGTGTCTCAACCGCTGCTTCACTCAGCAGTGTATCTCTGTATATTTGCCTGTTCTGCTCCCCATTCTATCTCTGGTGAATCCTCTTACCCTCTGCACCTCTGGCCTATACCACAGTTCTTGTATGCATAAAAAATAAATAAGAATTTAAAACTATGCCTTATCACATCTCTCCACAGCACTCCATTGTAGAATAGCAAGTGGCTTATGTCAAGAAATGAGAGTCCTGATAACTCTCTTCTGCTTTATTCTTCACATTAAACAATCCTCAAATCCTAGTATTTTAACTCTTACGTACTTCTTGAGTGCACTACTTCATTTCATCTTTCTTCTTTTCATTGTTACCTGCCTAGTCTAAGTTATTATCACCTCTTGTCTTGCTCCACAAAACAGACTCTTTACTGGTCTTTCTGCATCCAGTGCTTTTATCTCTGAATCCATTCTCAATTGTTCAGCCTAACAGGGAAACTTCATAAATGTTTAACACCCTTCCATTACTTCTTGTTTTGAAAATATAATCCAAAACACATGGCCTGACCTGGAAGCCCTGGAATGATCCAGTTCCTGAATTCCTTATCTTTGATTACCACACCTACTCTTCATTCTGATACTATTCCTCTTCTTTTCTTACATTAGGGCCCTTTTACCACTTTACTCATAGCATTTTAATAGTCTCAAGTAATACTTGCCCCTTTAGAAAACCTAAATTTCTGGTTTTCTTCTTGTTAATCTTCAGAGCTCACATAAATACATTTCCTCAAAAAGCCCTCCTTGACAACCCAGGTTATGTCAACATCCATCTCTCTTAGAGTACCGACTCTGGACAGTTCCCACCACTGTTAATCAGCCATAAATTAGTCACATTAATTAATTGATTAATAAATTCCCAAGGAGTGAAAGTAAATACCTGAATGGTAGAGATTGCCTATAACTGTTATATGAAAATAAAATTAAGAGCAACAATGTCAGATACTCAGCTGTTTCCTCTTCTGTACAGAATCCCATCTTAAATCTTACCCTCTCCCACCTCCATAAAATACTCAAACACATGCTCACATACACAGTCTAAGAAATCTTACTTTTCTGCTAACACAGAACAGAGAGAACTGAAGCATTAGAAAAATGGTTAAGGTAAAAGTTATCAGGATTTCATGGATAAATAAAAATAACAGTTAAAGTAGTAATAAGTAATAAACAGGATATTTAAGCACCCCTGAAAATCCTCAGAAACAGATTCAAGGGTATTAGCTTTCTGAAAGTTATGGAGGATGAATAGGTGGTGTGGTTTGGTTTGGTTCGTTTTGTTTTACTTACTTAAGAAAATGATAATCTAACTGCAGTTAGGATATTCAGAAAATGAAGACTATCAATATAAGAACCAAAGTCTGTCTTAAGAGAATGTAGAGAATGCAAGATGCAATATGATGCAGAATAGGTTAAAGACACAATAAATGGCATGGTTAAGAAAACTATAACTTGCCCAAGAAAAAAAAACTGAATTTGATTAGCCAAGGTTTATGGGATTTGGGATAGAAATGTATACAAAACAGTCAACACTGCACCACTACTAAGAAGTGGTGGAGGGCCTCCCCAGTGGCACAAGAGGTTAAGCACCACACTGTGAAGCAATCTGCAGCCTCTGCAGCATGAGTTCGATCCCCAGCCGGCCAGGGAGCAACCGACATGGCGCAGCAGACCTCGCCCGCTGCTCCCCTCAGCAGTGTGCTTCAGTAGATCTGTCTGTTCTGTTCCCCACTCTGTCTCTGGTGAATCCTCTCACCCCCCACATCTCTGGCCTTTACCCCAGCTCTAATATGCATTAATAAATAAATCTTAAAAAAAAAAGAAATGATGGAAACAGGAGCTCTAATATTAATTTTAAAGAAAAAAAGATTCTTTAGAAAGCACAAATGTTAAAATGTATCAAATTATTTCTGAGAAATATGAGTCAATCTCCCCAACATACCCAGAGCAAGCCCCTTCCAATAAATGTCACCTTGGTATGGGAAACTAGGGTTCAGCTGAGAACCTGTGGACCTTGGGAAATCTGTTACCATTATTTAAACAATGCATATTTTCTCTTCCTATTGGCTAAAATCAAATGTAGTATCTGTTCTCATCAGTTTAAACAATGCAGATTATTTTAAATTACATGCATTGAAGGCCCTAGAGGCTAAGAGAAGCTTTGTCCTTGTTTTAATCATTCATCCTTTTCCAAAGCAAAGAAGCAAATCACTGTTCCTCCTTTTTATGACCTAGAAGAATATGGTTTGAGTGGTATTACCCCAGTTTAGGCTTATCTGTTAGCATATCTTTCTCTCTGAGAAAATCTGTTTTATTCTTAGACTAAAATATCAAGGTCACCGACTCTGTGTCATGTGGAAGTTCCCCATTTCTCTCTCCTTGACATCCTGGCCCACCCATTTTATTTTAGGATATACAACCAAGTAACTTCTCCTTATATATGTTATTAAATATGTCATTTTCTCCTACTAATCTGTCTGATGTTAATGTGTTCATCCATCCAACTCAAAAGAACAAAGACTTGGTAGGGGAAATTTCCCCTGCATCCTGATAGAAGTATAACTAAGAAGAAATTATGAGGATTCACTTAATATGTTTATTGGTGATAATAAGAGTAGTGAGCAGTTATTGAGTGTGACTATGTATGTACCACAAATCATATAACACACTTTAAACATTCAGAATGTTCTTGCCCAGCAGAGATGATCTCTTTTTTTTTCCAAATAAAGAAACTGATGTTAGGAAAGATCCAGTGTCCCAAGGCCACACATTTAGAAGATCTAATCCTGTCCAGCTACAAGTTCCAAGCTTTTTTTTTTTTAAACCAGTACTACACATCTCACTACTTGGAGAAAAAAATAATTAAAATGGAAAAAGTCATGGACATATAATTTATTTGCAATGTTGCCTGTTTGATGAATGTAGACAAGATGATTTAAAATATGTATGAAACTCAATTTTAAATATGTCTGATTAAAACGTGTAACTTTAAAATGAATAATATAAGGGAAGCCCATGACAAATAGAAGGTACAACTGAATTCAAAATAACAGCTATTTAAGTGTGGGGCCTCAAGGAACTAAAATAATTTAATTTACAGAACTTTAAAACACTGGAATCATCAGTGCTTACTTTTCCATATCTCAAGGACAGTGCAGTCCCTTCCAGTACTCCAAGACAAGGATGATTATGTCTATTTTACAAGTGCAAATGCCACTTAAAGAGGATTAAGCGATTTACCTGATAGTCCTGAGGACTGAATGCTGTCAATGAAACTGTTCTAAATTCCACTGTAACCATCCCCAGGAGTCCTTGTGCTCGAACAACCAATAACCTTACTTCTCCATCCTCCTCCTGCACAGTGATCTGGGGAACGCTGCTTGCTGGCAGGATCATTATATCTTCAGGTTGGGGAGGTAGCCCTGAGGAGAACTGCAGCAAGCCTGGCAGATACAAGAAAAAGGCAAGGTATTCTTGGCCCAATTATCCGTTGAAGAATTTCTTACTCATTTGCAATAATCTGCACAATTATTTTGAACACCAGGAGAAACTCTGAGTGCTTTCATTTAGAAAAGACATGAATGACTATTTCATTTACATACTTTTGATCCAGAATGTTAATAGACTTTCAAGATGTTAAACAGTAAAATAATTTTCCTTGCCTCTACTCAAAGAAAGTTTTTTTTTTACAGAATAAAAATAACGATCAAGTTTTAAAATAGATTATTATCAAAAGTTTACTCATATCTGACTCTTCTATTGATAGAATTCATACTTGAACTTATAATACAACATGATTAATGGTACCTAAAAGATTTGCAACACATTTTTTGAAACAGTTAATTATAAAAGAGGAGAGTTCTTTAACAAATGGTGTTGGGAAACATGGACAGCCACACACAAAAAATAAACAAACAAAACTAGGTCCTTACCTAAGTCCATACACAAAAATAAATTCAAACAGGATAAAAATGTGGAAGTAAGACCATGACATACTTAAAATAAAACCTAGATGATACACCACTGTATGTATTTATTAAAAGAAATACATCTACTGGAGAGATGTATTTGGGATGCAACTCCAATGGCAGGACAAACAGAAGCAACAATAAGTGGGATTATATCAAACTAAAAACCTTTCGCACCTCAAAAAGAAAAAGGCAGTCTACAGACTGACACAAAACTGACAAGTGGTTAATTTCTAAAATACATACAGCACTCATATACTTAACAACACAAAACAAACAACCCGATCAACAAATGGGCAAAAACCTAAATAGACACTTCTCCAAAGAAGATTCTAATGGCCTACAGGCACATGAAAAAATGTTCAACATCACTTATTAAGGGAAATGCACAGCGAAACCACAATGAGATATCACCTCACCCCTGTGAGAATGGTCTATATCAAAAAGAATGGAAGTAACAAATGTTGGTGTGGATGTGGAGAAAAAGTAACACTCATCCATTGTTGGTGGAAATCTGATTTTGTGCAGACTTTATGAAAAACATAAACAGAAATACCACATGATCCAGAAATACCACATGTTCCAGCAATACCACTACTAGTCATTTTACCCAAGGACTATGAAAACTCTAACACGAAAAGATTTGTCCACTCCTATGTTCACAGCAGCAAGTCATGGACCCAACCTATGTGTCCAAAATAGACAACTGGATGATGAAAGTATGGAATACTACTTAGCTATTAAGAAAGGATGAAAATAGTGGCTTTTGGGACAAAATGGATGGCTCCTGAGGTGATTATAGAAACTGAAATAAGTCAGAGAGTGGAAGACAGATATAAGATGGTTTCAGATAGTTTGAGACAGCTATAGGATAATTTTTAAATTGAAAATAATCTGACAGTCAAGAATAGAAATACTTTTTTCATTTTAAATAATTCTGCTTTTGCTTTAAAAATACATACTCTTAATGTTCAGTGATTAATCTTTTTATTAATGGCAGTTTAGAAGTTTAACTTAGAAGTTAGAAGGTCCAAAGAAGTTATACTTCAAAATTTATAAAAAGGTCGTTAAGAATTTCTAAGTAGGGGGCCTTCCTGGTGGCGCAAGGGGTTAAGCGCTGCACTATGAAGCAATCCACAGCCTCTGCAGCACAAGTTCGATCCCCGGCCGGCCAGGGAGAAACCCACATGGCGCAGCAGACCTCTCCTCCCTCGCCCGCTGCTCCCTTCAGCAGTGTTTTTCATCAGTCTGCCTGTTCTGTTCCCCACTCTGTCTCTGGTGGATCCTCTCACCCCCTGAATCTCTGGCCTGTACCCCAGGCTTTGTATGCATAAATAAATAAATCTTTAAAAAATAAAAAAGAGTTTCAAAGTAGGACCAAACACTCCCAGAGAAAAACAGATATTCCCGAAAAAGGAATTGGTTACCATATGGATGATCACTAGCTTTAATGGTGATATCGGTCGTTTCCTTTTCAGGATCTATGCTTGCACCGCTGGAGGGAGTCGAACCTAGCTTCCCATCTCCAGGAATTGCAGAAACCAGTGTCACACGGAAATACTCATTAAGCTCAGGAATATCATCATCAAGAACATATATATTAAGGACCTGTAGATATAAAAATCCAATGGCATTAAGCATAATACATCTAGAATTTATTTTCCACCTACCAATAGAAAACAGCTAATTAAATTATTCTTGATTAAAGTTAGTATTTTAACAATTTCTACACATATCTACACACATACACAGAGAGAAGGCTACCTGAGAAATTAATTTTTTAAACAATAATGGATGTTGAGCAGTAACAATGTCTATCTAAAAAAATACTCTATTTTGGTATTAATATCACATGTATACGACATCATCATGATGACTTCATAAAAGAAAGAGCACTTTAATTCCAAAAGAAATGAAAAAAAGAAAGTATAAGAATAACCTATACACTGCTGAAGGACTAACTATGGGTGCCTTGGTGGTGGGTGTGCTGTGGTAACATAACATCTGAAGGGGTGTGTCCCTATACATCAAATCCTGCACAATGCTATAAGCCAGTGTTACCTCAACTAGCTGTATACCAAATAAACAGACTAAATAAACAGGAAAAAATAAAATACAGTCCTTTAAACTGAACAATTAGTAAGATTTTTGAAATCTTACTAATTATTCTGTTTCCTCATTTTACCAGAGAGCAGTAAGAACCTTATCATGGATCTATCTATAGATTCTGGGAAATTTTTGTTATAAACTAATTTGTTTCACCCCAAATTAAAGAGATCTAATCAGTTTTCTTTAACTTTAGCACTTTAATTCTTAAGAATATTTAAATCTTACCTCTTTCTCCAAATTTTAAATTTTCATCCTATTAATTTCTAAATTCCTCAGAAATCTCCTCAGATTATATTTCCAAGTCTTAAATTATTTTACTATTTGTTTCTGATCAGCAATAAGATATTTAGATGTTTAATGAAAAATTATGCTCTTATGAATATTCCCACAAGATAGACTAAAAGAATGTAAAAATTCTGAATTTCCTAATTTCACTTATAAGAAGTGACATTTCTGGAGGATCTATTCAAAATATGTGACTATGGCTCATGAAAAGTTTTTTATGAAACTGGAGATAAATCAAAACAATTACTTCATTTTCCCAAATTTAATGCAAATAAAATGAGATTAGATTTATAAGAATTTATCATTGACTGGCTAGAAGAGTACCACTAAGAATTCTTCAGTTTCCCATTGTATCAGTAATAACAATAAACCACAGTGATAAACCTCCCAGCTATATCATTGTTATAATACTGGAATGAAGAAAAAAATAAAATTATAACACATATTCAAAATGATATATCTCCCAGCTATACCATTGTTATAATATTGGAATAAAAAATAAAACCATAACACATATCACTCAAAATCCTTAATTTCTTTGCACAATACAGAAATATTTTATACCATGACTTACCTAACCAGTAAATATTTTAAATGGCTTAAATTGCTAGAGGCTGCAAATAAATTACAGAACAAATACATCAGGAAAAGCTAGCCAGGACATTTGCAAGAAACAAAGAAGGCAGGCTTTACCTCTGATCTTTGCCAAGGGAGGAATGTGATAGTTCCACTGGCATTAGCAAAATCATCAACAAGGTAATTAATACCATCAGATTCTATCTGTGAGATGGTGTAAAAAACATGCACATAATCCAGCGCTCCTCTGGTTCGCTCTACCACACATGAAATGGTGGATCCCTCCTCGGCAATCTGAAATTGTATGTAAATTATTTATAAGTATGTACCAATTCAAATCAGTCATAAAATTACAAAGGTTTTCTGAGCTCTTACCATAAATTTAATTCAATAACTTTCTGCAAGTCTAAAAAGGCCTCTTCATTATGCCAGGTACATATTTCTCTACTGAAATAAACAGTGAATCACGGAACTTGGTAGTCCCATTATGTTACTTTAATAGCTAGTACTTGGATTATGTTTTACATTTATAAACTCAGATTAAGAATAAATTTAGAGATATTTTGGGTAGATATTTGTGAAAAGGAGACTATTACTTTGACCAGGACTGAATTTATTTTTAAGTGCCTGCCATATGTTATTTTAATAGATTCCTTTAAATATGTGATATCAATATAATCTGATATCACAGATCATCACAAGTATAAAAAATTTAATTGGATGTGTATTATTTAGTTTTAATCTTTTATTTTATATGGTTCTCACAACCTGAGGGAGGTCATCTGCCCTTTTAAAAACAGAGATGATGACAATAAAGCTAAAGAGAGAAAAATAGATTCAAATTATAGTTCTTCTCAATGTATTGTAGGAACAAACAAAAGAAAATTAACATTTGTTAAGCACTAATAACTGTCAAGCTTTGAACCAAACATTTGATCTCATTTTATTTAACTTGCATTGCCTCTGATTCTGACTTTATAAATTGGAGAAATTAACATTTGGCGCAGCTATATTACAGATTATCAGAAAGGTGCATAAAACTTATGTAAATTTCTTGGCAACTGTCTTTTTAAAGATGTTATCAATATGGATAAACATATTTCTTTTCCATGTTATAGATTTGTATGACATCTGTCCTCCTGAATCTGAGATATTCTATTTCTCGTGTAGAAAAGACCACTGTTTGAAGATTTCTATGGCTGTAACCACACCAGACAGCAAAGGGAGCAGTAAGGTACTCTAGAGAGCCAGGTACCCAATGTAAGCTATAGCAAAGCCTAAGGCCAGGATTTTTTTTTCAAGCTTACTCATTCACACATTTCTTAATCATTTCAATTTACAGGTACAACCTTCCAAACCTATTGGAATCAACTTGCAAAGGAAAAGACTCTCTTGGCATCTTCTCATGGATCGAGCTGCTGCTGTCACACACAACACCTGCGAAGTAGTTTCATGAGATCTCATATTACAGAACAGGAAACCAAAATGATTACGAATCTTTGAAAAGTTGGAAAGTACTGATAAGAACAGTAAAACAGCTTAATGAATTAAGATGGCTCAGAAGGTTGATAAGAAAGGCATTTACGTCCAACATGGAAGAATGTTGTCACTATTTAAATATTTTCCACATGTGGAATAAAACTCAAAAATCATATTTCAATAAACCTTAAATTACGATTATTCTTGGAAGCTTTCAATATATTTTTCATTCATTTATATGGTATCCAAACAGCAGTAAATTAAATGTGCATATAATTATACATTCTGTGAAGTACATTAACTTTAAAGGTAATTGCTAAAGTTTCATTTACTAACTTGTTATTACTTCCATCAGCTCATTAAACTTCAGATTCAAACTGAAATTTATAGAGTAAAAACCCTGTAATTTACATATTCAATACTGGCTCTAGCATACTTCTGGGTTTAGAGTAGAATCTCAAGCAATCTTACCAAATGAAAAAAGCCTCCTCTCAAACAAATCTATCAACCATGACTTTTATTTTTTAAAGATTTTACTTATTTATTTATTTATTTATGCATGTAAGAACTGGGGTATAGGCTAGAGGTGCGAGGGGTGAGAGGATTCACGGGAAACAGAGTGGAGAGCAGAACAGGCAAGATCTACTGAAATACACTGCTAAGGGGAGCAGCAGAAAAGACATGAGAGGTCTGCTGCGCTATGTGAGTTAGCTCCCTGGCTGGGGATCGAACTCATGCCTCATGGTGCAGTGGCTGGTGATAGCTTGACAGTGCTAAGACTTTAACCTCTGAGCCACCATGGAGGTCCCTCAACCATGAATTTTTTAACTCCACAATTCTCCAAGCCCACTACTTACCTCTGGTATACAAGCTCCTGTGAAACCAAATAAGCCATTGGCATTATCACTTTTTTGTATTATTAACCTTGCTGTAGTATTTTCTTCAGAAATGCGAGCTCCTCCATATGCAGAGACTAGCTTAAGAATGAATAATTCTTCTCCTTCCTCTTCATTGTCATCTCTTGAAGAAATAATAAATGATTTGTTTGTTTCTCCCTGTCGGAACTCCAAATATCCAGAAACAGGGTGTAAATCACTCTTTGCTGGCATGGCATGAAGTTCATAAATCTCTTCTGGAGTCAGTTTCCGCTCATAGGACCTCACATCCTGCATGAGACCTGTAAATCTGTCATTGCCATTCATTCCTGCCCCAATTCTCAGTGTTCCAGGACCTGAAATTAGAGATGGTTGTCTAAATGCTACAATATCCACAGCTATCCAGTCCTAAATTACAAGTGTGATTCACAAAGTGAAGTGAATCTGTTGAAAGAAATAAATGCAGTATTGTGACTTATAAGAAATTAATTTCTCGGGCCTCCCTGGTGGCGCAAGGGGTTAAGATGCAACCAATGAAGCTATCTACAGCCACTGCAACACGAGTTTGATCCCCAGCCAGGGAGCTACCCATATGGCACAGCAGACCTCTCCTGACTCACCCACTGCTCCCTTCAGCAGTGTATTTCAGTCGATCTGCCTCTTCTGTTCCCCACTCTGTCTCTGGTGGATCTTCTCACCACCCTCACCTCAGGCCTATACCCCCATACTTGTATGCATAAATAAATCTTTAAAAAAAAAGAAATGAATTTCTCATAAATATATTTCTCATACGTATGTGGTCCTCATTCATACTTTCTGACTCATAGCTTCCAAAGCATTTGGAATTTCCTAAGTGATGTAAGTAATAAAGGAACCATTTGCTATGTTCATGAAGGTAACTTCTTGAAAGCATGGAAGGCTAGTGACTATCTACCAAGGAAACCAGTAAGAGTTGAGGATTAGAACTTCCCATCTCCCTGACCTCTAGGGAAGAAAGAGGGGTTTGAGGTTGAGTTCAATTGCTTCTGGCCAATGAGTTAATCACTCTTGCCCATATGATGAAGCCTCCATAAAAATTCAAGAAGTTGGGCCTCCCTAGTGGCGCAAGGGGTTAAGATGCAACCTATGAAGCAGCCCGCAGCCTCTGCAGCATGAGTTCGATCCCCAGCCGGCCAGGGAGCAATCCACATGGTGCAACCCACATGGCACAGCAGACCTCTCCTGCCTCACCCGCTGCTCCCCCAGCAGTGTTTTCAGTCAATCTGCCTGTTCTGTTCCCCCTGTCTCTGGTGACTCCTCTCACCCCCAACACCTCTGGCCTGTACCCCAGCTCTTGTATGCATGCATAAATAAATCAATCTTAAAAAAAATTCAGGAAGGTGTGAGTGTATGTGTGTTTGGGGTGGGGGGGGTAGTTCAGAGAGCTCCTGGGTTGGTGCACATGAAGATTTGCAGGAAAATGGCAAACCTGGAGATGACACAGATGTGTCTTGCCTTTTTTCCATACCCTGCCCTATGCATGTCTTCCATCTGGCTGTTGACGTGTATTCTTTAGTATCCTTTGTAATAAATCAGTGTTCTGGTGAGTTTCCTGAGCTAACTGAAGTTGAGAAGAGTGTCTTGGGAAACTGATTTATAGTCAGACAGAAGCACAGATAATGATCAGGGCGTGTAATGGACACCTGAAGGTTGGAGGGGGGTCCCGGAGACCTCCAATCTATTGCTATAGCCAGTTGGCCAGAAGCATGGGCTTGCTTGGGGTTGTGAAGAGAAGGATGGTCTTAAAAGACTTAGTCCTTAATTTGAGGAATCTGATGCTCACTCCCAGTCCATAGTGTCAGAATTTAGTTGAATTTTTAGACACCTGCTGGTGTCTGGGACTTGCTTGCTATTGTAGAGAGACCTACTCATAGTCCCATTGGTAACGGGTCAAGGAAGCCAGCTATACAGCTATTGATGAGTAAAGTTTTTGCATAACTGTAGTACAATCAAATAAATGGTTATTTTCTGTTTTGATGAAAAATGAATCAGTATGCACTGGGATTTATGATATTTTATACTAAAGAATATTTTGCACTGGTGTATGTATGTATTTGTGCATGTGTGTGTTTAAGATTTATTTTATTTATTTATGCACACAAGAACTGGGTGTAGGCCAGGGGTGCAGGGGTAAGAGGATTCACCAGAGACAGAGGTGTGAACAGAACAGGCAGAATGACCAAAGTACACTGCTGAGGGGAGCAGCGGGTGAGACAGGAGAGGTCTGCTGTGCCATGTGGGTAGCTCCTTGGCTGGGGATCAAACTCGTGCTTCATGCTACAGTGGCTGGTGATAGCTTAATAGTGCTGACACATCCCTGTGCCACCAGGGAGGTCCATATATATGTGTATATTTAAACATACATTTTTCCTTGACATTTGAAATTTTACTTCCACATCTAAGAATAGAATGAATTGATCCAGTCACAATTTTATAATTTTAGTAGTGTAACACAGTGGTCTCCAGGAAAAGGGGCAATTCCAAGTTCCCTGCCCCACTCAAGGAAGGGTGGAGCTGAAAAGGAAGGAGAAGAAGCTGGAAAGGAAACTAGAGAAGGGGGGAAAAAGAATGGAGCGCAAGAAGGTGACCTGGAGGAAGCACATGGAGCTGCCAGTCATGTGAAAAAGCTGCACTTGCTTCTTGGTCTGGAACTGGATGAAATAAATGTGGGTGAGAGACCCAATGGGAGGTTAACAATGGCAGCATATATCTTGATATTAATTTTGCTCTTTCCCTTCCAGAATTATCTGGTCATTTATGACCCTTTTCTATGGGAACCCAGCAGAAGGTGCCTTAGACTTGTGGCAGGATTTCAGGCCTCAATGGCCTTGCTTTGGGCCAACCCTGTTTGGCTGGGCTTTTACCCACAAAGGGATAGTAATTTAGGGTGCTTGATTTGGAAACTATATTTCTTGTCTTTGTTACACACTAATTGTATTAAAGTTCCTTTCCATTAAAGATCTTACATACTAGAGTATATTTGTCTTGATGCAGCAGATGGCAGAACCTATTTAGAGCGGGCAGGTTTGGGGGTTTTTGGGTTCTGGGGTGCCCCTCACCCTGCCCTGTAATAGTACTACTATTCTTTGAGAACCTCAACACTTGATCTATTTGAAATTTATCTTGATTTAAATGAAGTTGTAAGAATTCAGAAAAAAAATAAAAATTGTTGTGAACCAAATCTATTACTATCCGAACTGAAACAATTGAGATAATAAAAGAAGTATTTCAAGCCTTAACAACTTTTTCATGATAACAACAATATACAGCCCAACTATATCACTCTGTCTCAATCAAAAGTCCTTTTGGAATTCACCAATATTTAGTTTTTTGTTTATTCTCAGAAGTAAGAACCCAAAATTTGAAGTACTTTTAGTATAAGGTGAAAGCAAAAGGGATTCGTTTAACAAACTTCTGGTTAGATAATTTACTCATTGATGAGTGAACAATAGTTTCACCTAATGACCTCATCACATTTTCAGAGGTTTTCTGGTTCATCAAACTCCAAGTGAAATTTAATTCCTGAGTTAACTAATATATTCATAAGAGGAGAGTTTGGCAGTAATTTGGAAAAATAAAAGTACAAGTAATATTTCTTATCAATAGTATTAATCAAGGGAGTTGTACAAGTCACTACCCAGATAATCTTTAGGACAGTGACAAGCATCCTGCACATTAACGTCATAATCACCTGGCCTTATCCAGTGATTGTAGACTGACTACCTGCAATAGTAATGACTATGAAATATCTCAATAGACAAAAGTATGGATGAACCGCATAGACAAAGCCAAGTAAAAGTATCCAGACAGACACGTATACACACTGCTCAGTTCTATTTACATAAATTTAAAACAGGGAAAACTAACTGTGTGCTCTTAGATATGGCAATAGTTGGTAGGCAGAGTAATGAGCTGGTTTCTGAAGAAGAGTCAAAAGGGGCTGGTTTCTGGAATGCTGATTGCATGAACACTGAAACCTATGAATCTAATGTATAAGTAAATCCATTTAGCTGTATATTTATGATATGTACACTTTGTTTTGTACTACAGAATATTTCATTAGTAACTTAGTTTTTTTCAACATTCTCCCCAAAATTGCAATTTATAAACATGATATAAATTCAATGTAGTAAGTTAAACAGAGAAAAGAAACACCAGCTGTCACTTCTCCCATACTCTTCTACTCTTCATTCTACCACCACTGCCAACGCAAAATCAACATTAACGGATATGTGCGTGAATTCTTGGTAACAAGAATGCTGTAACCACCACCATTAAGGTTGAAATCAGTAGTGTGTGCATGCAGTTTCTTTTGTCCACTGGGGAAAAAAACAACCAGATACCTAACGCAGGAGATTGAGAAGGAAAATATTTTATTAAGCTATAACCCAATAAGCTCTGCTCTACTCTGCTTAAAAAGCAGAACCTAATTATAGGATAGAGGGCATGAAAAGGTCCTGATGATTGTACTAGGGGGAAAAAAAACAGTATTTCTGTATATATGAGCACATAAGGAAACAGCATGTGATCAAGCCCTTTAAAGCACTCTATAGAATTCACTGATTTACCTTCTGATACTATAAACTATAATTACTGTTTTTACAAATGTAATTTTTTTCTGATTCTTCTTTAACTTTATCCCCACCACCCTCCATCTTTAGCAATACTGAACTAGCAGCAGCTCCCCAGATACAATACACAGTTTCACATTTCTACACCTTTGCTCTTTTCCCCTGCCTAGGATATCATTCCCCATGCCTCCTACTTCCACAAGAAGAATAAACATTCCTCCTTCCTAATATGTTTTCTTTCTTCCTACAATATATTGAAGTAATCTGTTCGCACAGCTCTCTCCCAAAATCTACTTCAGGATTTCCCAAGGGCAAAGATTTTTCCTAATTCATTTCTGCAATATTCAGCACAGACCTTATGGTCTTGGCAAACACAGATTTTACTTAAAGAAATTAAACCAATATGCAAGCAGAGCTTATACCTTGTAGCTTTTCTAAAAAAAAAAAAACACATTTTAATTCAAAATTCAGTGTCCTAGTTATAAAGATGATACTCACCATCAGTAATGGCTTCTCCTTTCAGACTCTTGATTGCTCTGGGCATTGCATTGCCATCAAGGTAGAATTCAATTATACCATCATTCAGGATAACTAGAAGATGAAGCCAAACATTTTCTTCTAAATATTTCATGAGTGTAGTCTTGGCAATGTATGTAGCATTGGAACCCAATGTTTTGTAATGAAGGGAAAGAGTCACATAGGATTCATTTGTTTGAATTTTAACCCCATAGTAGAGACTCCCATTACCATCATCCTTTGCTATAACAAATCCATTTGTATTGGCATCGGGCATTAGCCACGCTGAAAATGTAAAGTTGGCGATTGAGTTGTTCTTGGAGGGATGGTATTTTGGATTAACAGTTCCAAAGGCACCTTCTAGTCCACTGAAGTACAGAGCATCTGTTCCGCTATGGTGACGCCGCATGTGGGGTTGGCGCTGCACAGAGCTGGGGAAAATGCCAACCAGCAAGAAATCTACCATCGGGGGCAAACCCTCAGTGAACTCACTGGACACTATTTCCCAGCCTACTCGTACATCACCAAAGACACCCTGCTGCCTCAAAATTATAAAGTTGGTAATATAAGACATATCATCTTCTGAGAGCACATCTTCTGCCACTTCTCGCTCTAAGCACTCTGGATCCAATACAAAAACTCCGAAAGGATCATCATTGAATGGAATCATTACTGTCACCTGGAGGTTGATTTCTGCTAATTGACCCCCAGGGCCTGGAGATCCACCTGTAATAAGAAAATTCTCAGAAGTAAGAATCTAAAATTTGAAGTACTTTTAGTACAAGGTAAAAGCAAAAGGGATTTGTTTAACAAACTTCTGGTTAGATAATTTACTCATTGATGACTGAACAATAGTTTCACCTGTGACTTCATCACATTTTCAGAGTCTTTCTGGTTCATCAAACCCCCAGAGAAGTTTAATTCCTGAGTTAAAATCAAAAGTGATGGAAGAGTTGTTTAAATTATGGCAAAAGACCAAGATTTAAGCTATGCTTCCAGACTTCCATAAATATTTTTGTGCAGACCTTATATTTGATGTGAAAAAAATCTTTAAGTTTGAGATAGATATAAGTCTCCATAAATAAAACTAAACCAAGTTAAGACCACAGAATGAATATTAAAAATAACATTTCCATCAAAAAGGTGTTTGTATATCTAAAATCAAGCAATCAAAATAAACTTACATCTTCAATTTCATTTTCTATTTAGCATAATTATTTAAGCATAGAATATTATCTTTTGGTGATAAAACAAAAGATGGTAAAATGCCATACCTGAAATGTTTATAAGCTTTAAAATATAAAATTCATTGAATTCAGGAATTTTATCTGGAAAAGCATGGAGAATTATCGGTTTGGCTTTTTCTCCATCCATAAAGTTAACAGTCCCAGAAGTTTCATAGAACTCTTGTCCAGGATGCAAAGCAGAGTCGTTCTGAAACAGTTGCCAAGCCACAGAAACATTGCCAAAAGGTCCTCGATGCCTCAAGATCCTACATAACAATTTTTTAAGAAATTAATTATTATGAAAAATTTATAAGTAGTGAATCTAACTCCATTTAATGAGAGTTTTCTGTATTATTTCAAAAATATATTTTTTCTACTTATCTTTAGTATAAACCAGTGAGTCAGTCCTTACTGAGCAGTCACAAAGAATCTCATGGAAAGGGAAGACTGAGTTAGAACTTTAAATAATGAAGAGAATCTTCTTAAAATGACAATATTCTAAGCCCAACTGAAAAACATTTAGATTAGAATTTGCTAAAGTTATTCAAAAGAAAAGTATAGGATGAGGGTAGTAATATATCATTTGAGATAAAAGTTCCAGAAAACCTTGCATATTTCAAATCACTCAATCTTGGCAAAGTCCTGACAAAGTGTGGGGTAAGAAATGTTGGGAAAATAATTTCTGCTTACCAGTTATACTTTCAAGTTTTATTTTTAAGAAATGGCAATAGCATAAATAATTTATTCATTCAGACAGTTAACTTTGAAATTACTCAGTTCTTAAGTTTATTTATTTTGAAAGACTGATATTTTAATTTTTGCATAAAGATTTGATATTATTCTATACAATTTGAATTTGCCTTATCCAAATGATCTTACCAAAATGCATTAGTTTTTCCCTCTTCTATTGCTTTGTCTATGGGCTCCAAAGAAAAAATACCATTTGGATCATCATTAGCTTCAATTATCACTGTAGCTGTTCCATGTTGATATACTACAGTGTCACCTAAATTAAAAACAGAAATGTCAAAAATAACAAAAGGTAGTTAACCCATTAACTTTATCAGTAAATTAAGGAATAGCTTATACTTAAGATCAAATTTCAGCAAGAATTTCCTCACTGAAGGTCACAAGGAGACAGAAATGTCTAAAAAAGATGTCTTAATAAGATGTCTTTAAGAAAGTGTTGTATGTTATCAGAAAACACACAAGACACTTTCCTTCACAATAGAAATATTGCTTCAATAATTTAGATTCAAAACAAAGCTTTATCTAATTCAACTTTTTTTAGGTGGGGTTGGGGATGGTGGTGAGAGGATTCACCAGAGACAGAGTGGGGAGCAGAATGGGCAGATTGGGGCCTCCCTGGTGGCACAAGGGGTTGAGCACAGCACCATGAACTGTGCGCAGTGTCTGCAGCACGATTTCGATCCCTGGCCAGGGAGCTACCCACGTGGTGCAGCAGACCTCTCCTGTCTCGCCCACTGTTTCCCTCAGCAGTGTATTTCAGTAGATCTGCCTGTTCTGTTCCCCACTCTGTCTCTGGTGAATCCTCTTACCCCCTCACCTCTGGCCTGTGCCCCAGTTCTTGTATGCATAAATAAATCATTTTTTAAAAAAGAATACTTCGATTATAAATGTTACTTATTAAACAGGTAAATTTACTAAAATACACTGCTGAGGGGAGCAATGGTTGAGACAGGAGAGGTCCGCTGCACCTTATATATGGGTTAGCTCCTTCGCCAGGGATCAAACGCAGGTCGCAGCAGTGACAGCACTGAGAATTAACCCATAGGCCACCAGGGAGGCCCTCATGAAAAGTAATTACTCTAAAACATAAAAGTATCACTGTCCATATTAATGGAATCAGTGGCTTGAGCTTTCCCCTTTCAATCTCAACCTTCAGGCAGCAGAGTTTGACATGGTCATTCACAGAACAAAACAGTCTTTAGAGTGTTGTACTTGGGCCTCCCTGGTGGTGCAAGGGGTTAAGCTCAGCACTATGAAGCTATCTGCAGCCTCTGCAGCACGAGTTCTATCTTCAATCCCCGGTCAGCCAGGGAGATACCCATATGGCACAGCAGACCTCTCCAGTCTCGCCCACTGCTCCCCTCAGCAGTGTTTTCAGTCAATCTGCCTGCTCTGTTCCCCGCTCTGTCTCTGGTGAATCCTCTCACCCTCCTGCACCTCTGGCCTGTACCCCAGTTCTTGTATGCATAAACAAACAAATCTTTAGAAAAAAATAAAGTGTTAACTTAATCCCTCTATACTCCAATTTGTCATATGCAAATATGTCAGTATCATTACTACTTATACATTAGGTCTCTTCTCACCAGTTCATTGAGGCCTAAAGCTCTTTCTCTTTGTTCTAGCTATTACCTATGCAAGAAAAAGTCTTTACCTGTTTCACCTGACTCACTCCTGAGTACCCACCTCAAGCAACAATGCTTTCAGGAATTCTTCCTTGAATTCCCAAATTAAGCTAAGTGCATCTCCACTGTATTCCTACATCACTTCACATTTGTCACTCTACCCTAAATATTAATTGCACCATATTAATACACATACACACACAAACACACATATAATTTTACTGTAAGCTCATTAGACAAATGCTATTTATGAAATGGCGAATGAAACTGATGCAATAAAGCTTTCAAAAGTAGCTGAGAACAACATCCAAAACTGAAATTACAGAAAAAGAAATCATATGCAACAAACCAGCTCAGTGAAAATAATGTATAAAAATATAGAACTACACTCAGACTCAATTGATACTCAGTTGATAGAAAGAGGAAGAAAATTAAAATAAAGATAGCAAGTCAGATTGTAAAGAAAATGTTTACAGATTAATAAAATAACTTAAAATATATCAAATCTAACAAAAAAATAAAATAGCAAAACCTAATTTTGTCAGGGCCCTGTTATCAGGTACAATTGTCAAGCAACAGATCACAAGTTGTGCTAAAAATTCTTTGTTTCTCCACAGAAAGAACTGACAGGACCATAGACTGTGAACAATAACAATCAAGGCCGCCAGCGCTGGGTTTTGTTTGAGTTGGTGTCTCCAGCTCTCCCATCACTAGTCCCTTAGGTCCTCAAGGATTTGATATCATGAAAAGGAGAGAAAGAACTGAGACAGGGTGAAAGAAGCCCAAATTCTACAGGTTTTTGTGATCCAAATCTCCAGAGCTAAATTCATTAGATCCTTATATGCCACTAATTCTAGAAAAATATTAAAGACAAATGCAGGGCTGCAGTAAGTACAAAGTACATACACATACCTCAAGCCAGTCCCCATCACACCTTACCCCCTCTCAATATTTCTCCTCTCTTTCTCCCTCCCACTCCAGTTTTTTTTTCAAAATGTACCATTGGGGAAATCAAATATGTATTTCCCCAATGAAGCATTTTACAAAGTAAACTCCTGAACCTCTCCTTGCAGAATCATTTGTCATTCTTTTCATAAGAGGTTCAGAATATTTTGATGTGTATTTTAATCAAAGAGATATTTTATTCTTGACAATGTTTAACTCCAGTGACATTTTACCTCATAGTCGTTTGGGACACAATAACTTTCTCCCACAAATAAATGGCATCAAGAACTTACATGTAAAGTAAACTCGATTAAGACAATGTCATTTCCTCATCAGCAGATAGAAACAGAGATACTGTTGTGAACTAATGGTTTTTATTATATATAGTTGGATTTGCAACTACAGATTTTGAAATGTGTATGTATACATACATGTGTAAATACATATATTCCATCTCTATAGATGCAGAGAGCCGAGGAGGAATATAGTAACAATAGGGACCACTAGCCCCCAGATCCTGGTTTCCAAACTACATTCTTCACTAAAAAGAACCTATACTTCTTGCAGAAATGGCTAGTTTCAGGGTTTGTGAGAAGTACAAAATGAGTTTGGAACAGCTCTGCTATGTCAGGAAGTAAGAAAATACATAAAGAATAATAAGAATATATCAATATATAAAGAAGCCATCTCAAATAGGCTACCACTGGCCAAATTTGGGATACTATAAACATCAAAACAAATAATGATAGTGAAATTCATTAAGTAGAAATCATGAGTCCAATTTGATCAATAAGTCAATGAAAAAATGGAAATTTGATAAGTAACAGGACGTTTACATGATTTTAAAGTATCCCTCCCACAAAATATTAATTACAAAGAAAAACAGTATGGTACAGAGCCTGACAGTCACCACCTAAATTGTGGTCAAAGTGAACACTGCAAAACAAAATCATGTGTGAACTAAAAGGATATACTAAAAATAAAATCACTTCCATTTAATTCCTCCAAGTACACAATACCCAAATCTAACAATGAGTAAACATCAAACAAACCCAAAATGAAGGGCTCAGGGTAGCATTAGCTAGATTTCTTTCCTTCTATAGTATCAATTTTTATTTGTGCCATATTGTGAGAAAAGACTTAAAATAATGCCATGAAGTATACCAGTACAGAAAAGTTCAACACACACATATATATATATATATATGCTCACACCCCATCCTCAAGAGAGCAAAAAACAATTTTGCTCTTGAACGTTCATAGAAGACTATTAAATGCTAGTGAACAATAGTACTTCTCATCCTAAAGCATGTACAAAAATGTAATTTATTTACCTGTTGAATTAAAGAGGATTATATAAAAAAGCTCATCTGTCTCTGGGATATCATCTTCATTAACAAATATGGATATGTTCTTCTCTCTACTTCCAACTGCAAAAACAAGCACTTCTCTCTTTTCAACAGGAACGAAGTCTCCCTCTTGGGCGGTAGCAGTCCCATCCATGGTGGCATACAGGACAGCACAGGCAAAATCAACAGATCCATTTCTGAGAACTGTAAAGCCAGCAGTCTCACCCTCCTGAACCCTCACTACACGAGGTGCTGAAATATTTAAAAAGAAGAGAAGGAAACTGCCATCAACTTATTTTCAGATCACTTAGCATTTCTCCCTGCCTGCCACCCCAAGAATTGCTCCATTTGCTTAAAAGGAAATCAACTCTGGTCCCAAGTTGTATGAGAGTCCTCCTCTAAGGTCAATGGGCTTCCTCTTGCCTTAATTCCTACAGAATCCATAGACTTCCACTCAATTTGTCAGAAAATTAGTATACATTATCAGTCTTCCTCTTTTGTTCCGTACTCCAGACTTAAGTTCTGTGAGGAAAGGTCTGGAAATCTAAGACTTTATTTTTGCAACGAGCATAAATAAGGCCAAACACATAGGACTAGTTCTTTAATTACCCATTAGCTGAAGGTAAAAAAAAAAAAAATACAAATAACAAAAGTCAAGATGTTTAAAGATTCCTGCAATTGTAAACTGAACAGCTTGCAATGGGTTTAAGAAAGACTTAAATACCAATTGTATCGCATAAACAAAATTAAAAGATCTCTCAGGTGGCAAAAGAGAGTCCTAAAGAAAACATTAAAATGGTAAGAATGGGGCCTCCCCCAGTGGCACAGGCGGTTGAGCGCAGCGCTCTGAAGCTGTCCACAGCCTCTGCAGTGCTGGTTCGATCCAGGCCGGCAGGCAAGGGTCCCACATGGCGCCTCAGACCTCTCCTGTCTCGCTGGCTGCTCCCCTCAGCAGTGTATTTCATCAGTCTACCTGTTCTGTTCCCCGCTCTGTCTCTGGTGAATCCTCTCACCCTCCTGGGCATCTGGCCTATACCCCGTTCTTGTATAAATAAATAAATAAATAAATAAATAAATCTTTAAAAAAAATAAAAAATAGTGGTAAGAATGAGGAAAACCTAATTTACATGGCCCATTAAATATTAGTTATGGTAGTAACTGACTATCTATTAGGTATAATACCCACACCCTAAACTGGCTACACTGTAAATTGAAGAGGTCACAAGGGAGAATGTTCTTTTCTGCAAAAGGAAAGAAAATACCTTAACATTTGAAGGGGGGTGGAAAATAAAGCTGATGAAACAGTACTTATTTTATTTTTCCTTCAGAAGCTCTTTAAAAATACTCATTGAAACATCAGTTTGAATAATAATAATCCAAACAATTCATGAAATCAGTATTTAAATAAGCATGAGTAGTCTTTATCAAAAATGTTCAAAGTTATTGAAAAAAATATATACATATACACTACTGCAGAAAGATGTAAACTCATTCAATTAAAAGAGAAATACCACCTGCAAAATAAATGGGGTCATCATTTCTTGTAATCCTCAGGGTTGCAGTAGTTTTATTTCCTATTTTAGCTCCTCCAGTGGCATTAAGTAAAATAATGGTAAATTCTTCCATTTCTTCTGGAATCTTTTAGAAAACATTATACATGTTTAAGTCAGGTGATTTGTGCATATAATTGCATTCTATATTCCTAAGTTGTTTTATCTTTTTATATACCTCTATTATTATCTTTTTAAATAGCTCTTTTAACCAGTACTAACATTCATTTCTATTTCTGAGGAAAAATCACCCTCCATTTTTCAAATAGGACCTAGGCCTCCCCAAAAATATTTTAATGCCTATCTAAACAGTCAATTTATTTTGACTAAAATTTAATGGAAATAGTTGTATTTTGCCTTATATAAGTAAAAATAGAAATACTACATAACTCATATTATTTCCATTAAAAAATGGGGTTTATGTTATTTACAGGGAAAAATGGGACAGAAACATGAATTCATACCCATAGTATTCAAACAGTAAGGAAAGTTCAGCTAGTTCTTAAAAAAGGTTCCCAACAAACCTTACTGAAGTTTCTCTCAGTATATCATAAACACATTAGGTCTTTTTTGTCCTAACAAAATGGGATTCCCCACATCTCTGGGCCTAGATGAATCCCCAGATAACACTATTTCTCTTTCATTTCATCTGTGTGACCTCATCTTCTCCTCATTATAAAAGAGAAGAATTTGAAATTTTGTCCCTCCAGAGATGATTTGAGAGAAAGGAGAGACTTCCATAGCTATTTGAAGCAGAGTCCCCCTAAAAAGGGTCCTTTTCCCATTGTTAAATTCTTTCTTTATTATCAGTAAGATGAACACCATGTTAGATCCATATCTATGTGGTCCAGCTACTGATTAGAGAGCACAGGGGAATTTAGAAGTTGCCCTCGTCTTCAAAACACCTAATTATACGCCAAGTACTTAACCTCTCTCACAACCGAATCCCTGATATCTGACACCTATGCTGTGTCACCAGCCACTATCAGCTGACATAAAAGTACCTTTACAAAACAAAAAAATCAATATATTTCTCTTTTGACAGAGTCAGACATTGTTATACCTGGTTCTTTTTGCATATTAAAGTGATAAAATACATTACCAAGAAGTTAATTGTTTAATAAAAAATAATTATTGAGTACTGACAATTAAAGAGAGTTACATATGCGACATTTACCTCATCTGGAAGGGAGTAAATGGTGATATTTTTTGAAAATTCCTGATCTCCAAAGAAAATAATCCCTTCCATGGGAAATATGTCTTGTGTAAAGTCTGGACTAATCACCCATGACACACTAACATCACCAAAGTTGCCTCGATTTCTTATTACACCATAAACAGCTGTGAAATACAAAGGTGTATGATATACATGAAGATGTTTTGAACAATTTTAAAATGATGATTAAAAAAGTTTTCAAGTAAACAAAAGTAAAAATAACACTTCTTCTTTAAAAAAAAAAAACAAAAAAAAAACCAGTTCCTGGTATAGCAGTTTCCAAAGTATACACAAAAATGTATTTAGCATAGTCCTCCCTCTATAGGTAAACAATTGGTAAATAAATGGACTTGACCATTTCTCTCAAGCTTGGGTTTCTAAAAGTCATACAGCATAAGAAACAGAATGGTGAATAATTAGGCAGACCTACACAAAATCCTATAAGGATATTTGCTAAAGGGAGCCGGTATAATCTGTAACTTAAAACTGATTTTCTTGCCCAAAAATTGCTCTAAAACTACTTTACATTTCATACCACTGCAATACTTCTCTAGCAGTAGTACTTGTTCTAGAGCTTTTCCTATTTAAAAGGGTTCGTTCTTGAGGTTTGAATTCCACTAATTAAAATAAAAATTTAAATGAAGTCATTAGTATCACCACAATACTATATAAATATAAAAATAGCAATCTTAAATAATTTTTAAATAAATTTCTGCATTACACAGAATGTCAAAGGCAGAATGGACAACTGAAAATAACTAGTTACTGAAAAATAAACTAAAAAAGTATTACTTTGCTCTTCAGTAAACAGTAATAGAATATAAAAAACAGAATACATTACCACTATAGTTATCGTCTTCTTTACTTTCATTTATCATAATAATAATATCTTCAGAAACAAATTCTATAATCCCATGAGGATCATCATTTTTCAGAATTGTTATGTTGACAACTGTACCAGTTCCCAGCTTGCTTTCTCGTTCACCATGGCTGCTAAGGACCACCCAATAATGTTCATCCAACTAAAACAAACACCCAAAATTAGAAAATATTCAAAACTGAAATTTTTAGAGGAAAATACTAATACAATCATTTTTCAGACAAAGAACTCACCAAAAGGACAGACGAGCTGATATTATTCCTTAAAAAAAATGCTTAGCTTTCTCCCAGCAATTAACAAAGACTCCAGGTATAAAAATACATTATCCAAAAAGGAAAAAGACAAATCATGATACTGTACTAAAATAGTAAGAAGACTAGAACTTAACACTGATAATCTAGTCATTTAAACTAGTAAGAGTAAATAAGATAAATTTAAGAACTACGTACGCATTGGTGAGTAAACATAATACAACTATATCTAGTTCCATTCACGCAGAACACATAAAAAAGTAATTTTATAGAAAAATATCTTTGGTTAAAAACTGTGCCATTAAAAGTTCAGGCAATACAGGTGTAACATAAAGCTAAAAGGCGATAAAAACTGATCGCACAATCAACATTTCAGATTGTTTAGTGTTTCTTTACACAGAGCAACATATACCACTCAAATATGAATGAGTCTGTCTTTATGTGTTTTTAGTTCATCTTTTTTCCAAATATAAGAACTTCTCAACTCTATCTTGCCCACTTTCCCTCCTATATCTTCTTGTCAATGTTCAAAATATTGATATTCACAACATTCTAGATACTACCAATTTTCAAAAAAACACAAGTTAAAAATAAAATTGTTTACCTCTGGTATCCCATCCAATCTTGACAACAAGGTTAGCACAATCTCCCTTTCCCCAGGTTTAAATTCTAGAACCCCTGTGTTTCCATAGAATTCATTGCTATCTCTTGGCTCTACCCGGTAATGAAGAAACTGCTTAACCAGAGCTCCCCTGGATCGAATGATATGGAGTTCCACAGATTCTCCTTCCTTAAAAAAGAAAAATCCACAAAAGTTCAATCCTTGAAATCATTCTTCTGAGGATGAAAGTACAGAATAGGCTAAAGTTCCTTTATGCTTACTTTTATAACATAGGGTCCTTTGAAAGTAGGGGAAAATTCAAAAATTCCCCCAGGATCATCATTTTCCAAGATAATTAGGTCACGGCTAGTATATCCAGATTTTAGTACTTGATTTTCCACATTGACCCTGGATATGTGAGAGGGGAAAAAGGGATCCGAACTTTGCAGGCTAATTTATAACATTTATACTTTCAGATAGTAAATCTGAAGGCTAGTAGGAGTTAAACCTTAAATTGAAGTTGTATATTAAGTCAATTAAGATCAAAACACTTTTACTCAACCCTTACAGAAAAACTTTTATTTCTGAATTCATTATCTTTCACATGTGACTGAAACTAAACACTACACATGTACACCAAGACTAAGGCAAACAAAAGTTGTAAATATATTTTATTTTGACAAAGTATCAAACTTACCAACTTATTTCCAGTTTTAGAAAAATTTAATTTGTAACATGTCATTAGAAAATACAACTAGCTGAAATCATTTTAACTTTACATACACTTGAATTTCTTTTTTTAAAAAAAATCACTATATAAAATTATACCTAATTGAATAAAAGTTGGATAACTCCATGGACTCAGGCAAGTCACACTGATGAAAATTAAACCAAATTATGATTAATTTTAGAAATAGTCTGTGAAATAGTCTGTGACCTTTCATATGACTCTATTCACTTCAATTTTAATCTCTTGCCATTTTTTAGTCTACTATAAGAGAAAAATGTAGGACATATACCCAAAAAATGGCATAGAATGGAGCTGAGATACATGACAAGTTACCTCAAAAGAGCATATTAAAACAAGGTTTTTTTTTCTGGTCTTTATGCTTAATGCATAATTAAAAGAATTAAAAAGACCTGGACTACAAAACTCTAAGGGCTTAAAAGCCAGCATGCTTTCTGAGGATTCTCAATTTTGCAAGCTGCTCTACATTTTTCGAAATGTCACTTTCTATTGAACCAAAGTACTCTTGATCAGACCTCAGAACCACAATGAAGCTACAACTGCTATGTAGCAAGGACAGCTCATTTCCTATATAATAGAGCTTCTGAATTAACATCCTTCCCTAGTTTTTGGAAATCTGACAATACCTAGCATACTAGTGAAGACAAAAGACACTGTCCAAATAACAGTTTTACTTGTTATTTTGTTATTTGTTATATTGTTACATTTGTTGTATGTTAATGCAGTCACATATGATTTTCATAGCAAATTTGCCCAAATTTTATTTACCCCAATATTTTCAGTAATTAAAACTTCCTATGTCCCCATAAGCTAAGAGATAAAAAATACTGAATTAGTATGTAAAATATAAAAAATCCATTCCAGACATTAAACAAATTTATTATAAAGCTTTCTTTACAAACGCTACCCTAATACAAAAAAGGCAAATTTTGAAAAGTTCTTTATAAAACTGAAAAATATAGGAGAGAAATCACTTAGAATGCCCTCATAAACCAATGGAAAGAGACAGACATATTGATTGCTAATTCTCTATTTCAAGATTCATAAAAGATATTAGGTAAGAATTTTACAAGCAAAGCACAATAACTATTCCCTAGGTTATATATTAACTATAAGGAAAGTTAAAATTTCACCTTCTTTTTCAAAACATAGAATTACATTGATACTCATAAGTTTTTATCAAATAATCTTCATTGAATTCATAACTTAAAACTTAGAACAACAACAACAAAAAATCATGTAAGTTCCCCTGGTTATTGGAAAATGTAACGATACACGAAGCATGCTCAGGCAAGTTGACAAGCAAAATTTCTCAGGGTCTGTGGTCATGCAGAACAGCATGCTGGTCTAAAACAATGATCTGCAGAGCAAAATGGTGCATCACCAAAACAAGACATTATTTTGTACACTTACCCAAAATACACGACAAACCTTTCGGTTTCTACCCTGCCAACACAGAAAGAAGGATGGGAGGGGATAAAGGAGACAGACACCATTTGCCAAAATCTTACTGATACCATTAAAAATCAGAATGGCAGGGTAAAAATAAGGCTTAAGAAAGGCTTTCTTTTATCTCCCCCAAGAGCTAGTGATGTTCACTTTATGAGAAATCTGCACACTGGGTTCTTTGCTACTGACAAATATTAGCAAGGATTCTGCAGTTCCCACTTAGAGAGATGACCCCATTAGCAGCCAGCATGTCAAGTTCCATTGAAGACATTCCTCACCAGGTCTGCTCCAAGGTGCTGGGGCCTGCCAGGCGCTGTGCACTCTGACAGACCACAGCAGCTGAGCAAATTTCATTCAGCTTGACTTATAATTACTTAGTAGCTTTAATTAGGTTTAAAAAAAAATTTAAAGCTCTACCTTCAGATCTAAAGCCAGTGATTCTTTGAAAAACTAAAAATTCTGTAACAGAGAAGTACTCTACCCCATGATTCATACTTCCTTATATACTGTTTTACCCATAAAAGAAAAATAACCTAAAAATTCCATTTAATTAATTTCCAAATGTAACATGATAAAATTTAAAAATAGCTATTTGAAAAGAACATAAACATTAGTCACTATGAACTTGCCAAGGTATAATTTAAATCATCTATAAATATTTATTTCTAAGCAGAAATTCTCAGTTAAGCTAACAAAGTTTCTATGGACTGTCATCTTTGGTTTATAATTGCCATTCATTTTTCTTTATTTTTTAAGACTTTCATTGATTCAATAAGTACTCAAACCTAACTTCAAGAAAAAGCAGATAAGTGAAATATATAAACCTTAAACTCCATTACATTTCTCTGATTTTTCATCATAATGCCTTTCCTTACTATTTAATGTAAAATGTATATTAAAAACATTAATCAATATGTGTTGTATTGATTTTGGGTTTTGGTGGGATTTTTTTCTTGGTTTTTACTTTTTATGTTAAAAAGGAAAGTAAACCTAATACAGTTCTAAAAGCAAACAAAAGAAACAGTAAATGTTCAATAAATTTGTCCCTACATTTTATATTTTTCTTTCACATGAAAACACAAAAACATCTAGTCAGCAAGTTTATGAAATATGTTTAGACAAAACACCTACAAAGAAAAATATATAACTGACTGACAACAAAATATAGAGAAGACCAGCAGCTATATAAAATAATTGCTACTACTTCAGTCCTGATTAATGTAGTACAAAATAATACCAATTGAACTTATTTGTAAATTTTAATATTTCTAAAATATGAATTTGCTAAGTCACAAAGTCACACTAACCTCTAGTATGTTCAATATAGAGACCTGAAGCAGATAATGTTGGTTTTCGTTTTTTAAATTCATTCCTATTAATTAAATGTATGATCTTTTAGAAAGGATTTTCTGAATTACTGAAAAAAAAATCTCTTTTAGATATTGTGATATTTTCTTATTATAAATGACCCACTGAGAATTGCTAAGTTGATCTTTATTATTACTGAAAAATACCTCTTATATTTGTATTATTTTTGAATCCCTCGAAAATAAGTATTATTTAATGTTTAATTCCATGTAAAAAGGGAGTTTCATTATATGAAGATTAACTCTTCTTTTCACTCAGCCAAAAAAGCACTAATCCTCTCCTCTATTGAAAATGAAGCCAGTAGAGCTATTTGCTTACCCTAACATTTTAGGTTTGCTGCTGCCTGTTTTCTCAATATTTTCAATGCATAAGATTTATCTGATACCTTACATAAATTCTCAATGTAATGTTTCTTCATAATAAACAGCAGGGAAAAAGTTCACTGTGTCATAATATTAATAATCTAACCAGGAATCACCAATGAAAAAACAAAAAGTCAGAAGGCTAGCAGAATGTTTATCTTACTTTTTTAATTTTACTTTATATAGAGAAAAGAATTTTTAAAACTAAATTAAGAAACACAAATATATAAATGTTACTAAAATATTCCTATATAGGTTAATACCTGTCCAGCGAAAGTGTTACTGTCTCATTCATTTCCGGTATATCATCAGCTTTGACAGTAATGTTGATTGTTGTGTCACTTTGTCCAGATAAAAACACAACAGAGCCATTAAAGGGGCCTATATCCTCCAGGGTCACTGCTTTTGAATTAAAGCCAGAGGCCCTCAAACTCCAATAGACAGAAGCCTGACCATCAGTTCCATCCCGATGCAATGGAATGTATACCTTATAAAAAGGAAAAAAAAATTTCCTCCATCATAATCTCACAAATTATATAATCTTTATTTTTAGTATGAGTATATGTCATTATATGAATACACATGTTTACTAAAGGGAACAATCAAATGACATTTAAAAAACTTGACTGAACAAGACTTTTCTTTAAGTATGAAAATAATTTTAGATATATTTTTATTAGCATTTGCTAATCAATCATCAAAATTGTTCCCAGCCAAAAAATCCCTAACTTGAGTTTTAAGAAAAAGCTAAGTAATTTAAAAGCCAAAGAATCAAGAAAAACAGCACAATTTTGCTAAGAATAAATTTGTAACAGATTCCCTGAAAAGAATTAATTTCATATCACAATTAAAATGAAAAATAAATTTTTGCAATTGAAACAAGAAAATGATATCGAAAATGCATCCTAAAGTGACAGGGGTCAAAAGAAGAATAGAAGAAAAAAATGCTTCTGGTCAACACAAAAAACGCAGTAGAAATAAAATGATACTAAAATCGTGCCTCTGGGTTACCTTAAGCAAGTTACTTAATTTCTCTGACCTCAGTTCCCACAAGTGAAATGAAGCCAGTGGATCCCTATAGTGTATGTTTGTGGTAGGGATTACAGTGCTTCTCCATAGCTTGGGAAAAATAAATCAATGCTATTATTAATAATTCTGAAATAAACTGAATTTGGTAATTTTGCTCAAGTACTATATACTTTAATTTTTATAATAAAAGGATCAATACAAATCATAATCAAGCTTTTTTTAAAACAAAGAATATAAATGAATACTTAAAAGGTAGACATGCTATCCTGTTTAAGTTCCTTATGAAAAAGGAATATATTTTCCTCACTAACCATTCTGCTAATTTGTATAGTGGTGGTTAGGGACAAAAACCAATGAGCAAAGTAAGATTCTTAGGGCAGGCAAATAAATAAATAAACAAATAAATAAATAACAGAATCATAAGTCCTTAGATCACTCTGAGGGAGTGGGTGTGGCCAGGCTGTGGATGGGACAAAGAAAAGAAAGAGAAATTCCCACTTTTTCTGCTGTTTCCCTGGGGGGAAGAATGCAAATACTTTCATTTTCTCCCTAAAAGCAAATTTCCCTCAAGGAAAAAATATGAAATGGGAAATTCACATCCTATAAGATAAAAGAATAAAAGCAATCCACTCTTTAAGACAAACTAAAAGAATTTTGAGTTTTTTAACTTTTAGGGGGGAAGCATATTAAGAAAATACAAATTTTAAAACCATCTTGAAAAATGGAGCTTCTCCGCCAATTTGAAGAATCAAATATGCAAACAAAGAAAGTTGTCGTCACCATATTTTGACATGGGGATTTGATAACAAAGGCAATGCCAGTCTCCTCATTCCTGATCTGAACCCCAACTCAACTGAAATCAAACAGAAGTGAGAGAAACTTGCAGACATCAGCAAGACAGGCTGTAGCTGAGGGAATGGTAAGGCTGAAGGCAAGAATGGGGGTGGAATTAGAGGTGCTGTAATAGTAACTATGCTTTTATATGTGTGTGTTTATGTAAAACTTTACATATATAAGCACATAAATAATATATGCATAATAAAGTTCATAAGATATGACATTTCTTAACTTCACCACTGTCCCTCCACCACCAAGAATGGAGCCCAAGGCAGATACCCAGTTCTATTCAAGGAAAGCATGAAAAGTGCTGTGATATAAGTAAAAATTTATTCTATCAAATATGGCAAAATGACAGATAATCACATACTAATTAGTTACTTACATCAACTACAAATTAAAAATGTAAATGGTAAAGCTTTTTAATATCTGTTAACTCTATATACTAATCCTACCAAAAAAATAGTAAACTTATGAGACCCCATCAATAAGAAGCCTACTTACCATATCAGCGTCAGAATCTTCTGGTTCATGCAAAATGATTGGAAGATTGCTAATAAAGCCAATTTCTCCATTTGCAATGTCTGGAGTGACCACTAAAGAAATATTTCGGATTTTCCCAAATCTAGGGCTTATAGATGGGATTGGGGGAATTATGTTCACCAACTCCACACTTTCCAACTATAAAAAAAAAAAAAAGTGAAAATGGAAAAAATAAAAAATTTTGAGGTTTTTTTTTTTAAGTCTTTTTTTTCCCTAAAGATTTATTCATTTATCTATACAAGAACCGGGGTACAGGCCAGATGTGCAGGAGGGTGAGAGGATTCATCAGAGACAGAGCAGGGAACAGAACAGGCAGAATGACAAAACACACTGCTGAGGGGAGCAGTGGCCGAGACAGGAGAGGTCTGCCGCGCCATGTGGGACCCTCTCCTGCCGGCTGGGATCAAATTCGCGCTGCAGAGGCTGTGGACAGCTTCACAGCGCTGCGCTCAACCCCCTGCGCCACCAGGGGAGGCCCTTTTAAAGTCTTTAACAGCATGGAACAACAAAGTAGACATGGGTAAAGTTCACCAATAACCTGGCAACTTCATTCCCCTCTTTCATTCATCTTGTTTCAATCTCTGCACTGGCTTCTTGAGCATTTTCTGCTCCTCAGTTATTATTCCCCAGGGTTCTTTTTCAGCCTTTTTTTAAAAAGATTTACTTATTCATTTATTTATGTGTAGAAGAACGGGGGTGGGGGGAGACAGAGACAGAGTGGGGAGCAGAACAGGTGGATCGACTGAAATACACTGCTGAGGGGAGCAGCGGGCAAGTCAGGAGAGGTCTGCTGTGCCATGTGGGTAGCTCCCTGGCCAGCATCCATCTCAGGCCTCAGCAGTGATAGCACTGAGACTTAAAAGCTAGGCCATCAGGAAGGCCCCTTTTATCTTATAAAATTATAAGATACCTTCTACCTATTAATCTCTGAATCTCTTTCAAATCCTAAATCTTTATAACCAATAGTCACTCGGCATCCACAAATATCCAGATAACTTATAGAAAAAATGTCCAAAATAGAAATCCCCATCTCTGCTCTATGTCTACTCACCATCGGCATCACAAACCCAATCATCTGCTTTTCCTCCTTTTTTCCCATATCCAACTACCTAGACCTTAAAGTCAAATATCAAAGAGTTGTCCACATCTCCTTACTCTCTTCCACTGATCCAAACCTCCAATCAACCATTCATTCACTCCCCTTCTCTGCCAAGGAAAATTTATTACCAATCATTCAAACATCCAAATGTAAATTAACATAGCTTTATGCTTACAGAAATGCAATATACATGTAACACAATATCCCTAGAGCTGATGAACATGATCACCACAGTAACTTTTCACTGTATTCTCATCTAGAATGCTCTCTTCATCAGCTCACAAATCCAACATGCACCACTTTAAAGACTAGTTTCTTTAATATCCATTAAGATCTTGGATTCTCCAGTGGTCTTTAATCTATCTCTTACTGAAATTCTACTGCGATCCTCACTAAAGTTAGAACTTAATTATAAATTTCACTATTGCTTGTTCATCATCATTTTGGGCATTCTAGACTTACTTCCCAATAGGACTATAGAGACTTTGTCCTCAGCATATTTCAATACATGACATAGACCTGAAACTGCAGCACCTATACAAAAATTATTGCCTAAGTCACCCCTCCATCAGAAGCTCAGCTCTCTAAGAATCCTGATATATCACAAACCTTCAATATCTTACTCTCATAACTTTTCAAAATCCAATTTATCATTCCATACAGTGGCAACCTGGAAATAAAGGACTAATCACTACAGGGCTGCAAAAACGAAAGAAATTTTAAGTTAAAAAGCAGGATTTGAACTGAATGAAACATTATCAATCTCCCACTCTTTGGAGATCTCAATTAGGTTTTGTAATATGGAAAAAAAATGCCACTAAGTAACCACCAGTAGAGGATTGTGATTTAAGTTGATTTTCCACAAGTGGATGGGACTGGTACTGATCCCACACATACTCTCACATTGCATGATGAACAAAATACTTTAAAGGACGAAAGTAAATGTCTTTTTAAAATGTTGCATAGGACCTCCCCAGTGGTGTAGCAGTTGAGCGCTGTGTTGAGAAGCTGCCCACAGCCTCTGCAGCGCCGGTTCCATCCCCAGCTGACGTGCAAGGGTCCCACATGGCGCGCAGACCTCTCCTGCTGCCGGCTACTCCCCTCAGCAGTGTACTTCATCAGTCTGCCTACTCTGCTCTCTCCTCTGGCTCTGGTGAATTCTCTCACTCTCCTGTGCTTCTGACTGTACCCAGTGCTTGTATAAATAAATAAAAGAATCTTAAAAATAAATAAATAAATAAATAAATAGAATGTTGCATAGTTAGGGGCCTCCCTGGTGGCTCAAGGGATTAAGTTGCTGCACTATAAAGCTATCCACAGCCTCTGCAGCACAAGTTCCTTCCCTGGCCAAGGTGGTGGCCCACATGGCACAGCAGACCTCTCCTGTCTCATCCGCTGCTCCCTTCAGCAGTGTATTTCAGTCAATCCGCCTGCTCTGTTTCCCACCCTGTCTCTGGTGAATCCTCTTACCACCCCACACCTCTGCCCTGTACCCCAGTTCTTATATGCAAAAATAAATTTTTAAAAAAATAAAATGTTGCATAGTTAGCATTTCTCTACACAGAAGAAATGGTAAGGATAACTTAATATTTGCTAAATATTCATTTATATATAAAGAATTTAGAACAACCATTTTTGCAAAATGTTAGTTTACACTTGATCTTAGCCAAAAGGCAGAGAAGCGATGCAAAATGTTAGTATAGAGAAAAAAACAAGTAAGGTAAAACATGATTTTTTAGTGCAATCACTCTATAAGATAAAATGTAAAGACAGTTAAAACATCACAGGAATAACGATCACTCCTTCTAGAGAAAATACCTATTGTGGACTTCTAGTGAGTCCAAGACCTGGGACACGACGGTGAGGGAAATCAGACATGGGGGACTGTCATGTCTAGCATGCAGCAAATCTTTATTGCCGTATTGCTCATTATATGCTTTTTTTTTAATATTTACTTATTTATTTATACAAGTACTGGGTACAGTCAGAAGCGCAGGAGGGTGAGAGAATTCACCAGAGCCAGAGAGGGGAGCAGAGCAGGCAGAAGGACCGAAGTACACTGCTAAGGGGAGCAGCGGGCGGCAGGAGAGGTCTGCGCGCCATGTGGGACTCTCCTCCAGTGGCCAGGGAGCAGCCGGGGATCGAACCAGTGCTGCAGAGGCCGCGGGCAGCTTTGCAACCCAGCACTCAACCGCTGCGCCACCGGGGAGGCCCGTATATACTATTTTAATTGTAACATCAAAGCATTCCATATAATGATAACATGTATGAATGATTAGTCTATTTTCTTACTATTATCTATTTACTTCAGACAGTAGGGTACCAGGTGGTTAGTTCTCATGTACATAATCTTATTGCCCCCTAGCCAGAGCCTGGGAAGTTCACTCATTATTTTTGTTGTTCTCAAACTGTGGAGATGTACGCAGGTCACTTCCAGGCTCTCAACACCAAGTCCTGTCAACCAGAGGTTTTCCTCCGAGACGCATGTGTTTTCACATGCCTTAGGGACTCGGGTCAAGGCCCTTCTGCCTACTGCGCAGGGTATTCTCACACTGTGGAGATATAGAAGCATGACTCCACGCAGGTCACTTTCCAAGCTCTCAACACCAAGTCCTGTCACTCAGAGGTTTTCCTCCGAGACGCATGTGTTTTCACATGCCTTAGGGACTCGGGTCAAGGTCCTTCTGCTCAGTACGCGGGGTGGCCGCCTCCAACACCTATACATATGGACATGTATGCATTTATCTTTAAAACGAGCACAAAGAATTAACAAATAAGAAAAAATATGCATGTATTGGAAAGCATATAAGGTATGCATTGTTTGGAAGCAAAAAAATGCTTTTAAAATATAACCATTGTGTGAGAGTAGCACGTTTGTGAATGAACACTCATGTCTGTATATTCACAAAGAGTTTAACTCAGTACTGCTTAAAACATCAATGGTATTGACATATATTTTTACGTCAAAGCTTTCTGAAATGAAAGGAAGAAAGTCATATTTTACTTACATGTATGAAAAAATATAAAATTAAATTCTAGATGCATTTTTTTGAAAAATATAAAGGAACTATATTAAAAGTTAAGATATAAACAGATCAGAAGGAAGACACTAATTTTGCAGGCCTTACTTTCTAGTCTCTAAGCTTTTTTTGTCTGGATTCTTCAAGCATCCGCTAAATCAAACTGCTCCATTCATAGAGTCGTTTGCTCAGATAGTTTGCCATTGGGACAACACATTAGGAACCCCATGCCTGCCAAAAGTTGTATCTCAAACTAATATATTTAGCTAGGAGAGGTATTAAAGAATGAGGAGCTTAAGCCTCAGATTCTCCTTTCTTCAGCTTCATTCAACTCTCCATGCAGAGTCTGATGCCTCCTATTCTTTAGTTGTTCATCCATTACACACTATACAAACTACACAACCTTCCAATTCCAACCAGTTTTCCAGAGCCTACCCCTGTTTTGAACCTCAAGGAATTGTGTCAATTACTAATGTCTGTTTTTTCCTAAATGTTAAATTAACTGCAAGCACTGTAAGAAGTTTGTTTTTCAACTGAAAACAAAGATACATAAAAAATTGAGTCTGGAATAGTGGTGCAGGTAGATTTCTAAACCAGAATCACCAACATTCAGATATTTTGTATATTTTTAAATTTCATTAAATATAAATTGTCATGATGCTATAAAAATACTCAAGTAAAAATATCTGACCTATAAAGGCTCTTAATAGGATTTTGTTTATGTGAGGATTCTCTGCAGCAACTTTGAAAGAGATAGTGGATATTTTCAAAAGACTGAAAATATAAATGTTATTAAAATTACCATAGACATAAGGGATCTCCATGCAGAGCAAAAATCGCTTTTCAGGTATCCCCAATATACTGATAAATCATTTCCCATAACAAGTCACCTTGTTGGCCTGTCTAGCGTGGCTTCAAGAAATGTACAGTCTAGCATGAGCAGTGGCCGGGCTAAAAAAAGGAAAAAGGTAAAAAAGCACAAGAGTCTCCAGAATGAAAGGCCCACCACTAAGTGCTGAACAGTGTGGGACATGATAGTGAAACTCAGAATGCTAAGGAGAAGGTAAAAAGTTTTCAAAGATGAACAGCAAGTTACCTACAAAGGTAAATAGTTTCTTTCCCTTCAAATTTCTCCTCATCAACTCTGAAAGCTAAAAGACAATAACTTCCATGTTCTGAAGAAGAAACTGTTTAATCTGGAAATTTCTACAAAGCCAAACTATCAATATGAATATGAAATTTCATTTTTAGTACTCACTCAAAAGGTTTACCTTGGATATATTTAGCTGCATATGTATTTAAAGAAACTAAAACACAATCCAAGAAAGAAAAGGCAAGAGATCAAGAAAATTAAAGAGTTTAGGAAAAAATGGTCTTAAGTAGCAAATGGGAAGCAAGTATAGAAAGCAGCTCAGCTAAATTCAACATTCAGCATATATAGACAGCTGAGAGATACAGTACAGTGAGGGTGACATATAGAAAAGGGACAGTTAGAAACTCCAGAGAAAGCAATAATAAACCATAAAACAAAGTCTACGCAAAAATGGGAAATAAGTTCCCTCGCTAGTGGTGCAAGGGCTTAAGCACAGCACTGTGAAGCTGTCCGCAACTCTTGATTATGAGTTGGGGCCCTGGCAGGCCAGGGAGCTACCCACATGGCACGGCAGACCTCTCCTGTCTCGCCTGCTGCTCCCCTCAGCAGTGTATTTCAGGCAGTCTGCCTGTTCTGTTACCCACTGTCTCTGGCGAATCCTCTCGCCCCCTGCACCTCTGGCCTATACCCCAGTTCTTGTATGCATAATAAATAAATCTTTTTAAAAAATAAGAAATAAATTGACATGTGATATGATTCTAAGAAATTAAAGGCGATGATGTTTCATTTGATACCTATTTCAGTTAGCAAAATGTATGGTGATGTAAGATCACATACTTTTTTAAGCTATCCATTCATCTGATTTCATATTTTTATTCATATGGCCAAAATTTGATAAGCCTCACTTACTGCTTTCTAATTTTCAGAATCAGCCAATACCAAGTGATTGGAAGTTATACCATAGTATCATAAATGTGTATATATATTTTAAGCATTGTTTTAAAACAATAAAAAATTAAAAGATTTTGGTTAATAAAAGTTAATAGATTAAAAGAGATAAGAGAAAAGGATTATGTGATGGGGGCTCTTAATTCTTCTTCTTAAGTGAATAGAAATCCAGAGCTTCTATCTATAGCTAATAGATTTTAAAAACAAGACTTTACACAATATTAATTTAAGGTAATTTTTCTCATATTGCCTTTTTATTTATGGAATGCCTTCCCTACAGTACCTACCATGAAAAATATATTTATCCTAAAATCCCCAGTCCCATGTCAAAGTTTCCCAAATCAACTCAAAAGAATGGGAGTTCTTTCTCTCTCCTGCTCCTCCCCCCTTTAAGAGTTTGTGAGTTACTCATTATCATGTGCATTTTATTCTGGCTTGTATTTCATATCTGATGTACTTTTATTATTCATCCTATAATTCATCCTATTATTCATGCCTTAAGAGCAGAAAGTCTCTCCTTGGTATTCCTCTATAACCTTTAGTAACTAATAGTAGAATCCACACTATTTTGAGGGCAAAATAAACATCAACTCACTCACATGGATATGTACACTTGCAGCTTAACCAAAGTTCAGAATATTTTAATAATCAAAATACCTTTACTAAGAAGTGGGCCCCATTTTGAAGAAATGCATCATTTCTTATTGGTAATTTTATAGTGACTTGTGTTTTTTGTTCTGGAAAAATGAGACTATTTTTCCTGGATGTATTTAAGATGCCATCTTTTGCTTGCAGAGGGTCCACAGCTCCAGCAGGAATATAAAGTGCAGAAAAAAACATCTTCACATCTCCTTCAGTTCCTCCTAATCTTATAAAACTCAAGGATAAATATCGTTCTCCTGGGTTGCTTTCAATCTTCTGGTTTTCCATTGAAAAAAATGTTATTAAGCCATAAACATCATCACTATCCTGAATGTAAAACAAAAGCTGCAGGCAAAGGAATAAAAAGTTAAAGTGCCGAATTCTCAGCAGCTGAGATTACCAAACATTTGATTTTTCTAGACAATTTTGATTTTTTATATTTATTTATATGTTGTGTCTAAAAATGATTATTGATATGGAGTAGAGTAAAAGAAGAACCAAAAATAGATCTGAAAACTTCCTAATCTATAGCTTGTGGAATTTATTATAGGAGTGGGAAGTAACAAAACCAGTGTTTGTCCTGTCTCAGCAACTAAATAAATTTTCAATGTGAGATCAATTCTTTGGCTCTTCTTAGGCACAGAAATATCCACACAAGTAAAGCACAAGGAGAGCTCTACCTCTGCTGGTTCGCTCACTTCTGCACCTCCTTGTATTGTATGTGGCAGAATTTGAAGCAGATAAGCTTCTGCCTCTTCAGGTACATCATCACTAACAACAGTAAGAGGAATGGATGCCAACATCTGCCCTTGTGCAAAATGAAGAACTCCAGAACTTGGTGTGATATCATCAGTAACCGGTGAGAGATCGCTGCTATTGCGTGTCAATACCCAGTTCACGGACACATTCCCATGGGTGCCACCATTTCTAACCACCGTAATTTCTTCAAATCTAGAAAATTTTAAAAGAAATATATACAGTCACATGATACACTTATTTCCCTTCGACAGGCTTTTCCAATGTTACCTTGACCATCAGACACTGATAAAAAGCAGAAATCTGTTTCAGAAAGAATGACTGCTTTTAAGATGAAATGGTATGTAGATATATCCTAGGAAACTATCCTAATAAGAATTCACTTTCCTCCCACAATAAAAAGGGAAACAGTGAAACCATGATAGAGGAAATGACACACACTCTTAACAGTTCAACATCATGTCCACACCATAAACATTAAATCTTGGAATACATTAACATAATTCCACCAATAGGATTAAAATAAACCATACCTTGCTGTATCTTCATCAATTACAACTGTCTTTTCAAACAAGATACTGTTGAATGAGAGGACTCCGTACGGTTTGTCATTTGGCTTAATGGTGACTTGCACAATAGAAGGGCCTGCTAGCACAGCATCTCCCTGTAAGGTATCCTTTAGTAACACAATGTGAAATGATTCAGCAATCTCTGGTATGGCATCATCAATGATTTGAAATTTCAGATGTGATTCATAAACAAAAGGTGGGAAAACAATAGTTGTGTTTGGCTGAAGATCAATGAAATCTAAATTTTGCTGTGCATGGGCTGTTGAATTCCCAGTTATTACAGCATAACTGATGGAAGCTTCACATTCATCAGAGCCAATCAGATTTCCACTGTCATCTTTGCCACGAACCACTGGAATTAAGAGTATATGGTCTTCCTCAGGCACCAAATAAGTACTCTGAATGAATCTCACAGGACTGTCATTTTTCTTAATGATAATTTCAACTGAGTTTCTAGAGGTATTGACCTCAGCTCCTCCTTCCACACTCTTCAGTTGAATGAAAAATAATTCATCATTTTCTGGTACCTGTCAAAGAAATATAAACAGTGGCAAAATATCAATAGCCAAAACACCTGCAAAGAAAACAAAGTGTAAAATATTTCTATGTTTTAATGCAATCACACAGAAATAAAAAAATCTTTAATTGCCACGAACAAATGAAGAGGCTTTTCAAAGTTCATATTCTAAAATATTTTGTGAAGGTAAATAATATATTTTAGGTAGATAAGAAAAAGTTCATATAAAGAGTTAATTCTTTCAACCTTAATCAATCTCTAGACAACTCTAAAGAATTAACAATAAAAATGAACACTAACATTAGTTTCATTGGGTGGGTAGGTCAGACGAAACATTCACAGTCTACTAATAAACAGGCTACCAGCGTCATTCCAGGCAAAATGCTGACAGTGTTAAATTGAAGTCTTTTATTTCTTTGTAACTGTCCGGAAATTTTAGGGTTAATTTCCACTGCACTACTTGAAATTCTCCTACACTCACAAAATTCTATTTCATGAATGAAAAATGAAAAAAAATTCATCTTCACATTATTTTACCTTCATGAATATTACCTCCGACAATATGAAGGTATTGTTTGCCCCCCCAAAAAAAGTTCTAATTTGATTAGTCATCATTTTCCACCCTCAACTTTATTGAGGAATAATTGACAAATACAATTATAATATATTTAAAGTAAACAACCTGAAGATTTGATAAACAAATACATTGTGGAATGATGACTAATATCAAGATAATTAACACATCCATCATCTCACATAGTTAACTTTATTTATAGGGAGGAGGAGAGAGGACTTAAGATCAACTCTCAACAACTTTCACATAAATAATGCCACATATATAATACAATACTAGTAGCTATAGTCACAATACTATACATAAGGTACTCAAAAGATGATCTTTTAAGCTTACAATTAAAATGTATACTTAATTATTATCCCAAATTGTAATATTTTCTTTTTTTTTTTAGATTTATTTATTTATTTATACAAGCACTGGGTACAGTCACAAGCGCGGGAGGGTGAGAGAATTCACCAGAGCCAGAGCAGAGAGCAGAACAGGCAGAGTGATGAAATACACTGCTGAGGGGAGCAGCGGGCAGCAGGAGAGGTCTGCAGGCCATGTGGGACCCTCACCTGGCGGCCGGGGATGGAACCGGCACTGCAGAGGCTGCGGGCAGCCTCACAACCCAGCGCTCAACCACTGGGCCATCAGGGGAGGCCTATTGTAATATTTTCAATGTTCTGGAATCTAAAAAAAAATTTATTGGTTTCCAGAAGCAGATAAACTAGTTATCAATGCTACTTAATGCTTCGCTTTTTTAAGAGAAATACTCTTTTCCAATGTTTTCTGATTCATCTTTATTTTCTTGGGATCTATTGTGATTTGATTTCATGACTTTTTTTTAAAGATTTATTTATTTGTGCATACAAGAACTGGGGTACAGGCCAGAGGTGCGGGTGTGAGAGGATTCACCAGAGACAGAGCGGGGAACAGAACATGCAGATTGACTGATATACACTGCTGAGGGGAGCAGTAGGCAAGACAGGAGAGGTCTGCTGCACCATGTGGGTAGCTCCCTGGCTGGGGATCTAACTTGCGCTGCAGTGGCTGTGGATAGCTTCATAGGCAGCATCTTAACCCCTTGCGCCACCAGGGATGCCCTGATTTCATGATTTTTAAAACAAGGGAAGGAAAGGGTTATAAATTCCTATTTTTTGGCAACACTGTTATTTTCTTTAAAGTTATGTTTTCTTTTGTTTAGCTCATCATATTATTTAGTTTCATTCTTTCCTTAGCAGATAAGCTATCTCATTATCTTAATCCTTGGCTATATCAACATGCAGTGTGAAAACAACAGAAAATTCCCTATGAAAGTAAACATTTCAAACAGCCAAACAAAAGAGTTTCAAAAACAGTATAATTTTCTTTGCCTTTATTTTAAAATATTTATGACCCTAATCAAAACTAGAGTCAGTAACAAAAAATATTTATCAGGGTTTATAAACTCCTTACATATTTTATGCCAGTGGTTGCCAATTATATTCAAACAAATCAGCTTCTCGGTACACACTTTCATGTGAATTAAGTGAGATAAATATTAACAAGGTATATTCCAAAATAGATATTTATAGCTAAATTGTGACTTGCCATGATACTCTAACTTCACATAGGACTATGTTCTTAAATAGTTTCAAATATTGAACACAATTTAATACTTAATATAATGTTTTCTAACATGTTGGCAATACAGACAGCATCCTTGTCCTATGTAAGCATTTAACATTATCCCACCTCATCATCAAGCACTGTCAAGTTATAAACTACTATTGCTCTGCCAGGGGGAAAGGTGATATTTCCTTTAATTGGACTCAGATCTTCTTCTGGTGGATTGGGACCACCGTCTACCTGCAAAAAAACACATGGTGCCATCAATGAATACAAAATATTTCACATGAATATCAAAAAATATTGTGATGTCAGTTGACAAAAAAATTGAAGTTTACTTAAAAAATGTTTTGCAAAAAGAATTATACTAACCTATACATAAGTCTACCCTTGTAGTAGAAATTTAAGGCCTATAACTTAATCCTATCATTGCATTAAGCAACTTTTTAAGAGTTTTCTTTTTTCTTGACCATTATACCAAACCAGAGAAAAAAACATAATATCTTTTCTTGAGAAGAAGGTATTCAAGATTAGTAAATTCTCTTAAATAATGGCATCAACCTCCACCACTCACTGTGTCACCAGGGTCAAGCTATTTAACAACTCTATGGAGTATTTTCCTCATCTTTAAGTTAGAATAATAATATCCATTTTATAGGTAAGATGTGAAGATTTAATAAAAATCATTTATTTTAAAAGCCTGACCTCTTTTAGACCTTGTGTTTAATGGGAGGAAAAAAATGATAAATAAATAAATTACTATGTGCTAGATGATGATAAGTACTATAGAGAAAGAATTCAGGTCACAAGGGAGATTGATTGCTGGTGGACTTGCTGTTTTATGAAGTGATAATCAGTGTAAAGCACTTAGAATAAAATATGAAAATATTAACTGCTCTGTAAATGTTAGTTGTAATTACTCAAACAGAATTTTCAAGATCAAATAAAATAACTTCAGAAATCCATAATTTTTTCTTTTCAAACTTTATTTCAACATAACTATGCTTATAGAAATCACTCATATTGGTTAACAGAATGCAATTTAAGTCTACCTATTCTACACAATTCAGACCAAAAGCTTGGTACATGTTTTTAGCTGTTTTATAAAGCAAGGGTTGCAATCTGGTTTAATTCTCATTTATTACAAGTGAATATGTAAGATCCTTCATCAAATTCTACTAAAACACATAGAAATTGAAAATGTTATAATCTGACAATGCTTTATCCCTACTATAAATATTTTTTCTATATTTGTTATTAAATGTTCAAAAGCATATTGCATGTTTCTAAATACATGAAATATTGTTTAAGGTTTCCTATGTAGAACTTGCAAGACTATTGCACATTTAATTAGTATTTACTATATTTTTCATTCACTGTTGCCTTATGCTATTCTATTTTATGTAAATAAAACAGTTGCCATATGATGTAGGTACCCATAAGCACAAATAAAACTCTTCCACATTTCAGAAGAATTATGCTACATTTAACTAAGTATCCATTTTAATGGATTATGATTAATACTTAGAAATGTATCAGAAGGTTCTAATGCTCTGATATTTGAAAATAGAGTAAGATCATCTGGCTTATAAATCACAAAAATGAGCTGAGGATTTAAATATGTTTCTTATAGATCATAAATATGTTGACATAATGCTATATGCACATGGTCAGTAAGCAATAAAATACAACTGTTACAGCTAACACCTTAAGAAATGCACCTTACCCATAGTCTATCTTATTCATGTACTAGTAAGACCATCCTTTAAGTGTAATTTTTAAAGTGTGGAATGTAAATGGGGTTAAGACTGCATATAAAATAATTTTATAAGCCTAAGTAACTCATGGGCATTTTTCTTTTTTTTTAAAGATTAAATTTTTATTTAATTATGAATAGAAAAATTGGGGTATAGGCTAGAGGTGTGGGGGATGAGAGGATTCACCAAAGACAGAGTGGGGAGCAGAACAGGCAAAACTATTGAAACACACTGCTGAGGGGAGCAGCTGATGAGACAGGAGAGGTCTGCTGCACCAAGTGGGTTAGCTCCCTGGCCTGGGATCGAACTCATGCCACAGTGGCAGATGATAGTTTGATAGCACTGAGACTTTTAACCCCTGTGCCACCAGGGAGGCCCTCATGGGCATTTTTTCTTTATAATTTATATCCTTGAAAATTTTTACCATAAATATTATAGAGTTAACATTATCATTCTATTTTGTGGTTTATTAATAATTTCCCACATCTAAAATGATAATGGTGTTTCATGTCAGCATAGTATATTCAAACAGGAAGGAAAACATTTTCATATTAACCATGAAATTTATCAGAAAATAAAACATTTTTATTTCATTTTTATTAAGGGTCATGTTTATTATACGAAGGACCTTGACTTTTACAATTGTTACCATTGGTATGAACTCTAAAGTGTTGCCACTTAGAATGATTATAGAAATAAACTTACCTCAAAAGTCACAGTGACCATTCCATAGGTTCCTTTTTCCCTGATGAGGGTAAGAGGCACAAACTCATTTCTGCCCCTGGGCTCAATCACTGTGACTGAGGAAGGCTATTGGGAAGAGCAAGGACAGTCACCAATCAATGTAACCTCTTATCTTAGAAATACTATATTTTATAGGCAAATCCACTCATGTTGTACTTATAACAATGTAGCATTTTCTAGCATTAATTAACCACAGCTAATAAAAATGCTTAACAATTAAAAAAATAGTGTAAGAGGAACATAAAACTAATCAAAAGATGTTGATTCCTTTCCTGAGTCTACCCTGAATTGTTCAGCTGAGGAACCTTAAAGGTTATCTCTTTGAAAGATGACAAACTCCAGTGATCACAGATGCCTAAAAGGTCACAAAATGTCTTGTCCCTCCAGAACAGAGGCACTCAGTGGAACCTTGCTCCCAACCACCATTCTCTCCTGAGAGGTCAGCTCACCATTGAAAAGCTGACAACTGTTAAGGACGTTAATGAACATGAGAGAGGAAACAGCTAGGACTTCAAATGTTGAGCTATGATGGGCTGACTGGTTGCTACTTGGAGTAGAAAAGAGGAGGGAGGTGCCCAGGTGCATGTTAGCGAGGGCAGCAGTGCCCATCTCACTGGGTGACACTAAGTCCCCCACCATCATCCACAAACGGGGGCAGGAATGCCTCTCTGAAAGGTTACAGTGACAAATCAATTTCAAATTCATGTCAGTACTTATCCTAATAACAGGCACATAGTGATAGCTCAATAAGCATCAACTTTTATCACCAATGTTTAATGTTTTCTTCATCATCAATATAATTATCCAGGCCAAGAACCAAAGTCAACCTATTCAGAGACTGTGAGTTCACCGGTTATTTAGATTAATTTTAAGCACAAGGGTACATGCCCTGTCACGGACAGAGACCCTACTAGTCAAGGATGTGGAATTAACACTAGAAACAGATTCACTTCCACAGGGTAAGATGTATATTGTGTAAAAGAAAGGGGGGAAAATCATGTTTAAACAAAAATATATAGAATTGGCATGACAAACTGGGAATGGGTCTAGAAGAAAGGCAATATGAAAAGAAATTAAGCAATTAAGGGGCACTCCTTCATAATTAACTAATAATTCCCTGCCATTCAAATAGAAATGATTAATTAATTTTAGTAAATGACCATATAGTGAAGATTACAAAGTGTCTACCTTATCGACATTACCCACATAAACTTTTCTCTAGGTACTGCAATTATAAAGATAATATTTATATATAGCTCATCTGCTTCAAAGAAAATTTAAAGCACTAAGAACATGATATACAACACAACCAACTATAGTAATGATCTAAATGGAAAATAAATTACAAGCTGGGAGAAAGTAACACATCACATTTTAGTAACAATCATTAGTAACATGATTCAGAAAGACTTCCGAAAAGGAAGTTTACAGAATTCTAAAACTTAATGACCAGACCCCGTTGTAATAGAGATACATTTTGTTGTATTTTTAAGAGCTGGAAACAATTCTTTTCAAGGAGGCATCTGTCTTTTGTGTTTGTTTTTAAAGATTAAACCTCCCAGACATACTATAGGTCAGGAAATGGGAATTTGATGATAAGGGAGGAAAAAAATCAACTGCTAAGCAACATTGAGGGGGATGACAGAGTTTTAACCTTCAAGAAATATTAATGAATGGGAAAACCTCAGGGTAGGAAAAGACTATAGAATTTTGAAAAGTTATCATCTCTGCTATTCAATTTTAAGTTCACAATAGGTTTTGTCAGTATTTTTTTCCGATATGCTTTTCTCATCATCAAATTACTCCAAGTTCTAGAGGAGGCTGACAGACAATGCTTTCTGCAAGTGGTATTTGGGGAAATGGATCACAATGTGCCCCCCCACCAATAAATTCATAATCCAAATCCCAAGCCCTAATGTGACAGTATTTGGATTTTGGACATTTGGTGTATGATCAGGTCATAAGGGTAGAGTCCTCATGAATAAGATTAGTGCCTTTAGAAGAGATCCCTAACCCCATTCAACACATGAAGACACACACACCCAAAAAAAACAACCATCTCTGAACCAGGAAGCGGGCCTTCCAAAACAGTAAATCTGCCAGTCCCCTGATCTTAGTCTTTCAGCCTCCAGAACTATGAGAAATGAATTTTTGTTGTTTACAAACTATTTAGTCTATAGTAGTCTGTTAGAACAGCCTGAACTAAGATAATATTTGAGTTTAGAGTTAGACATCAGCCAAAGGAGGTACCAACTGAGTCAGGTGGAACCATCAGCAGAAAGATGTAAGCACCAAAAATGACCATGATCATATAGTATTCCTCAATTCAGAGAAATCTTAAGTAGAACAAATGGACAGTATACAAAATGTGAAATATGAATAGAATTAAGGTGAATTTTATTTAAATATCAAAAGAAAGAATGATACTAGAAAATATTTTAAAAAATAATATTAACATGTAATAAACTATTATGTAGCAGCCACAAGATTAACCAAATTATTCCCATACCATATTAAATGAAATAATTCCAAATGCATTATCATTTGATAATATTGTGACAGTAACAGTCCTTGGCCACCCAAGTTTCACATTTGCAGAAGGTTTCTAAAATAGAAGCCAAAAAATAAATTAATGAATTAAAAATAAGAGGAAAAACAATCATTTTAATAGAATTTCTAGTTATAAGTAATTATTCAGAAAATGAATAAAGATGCAAGTATACTTTTTAAGGCACAGATTAAGAAAATACACTTAAACTAAGTCAATAATGACTAGTAAGTCCCAAACAAGAATTTTTCAAAAAGGTTTTGAAAACCATTCATCACTTATTACTAATAATATAAATTATTGTAAATATAAGTAATCACTAGGTAGCAATACTAAAATTAACATCATTACTAAAATAACAGAGAATAAGTATGCAGTATGAATTTTTATTCAAATGTCATTTTTTCTTACACTGTAGAAGGTGCTGAAACTTAAAAATTATTCATAAACCATAGAGCCAAATTAAAGACAAACTATTACAATAAATATTATAGAAATGGAAGTACTTTCTGGAACATTTCTATTACTATTCAGCAGCAGCATAAAGAAATATAAAAAAAAGTTATTTACAAAAGCAAAATCTGTTTCAAACATCATTTTCACAAAACTTTTAATCATACCAATATAATCATTCAAAATAAATTCTCAAATGCCCTTCAGAAAAGTTAACTAGAACAAAGTTAACAGCCATTGCCTCAAACTAACAGAAGAAACCATAAAAGACAATTAAACATTAGGCTATTCAAACATTTTTCCCAAGGGTACTCGGGAAAATTCTAAGGCACAGGGACGGCCCATTTTCATGCCTGTTTTTTTGTATCCTTCTCCTTTGAACTCAGAAGTCATGGTCTTTCTTTATGCATCTGGTAGCAGCAGAGGGATAAAAGAGAAAAGGGTCAAAGGGAAGACAAGGTTTTCTTGAGCATTTGAAAGCCAATGCCTAAATTAGCTGACTGGATCCAAAAACTTGCTGTAGAATCCTATAAACAAGATTGGCTGAGGAATAACTAGACCATCGAACTGTTGTCAATTTTGGCTTCTAAGAAATCACCAACCACCTAAATTATCCTGTCACCAAAGAAATAAGATTTTCAAGTGTTGCAAGATTTGTATGTTACAGGGGGAAGAAGGACTTACTTGTAATGTTAAGTGAAAAACAAATGTTTCATCAGGCTCTGGTAAGTCATCATCACATACTGCTATGTAGATTGTCCTGTTTGTTTCGCCAACAGGTATAAAAGCTGCAGCATACGTGTCAAAAAAGTCACCTGTGTCTTCTCCATACAGCTATCAAATGCAAAATATAGGTAGTTCTTACAAAACAGTGTTGAGACAAATAAAACTGATGCTAATTGGAACAATTGATAAAAAAATACATGAATCATTGACACTGTTCATAGGTAGTATGCAAAAAACAAAGCAAATGTTTAGTTAACTGATAAAACTTCAAAAAACATTATAAAAAGAAATGATTCTACACAAAAACATTTGTTTCTGATCTGAAGGTAAAGAAATCATTACATATACAAGTAATAATTACATAGGAAAGTAATAATATGAATTTTATTCTTTGCCTCTACATTGATCTGAAATAGAATTAGTGAACCTAATAAGACACATTACAGCTAAATCTCCCAGAGAAGAGGTACAAATAGCCTGCAAAATATATCACAAAAATCAATTATTTTCCCTATTAGTTTCAAAAGACTGCTCATTACAAAATGTTTACACTGAAATTTTATTTGCATTCTCCACTTCAATAGACAATTCTTTTAGCATTCCAAATTTACTAGTCACAAAAATCTCCTCCCTAACTTTTTTAAGATCTCTTTCTGTAACATCAGCATTGGTAATATTTTCAAAGGAGCAATAATTATGAAAGTGATTTCTTATTGCAAATCTAAAAGAAATTTCTTTTGACAAAGAACTCAAAATGAATAACTTATCTACTAGGGAAAAATCTATGATGCTACAAATAAAAAATGAAGGATGTGTACAGAGAAATTTTAGTCAATTTCCAATTGTCATTTATAAAAATAACTCAAGTTTTAAATACTTGAGAAATCCAAGCAAGTTGTCAAGGGTTTTGGAAAACTTGTACTCATAACTTAATATCAAAACTAGCAGTCTTTTAGAAAGTATAAAATATCAACAGCAATGGAAACAAATAAGAGAAAATTACACTTTTCCAACCTAAAAAAATAATTCAACAATCCAAGATATGCAAAAATCAGCCCATCTGTGAACAGTTTCACCAGAGCAACATAACAGCAAAAGTTGAAAGCAACCTCAGTAGTGATTAGGATAATGATACCGCCATCAAGACAAGTTGTGAAAATCATAAAACAGGAAAAAGTCATTATAATACAATCAAAATTATATGAAAAAAATTCTCAGATACATTTATTTACACAAAAATGAAGTCAATATATATATATGAATCACAAGCTGTATATAAAAAATGCACAAAATTATAATATTGGGTTTGTTTCATAGGTAGTTATTCTCCTTTCACTTTCACAATGTTTCACAATGTTATAATTTAACCTGTTATTTAACTAATTTTCTTTGAAATTAAAAAATTCAAGTTCCTTGCATCTCAAATACAGCAATATCCTAACTGGTCATCTGACATAATTTTTTTGATTGAACAGACACAACTACATTCACATACAATCCATCCAAAAGGGATCAATAATTTAACAATTCTAACTTTCATTTAAGTTAGTATACTTAATTTCCTTCCCAAAAAGAACTCTCCAACATAATTAAGATTTTATTGCCTTTTTCTAATTTTATTATTTCATAAAGTTTCCATTAAGTCTTTTGACAATAGATAATATATCCAAGCAGAGAGAAATGGAATCTAAGTTACCCAAAATATAATGTTGTTTTACTTGAAAATACTTAGGACTTTTTTTTGAGTTTTATTTGTTTTAATAAAGTTATATGAGCATTTTAAACTAATGAGTCTATAACTTTAAAATATTATTATTGTCAAATGCACATGACTACCGTGGGGTACTATAAAATTATATAGTGTATCTGCAAATCCTTTATCTAATGAAACTACTTAAAATCTCAAACAGTAAAAATCATATCATTGAAATTAAAAAAACTTCATATCTATTTCAGTAAGAATAGAACTACAGTCATTTCTTACCGATACAATCGCAGTGACATTTGCTGGCTGTCCTACTCTCTCGATGACAAGACGAATAACTGTTGTACTTGTTTCATTAACGACAAATTCTGTTTGTCCAGAGAATCTTACTTCTGTTTCCCCAAACACAAAAGGGATGAGTAAAGCTGAAAGAAGATTTACTAATAAAGATGTAGAGGGCATCCCTATAAGGAAAAAAAAAGTTTTGTTCACAAAACATATCTAATATATTTTCATTAGATTATCTTGTCTACAAAATTAAGAGTGAAGAGTCAGAAAATATGCAACCAACACATAAATACATCAACTATTAAGTCATCCAACTCAAATGTGTGATCACGGAAATAAGCTAAAAATCACAATCTATTCTTATGGTTCTCTTTTACTATTCATAACAACTTGTTCTTTTCTATCTATAATAATAGTTATAACTGGCCTTAAATTTGTTTATAACATTTAGCTTAATTTAAAATATTGAATACTTTATTTTAAGAAAAACCTAAGCAGCAACATGGAAACTGAATTAAAGTGCATCTTATTAATGAAACTGAAAAATACCTGCCCAATCTAAAAAATATTTGCATGGATCAACAATCTTAACAGGATTTAACCTATCTATTGATAACCATACAAATACAAAAGCTAAAGCTTAATTGATAAGTTGATTTCTTGGTTGGGTCTACTTTTTCCTCAAATATACCTTATTGGAGAACAGTTTGTAAAAATTCTTAGTTATGGCAAGGAAATGCTAAACCTCCTTTCAAAAGACAAAATTTCCAGCAGTTAAATTTCTTTCATGTTATTAGCTAAAATCCTAATAGCACTTCTTAGAAAAGGACCATGTTGCTTTAAAAAGAGAAAATTTGGAAAGTATCTATTTCCTTTCCCATAACTTCTATTGTTTTGTTGTTACTACAATGTGTGTGTTCATGAGTCATCAACATTGTTCCTACTTTCAGCACTATGATTCAGTGCTTTCAAAAGCACAACAGTGCAGTGGTCTCTTGAAAGTGCTGCTGTTTTGTGATGTAGATGTTTCTCTAAAAATGCGAACAATTTATCTCATGGATCATTAAGATTCCAATGGATCTATGTGATCAGTCACATGGATATAACAAGTTCATGGTTCTAAAGGAGAAATGCATTATGTACTCTCTATGAGCCAAAATGCTTCCTATTACTCTTTACTTTGGTCAAGTAATAAAATTTTCATGTGTGTGGTATTTTCACATAGTTATACATGGCTTATTTTTAGGAATCACCACATATATGAGTTCTTCATATATTTTAGTTTTTACATGCAATTTTCTCAGTCAAATATATTCAAACCACGTAGTGAAAGACTGGTTAAAAATGCCTCACACACTTATGTCTGCAAAATCCTTAGACAGAGATGCAAAGTTCAGATGGAGTCCAGGAAAGACACGCAGACCAAATGGAACAGGGATTCAGGATTGAGACAGGTTTACACATTTGCCTTTTCTCTAAGAAAGCCTGTCAAGAAACTTGGGAGAAGAAATCAAATTGTTCTCTTCACCAACTTCCAGAGAAGATGAAGAGAATATGGAATGGAAGAGTGAGGGAATAGCAAACTGGGCCTTGGAAAGTAAGGAAAAGATTGACTTTGACCTACCAAGAGTCTCAAAGAAAAATCCCAATTCCTTGAACATGAGACGTGAACTGAGTAAAGTAAGAAGACACCTTAATTTCTAAGTGAGAAAGAGTCAAAGCAAGTTACAGCATGGAAGGGGAAATCATGAACTAGTGGAAAAAAGGTTCTCAAAAACTGCCTTGCATAAGCATCAATGTGGAGTTTTGTTAAAATGCTGATTTGCACATCCATAAATTGTGAACCAGTGAGTTTAGTATGGACCCCAGGAATCTGCATTCAACAGACAAGCCTTTTGATTCTAATGTAACTGATTCTAGGGATACACGCTGAGATACACTGTGTTAGACCACAGTTGTGGCCTTAAGATAATTCCTGAATTTTTCAATCCAATATGATTCACCTTACTACTGACTTCTTCAAATATTTTCCTATGTATTGTGTTGCATTAAGATTCTCTCTATCTGAAGAAAAGCTGTAATGACCTATAGAAAGTAATCATAACAACAAATGCTTACACAAGGTTGTTCGAGGTAATCTATGTACAATAACACATCTTCACAACATCTCTATGAAGAGGATGCTAACATTAACCTTATTTTACAACTGAGGAAACTAAGGCACAAACAGGCAAGGTAACATATGCAGTGTTGTTTAACTAAGCGGAGAGGCAGGATTTGAACCCTGGAGTCCACTTCTAGACTCTAACCAATAACCACATTATATTTTGTAATGTGCCTCTTATATTTTACTCCCACAAATCATACATTTCTATCTTAAATACATTGTAGATCATTTGTGCTGTTTCCAAGCATGTGGATATTTTAAATTCATGCGTAATAACCAAAACTACCATAAAACTGTACTAATTACTAGTCTCCTAAAAGTTTGCATCTTTTATTCTGATAAACATTATATTTATTTTACTGAAACTGCTATTCTCTTGACTACTTAAGGTATTTAACTGCATCTTTTAATGTCAGAGCCAACGAACTAAAACGCCGCATTCTTGCAGTTTCCCAGGCAATTAGAGCTCCAAGATATTGTAGTTAAGTCAGTAAATTCATTTTAAATTGGTGCACGTCAGTGAGTTTTTGAGGTAATGTAAAATGAACAAACAAGCATGATTGGAAATGCCTCAAATTCTGTGACATCATTGATAATTGAATCTCCTCTGCTTTCATCTTTGCCACTTGTAAGAAAAGTTGTTGAAGCAAAGTTGGCATTCAACAGAAATTAAAAGATGAAGAAAAAGCTTTGAAAGTGAAGTTCCCAGTAGAAAACAGGCATAATTACACAAATGCTGAATAGTTTCTTTTTTAGAGTATCTAGGTACATTTTTTCTCTACCATATTAAAAACCTAATTTTCATAAGTCCATTTGTTAAACTCAGAAAACCAGAAACTAATAAATGATAAAACACAAAAGCCTTATATGACTATCAGCTCACTTTTTCTGTTATTAGATTTAATATCTTTTACTTGGCCAATCAATCTATTTTAAACGTCTCTGTGAAAATAATTTTGAATATCATGTTTAAAATCATAACATGCTTAATTCATACTGTCACAATTGTGAAAGAATAATTTTAGCATTGTTTACATCACTCTGCATAAGCATGATATACCAATATTCAAATCCTCTCATTTTCAACTATCATAGATGTTCTCCTCACACCTTACACTCTTGCTCAGTGGGATTAAAAGGAAAATTATTCTTGCCAAAACCTGTCTTATCTTTCAATAGATCACTTATTGTGCTAAAAAATATGAAGTTTAGGTTATTTCTTACTTCTTTTTTTCCTGAATTATACTATGAGGTTTTGAAGCTCTAACAGCACATAGGCACAAAATTTTAGGTTCTAGGATTCTAGTAATCATATTCAGCCTATTCAACAAGCATTTAATTCCATAAAAATATACCAAAATTAAAATCAGGATTATACTAAGGTATGTCCTACAATGCCATTTGGTTGCTTTCAGAAGAGTAGCTTACAATTTGATGTAACATTTGTATACTGAACACCCAATGTACATTGTACAACACCCTGTGCTAATCATTGAGGACACAAAAATCCATAACACATGCTTTAGACTCCAAGATACTCGCAGGGATGGGCCTATGATTCAGATCAGGACAATCAAAGTCAACAAGACACAATTTTGAGACCTCTTATTTAGTATAGAAGCACAGACTGCTTATACCACAGGATTCAAAGTAATGATGATTTGGGCCAGTTCCCCTAAGCCTGGAAATGAAGCCAACAGAGCCAAAGATGGAGCCAAGAAGTGGAGAGGAGCCAAGTCTTAATAATCAAGCCTGGATCCAGCTTTACCCTTGACTTTTCCGTTACTGGGGTGATAAATTACATTTGGTCTGGCCAGCTTCGGGTGGATTTTCTGTCACTTTGAACATCAGTATTTACTCACTAATCTCCAATCTATGGCACTGTGAGTTCATGTTAGGATTTACCAGTAGATGATCTCTCCTCCCTGACTCGAACGTTCAACAGTTTTAATCTTTTTTTAAACAATTATGAAAGAACAGCACACTAGTTCTCTTTCCTGTTTTCAAGGAATTATTATCACCTTCTGCAATATTTTCCGCTCCACCTGGAAATTTACTATGACCCATAAGGAACACTTAGACAAACCAAAGATGTCTTCACAACAGAACAAAGCAGGACCAGAGAACACAGCATTGACTGTATTCTGAGAAGTTTATGCCCTTTTGACTGTCACCAAGGAACCCCAATATCATGTTTATTTAGTTAAACTTGACATTAATTCATTTCTCTTGCTTTTTTTCCTGAATGAGCTTTCCGTCCTTTTGAAAACCTGCTGGTATTTGTTAACTTTGTTCCCCACTTGGATTACTTAGCAGATAAACATATTAAACATCATTTATAAAACAATACCCACCAACACAATATGGCATAATAGCTACTGATTCTAAATCTTGTTTATGTAGAAAATTATAATCCTCCTATCTTGCCTCTTATTAATGGGCACCTTAGGAAAAATAGCAAATTTTCTCTGAGTAAATGGAAATAGCCTTCTATTTTAAGTTTTAATAAGTCTGTAGAAACAGAATAGAATAAGAAGTAGAATAAAATGAGTAAGTGAGAATCAGGAACCAAAAAAGGACAACGTAAGAATTCAAGTGATTTTGAAGAATTTACAATAATCTACGTTCATATAAAACCTTTTATAAATTTGAAAGTTTAACCTTGTCTTTGTAAGGTTCTGAACATACAACTGAACCACCTCTATGAATGATTACATAGTGGGAAAAGATAGACATTATTAGTACAAGAATCAAAGGGATGCACTGACCTTTTATCATCAGCTATTGTCAATGCTGCAACAAGCATCTTCCCACGGTGTGACCACCAGGTAATTAATACTGAAAATGTGATCCCAATGGAGCAAGGTTTTCAAGTTTAGAATTACTTGAATTCTATTACATTTACTAAAGGGCATTCTAAAACTATAGAATTACTCCTGTGGAACAAGAGAAGTTTCATCATTCATATCATCTATTATTCAGCCTCTAAGAATTCTTAATCTATGATATTTGTAATTGATGAATACCACCAAAAAATTGAGCTTTTCCTTCTTCTAAACCAAAACAGAATTAAATTTCCAACTTTCAAAAAACTTAATCTAATTTTACAAAGAGAGGAAAAGCAAAAGTATTTTGAAATAAAAGAAAGTTTCATAGCTATTTGGACTATGAGTAAAGTGTATTGCATTTATTTTAATTTTTTAATTTCAAGGAATACATTTTATTTTATTAATATTTAAATGGGTTATGTGCATATGCTACAATATTAAAAAGGAACAAAAAATGTAAACCATGAAAGTAAGTCTCCCTCACACCACCCCTTATCAGACAAGTTTCTCCTACTCACAGTCAATTACAGTTGTCAATTTCACCTGCCTTTCTCAAGAGGTAATCTATGTATACATGTAATGCATACATGTATAGGGAAAATTTCTGAGACAGATTTTATTTTCTTCTGCATACAAACTAAAGGAACTGACACATTTTTTTCAAGATGGCAATTAATAGAGAGAAAAATATCAGGTTTTGATGTAGATATACATGTTGGAAACACATTTATTGGCTCAACTATCCACTAGTATCATTGTAGATCTCATGATAAAAGTGAGTTTCCACTGACTTGCACCTTACCAATTTACTGTCAAAGAAATGTAACAAACATCTGACAATTTGTACTTTACTAGAAAACACACTGTCAAACCTACATTAATCAGACTGCTTGTCCTCTACTTGGAAAACAAGAGTTATCCTCCAATTCTCCTTTACATCATCTTGGGATTCCCTTTCATTCTTTTCTGTTTATTCTTCCGTTTGATAATTCCATGTTTTCCTCTTGATTTACTTGGTTTATTCACTTGTTTTGATGGGGAACATCCTCCAGTAAGTTCCTAAGAAAATGCATGTAGAGCTAAATATTTTAGGCCTTGGATGTTAGAAATTACTGTGGTATTAATCTTCCACCTAATATTTTAATAATTGGGTATAGAAGTTTAGGTTAAAAAGATTTTACTATTTTGAAAGTTTGGTTTCATTATTTTCAAACTTCCAGTGATGTCGAACAATCCAAAACCATTTCAATTCTCAATATGTGTTTGCTTATTTGTATTGTTCCCCCTCTGGGTCTTATCTTTGTCCATAATTGTTACAAAATTTTGCAGGACTTATCCTGGAATGAGTTTATTTTTCGCCATTTGGGTGAACACTTAGTCGGTCCCCCTAAATCTGACACCCATCATTCAGACATGGAAATTTTTCTTATTTAATGGTGATTGTTCCCTCCCCTTCCATTTTCACTTTCTTCATCCTAGAATCCCCACTGGATATTCTGGAACTGACTCTCTCATTTCTTATATTTTAGTCTCTCTATAGTTTCCATTTCTTTGATTTTGCCCTACTTTTTGAGAATTTAACTCAGCATTAAATTTCAGTTCTCCTTTTTTCTTTCATGTTATCATGTTCTCAATTTCTAAGAATTTAATTGTATCCTATTCTTTTTCTATCAATCTGGTATCTTCTTCTGTCTCAGAAAATATTGCTCTTTAAAAAGTTTTCTCGGACCTCCCCTGGTGGAGCAGGGGTTGAACGCTAGGCTGCGAAGCAGCTCGCAGCCTCTGCAGAGCCGGTTCGATCCCTGGCCACCAGCAAGGGTCCCACAGGGGTCCCACATAGCACGCAGACATCTCCTGCTGTGCCAACTGCTCCCCTCAGCAGTGTGTTTTGTCAGTCTGCCTGTTCTGTTCCCCGCTCTGGCTCTGGTGAATTCTCTCACCCTCCTGCGCTTCTGACTGTACCCAGTGCTTGTACAAATAAATAAATAAATAAATCTTTAAAAAAAAGTTTTCTCTTTTCTTCATAGTTTCTTCTTTAAGTAAACTTACCACAAGTTACTTTGTGATACTTCCATATAAAATCCCTTAGAAGTGTGGTAATTCTTATTCTTAATTCTTAAACTAGGAAATCCCAATGATGGTTGGAGGTTCTGGAAGTATCTGAGTATCTGCAGCTGATTAAGTGCAAAACATGAAAATGATGAAGACTGTTAACATTGAATGAAATGCATAAACCTTTTATTAGACAGCCTATTATTTAAAACAGACTTTACTCTCAGGTTGACCAGGTTCCCCAAAGAACAATCGCCCATTCTACTACCAGTAGGTACAGATATACCTACTAAGATTTTGGGGGCCAAGAGCAGGAAAATCACCCGTGTCTCACCAGTCAGTAATCATCTGATCTCTAAACCCCTATTTCCTTCAGGTTCCTCACACATCTCCATGACACACATCTCCAGTCAAGAAGCCATGTTTTATCATCTTCCATTTCTCAAGAGTAAATACCAGAGCTACAGGAGCTGGAAGAAGTCAACAGCAGTGTAAAGTGTAATGATAATGATCCTCACTGATAGTGGCAGCTGACACTACCATTTCCTACATCTTTGGAGGATTCTTCTGTGAAAATCTATTTCTGAGCTGGCACCTTAGAGTTAAGTTGAAGTTGCCATGAGTCTGTTAAGCAAATTACTATTAACCTACCTCCTTTCTGGCTCAAAAACTACATTGCTATTTCCTCATCTCCTCCTCTTTCCTTGGAGATTTATATAATTTTCCAGCTGATGGTTGGATAGCAGGTGATCTTAGAGGTGGTGGATGGTTGAAAAGGTAGTTCAAATGTTGCATGTGGCAGAGATGGAGAGGTCATCGCAGGATGGAAGATGAAGCTACTCCAGAAACTTTCCAATCAAATAATGTGGAAGCTATATTTTGTTTTCATTACCTTCACATTTTCAGTTACCTGGCTTTTTTACTTATTCACCTACTTATATATGCCATTAGTCATGACTTGTGAGTCAAAATACCAGGTTTTACTCCCCAACTTGGGTGATCTGCTCATAGGGCTTCTCTAAATGATCCTTCTACTTTTGTGTGTTTAAAATTTTTCCATAATAAAGTAAAAAAACTTTTATAAAAAACCTTTAAACTCTCCTAACAACATTTAAAATAAAATGCAACCCTCATGCCATGAACTTCAAGACTTGGTACAAATAGAAGCTATCTTTTCTATCTAGTGTCACTCTCCCCTTCATTCGCTAAGTGACTTAGATGTTCCAGATCCTTTAATGAATGAGTCAACCCCTTTCCCACATTTGTGCCAAAACTGGGTACTCTGAAGGCCCAGGACTATCATCATTTATATAAGCTTTCTTTGTATTGTATGTTTTTGTCTAAATGGCACAGTTTCAGAATGACCTTTCTACTCTCTATATGGAAAGAAGCTTGTCTGCTGTTACTATCCTCTCTCAGACTTTTGGTCTCTTCACTGCACTTCTCACAATTTGCTTTACTCTATCTCTCTCCATAGAATAAACACTCCTACAGGACAACGACCTTGCCCATTTTGAATACCTTTGCATTCCAGTACCTAGCACAGCCCTTCACACATAATGGGCCCTCAAGACATATGTATTTAATGAGAAAATGAGTAAAAAGTAAACTAACCCATCTTCTAGTATAATGGGAAGGCAGGGAAAATGTGGCATAGTAAAGAAAGCAAAGGGATTCTCTCAAACTCTTTTGCCTTATTTAGAGACAAACACAATAGTCTTGCATGGGACTTTGATTCTCATACATGGGTATAGACATTAGATTTGTAGATATTGATTATTTTTAAGAAAAAGTATCCAAAATGTTTTTTTCATAAGGGAAAGATGTTGTGTGGCATGTAGATTCAGTATTATACAGGGTGCAAAACCATTCAAGATTTAAAGAAGTCTTTGTTCAACTCAGCAATCATCTACCACTGATTAGAAGTCTCAGACTAAATGTAGATAAGTGTATATTCAGGAAATTTCACCCCATAAAACTGAAAATCATTTTTGTCTGGTAGAACAAATGATTCAAAGGTTACAATTTTTTTAACCTAGTAGGACATTAAACAGTTTTATAACTAATCTAGAAAATATTAATTTTCTTATAAATATTTAATTCTTCAAATGTTTTTTAAACTAGTATTAACACTCTCACTAAGCATTGGGCTGATAAATTTTCTGATGCACTCATTTTATAATTATATGAAAGTCATGCTTATAAATTTTTGCAAACTATATTTTAATATGATAATTGTTTTCTCAGTAACCATGAAAGAATAAACCACCTTGTCATGCACATAGGACTTGAGTTCCACAACAGGTATTTAAAATAAACAACTATCTAGAGAAAAGTAACATCTCATATAACAAAATGAAGTAAGTAAACCCTTGACACAATACATAAAATATTTTCAATAATGTATCTGGGCTTTGGATTTCTATTTTCTCTCTAAAATAATAAGCTTTTCTTTCATTTTCCATGAGACCATATGGTCTCATTTGCATAAGTTACCAAATAAACAGATCACAAAAGCCATCTTAATTCCTTATGCCCACCAAGGAAACAGAAAGAACAGTGAACAGAGCTTCAATTAGAGAGCTATGTTGGGCTCTAGAAAATTATGCATTTCAATTGTGCTTCTTCTACCCCACTTTGAAAAGCACAAAATGAAAGACTCGCCACACTAAATCCTTTGAGGCAAATTCAGATGCAATAAAGTCAAGATTTGTTCACACATCTGCCAAATCTGAGTATATAAAGTTATTTCTGTCAAGAAGTAATACACATTTATTTGAAATTGAAATTTATGTGGAATCATATAATTTATCCTGAGAAAAAAAGAAGGTATCATAGTACCTAATTTTAAACTATACTATAAAGCAACACTACTAAAAACAATATGATATTGGCATTAAAATATTCAAATATATTAACAGAACAGAATCAAAAGTTCAGAAAAAAAATCCATACACATATAAATACTTAATTTATGATAAAGCATACAATGGGAAAAAGAGAATCTCTTTAAATAGTGGTGCTGGGAAAGCTGGAAGGCCAGACAGAGATAAAATAATGCAGTTAAGTTACTCTGTAACTCCATGCACAAAAATAAATTCCAAATGAATTAAAGACTTAGATATAAGGCCTGCAACAATAGAATACATAGAATAGAGAACATAGTTTATATACATATATTTATGATATATACATCTATATATATGAAACATTATTGGCAACATGTTTCATGACATAAAGATGTTTTTGTATACTCGACCCTTAGAGTAATGGAAATAAAAACAAAAAGTGCCTTTCACACAGCCAAAGTAAATTTAAGTAGATTTAAAAAAAAAAGTAGACTTTCTCCCTACAGAATGGCAGAAAATATTTATACATTGCATAACCCAAATGGGTTAATATCCCAGTGATATTAAAATATGTATATAGGGGCCTCCCTGGTGGCTCAGGGAGCTAAGGTGCAGCATTTTGAAGCTATCCGCAGCGATTGCAGTACAAGTGTGATCCCCGGCCAGGGAGGTGACCCGCATGGTGCAGCACAGCTCTCCTGTCTCACCCACTGCTCCCCTCAGCAGTATTTCAGTCAATCCGCCTGTTCTGTTCCCCACTCTGTCTCTGGTGTATCAAAACACTGGCTAGAAGCACTATAAATCTGTATAGCTTGGCAGTGGAATCCAATCAAAAGAATGAGGACATATATCCAGGGGTTATAATAGCATAAGTTTATAAAGATGTTTTACCAAAAGATTAATTAGTAATTGCAGACATTGCTCCTCAAATTCTCTGAAGTCATATATTCTTAAGCTCATTATTTCTCCTGTCATAAAACTCATGATCATACTGGCCCAGGTGGCAGTGATGCGTATGTGCCTAACTGTACCATCTCCAGCAATATCACTTGCAAGCCATCAAGGTTTAAACTGCTCACCAGAATTCAGACAAGTGGACTGGCTGGTTAGTGCCAATCTCCACAATGAAGAATCTATCCGCTGTCCTCTGTCACTAACTGGGCAATTTTGGGCAATCACTTAACCTTCAGTCTACTACCTCACTGTAAAATGAAGTAGAGTAAGACAACTGATTTTCTGGTTATCTTGACCTGTGGTTATTTTTACCTTTCAGTTATTTTTATCACACCCACAAATTTTCTGTTTTCAAATAATCTATTTCTTTTTAACCTATCAATTTCTCTACAATGTTTGATTGACTATAGTATTTAAGATTCATAAACTGAAAATTAAAATTAATGCACTGAAAATTAATTAGGTTTCATTATTTCTTAGTCTCTAAAACTAACATTTGGGTCCAAGTATAGCTTTGGTTGCATGCATCTCACAGGTGTTTCATTTTGTTTTTTAAAGATTCATTTATCTATGCATACAAGAGTTAGGGTACAGGCCAGAGGTGTGTGGTGTGAGAGGATTCACCAGAGACAGAGTGGGGAACAGAACAGGCTGATTGACTGAAGTACACTGCTTAGGGGAGCAGCGGGCGAGTCAGGAGAGGTCTGCTGCGCCATGTGGGCAGCTCCCTGGCCGGCCGGGGGATCAAAACTCGTGCTGCAGAGTCTGTGGACAGCCTCACAGGCTGCCCCTTAAGCCCCTGTGCCACCAGGGAGGCCCTCACAGGTGGTTTTGATAAACTAAGTTCTTGCTGCTGATATTTTAAAACATTTGTTACTATAGATATTAGTTGCTCTGTAACACAAGAATTATTAATTTAGTTATTTATTTATTTGAGATAATGTTGGTTTACAACACTGTACATGTTTTAGCAGTATAGGCTGACACCTCTTTCAAAATGTATGTTACCACACCATGTCCACCACCAAATAATAGCAGCTACCACAATCTACTGGACCCTGTTCAACCTCCACCCTCACCTTCTCACTCTGGTAACCCGGTATCTGTCATCAGGATCCAGGATTTATTTTGGTTTGGTTTTGTCTGTCCTTTTTCTTTGCTTCTTTATATTTCACATAAGCGAAATCATCCAATGTTTGTCCTTTCTCTGATTTACTTCACTTAGCATAATCCACTCCAGTTCCATCCATGTTGTTGCAAATTAAGATTTCATCTTTTTTAATAGCTGAGTAAGTAGTATGCCATTGTGTGTGTGTGTG